AAAGAACTGAGCAATGAATTTTGTCAGGCGCTACCGCCTTCCGACCTCATGACTGCACCCGCGTCGATTCTTTTGCAGAAACAAGGCGCCAAAGTGCGTCTGATCAGTGACTGGAGCGCACGTTCATGCGCGCTCAATCAGGCTCTCTTCGCTACCCCTGTCGATTACGCTTCGTGGTGGGACCTATTCGAATGTCTGAGGCCGGGCGCTTTCGTTTCTGGGTTGGACCTTAAGGACTGTTTCCCTCACTGGCTGACTCATCCCTCTCATCGTCGTTTCTTCGGCCTCGACCTACCGTCAATCGGCGCTAAGGCAACGCATCTTTTTCTTCCTTTCGGGATCGTTCCAGCACCTGGCGAAAATGATGAAAGTGTCAAAGAGCTCACCAGAGTCTGTAAGTCGGCTGGCATCAAATCCAAGCTCTTCGACTACGTTGACGACATTCGCGCTATTTTACCCGGCACTGCCTGCCTATCCCAGTCCGAAACCAACAAAGACCTCGATCGCCAGTTTTTCCTCCTTACCGCGCTTGGTTGTAAGTTGCACGACAAACCAGGGAAGCGCATCGAGGCTTCTCAACGTTTTCCGTGGTTGGGTTTTCAGTGCGATACTCGCGCAATGACCATGAAGATTGAAGAAGGTCGTCGGCTCGACTACATCAAATTCATCGACAAACTCCTGTCCGACTATGAAATTTCTGGGAAGTGCCCGGTGAAAGACCTGGCTTCTGTAGAAGGCAAATGTGGTTCTTGCACGTTCGTCGTGAATCGCGGTCCTCTCTCCGCTATGCAGAACGACATACAAATCTCTGGCGCCCCGAAGCAGTGGTTGCGCAACAACAAACTCAATCCATCGATACATCTTTCCAGTGATACCATTGCCGAGATATGCTGGTGGAGACGCACACTCGCCAGCGATCCTGCCGCTCCACTTTTCTACAATGGCCACAGATGTTTTTTGTGGCGCGAAGAAATCCTCACTTTCGGTGACCAATTTTTGCGCACCATCGACCCTGCAACTATTCTAGTGGTACATGGCGACGCGGCTACGTCCCGTGGAACGGGTTGGGGTGGTACCGTCAACGGAATCCGTTTCCAAGGTTTCTTCGATGAGTCCTGGCGCGAGTCCTCCATCAACGCCAAAGAAGCAATTACTCCGATCTTACTTCTAGATGCATTTGTATGTGCGGGGCATTCCATCAGGCACAAGGTGATCATGTACTACACCGACAACCCCGCCGCAAAGAAGGCTTGTAACAAAGGCGCGTTCTCCTCTAGTGACATGTCTCGGGCGTCGCATGACATTCGGTCTTTCGTACTCTCCGACTGCTGTGAACTTGTCGCCGGCAAAATCTTTGGCGTCGAGAATCCTATCGCCGACGCACTCTCACGCTTTGAAGACTCGGCCAACGCCATGAGCGACAACTTCCCGCGCCGCTCCCTCAACCCCAGATGTTGGAGCATTGTTGACAGAGCTTTTCCTGGACTCGATACCGTCGCGATGTCCTCCGACAGGGTAGCCGAGTTTCCTATTCTTCCGTTTCATTTTTCCATCACCAACATGCCTTTCCACAACGTACATCATCTTCTTCATCACAAGACGTGGTGGTTTCCGCCGACGACGTTGGTGTATGCCACTTTGAAGTTCCTGGACAAACTGGTTACCAACGTCCCTGAGTCTCATCGACCGAGATTCGTCGTCATGGTGCCTTCTCTCAGCGGGCAGTTCTTGCCCATCTGCAGCTCCCTTTTTCGCGGACCGACTTTCAAGAAGAACTCGCTCATTTTCAGAGCGCCTGGCTCTGCTACGGACATCCCTTCCGACTCCGAATACGTCGTTTTCTCTTCCGTTCCAAAAGGCTCGTGGGCTGACGAATTCGCTCCACCGATCGAGTTACTCCCACAGATGGAGCTCCTGCTCAAGAGTGCGCGCTTTAAGATTGCCGCTCATCTTCGTGACAGAATCATTATTGGTGACATAGCCGAGGCAAAAGAAGACGCCATCGTGCACATTTGTTGTTGTACTGCAAGACCGCCCAAGGGCATTGCCAAATCCATCTTCAGGCAACACCCCTACGCATCCAGTTACCACCTACCACCTAGTGCCAAACCGCACGGCTCCTTTGAACATATAGGCAAGATTATCAACATCTACTCCATGTATTTCCCAGGGCCTCCCCGGCGTCACTCTTCTTCAGACGTACCCGATAGCGCCCCCGTCCGCCTCCAACAGTTCAGTAACGCAATGGCGGCTCTCCCCCTACACTTAGCTCGCGCTGTCATTTCCTCTGTCGCTGTGCCACTAGATATAGGTGCCGGCATGTGCGGTGGTCGTGTTGTGGACTACGCAATCGTCCTCGATAAGTTCGTTGTTGATTGCCACAAATTAGGAATCCATGTGGCTTTATACCAGTTCCCGCATCACCGTTAAATCCATTACTATTTTGCCTACTTTGGCTGGATCGTCCTCATATATTTTTCATTCATATATTCGAACGATTGGCACGACTTCGTGTGGGCTAGACTGAGTGTCTGACTGCACGAGCAAAATAACACTCCTAAATCTTGTGTCAGCACCTTCACAATGCTCATCAATACAACTGTTGTATCGGAGATGACTGGTGACGCGGTATCCTTTGTCATGAAGAGAATCCCGTCTCTCAGGTTCTTGTCTTTTAGAAAACTCGCTCTAACTTCTCCCCCAGTTAGATCGAGGACACCACGAGCAAGGAGGCTCCCAGGCAGTAGACGATGTCGACAGAGGACACCATGTCAGTAGACCACAGCAAAATGCTGATAGGACAGGCAAAATTCATGCTCGCGTTGCAGCTCTGAAACGGCAAAGCCGGAAACATTCCACAACATCTGGAAATTCGGAGCTGACCTCTTCACGACCACCTGGTGCTTCTAGACGCGTTGAACAACCTCTGAATATATCACGCGTGTNGGCACGACTTCGTGTGGGCTAGACTGAGTGTCTGACTGCACGAGCAAAATAACACTCCTAAATCTTGTGTCAGCACCTTCACAATGCTCATCAATACAACTGTTGTATCGGAGATGACTGGTGACGCGGTATCCTTTGTCATGAAGAGAATCCCGTCTCTCAGGTTCTTGTCTTTTAGAAAACTCGCTCTAACTTCTCCCCCAGTTAGATCGAGGACACCACGAGCAAGGAGGCTCCCAGGCAGTAGACGATGTCGACAGAGGACACCATGTCAGTAGACCACAGCAAAATGCTGATAGGACAGGCAAAATTCATGCTCGCGTTGCAGCTCTGAAACGGCAAAGCCGGAAACATTCCACAACATCTGGAAATTCGGAGCTGACCTCTTCACGACCACCTGGTGCTTCTAGACGCGTTGAACAACCTCTGAATATATCACGCGTGTCTATCCCCATAGCGACTTTTGATCCATTTGGTGGAGGAGGTGCTTCTTCTAGTACAAGAACTACTGGGTCATCATCTTCCAGTACTGGAACTACGACGGGTGCAGGAGGAAGCCTGGGCGAGTCAACACCTGCAGTGCAATTAGTAGGAGTTAGCACAAGCACTGCTGCAGTCGGAGCCAATACACCAAGTTTTTCTGCCGCCCTCGCCCCACCAGAGAGTCATCATGGAGGTCATGGCATCATCAGTAACAAGCAACAACTCCAAATAGACACCGCTACTGGAGGAGCGGCGTCTTTTGATCTTGCTGTGACGGCAAGTGGCATCAGTACGAGTGGACCGCGACGTGGCAGCAGGAAACTTTCTGGTGGCTTGGGGACACAACAAGTTGAGAGGCGACATTCAGCAGCAGGTCCACCGCCGAAAACGCCTGCCCCATTGAGTCCACTACCAGCCGCCGCGTACCTACCAAAGAGTTCTTGGCTTCAGCTGACAACCACTGATGGACAAGCCCGGGTTCCACCATCTGTACAAGTACAACAGGTTCCCTCCATGCCATCCCCAATTCGGATGCATGACGGAACTTCATCACCAACGAGAAAAGCCTTACAACAACTAGGAGGCTTCACCTTTAATTCATCTACTACCTCTTCGACTTCTACCTCTGCACAACTTGTCGTTGGAGGTATTAGCGAACCAATAAGCACACGACCGCCACTTCCTCGATCGTCTGTTGGTGGAGGTAATGTGGGTCCTGCTGGAGGTGGCACTACTCTGCGCATGGCTGGAAAACATGTTTTACAACCGAAAAGCCTTATTTGAAAAGTACACGAATTCACCCTTTGTTGTAGTTCTACAGAATTGCCAGAACAATGGGGATACTTAATCGGCATCGATATTTTTCTCCTGTGGCTGGAGGCATCTTCCCGATTGATTCTTTGAAACTCTTGCTGCTTCTCCACTTGCTGTTTGACATCAACATCCCTGTCGTGTCCAACTTTGCTGACAGCGCTTGAAATCAACACAAGATTTTCTACGTTTTTCGCAAAGGAGACAAAGACTCACTACAGTATACTGAAGAACGCGTTCCACTGCATGCGCGTGGAACGACGTCATAGACGAAGGTCATGCTAACGCTGCTACAACTTCCTCAGCGTACAACTGTTGCGTGCACGTGCTTGACGTTTCGCTCTCATAACTTTTATGCGAATAAAAGACGCAGGCATAGTAATTTTCGTGTAGTTTTAATTGACAGCAACCATGATTGGATGTTGACACTGATGAACATGAAAAGCTGCATTGATTGTATTTCGCAGAGATTTTGTGGAATTACGAGGAAGATGTTGATGAATTACATCAGCGCTACGTGGTGGCATAATACTAGGCTGAAGGCGACGGTCCGTTACGACATTCCTGATGGAGCACGGAACACCTTTTTTCACCGCGCTCAGATTCCAAATATTTCTCCCCAGCAGCACAAAGTCAAAAACAGAGAGAAATATGGGTAGGAAGTTAACGTCCACCTCGATGAAGAGTAAAACTAAATGTGCCTCTAACTACTAGTACTTCCTTCTTTTTACTTGCAGCTTCTTCTACTACTTCTTGATTGATGTTCTTCTACTTACAACAAACAAGTAGGAGACGTACTCACTCAAGTTTCATAACAACTGCAAGATACTCATACTACTACTTCTAGCATCAACAACTACCATCGAAAAATCTTCCATAAAACTTTTAACAGTACCTCTTCTACGACCACCAGCAACATGCTTCCGAAAATTGAGTTGCATGCTCATCTGAGTGGCTGTGTCCGCCAGGACACACTCTGCGCTATGGCTGCGAGACGCAACCTGCCTACATTTCAAAAGTTCGATGTGAAAGCAGAACTTACTGCCACGACAGAGCAGAATGCTCCTAAAGATGATGACCACGATGAAGCTCAAGCTTCGAGATCAAGTATATTCGAAAGGGCCATGAAAATTATGATGTAGGCGACTCGTCTATCACTATGATCTTCAGGGTCAGTCGTGATGTTGTTGATAGAACTAAAAATTTAAGGAGGATGAGGAACAAAAAACAGGTGAAGCAACCTGGCAGTTGCAAGAAAAGATTGCTGCAGATGATAGACGAGTGTCGCTGTTTTGTTCATACCAGAGTGCTTCGCCTATTTTTAAGAAGGGGGAACAGTGAAGCCGAACCCGAAGAGGAGGTGGACTCAAGGATTGCGAGAGGAGACCGACCTACAACAAGTCTAGCAGGTTTCGTCAGATGGACATTATCTTCATTATCAATCTTCTCGTCGCATAAAGATATTATATGCGCAGCGCTGAAGATTCTGATATTAAACAGACCTCCTCATTCGTTGAAGGAGCCCTTCGCCTTCCGCTTTCTTCTAATGAATCGAAACTGTGGCTCGCGTGGTAACAGACCTTGATGCTTTAGAAGAGGCTACGCGAGACGTTTTGGACGCGTTCCTAGATGACGGCTGCGTCTATCTGGAACTGAGGACAACACCGAAAAAACTACTTCAGAAAAACTCTACAACTGCTTTAAGGAAAGAACGATTTGAATAATCGAAAACTCAAAATATCCGAGTAGCCAACTGAAATAACAGAGCATGAGGCGCCTTTTCTTTCAGTATCTCGCTTATTTTAAGTAGTTACTCTTACTCGCTTATTTCAGTTTATCGAATACTTTTTTCTTTCTAGTAAAAATGATGAAGGCTCCTCCTCCACGAGCCACCTTGAAGAGCCTAGCCTGTCCATAAGGCCAGCGGGCTACAGAAGGGCTCTTACGTGTTTGTAGCTCCGAAGGTGGATATAAAAAAATGGGTTTCATAGCCGCATTAGATATTCTAAAACTTGTTGCGACCTCGAAGGAAGCCGACTACGTTCGCACTGTGCGTGACGTGTGCGCTAGTCCCAAGTATACTGATGAATTGCACGTCCGGCTCCTCCTCAGCGTCGACCGAGGAAAGATAAAGTCTTTCGAGGACGCTCAAAAGCAAATCAAGTGTTGCTTAGCTTTGTACTTATGAAGACATGACGAGCACGACGGCCCACGAGGACGAAGACCACTGTGGCAGCTTACACCGATGGATCCCAATTCATTGTGGTGTGGAGCCTTCGTCTTGAACTACCGTGTTGTTTCTAATACCCCATGAATTTGCACCTTTCGTGGTAGGCCTAGACATATGTGGCAATCCTGCAGTGGACAGTGTCGTGCCGTATCTGCTGCCTGCACTACTAGAAGCTAAAGACGAACACGACGCAGCAGCAGCAGCAGAACGAGCTTCTGAAGATTCTTGGTTAAGAAAAATGGTTCTTGGTTATCTAAGAAAAGCCATAGGGGGCACCTTGCCGAATAGACTTAAAACTACATCGAGATCACTTCTTAGTTTTTGAGAGAAGTTCCTGGCTATGGCTAAGATTGCTTAGTTTTCTTCTCTGGTGTACCATTATGCAGAATGCCGAGTGTACAACCTCACCTCTAACTCGGCCTCTAGTCACGTTTCATTTAGGCGAAGATATTTCCCACACTGAAACAGAAGTCGATGCAGTGTTGGATTGCGCCAGCAAGCTGAATATCCGTCGTGTTGGCCATGTCTGTTTTCTTACTGCCGCACAGCGAGAACGTGTTAAGAAGCTGGGCCTAGGCGTGGAACTTTGTCCTTATGTTGTTGCTTTGACTATTATTTGTGTAAATCGATCTTCCTTTGCAGGAGCTCTCCTGGTCCTGACTATTCTTTTGTTTTTTGACGATGAGCTGTTGACATCTAAAAAGAGAAAGAGTTGTGTAATGATGTCGACTCATACCCATAGAAGATCCTCAACAACTCATTGTTCATCTTTTATCGCATAATACCGACACAGTGCCACCTCTCATCTCAGAAGTCTTCATCTAAGTCTTGACATCGAATTGCGTAACACGATCTTTGTCCAGTTTCAGTGATCACCACTTTCCGGAATGGCACTCGTCGAAGGTTTCCTTCTGCACTGACGATACTGGACTCTTTGGTTGCTCTCTCTCATCGGAGTTGTTAAGGCAAGAAACTAAGGGAAAAAACGAAGTCGAACGTGCAAATAAACTTTGTTTTTATTTACTTTCACTTTTTTTTACGTTGCTATACTACGATGAACGAAGCAAGACCGTCTCGTGGTGTCGTCGCCAGACTCTAACATCAGCTGAGATGAAGCAAGCCTTTGGTCTTTCGCAGTTATGGTATCTTGTTCATCTGTGGGGGGCGCAGCGTCCATATACTTATAACTACCGAACAATATTGATACATATGTGGTCTTGTTAGTGCGTGCTCGGTGAAACTCACTAGTATCGACGAATTTGTTGAGGTTGTTGGAAGGTGGTACTGGTACCGGGAATACTAAAAAAACAACTAATAGTACTACTTCTATTTCGTCATGACCACGGAGACGGGTTCGTCGTGAACAGAATAAACCTTTGTACATCTCTTCACTCTTTTGCTCTTCATCTTCCTCTAAGAAGTCGTGACTTGATGCAGCTTCAGCTGAATGCACTGGAGATGAGCTTTTTACCACATGCCGACCCACAACGGCAGAGAATACGGCAGAAAATAAGGACAGCATGGACTTCTACGTGCGAGGAGGAGGACAAGCTTTGAACCTGTGAGATACTGTAGCTTTTATTTGCTTGTTGAGATGAACAAATCGAAGACGTAGAAGAAGAAGAAGTAGAAGAAACTCTGTGTCAAGGTCTCAGGAGTGGAAGACCCGGGATACCGCATATTGATGAGGGATTCCATGACATTGACAAGTAGAAGCATGGCGCACCACCTGTATGCAAGACCCGCAGTATGCTTGTGACGTTTATCCTGTTGTCGCTACTTGAGAGAACAAATGAGTACTAGTTCGTGGCTCTGTCGATTCCTAATTGCTCTGTCAGTTGGAGAGAACCGAGTGTGACTTTGCCGTTACAATATGTATGAGAGTCAGTTTGAGAGAAAGACGAATACCTACTTTATCTTTGCTCTGTCAATCCATTCTTGCTCTCCTGTGAACTACTTGAGAAAGAGGGGAAATACTGAACCGCTCTGTCCATACAAGTAAGTACATTGCTCTGTGAATTACCAGAGAGAGAGGAGAAATGCTTCGTTTCTCTGGTGTCATGATTTGAGAGGAGCATGGTCTCCTGTACTAATAAATAGAGAGCTTTTAGTTTTATCTACTTAGTTGAAGATCGCCGATATCATTTGAAGAAAATCTTAATCTACTTGTTTTCACTTCGACTCCTGACCAGGTGATGGTGAATGCATGAATGTGACTGAAAATCCTCATTTTAGTCCGCTTGATTTTTCGTTTGTTTGTTGTATCAGATCATTCAGCATAAATCTACAACTGACGGAATTTTTATTGCCTGAAAGTCGTGCTGCCTTGCTTCCGCCCATTGGCCTAGGCCTGGCGGGTGGAGCAAGTCTGGTGCCACCGGCACGATCCCTTCTTGAATGGTTGCAATTGTCTTTGCCGAACCAACCTTTGATAGAATCTTTCTTATGTCGCAATCGCGCATGCAGGCCTCTCGACACGAAAAGAAATCAACTCAGTCCTCAAGCAAAATCGAGTTCCATACCATACGCGTTGAACGGACAGACACGTCGACGACCACAGACACGTTGACAGCAGTGGTGCAACGGATTCGATCCCCTCTACATTCATTTCTTTGCGCTGTACCCCTCTTGCTCGTATACTAGGTTCACTACTACCACTTCTGCTACCGCAGCGGCCAGGTCACGACCCAATACAAGAACTAAGTCAGATATTACTAGCAGAAGGAGCCACGATCACAGGAGGAAGAGGACTCCTTCTTGGGGCTCAGCAAGATGGCAAGAACCACACGATCTTCATCCAGTGGGAGCAGATATTCTTCCAGCACTAGAAGCAGATCTTCAACTTCATCTAGCAAAAAGAGCATGGAGTTAGAGAAATCAGTCAGTATGGCTCTTACGGATCGTCGAACGAACGCCTCACTAGGCACAAGCAAGGTCATGGCCATAAGAAGACGCGCGACTACGAGGAACTACATGATCAAACGACGGCTTTTGAGATTATCGAGCTGCTTGCTGTGGTCGACGCAAGCATCAATCCTGGCGAAAGTTCTGAGGGGCCGTACGTCCTCCTTTGGGGGCTCGATGAGCTCTTCATTCGTTAAGGCTTTGCTTCCAAAATGCTAAAAATAGTTGTTCATCTTCAGAAATCGACGTCGTCCTAGAGCTAGTGCTTCCGCCAATGGAGGTGCATGTTCAGAGAAGTCAGCCTAGAAGGGATTCCACCAATGTTGGTCCGTGTTCAGAGAAGTCAACATCCTACTTAGAAGGGCTTCCTTGAAGATGGAGATGGACCACTGGTGGAATCCACCACTGGTCCATCTCCATCTTCAGAGAAGTCATATTGGTAGACTTCGTTCCTTTATAATGCTAATCCATCTACTTCCGAAGATGGATTAGCATTAGGAAGGACACGTTGATCTTCGGAAGGAAAATGAAGAAGGCCTCCACCGAGAGGGATATCTACTCAGGATGGACTCGTCTTGGATCGACGGGTCGGGTGAGCTCTAATTTTGCTTCGATGGGGATGGAGTCGTCCTCCAGCAGTTCAACGTCTCCAGCATTTGGCGGAGATTATACTTCGTCTCCAAAGTCTCTGCTTGTTAAGGCTTGGCTTCTTCATAGGCATAGACTCATTCAACATTCATTGATTCTTTTTGGCCTAATAAATTGTTTACGCATAGACACATTGATCTTTCATCGTACGTAAGAAGCTAGGTACTAGCATGTAGTTTCATCGCTCTTCGTGACAGTTCAAAAAAAAGGTCTTAGCTGCAGTTCATCTGAAGAATTATATTGATGAGTATGCGTTCGAGAGTTGTGAAGTTTTTCTAGTTAAGTTGAGAAGGAAAAGAAGATTACTATATCCGCTATCGTCTGAGAGCATGAACAACAACATTATAAGAAATATTGATGAGTATGCCTATGCGTTCTTCCAAAAAATTTTCTAATTTTGAGGTGCAAAAGAACAAAGTGACCCGTCGTAACCCGCCCCTTGATTTGTCGAATCTTCTTGGTTTTAGTACCTATGGTGGAGGTGCTAAACACGACGATCTTAAGATGAGAGAACTTTTTGGCGGCAAGCTTCCATCCTCCTCCAAGGAGGACGGGAGTGGACAAGAATGGCCGTCCATCACGAGAGAAGTAGCAATAGACAAGGAATACGTAGGCCGAAACTGGGGAGGACTAACATTAATTGTGGAACCACGCGATTCGCAAATCGGTCCGAATCAAGTGGATCTTTTATTAAGGCTCAACTTTCAATGGTCATTGGGGTTGGTCACTGAGATCGAAGAGGCGACCCCTTGAGGAAAGATGAGGGGAAAACGAAGGGAAAGGGGAGAGCCTTGGCGGGGGCCCCTTCCGTTCAGAGTCAGTGACCATTGAACGCTGAGCTTTAATTTTAGTCGGACTGCTGCAAAAGGCAACTAGTGAAGACAAAGAGGATGCTATCGTCTATTATGCTGAATAGGTTTTTTTCCATCTTTCTGACCACCATCGAGGCTAGTACCCTTTTCCCCCTTAAAACTAACTGTATACATAGGGTAAGGAAAAGCCTCGATGGTCTGGCTAGATGGAATAAACACCATCCATATCTATGGTAGTGAGGGCGGCCGTATTGATGTATTGAAGTCGTCATCCAGTTCTTCGCTTGAGGATCCCGCTCCGCAGCCTGTCGCTCCGCAGCCCGCTCCGCAGGCTCCTTCTCGGTACATTTTTCAGATTCTTCTTTGTTTTTTTGCGAATGCGAGTATTTTGTGTTGCGAATGCGAGTCCACCATTTCAACACAAAAACTTTTAGTTTTTGTGTTGAAATTTTGGACGTGATTGGTGAAGTTATTAATTATAGTTTGTGAACTACTAAAAATACTAATAGTGGATTGTACTGTAGAAGATGTACTTCCTTGCACGACCAGGAGAAGTAACTTCATTCGCACTTACCTTTCTCCGTTAATAAGTTGTAGGGACTGGAACAACTGTGAAATTTGTTGCACTGAGAGAAGCTTACGTCGAAAGCCTGTGCCTGATAAAGTTGGTCTTGGCGGTGCTAGTGCTGTCAGAACCTTACTTCATGCTCCTGATCAGCATCTTCTGCTGCTTCGTCTTCTTGGTGATCTACTTATTCGAAAGCCCCTGAAAATAACCGAGTTTTTAGTGACTGAACTAAGGGAGGTAAGTAGCTTTGAAAGGCTACGATCATTTCAGTACTATCTTCTGTGGTCGTATTCAAGTCTTCTGCTTGCTTAATATTTCAGTTTTTCGAGTACTTTTTTCGAATTCTGTCGTTCGGAGGTTCTCATGCCCTCTGCATGTGCGTGTCGCGTTCCTGGTTTCCATGGCTGTCCTGTCCTGCTCCCTTGCTTCGAGGACTTCGCTTTCTATACTAACCTCTTTAAGACTTATAAGAAGGTCGTGAAAGTAGTTATTATTCAATATCCTCGTTGTTCTTGAGAGCGTGTCCTCTATTGTGGCTCTCTCTCTGTCAAATTGAGAGAGCCTTCAGTTCCTCCTGGCCTCAAGCAAGTGAAATCGGAGACAAATGACATGGGGCCGAAGCTGTTAGTTCTGAGTCCTAGGCCCAGACTGTTTTTTGTTTGCTGTAAAAAGAATACTAGTACTTTGGCCTTCCTCGGTCCATCTCATCATTTTAAGATTGGGGCTGAGGCCCAGCCAAGCTAAAAGCGCAAGCACATGAAGAAAATTCGCCGGCTGCTTTCCTTCGGCTTTAATCCCTTCCAGCAATGTCACAGATGCCCCCTGGATTATTTTAGTACTCGACGAAGTGCCTCGTAACATAGTACAGTGTACACGGTATCTATCAACTGAAATCAAACAGGGATGCCGAAGCCGAGGCGGCACGCAAAGCGGAGGAGGAGGCCCGCAAGAAGAAGGAAGCAGAGGAAGCCCGCAAGAAGAAGGAAGCAGAAGACGCCCGCAAGAAGGCGGAGGAGAAACGCAAGGCGGAGGAGGAGGCCCGCAGGAAGAAGGAAGCAGAAGACGCCCGCAGGAAGAAGGGAGCAGAGGACGAGGAGGCCCGCAAGAAGGTGGAGGAGAAACGCAAGGCGGAGGAGGAGGCCCGCAAGAAGAAGGAAGCAGAAGACGCCCGCAAGAAGGCGGAGGAGAAACGCAAGGCGGAGGAGGAGGCCCGCAGGAAGAAGGAAGCAGAAGACGCCCGCAGGAAGAAGGGAGCAGAGGACGAGGAGGCCCGCAAGAAGGTGGAGGAGAAACGCAAGGCGGAGGAGGAGGCCCGCAAGAAGAAGGAAGCAGAAGACGCCCGCAAGAAGGCGGAGGAGAAACGCAAGGCGGAGGAGGAGGCCCGCAGGAAAAAGGAAGCAGAAGACGCCCGCAGGAAGAAGGGAGCAGAGGACGAGGAGGCCCGCAAGAAGGTGGAGGAGAAACGCAAGGCGGAGGAGGAGGCCCGCAAGAAGAAGGAAGCAGAAGACGCCCGCAGAAAGAAGGAAGCAGAGGACGCGGAGGCCCGCAAGAAGAAGGAAGCAGAGGACGACCGCAGGAAGAAAGAAGCGGAGGAAGCCCGCAAGAAGAAGGAAGCAGAGGAGGCCCGCAAGAAGGCGGAGGAGAAACGCAAAGCGGAGGAAAAGGCCCGCAAGGAGAAGGAACAAGCAGAGGAAGCCCGCAAGAAGGCGGAGGAGGAGGCCCGCAAGGAGAAGGAAGCAGAAGACGCCCGCAAGAAGGCGGAGGAGAAACGCAAGGCGGAGGAGGAGGCCCGCAAGAAGAAGGAAGCAGACGAGGAGGCTCGCAAGAAGGCGGAGGAGAAACGCAAGGCGGAGGAGGAGAAACGCAAAGCGGAGGAGGACCGCAAGGAGGCAGAGCGCAAGAGGAGGGAGGCGGAGGAGGCAGAACGCAAAGCGGAGGAGGACCGCAAGGAGGCAGAGCGCAAGCGAAGGGAGGCGGAGGAGGCAGAACGCAAAGCGGAGGAGGACCGCAAGGAGGCAGAGCGCAAGAGGAGGGAGGCGGAGGAGGCAGAACGCAAAGCGGAGGAGGACCGCAAGGAGGCAGAGCGCAAGCGAAGGGAGGCGGAGGAGGCAGAACGCAAAGCGGAGGAGGACCGCAAGGAGGCAGAGCGCAAACGAAGGGAGGCGGAGGAAGCAGAGCGCAAGCGAAGGGAGGAAGAGGAGGCGAAGCGCATCAAGGCGCAGGAGGAGGCGAAGCGCATCGCGCAAGAGAAGGCAGAGGAGGCGAAGCGCATCGCGCAGGAGAAGGCAGAGGAGGCGGAGCGCATCGCGAAGGAGAAGGCAGAGGAGGCGAAGCGCATCGCGGAGGAAGAGGTGAAGAACAAGCTGCGGAATGAGGTCAGGCTCCAGGCGGACCGGACGAATTGCGCGGTGAATCCCGGCCCAGTAAAATCCAGAGTCATGGACTTTGACCCTAGGGACCCTAAGAAAACGAGGGCAGACGTCCTAGAAGGGAGAGAACGGGAGAAAGCTGAGAAGAAGGCGAGGGTGCAAGGCTGTCAAGCGGGCGTAGTAGCGTGCAAGGAGGAGGCGCTTGCCCAGGTCGACGAAGCCGACGGAGTGAAGGTGGACCCGAAGAAGATCCGCGAAACCCTGCGGCAGTGTCTTGTAGAGAAAGCACTTGGTAAACTTACTGCCGACGCTGCATCTTTGCCAGGCACAACGTATAATTCACTACAGCTAGGAGCAGTATGTATGTCTTTTTTGACTTCTACATGGCCATGGCGTTCACGATGGAGTGATATCAAAGGGCCACATGACTGAAGCTCCCACTTCTCGGTGTCCAAAATAAAGTGGCTCTTTATATAAACATAGATATTCTTCAGTAAAGATACCCAACTTCCTTGTAATGAGGTCAGATGATTTCATCGCCTCCTAGGTGGTGAGGCTACTGAGGTAGTGGTTTATTTATTATCTTCTTCACCCTCTCGAAGTAGACTTGTATGTGGCCACTTTTCGATTCCTGAAATAGAATACTATCGGACCACGTCGCTTTGCTTGTCAAAAATCGCTGCAAGGAAGGTTCCGACAGTAGCACTGGAAGGCACCTGAAAAGTGGGGCCCCATTTTTTGCGGAGTCTACTCGTGTTGCCTTGCGGTGCTTCCGATTTTTTGCTTTTGTCGGCTCAGGTCTTTTCTGATGCTGAGAACGGAAAAGCCTAGCTGCTCGGGGCGTAATAATTTTTACCCCCCGCTGGCCTGTGGTTTTTTAGTGCCGCAAATTTGTCGGCGTGTAATAATTATTACTCGCTGAAGTTCTAGGAATTTTGGCAACGATTCCGACAGTAGTAATTCGACAGAGTCGAAAAGTGGCCGCCTACAAATCTGGCGACCACTGTGGCCCAGCCATTGCCTTGACTGTGAAGATCGGCCTCGTCTAGCGTCTGGCCCCACAGGCCTACGTGTGGCTGGAGTGGCCGTGTTGAGGTTGAGGTCGTTGCGTACTATCTCAATCCAGCTCTTCTGATCTTCCACCTTTCTTACATTCACTATGTATTCTTTTTACTTTGAGTAGCCTCGCTCCGTCCAATGAATCCTCAAGAAGAACCCCAATCTTCATAAAGGGAAATTATTTTTTCTTACTCGCTGTCGCTTGCTCACTTCATCTATGATCTCTTTCTGCGATAAAATAAAAATTTCGACTTCTCCGAGATGGGATATCGGCAAGCCTCCCATTCCGAAGTCGAAACTTTTCCTTCACTACTCGTGGTGAGCTCTGACACAACTTCTATCTACGAGTTTGATCCTGACGTTTGTTGCACATTACATATTATTTGATAAAGCAAGGCCCAGGTCCAGCCACGCTGCTCCTGAGGGGACTAAGTATATTTTTAGCGGGCTGATTTTCCCTCGTCGTGTTATTCCTAACAAGGAGCATCAAACTTCAAGTTCAAACTCACAACACGCTTGGTTGATGCCCACAGATCTACTTCAACTCGCTCATTCAGATCAGCAACTTTGCTTGTTCTGCTATGTCTTTCACAATCTCCTTACTCACAGGAACAATGCTGCGCCTGGACAAAGTGGCCCGGCTACAGAGTATAATCCAAGAGCAAAACCAAAACCAAAAGGAATGACGTACTCACTAACATAACTGCTTAATTCTATTGTAATTGATGCTTGGACTTCTATACTGTATAGTAGTTTTTATAGCAGAGTAGTTTATAGCACGCATGGTGCATGGAGTAGCACGGAGTGCATGGAGCGCAGAGCTTTAAGGGGCGCAAGAAGCTCCCCCTTTAGCTCCATGCTACTCCATGCGATCCATGCACTCCATGCCATGCGAGCCGTGAAACCTTATAAATTGCTCTGTTATAGGAAGGGGAATCAGCAACGTCAGCTTCTTGTTCTTACTTTTCTGTTACACCCATTTTCTTTGCAGGCATCCATATCATCTTTGGATAGTCGAGATGACTTTTCGTTAGGAAGCCTCTCTTAAGAGGCCTCTCCTTAAGAGTCTCATCGTCCTTATAAGACGAGGCCCTTTGTAAGATGACGCCACTCTTCAAAATCCTTGCTTGAAGAGAGGCCCTTCCCAAGAGGCCTCGCGTAGAAGTCCTAGGAGGTCCTGCCCAATTCTTAAGAGAGGCCTCACCTACGATGCGCCTTTGCCCCTGTGATTACCGAATCTGATTGAAGTTCGAATCTTTTGGGCACTTTTCGAGCCAGGAAGCTGGTTTGCGTTTTATTTAGTAGTCGAAGTGTCCAAGATAATGGGGATCCGCATTCCTTATTTTTATTTCCCTGCTGCTGCAGGGAGGGCTATATAATATAATGGGTTGAGCCGGCCTCGAAGTCGGCTGCCATCTTGTCTCTACGGTGGTCGCGAGTGGCCATATCAGGAGCACGCGCGTCATGACAGGGCCCCATCTTCCTTACGGAGGTTTTGGCGTCGATGGTTTTGGACGATTTGGCCACTTGGCGGGCCACGACGCCCCCAGAGGACAGGCCTCTGACGAAGCCTCTCTCAGAGGGCACATCATCGTACAGGAGCTCTCTGTCACCTCCTCTGAGATGACGTGAGCTGAGGCTCCCTCTGAGATGACGAGCGATTTCGCGAGGGCCGTAGGTGCTCAAGGCTACGGGCTGCACCTCCTATGTCCTCAGAATCCCCTCTGGGTGGGAGGATTTCTGTTGAGGTTTCCGCTTGAGCGAGCAACTCCGCGGCCTCTCTCAGAGGGCACATCATCGTAAAGGCCCTCTCCCGAGGGCCTCTTTACGTACTTTACAACTTTTGGGCTTTTTATTGATCCAAATCCGAGTCAACCTGGCGCGCAATTTGGTCAAACTATCTGTCCATAATTCTCTGTCGGTAGCCCTGGCCCCATCCGCTGGTCTTTGGCTTAGCCATGCTGGCTTACTAGCCATAGCCATGTGGTGGCTTAGCCAGAGCCAGCAGAGCTAGTAAGGTTAGCCAGAGCGATTTTCTAGCTTGGCTGTAGCCTGCGTGCTTAATCATAGCCAGCTAGCAAGCGTAGCCCTACGAACCCCTATCAAGCAGTGGACCAGGCGGGTTAAGGTTGTGCACTTAGATAGTTAGCCTAGTGTCCCCTGAGCGTGCGGCCCCTTAACTACTTTGCTGCCCCGATGCGCTCGGGTGTAAAAACAAACTGGAGAGCGCCAGGATTGTATCAGACGTTTCCGGTTCGAGATATAGTTACTTACATAAGTAGCTCGTTTTGGCTATCATTCTATTGGCAAGGCTATTCTTTGTCCTTAATTGATCGCAGAAGTCTAGTCCTCTCACCATCCTTATTGCTATTAGTTTTTTTGGCGCTCTCTGCGCCGCGAAGAAGGTCTATAATATTGTTTACTCTATCGACGTAATGAAAATGAATGAGAGGCTGAGCAGGCACCGTCTATTATGTTCTTGGCACTGATTCTGTTTCAGTAGAGTATGAAAAAATGGTATAGTCTCCAAGTAGAAGAAGGGACATTATGGCACGGCATTTCCTTGTCGATATTCTCAGTCAGAAGTGTCATCATTGCTCACACTGTTTGCGCCGCTTCCTTCTTGATCAGATTTTTTTAAAATTGTGATGAACCCCAACGTGCTTTCCAGTGCGCACGCATCTTCATCGTTTGTCATGATTTATCTTCAACTACAGCCGAGACAAGTCCACGCCTGATCTTCATGCGGGGAAGTCATCCGCTGCGGGGACGTCATCCACTCTGAAAGCTGGTGGTACCCTGGCAGCTGGAAAAAAGGCAAAGGCAAAAGCAAAAGGACCTCTTGGGTACTCGTTAACTGCATTCAGCTTCATTAACTACAAAAGCCTTTTACCGAAAATCGTATTCGTAGTCTTGATTCGTATTCGTATCCTCTATGGACAACTACTACAGGTCTCCGCGTGGAAATGGACCTTCGGGACACGACACGCGTTACAGGAGAAGCTCGTAGACCTTCGTGAAGTGTTCACGATATTTTCGTGAAGAAACGTACGTCTTTTGGTAGGTTGTGCAAGAACACTTCTGACCACTTCTCCGGTCAGATGACGAAGCACTTCTGTGGATCTTCGAAGCGTTGTGCTGCGCTACCTGTAAAGAAGAAGGACGACAAGGAAGCTCAAGTACTTAAGCGAAGCAAGTACTATGCAGTAAAATGCAATTGTTCATCGGGTATACCAAGAAAGAGGATTCGAAGAAATTCGTAGAACTCAAAAGAGATTCAGGGAAGTCGTAGGCCCAACCCGAACCGGCTACAAACATCACCTTCATCATCATCATCAAGATGAAAGCGGAGCGTTTCATATCCTAGAAAAAGTAACACGAGTATGACATCCGATGTTAAAAATAACATGAATGAAACACGGCAGCAAGAATGCTATATATAGAATAGCCTCAATGTTAGTTGGAATTAGATAGCAACAGTCTGCTAAAACTACGGACTGGAGAGAAGCAAACTACAGCTCAGGTTCACATAAAATGGTTATCAGATGAGATTTGCATTAAACAATCAAGATTAAAGAAACAGGCACAATCAAGAAGCACTCAATAAGAATCTGATAGATTATTAGTATGCCTAGTGCCACATAGAAATTAGAAACTTATTTATTGGAACATCAAAAACAGAAATAACCGCTATAATGATACTTCGTTTATCAAAAATCACATGTTGGACGTCAACATTCTCAACAAAAAATCATGACGATATGAGTATTTATCTTTATCAATTTCGTTGTAAGTACTATAAGGAACGTTTTACTGAACCGGATCAACATGATGATGTATGAAAATCTGTAAAGGTACGAAGACTAGTAATGTTGAATAGTATGTTTATAGTAATGAATTTTGGGTTCAACTTCAAGAACTTCTTACTGCACGACCAAGACATCGTTACGATCATACGAAAAAGAGTTGGTTGTAGTTTTATCACGATTGGAAAAAGATATGGAGTACTACAAGCGATGAAGAAAACCAAAACCTATTATCTGCATAATTGGACATGAAGATTTCAAGGGATCAATATATTGGATCAATCTGAATCAAAACATACTGGAACATCAATCTGAAGACTCATATCACACTTGCAACTAACAATTTTTGGAACAACTGTAAGTATAGATACACATACAAACTTGGGAAGATGTCTGAATCGGAAATCAAGAGGAACAGGGAGGTGGAAGCCTGCGAAAAAAATTGCCCGAGGTCTCATCGTGTTCCGGCGATGGAGTAGTAAACGAACTTTAAAGTCGTGGAGGTCTAAATGAAAGAACCTCGAAGATCATCGATGGTGATGAAGATGGAGATCCACCTAAAAGAGGATCTATCCGAAGCAGTTCATCGTTGCCGCGACAAAGAGGCAGGTCTTAGAGCGTCGATCTAGACCTTCCATCGAACTTGTCCTCACGAAAGTAAGTGCAATAAGAAGATCTCTGCAACGTCAGACCTTACCCTCTCCAACATTTTTGATTATTTGCTTTGAATCTCCAGGAATCATCTATCCTTCTAGTACTGGTTTTTTGTTCGTTAACGTGAGCGTTAGTTACCACCTGGTTTTGTCCACATCATGCTTGTACTTTGTTGTTCTCAGAAATACCATAATTTTCAAAAAAAACGTGTCGTGATAATGCCGAGAAGGCTAGGATTAGAATCAATAAAATATGACCTCTAGTAGTACACCTTCTACCTGAAGTCTGAGTGATGAGCTCGTCTACAAGTAGACCTTCTACAGCCTCCTTCTCCATGATGAAGGACCAGGGTAGAAGTGCAGCAGTGGCGACCGCTTTGCGGATGTTAGTGGGTGATGGATTCGAGGAGGACTGGAACTTGTGGCGTGTATGGGATGCTCTACACAAGAACGAAGGTGATGTAGTAGATGATAATGAAGAAGAAGATCATGATCTTCATGATGTTCATGTTCTTGATGATGAAGACGTTGTTGACGAAAGGACTCTGCGGGAACTCTTTGCATACTTTGCACTGAAGGAGCAAGAAAATTGCGTCAAAGAATGCTCGAACCAGGAGAATGCTTTGTTTGCCGAATTGGGCTTGCTCATAGGCGGACAGCAAACTCTAGCAGGACCTGCGCTCTGGGAATTTCTGGAAACCTCTACAACCTCTGCAACAAAAAACGAAGATGACGAGGATTTCGTTGAAGATGATGGAGATCAACGTGCTCATGCAGCAGCTTATTTGTGGCCAGAAGGAGTACAACGAGAAGATTGGAGAAGTACTGAAGATGAGCCCACGAGAACAGAAATTCCTCAGGAGTCTTCGACGAGGCAAGCTCTGAGGCCCCTTGCTGCGCAGAACCAGTCCGGTGCCACAGAGCCTGTGCCTATAATCGTGTCACCACGAAGATCTCTAGGAGAGGGAGTCTTGGCCACGGATGAAGCGGATTATCGAAAGCCTTTCATAGTCGCCTCTCGTCAAGAGGACGCGTTGCAGAGGACGCGTTGGAGCAGTTCTTGCGAGTCCAGTTGTGACAAAAATGATCCACTTCTGGAGTTTTGGAACAGTGTGGCAGCCTGGACCGATCCGGCAGGAGTGGGATCGCGCTATGTTTCGGTCGAGGCAACGACGGCCGGCGACGTCCTATGTCTGTTGCAGCTGCGTGAGTATGTCGCTGAAGAACTACTCACAAGAAACAGAAACAATACCGCCACTTCCACCAGAAAACAGGTTCATGGAGATGAAGAAGTGGCTTCTCCTCAGGACCGTAACTCCTTTTTTCGCAGCGGTCCGAAACGGGTATACATTTACGGCGGCCGCTTTTTCCGAACGCTCGAAGGCGCACTGACTGCGCGAGGCGAAGGAACCTCGGACGTAACGCCGCTGTACTTGGCCCAGTTGCCTGTGGCAGAACACTTCGGGTCGCTGGATCGACTGGCGACATCGCTGAGAAAAAGCTACCTTCTTGAAAGCCAGAGAAGAACAAAAGAAAAGTCGACAACAAAAATCCCCACTGAAATCGATGCTGTGAAGAGAAGGCGCGTGTCGATGTTGGAAGATCCTACTCCGACGGAAGATCCAACAGGAGCAGAAGATTTTCCGAGAGATTCAATGAGTATCCAGACAGGAACCGACCAGGAAAAGAACAAGAACAGAGTTGCATCTTCAGGTTCTTTGACTTCGTCGACCACGGCTTCAAGACAGCCACAACCACCATTGTTCGCATCTTCGTCTAGGTCCTCTACCGCTACTGCCTCTTCCTCATCATCTACCCCTAGGTCTAGTGGCAACGAAGCCCCTTCTGGTCACTGCCATCTTTTTTTGGGTCCTTGTGGGACTGTGACCCCTCTCCACCAAGATCCGTACGATAACTGGCTGTGCCAGCTCGCTGGAGCCAAGTATGTGCGCCTATACCATCCGGACTGCAAGGGCGTGAAGCGTTGCCCCGAGAGGAACCACTTTTGCGTATGGAGTAGCCTGGACGAGCTTGTGGAGAACATTGACGGTCGTCCAGGTCCTCCACCTTCAGACTGTAATAGAGAAGCTTCTACTGGTGCTTCTGGGCATGATGAAAATTCTCCACCGGAGGTGGATACCTGCCTCGAGACCGTTTTGTTGCCTGGGGATCAACTTTGGATTCCAAAAGGCTGGTGGCACTACGTCGAAAGCCGATCAAACGCAGTCTCGTTGTCCTTTTTCATGTAATTTAAAAACTGGAGGAGACCCTCCGCCCCTTGACCTTACGCAACCGAACTTGTAATTGTTAAGCTCCCCATTCCATGTCCATCTTACATCTAAGTACATGTTCGCTGACCCTCTATAGGTTAGTTTTTACCTCTATAGGCTTAGCCCTTCCAACAATACATGTTCGCTGACCCCCCTCCACCGAGTGCTGGCGTTTGTGCTGCAAGAGCTGTCTCCCGGGCAGATGTGTGTGAGCTGCCGAGAGCTTCAAAGTGAGTGCTGCCGTCTGAAAATGAAACATGTGAGTTGTTGTACAAATCAAATTTTGGTGGCACTAGAAGGAGCAAGCTTTAATATACCTACTTCTAACAAGAAATCTTCTTCTATCCGTCGGTCTATGAAAATCAAAATATGCTTCGGTTGAGGTTTTCTGAAGAGCGGACCCGAAGGTTTATGAATTCTCGTGGTACAACATGTTCTTGAGGTTGTTCGTTGATTATACGTGAAGTAAATGAATTTGGATAATATTTTTGTGCCAGTTCCTTTCCTACAACTTACTATCTAGAATCAATGTAGTCTGTAGAAACAACATCAGCTGCTCGTCTACTTCGTCTTTCTTCAGAGAAGGTACCAGGAACAACTTTTTTGTGGTTGGTTCTAAACTTAGAAGGTGGATGAGGTCAACAGAAGGGGTTTTTTATGCTTCATCCCTCCTGTTGATGTTTAAGCATGTTTAAGCATGTGTGTGAAATCGAGAAATATATCTTCTGAGCATAGTCTGAGCATAATCCAGGCGCATGGGTCAGTTTCGCGCTTCTGTTTCTAACTTCCTCCCCCCTGTTGACAACATCCACCTTGTAAGGTGATTCAAAGGTGGGTGAAGTCAGTGTGAGGGATGGAGTCAACGTGTTTCTGTTTGTTCACATGACACAGTTGATTCAAACAGTTGCTCCTGGCACATCAGGGTAGGAACTGATTTTTAGCTCCCGAGCATTGTCAGAGCATGTTGGCATCGACGACCTGGTGCCTTCCGGAAGCTTGGAGATCGGACTGTATGCTCTACAGTTCGGTTTTGCCTAGCCACATGTTGAAGTAGATGACCTTATCCCTATCCACAATCCTTGTATCAATCTAAGATATATAATGCTAACATTATGATGTGGAGGTCGTGAGTATGCTCCTTAAGATGTAGATGACACACACAGGATACATCGGCAAGATGAAGAGCACAGCCGTCACCATGATACAACTGACAGAGTTTGAATTTTTCAAAGACGAAAGTATAGGGTTCTTCATAATGAAACAAGAAAGCTGATTCTTCACTGCTGCAACAGTTGTGTGATGGATGATGATGAAGAAGAGGCTAGTATCCTTGAAGGTGATTGCGCAAGAGCGTTTCCTTCGTGGTCTGGCCCTTCGTCTAGCGTCCTCTGTCGTGAAGCTGCGACATCACTGTTCGATCTACCATTGTCCTGACTGCTACTACTGTCCAGCACTTGGCTGCTACTCACCGTTCTTCGTAATGAAGCAAGAAAGCTGATTCTTCACTGCTGCAACAGTTTTGGATGGTAAAAAACTCTGTGGTGTTGTATGATCGAGTTGAGAGACTGTGGCGTCATGGCAATTAAGAAAGAAGCAAACTAAAGAAAGTTAAAAAACGGCCATAACAGAAACAGGGGGATGGTACGAATTCATCAAAACGGTAGCAAACAGTGTTGCTATTAAAGGAGTGTAGTCAATGCGCACGTCTGTTTATCCGCTCATCATCTCAGGCAAGAAAGCGCCAGCACCTATCTTTGCGTCATGTGGAAGAAAATCGTACATCACCAGCTTGGTAAAATAAGAAATAGAAGGAGAGTTCGGTTGTGGATGGATTCCTGCCGTTGTCGCTCTCGATTCCGAAACAAAGTGCGTTTGCGTTTGGGTTGTCTTAAACATCAAGCCTCCTGCTCGACGATAATATTTTCGTAACCCGAGGAAAAACAATTGCCGCCGATTATAGAGGCAATGTTAAGGCAGATCAGAGATGACAAGCACCGTCTAGTCCACTCATCATCATCCTAATTTTTACATCTCCTTTTACATGCATTGTACTTACGAACCAACCGCCCCAAAATGTCGGAGTGTAAAGGAGATTCAGACGCCTCTGGGCCGCTTAGTCTTCTTCCTCACAAGCGAGCTTGAGCTACCACAAGAGCTATAACAACACTCTGACACTACAAAAGTACTCTCTCATCCCTTCGATGTGGACACCGAGTACCCGTAGAAGCATGATTGTGCCCTCCCCTACTATCCTCATCTAAGAAGGAGCAAGTCTCTGCATGATCAGGAGAACGATGTTCCAGGGCTCATCGGCGCGGAGCGTCCTGTGGGTGTTAGTACGTGGACTGCCCGCGAAAGAAGATTCGTGCGACCGTTGATTATGGCTACTGATTCTGATTGTCATCTCATCACTCTTTCACAGCACATTATAGATAGAACTACAACTAGATGAAGAATTTTGTTTGTTTCCGGTATAAGCTTAAGGCTTGAAAGTTGGCATCTCTATGCGCGTCTCCATGTCTTCTTCAAGGAGGAAAGCCATAGATGTGCGAGGTAGAGACGCCAACTTTCAACCTCTAATAAGCAATAAGAAATACGTTGAAGTAAGTGCATAATGATGATGTGGCTGGTCACCAGTCTGCCTTTCGCTGTCGACATTTCCCGGATGAAACATCCCAATCTTCTAAGTCAAGCTATGTATTGTCGCGATTGGACTTGGCTGGGGGACAACATCCTAAGGAAGGAGTAAATGTCGCGCTTTTCGTTCTGGCGATGTTCCTAGTTCTCACTGCAAGTGCACTGGGATATTTGATCATGTACTACTTTCCTTTTCAGTCATCCCTTGATTATACTTATAAATGTACAACTACTCAAGAAATAAATTAATGACTAACTAATGAAAGCACCTACAATCTAAACAATTCATCACCCTTCTTATGTACAGCTCTCTCATGTTCAACAACTCGACCATTCCAGTGGTCCCAAGTCAAGAACAACCACAGTTCAACCTCAACACCATTCTGCTCCACCCCATAATTCAATGTCAACAACAGTGTGCGTCGGCGCGAGAGTCTTGAAACCGAAAAAGGGATCGCAGCAGACCAAAAACGGGAGCGCAAGATGCGAAGAAAGCTCGAACACGCTTTGCATCAACCCCCTTTACTGGGTGGCCAGCCACCTCAACCACCAGAACCAGCTGTGGGTGCTGCTCCTCTAGAAGAGAGTGTATTTATGGCGATCTACTTAGTAAAGTTTCTGATGACAGTAGCACGACCAAAAGGCATGCTACTGATTTGACTGGTACCTCTATGTATAATTCACAAGTATAGAAAAGTGCAGCTCTGGTTTATTCCTCTAAGGTAACACCACCAGTTGCGGAGCCCGAACCCAGTAACGAAGCCGCGATAGAAGACCCGCCTCCACAAGGCGACGAGCCGGCTGAAGAAGTACACGAAGTCGCGAGCACTATTGAGATTTCTGAATAGCACTTCTGACGCTTCTGCGTGCAGCGCGCAGCTTGTCACGATTATGTTGGACGTGAGGACTCTGACTCTCATGGTGTAATATTAATTCTCATCGTGCGCTTGCGCCGGTAGTTGTATTAAGATGAGTAGAGTTGTATCCAACAACATCTCATATTTTGGCAACATCATCTGCATCTTCTGCCCCACGACGCAGCGTTCCTCTAGATAGCAGCGGCATCGATCTCGTAGCTCACTCATCGCTGACTTTCGTAGCGGATCCAATTCCAATATATTCGTTTTCGTTGGCGCTGCACATTCCCTGATTTATTAGAAGATGGATCACAATGGGCAAGAACATAAAAATATGGGTTTCGTCCTAGGATCATGACGTCTTGATCCTGTTCCAGATCTTGAACGAGATCATGTGACTAGAAAGAGATCATGCTATACGAGATCGAAAAACTACGTAAAAAGGCTTGCGTATCTATAGACACAAAAAGTGTCTTCAACTACTCTTGCTCTTCTAGTTTAAGAGGCAACACCAGCAGGAACAATAGCCACCTTATACGCTTCTTTTTCCACTCGGAGCTTCCGCGAAATGGATTTTTCTGACGTTTTGATACAAGAACAAGTGCTAAATCAAATAGTATGATAAAATTTTTGGTTCGTCTTCGTTTTTTCAGCGCATGAAATTTGATTCTTAGTTTTTTGCTTCTACTTGGACGATAACGATTGATATAGACACACAGCGTCCGACTGTAAAGCTGTTCAATTTACGCATACTACGTTTTTTTTACATATTGAAGTAGAAACATAGAAGATACATTTACATTTACAGAGCATGGTAGTACTAGAAGGAGCTCTACTGGAGTATTGATTCATTGTGCTAAAAATTGTCCAAAAATCCATCCAATCATCATTATGTTTGATCCGAACGCGTCTGCGGATCTGAGTGCCCTCGACCGCGACGTCGAGGCCCAGCTCGCTGCCCTTGGTTTTAACTCCAAGGATACCGATGATGCAGCCGCACTTTTGGATGCAGCTGACGACCTGGAGGCACAAATAGCCGACTTGTCGGATGAAGAGGCGGATGAACTGCTTGCCGGTGGACTGTCAGACGACGAGGAGTTGAAGCAACTTGTTCAAGGGGAGGGGAAGAAGAAAAGAAGGAGTCCACCTACGTCGAGTGCAAGTTCTACTTCGCCTCCTGGTCCTCCAGCAACTACTACAACATCACAGGAGGAGGTCCAGCAACCTGTAGAGGCTGTGGTCTACCGAACTGCGGAAGAGGAAGCTGAGCATGCAGCGGCTTTGGCAGACCTTCTAGGAAACGACGAGGACTACGGTCCGTTCTCGTTTGAGGAGGTGGAGCTGTGCACCTCAGTGGAGTGGATGGAGTCTCATGATGTTTTAGAATGGTGGTCTGCGGAGCTGCAGGAAAAACGCAGAGGGTTGTTAGGAAAAATCGATACGATTGTGCTAGAGAAAAAGCAAGTGAGTGCACAGAAACAAGGTCCTTCTAAAACGTCTTCTCCTAGCTTTGCGCCTAGTGGAAGAACTACAGATCAGACCGCAGGTGGAGGAAAGAACACGACTAAAGAACATCAAAACAACCTCCTGAGAAGTAACCAAAACAAGACGTCATCTCCGACCACAACTACAACTGGAACTCCTAGAACGACTCCTAATGCAGCCAGTGTCAAAGAACAATTGGCGAAGGAGGAGAAGGAACTGAGGCAGCAAGTAGAGGATCTAGAATTCGAGATCGACGGTGTCAAAATGAAACTCAACAGTCTACAAGCAGACATCCAGTGTGGAAATATTACCAAGGGAGACTACGAACAGAAGGTTCGCGAGCGAATGGAAAGAGATCGGAAATTGGGAGAGTGGTATTTTATTTACTCATACACAGAGTAGACAGAGGCAGAGCTCCTGCAGAAGCTTAAGAATATTTTTTTTTCATCCATTTTTTCAAACACGCCCACTACTTTTTAAGAATATTTTTTTTTTCATCCATTTTTTCATCCACCCCCACAACGAACTTTCAGGTTTGTTTCCCACGAACGTCCTACCGACGCAAAGCATTGTCTTCGACGTTGCGAAGTGGCGAAGGCAGAGTTTGTCGCGGCAGAGCCTGTTGATGAGCGCACTCGTGTCCTCCTCCTCCGTGAAATGGACATGCGTGTTCTGGCCTACAAACAAGGCGCACAACGTTGGGTCTCCTTTCTACACGCCTGGCGCCAATCGAAATGGGCGTTAACACATGCTAAGACATTGTCAGCTCACGCCAAGACTCTAGAGGGGCTTCGTGACGAGATAGAAGATGACACAGCGGTCATTTCGAGGCGGTATCTACAGAGTCTCCAATCTCGGATGCCACCAACATTCAATCGGGCAGTGTTGATGGGTTTGCCGGAAACGGAACGTCAAAAGCAACTGCAGGAATTGAGAGAGCGATTCGTGAAGCAAGAGGAAACGTTGAGAGAACTCAGTCGAGAAGCTTTGGCTTCGGCAAATAGTTGTGCGGCAGCCGCTTCAGGTACTGCGACGTCGTCTTCGTCCACGTCGCAAACAAACAGTGCTGGAGTTGGTAGTGAGAGTGCTGGGAAGACGTCCAAAACATCGAACGCAAAGCCCGCGAAGAAAGCAGCAGGAGCGTCGTCAGGTGGTGGTGCCGCTCAAGGCGCATCCAGCGCAACCGCAGGTGACACCGACGGCACAGCCGCAGCCGTGCCTCCAGCGACCGCTGCGCAGATGCGCGAGCTAGCAGAGGAGCGGAAACGGCAAGCTGTTGCGCTTCACCAGAACCGCAAGGGCAGCGCAGCTGCGGTCTCCTGGTGCGACACAGCATTGAAAGATCCAGAGCAGATGCTTCCTCTGGTCACCGAGGGTGAAGTTTTGTTTATGCGAGAAGTCGTTCACGAAGAGATCGGTCCAGACCAATTGGAGATCAAGTTGTCGCATGACGGCAAATCGAGGCCGTGGTGGGATTGGGAGAACGCCTATTTCAAGCTAGATTTTGGGTTAGGCAAGGAAGACACAGCTGGCCGTACGATTCCCATGGGGGGCAAGACGAATGATTGGACCGCCTGTTTCCCATTTCCGGATTTTGGACACCGAAATACGAAGTCTCTCACGATGTTGCAGCACAAAATCAAGCGAGCTCGATTTTCCTTCGAGATCTGGCGACCGAGGACCATGGCTTTTATGATGGGTCATAGGCCTATTGGGCATTGCACAAGAGGACTCAAGCTCAGCGGCCTTCTTACAGACGTGGAGACGGAAGAAGGCTGTGTAGTGTCAGCAGAAGCGGATGATCGACAGTACTACAACTCTCTAAAAATTTCCACTTGTCATCGCTTACAAATTTCGATACTGCCTTACCGCAAATTTCCTACTTTTCAGAACAACTGAGGCTGAAGATCGATCTATGAAAATGTCATGAAAATGATCTGCTATCAAAATCACCCTTGTCTTCTACATCTCCTCATTCTTCTATCTTTAAACATACTCTACATCAGGGCGTCGATGAATTTCAAAGTCCGTTTTCGCGTGCGGACTCCGTTGCAACAGCCCAAGACCGTAACGCAGAGGATAGAGTATTCGAGTATTGACGCCTACCCACCGTCTCTAGCAGCCTTTCCAGCTCAGTTGAACATCCCGGTTCCTGTGCGGCCCCTACCCGAAGAGCGAACGGTTGTACCCGAGTCACCTAGTATCACTAATACGAAAGTGGAGCCCGCTCCTACAGCAGCACCAGGAGGTGCGTCATCGTCGTCTTCCTCTAGAATAGAACAAGAAGTGTCTACTTCACCAGTTGAAAGTGGCATTGGTGAAGACCAGCACCAAGGAACTCAGCTACAGAATAGTTCAGTAGGTGGTGAAAATCGAAATCCTACAGATCATGATGAAATTCTCCAGCACCAGCCAACTACTACTACAACAGAGGCCACTTCCTCTTCACAACCTCCTGTGGAGCTTCCAACCTACCCCTTGCCCCCTCTCTCCGCCGAAGAGTTCGACACTCTCGCAGCTTCTCGACCCGGCTTTTCTCACGAGTGGTGCAATACAGTCGAAGGATTGGGACATTTGATTACTCACCTTGAAACAGTAACGCGGCCAGGACAAGGCGACAGTAACAGTAACCCCACAGTAGCTGCCATGAAAAGCAAGACTCTGGGAGAAGCTCGAAGCAAGAAAGCTCGTCTAGAGGAAGCAATAGGAGGAGGTGAAATCGATTTTGACGCCTATGTCGCACAAGTCCGTCAAGACTCGCAGATGGACGCACGCTTGGCACTCTTCTATAGAACCAAAGGTAGCATGGACGACTGCAGATTGGCGTATGGAAGACATAAAGTTCTGAAGGAGAGTCTAGAAAGCTTGCCTTCTCCGGAAGATGAAGCGACCGGAGAAGCGACGGAAGAACCTGCAGCGACGAACGCATCATCTCAAGGAGCTGCACCGTTGACTACTGGAGAAGGAGCGGCTACAACTGGTGGTGGGGTCGTGTAGCTGTACTTCTAGTTGGCAGACAGAGTGCAGAGTTCCTCGCACAATAAATTATAGTTGACGACGTTGAGGTTGAAGACATCCCTCTCGGGCAGTTCCCCCTACTCTCCAAAGCCCTGCAAATGACTTCTGTTGTTTGCTATGTTGATAACCTGTTGATGCTCTTCAACAGTTACCTTTACAACGCCCACAGACACTGTCAATCCTATGAACACCCGTACATTAAGTTTTTACGAGGTTCCCGATGCGCCTACGCCTACTTGATTGTCCAAGCATTACATATTTATATGCCTATGCTGTGATTTCTCAGCGACCACAAGCAACGGCAGGACTTCATCGAGACCGTTTTGGGTGCCTTCAGAGATAGAAACAGAGACAGCTCCTGTCCTCTTCATGAGAGAACAAGAGGAGTGATTTCTTGAGTGACGGTGTAGGTCTCAGTGAGGGATAGACCACTTATGTTGAATTGATTTGTGGAGAAGCACGAGCAGTGCATCAAGTTGAAGGTGAGAAGAGCGGACTTGAGCCAGAAAACCGGAAAAATGTCTCAAGTGAAAAACTACTCACGACCTCTACCGGTGAAGAATGAGAAATCATTGAATGCGTGTCAAAACCACGAGAATCTTCTAACTAACTCATTTACAGTTGTTTTTTGCGCTAGATGGAAGCGGATCTACCACATCGTTCAATAGATTAGAGTTGCGGAACCTCCAAACAAGAATCAAAATGTTATCGCGAACGCTGCCGTTAAGGCGGCAGCCCACGTATGGTATGAACGGCGAGATAATGCGCCTCTTCGGTTGGCATAGGAAGGATCCGGGACACAACTGGCCTGCCAGACCAGGACCTGTGATTAAGGACTTGTTCTCGATGTGATTTCTTTTTTTATAAGGTTTGCAGATACATTCATGGACCGTTGTAGTTTCTCTAATATTATGTCTCCTCATTTTATTCTGGTATCCCGAATGAAATGGAAATCTTCACTTTGTAGTTTCATAGCGGCATGGTTGTAACCATATTAACACCTCTAACAGCCACTGTCTTTCCGGAGATTTTCCGTACAGGCACAAGGAACTCGGCGGATATTGGACCTTCATGGGGCAAGCGCCATATTCCCTGATCGAAGCCTTGAAAGGGAATCAGCCAATGATCGGACAGCCAAAATTACTCGATCACAATCATAAAATCGCCAGGAAAACCATTGACCTGAACAGACACCTGAATGCACAAGGTACAACTTGCTTCCATGCCTAGGATCTATGATCATGAAGCGTGAGCCAGTAGATGAAGATGAGCTATTGATGAGGTATTTAATAGATGTGGTATTTAATTTTTAATAGAAGGGTGAAGACGAACTCGAGAAACTAACTCCGTACCATGATCTTTTCAACATTCCTCAACTTGTGCTGTTTTTCCCAGACCGCTACCACGCGTTGTCTCTGAAGCAGTTGTTTCAAGTTTGGTTTATCCAGTTCTACGGCGAACGGTTCTACTTCTACGCGATGCTAATGCCCTTTTCCGCCATCGTCTTCAACTACATGTTCTTCATCCGCCGCGAACCTCCAGAACACTACTGCGACCCAGAGGAGTACTACTACAACTTTTATGGTCATGGTGGAATAAAAATTTTTTACTTCTTACAACTAGTCGTGAGAAGGTCGTGATAATCCTCTGCAGCACAGAAGCACTCAGTTTCTTTCTTCTTTTGAGTAAAATAGTTTCTTGAATTCTAAGGCCAATGAGATTGTCGGACGAGTCTTGGTTACACCGCGTTTAGTATCTTCTAGGTGCTCCTACTTCGAATAGTTTACAGTTTGTTGAAAAGATATAGATTGCATTTCTTGTAGCATTTGAAGTCACTTTTTAGACGATGTTGACGAAGTACTCTAATCCATCGATCTCTACGCGTACGGAAAGGAGTATGACCATCACGCGGTGGACCATATGATCGAAGCACGCTTGGCGAACAAATGGGGTTACGTGGATCCGCACACTCATCATCACTGATCTGGATGCTACAACTACATGGTTCAAACTGATGTAATTTCACCTGATGTTGTAATTTCACACAAAAGATTCTAACATCACTCCTAAATTTACACGGAAAAGTACTAGCTAAGTCACGACTGTTCATTTTTGAAAGGCCAGAACAAGGAGTAAGTAGATAATGACGATATGAGTATTTGTGTTGGACAGATTGCAGCTGGTGGTCGTACTTCTACTTACAACTTCTTAGTATAGTAGAAACAGCCGCACCTTCAGGGTCGGACTAATCCCTGGAAGATGACTCTGACTGAAAATGAGAAAGAGACCTCCACCATCGCTTACCATCGCTTAATGGAACCGTCTAGAGCTGTGAGATTATGAACCGTCTAGAGCTCCTACAGCGTTTACGCCAGGAAATCAAAGGGGATACTCTTCCACTAGGATATCTTTGGGGCTGGCTTGATGCTGAATGAATCGGTCATCCAGAACCAAAGTTGAAAGCGCATCAGGCTCGCATATTGCCAGCAGTCGTTGTCCGAGTTGCGCCTCCGATTTCATAATCGGTCGTGGAGAAAAGCAGGTATTAATTATAATCATCGGTGATGCAGTTTCTGCTACTTGATAGTGCACGTGATCAGCGTGATCGGTCCTCATCGAGACGATATAATTTAGTTGAGAGCGATTACCCGCATATCTTTCTTATCCACCCCAGCACCAAATGGTTTCCCGCCTCTCCCAATCTTGTTACAACAAAGGCAAACTCACTTTATGTTCAGAAACAACTGAAAAAAGGCCAAATCAAGAACAAATGAAATTGTTCCTGCTCCACGCATAGAAGATATTACTCATGATTTCAATTTCATTTTTTTACAACACATATTAAATTGGGACTCAATCCGATTGAAGATGTGCACGTCAACAGAAAAGAAGAAGCCATGGCAGTTGATGCTTTTTCAGTGGGAATGGCCACTGCGAGATGCGGTGGCTTCCGGAGAGGCTGAAGAAGTCGCTACGTTTCAGCGCTATGTTCCAGCATACATTATGCGAAGAGAACCGAAAAATAACATTAACATGTAGTATTCCTTTTCCTATTCGTTAAAAAAACAGAAGGATCATGTCGATGTCCTAATATTCGTGTAGTAAAAAAGTACAAACAAACAGAAGCAAACGAGCCTTGTACCTCCATGGGTGCTAGCTTAGCATGAGTGCCACAAGATTCTGTTGAATTAATTCGTAAACGTCAACGTATCAACTACAAGATAAAAATTCCGCTAATTCCACCAAAGACGAAGCTTTTGCAGCGAGAAAGGATTTTGTACTTGCACGACCCCAGCTGATGTCAAGAAAAAGCCGGCTAGAACGTGATGCTGTCTTGTGGCGGAAGATTTACACCCGTTATGCACAGGGGAAACGACTTGAAGATGATGGGTCGAACAAACAGGAAAAGGTAATAAAGGTGGCAACAAACTACGGATCTTCTTCTTCAAGTACCCCAACAACAACTTCTTCTTCCCTTGTTTCCTCCGAGAACAAAGCCGCCTCGACAAAAACAGCGCAAGAAGCCTGCAATTATACCTCAACTAGAGAAGGTAATATCAGTGTCAACTTCAAAGTGACACCCATTGTGCCACACACGGAAGAAGAAGATCCAGAGATCATCAAACCGACGCACGAAACAACGCGAATCCATGCGTCGCAGAAAAGGGGTCTGTATGGCGCGATTGTTCTAACTAGGTGGAGGTGTGCATGATGAGGTACTATCAATTGCAATTTTAGTTCCACTAGTAAAAACCATAGAGCTTTAGGAAGTCTAATCCTTAATATTCACACTCACGACCATTGACGACTTGATGGGAACTTACTAAAAGGATGACAAAACAAGATGATCTTAATCTTCTAACTTTCCCGCATGCTCCTCCTCTGGGGTTGTATGCGTTGTGGGGAGCCAACGGATGGGAGGTGTGAGACATGCATGAATCCAGACAGACCGATCTGCGACAGCTGCCGTAAGGAGTGTCGCTCGTGTGGGACGACTACTAGACTCGAAGACGGCAGATTTAAAAAGTGTGGAGCGATGGAGGATCGTTGAGATGCGATGGAAGATCGCTGAGATTTTACTAGCGCTCTGGGAAAGAAGAAGATTTCTTGTTCTGGGGAAGCAGATTTCTTGCTCTAGTAGGAGGTTTGTGAAAGTCAACGCTTGTTCTGTGAAAGAAGAAGAAGATTCTGACATGATACGCGCAATACTAGGCTACTATTTTTCTTGCTTGGTGGATGCTGATGCTCATACTTTTACTTACTCTTACATAAAAAAAAACAAAGAAGATTAAGAGATAGAGGTCGTGTTCTTCACAACTTCGATGCCTCGACGAAGTCCTCTACAACGAGTCTTACCTACATTTTTTGGCTACTGGTAAAAGTAAAGAAGCGACAACTACTGTGTTCATCATGTTCCATCCTCATCGTGATCTCAGTGCCTGCGCACGGCTGCTCCTGTACTTGTATAGAGGCGATGATACCAACAAGCAAGAACGATGATCTTCATGGTGCTGAAAAGACCCGTCGCGGTTTCTTTTAGGGATGGCCAGCCTTGATACTTATCCTGTTTCGAGTGTGATATTTGATTTTGATATGCAGATGATCTTCCTTCTTGGCTCCGAGGAGTTGAACTCAGTTGATGGACGTTGATACAACCCATGATATAGTTGAAAATGAACAAAATGAAAATGAGTTATTGTTTAATCACATAATCGCTTCTTCTTCTTCACACATGATAATGAGTTGACGAGCGTAGATGGCACCTCGTCCTCTAACATGTTGTCGTCCTTACATGGTGCTCCCGTGCAGCCACGTCCTGGCCAGCTCTGTCACGTCAGAATCTTATCTGATGGATGGCGCAGCGAGTTTCATCTCAACTGGGTTGGGCTCCAGAGGGTGAAACAAGCCAAGCGATGGGGCGAACACGCTGTCAGCAGCAGTGTGCCACCTGGCGAGAAGCACAAGGTGCCAAACGTACCAGCTGTAAAAATGGTTGTCAAACAGTCTCCCTCCAAGACTACAACAAAGGCTTCTAGAGTGCTTGCAGTCGCCGTCAGGTTCATGGACGAAGATGAGTGGACCTCTGCACGTAGAGAAGTCATGCCTCGAAGTGGACTGCAGGCTGGTGGCGGTCTTGATCTTGAGGAAGGGGAGGGAGGTACATATTTTTCGGGGTAGAGGATGAAAAAGATTGATTTTATTCTATATATTTAAGACGAAAGTAAAAATGTAGCCCGGAAAAGGAATATATAACGATAAAATAACAGTATATGAATAGAACAAGCTAGGCCTAGCACTAGATATAAAGCTTGAGGATAAGATACGGATATAGATAGTCCTACTTCTCGCGCTGTGCACTAGTTTGGTGAACCGGTACCCTGGAGCGAACTAGTGGGTGCGCATAGCGCGAGAACCGAGCACTTCTCTGAGGCATGCACTGGCTTCGGCCGCCATCGATGAGAAGACCTCCAGGGCAGAAGGACGAAAGCGCGGCGCCTAATATAAACGGATCCTAATATAAGCGTGGCCACTAAGATGTATTTAGATATTTGGATTACTTGACTTTTTTGGTCTTTTGCTTTCTAGTTAGGTGTGCTCCACCGATATATATAATGGGCGCTAGTATCTGTTGCTGGGCCACGTCATTTCTATTATCTTCTCCATCCAAACGAACAGATGATCCAGATGCGTCCTCCTTCACCGCGAAGCACAGAATGTACAGCGAAGAGCCGATCTTCGTGCCAGAGGGTCTCGCGAAGATACTAGGTCTCAGAGAAGGACAAGCAGTTGAAATATGGCCGATACGCAGGCACCTGTGCAGCATCGCGAAAGAGGTGCACCTGAAGGCGCTACGCGTAAACGACTTCGAGGTCGTAGAGGCGAACCAGCAAGATATCATGGACAAGCTGAGGAGACACATAGGTCTGGTTATCATGAGTAAAGAAGACGAACTAGAGAAAAAGGAACATCACCAAGAAGGAGAAACTTCTTCAGCACCAGTTGCGCAAGAAGAATTGGAGCCAACGGGGGCTTTTCGGGCCTATGTGGGGCGAAACATACTCACCTTAGCAGTTAGTAAAGCTGTCCGCTCAATGGAGGAACATCGAGGGGACCAGAATTCACGCGATGTCGTACAAACTTCGAGGGACGTGGATAACGCGGCTAGACCTAGCGTGACCTCTACTGGTTACTCATCTCCTTCATTCCCACGAATCCTCCTGCTCACTGACACGACGGATTTGGTCATTCCCACCTCAAACCGCCTTAATCCTGTACGATATTTACGCAGGAAACGTTTGCAGTTGCGAGTGCGAAGCATGCAGAGGTCAGTAGATCTGGAATTACCTGGGAGTAGGTCTGCACGTTTTCCTCGCAAATGCATTGGGGTACATCCTGCGACGCATCGCTATTTCTTCGACCCGAACTTCGGAGACCCGATTCCTGGTCTTAGTGGTTTGCAAGCGGAGAACACTGCCACTATGCTTAGAAGAAAGAGCCAACAAACACAAGGAGTCGAACAGGAGGAACAAGAGCAGGGTAGTTGTATTCGAAATGATAGAAACTGCGAACAAAGTAGAACAACGCCGGTAGCGGTACTAGACGAGAGATTGCCGTGGCCTTTGTCAACATGTGACACCGATGCTTCATCCTCATCTGGCGTTTATGGAAAGAACAGTCAAGTAGTTGCGTGGCGACCAGGATTTTCAGATTTTCCCTCAGCTACAAGCTCGTCTTCAAGTACGTCATCACGAAGCCGACCAGCACGAGCTTCACAACTAGCGGCCCGCCTTCTTGGGAAAGAAGAAGAGTATCAGATTCTAAAAACCCGAGATGAACCAGCATACGACTCAGCGTTCGGACCTCAGGCAGAGGCAGCTCAAGTGGATGGCAGCACACTGTTTTCAAGCGGTTACAATTCAAGACTATTTTATGGTCAACATTTAGTGTCCATCAACATTCTCGGCATCTTGGTCCCCTTTTCCCTTGTATTCTCGGGAAGTACAAGGTAAAAGGCGTCAAGATCAAGGGGCCGAGATGCAATCTAGCAGACTCTAACTATTGTTCGATCTTGATCATGGGTGCACGACTTCTAGCAGTTCGTCCTCATCATCCACGACAGCTAGTACAAGTGCAACTACTTCCAGAACAACTAGAGAACGGGAGATCCAAGACTACAGTTTCACTGGATCATCATGTCCTATCAGTGAATTGCCGAAAGGGGTCATGCAGGGATGGTCTAGTTCTTTGTCGAGTAGTTCAGGTTCATTTTCTCTTACTAGCAAGCCGAACGTTCTTGGAAGCACCGCACACGGCACAGGAGGGGCAGCACAAATAAGTACTACTTCCTCGCCAATAGCAATGCCACCTCCACCTTCCGTACTACCAACAATAGGGTCCGCATTGACGACTGACTTGTTGTGGATCGGCGCAGAGGCCTTCCATTGCTTTCCCGTACCTCCTAGATGGAAACTGCACTCGAGTGGCGCGCTAGTGCCGGAAGCGTATACAGAGATGAACGCTGAGGAGAGTTGTACGAGTAGACCTACATCAAGATCACGAACTTCTTCTCCTTCCTCGTCTTCTTATCCGCTCAGTCCCGGTGACTGCTTTATCTTCGGCTCGACTGTTAAGGTTCCGCTGGTCAATGAAGATTCTTTTACTTTTCTTAGCATGCGCAGAGGCAGGCCTTATATCCATATCATGATGACAAAGTTCTTAGCGGTTTTCTTCATCTTTGAACTTGCTAGCACAAGGGTGATTTTGAGAATACTATAACGAAATAATTGTAGTAAAAATCAAATAATTGTGAAAGTGGATGAGGCCTTACAAATACAAATACCTCCACTTCTTTCTTCTAACATCAACCTGGACCTACAAACCGCCGTAGTAAGCGTGCTCTGCGATCCTAAGCGTAAGGGGCGCGTCCCCCAGTACTTGCCGCGCGTCATTTTCCACTTCCCTTGTCGCCGCGATGCTTATCGTGCAGTCGAGGAGCATGGAGAGAAGGCGAGAGCTGCCGGTCTTTTCTCGCCGGAAGTAGTTTCCTCTCCGAGACGCGGCTCCTCTGTAATAGCTGGAATGAACGAGGCCAAAGGAGAGGAAATGAGTTTTCTTGAGTCTCAAGTAGTCAAGAACCTACACTAAGGGTTTCCATATTGCATCCCCAACAAACATCCCTGACATTTTTCTAGTGGAAAAGAGGCCATCTTCATGGATGTTCTGAGGAATGCAATAGCGTAACCTCTAACTACAGCAAGATCTGATGAGCATGATGGATAATCGCGAAGCGAATGTGGCAGGAGCTGGTGGGGGACTGATATTGCAAGATCGAGGGGCTTTGTGGTATCGTGCACAGCATAACTTCGAGTTTGAAGCGATCGAACTTGAGCGGAAACGCCTAAAGGAGCACAGAGGAGATGTGCTGGATAAGGTGGGGCAAGACGCCAATGTTATAACGGACATCGAAACAGGGAGTCTTTATGACTGCAGTGAACTCGATATTAGCGGGACAGACGTGGAGCCAGTTGTATCTCTGGATCACGGAGATCGGAAAGAGGCACCGGGTCAAATATCACCTTATTTGGCAGGAGAGACATCAGCTTTTCTTCTATCAGGAGACAAAGCGGGTGCTGAGCAAGATCGAACTTGTGTTGCTGCAGGGGATCAGCAACAAAAAGACCTAGGCCTAGCTTGCTCACATAAAGAAGTAGTCGCTGCTCTTCGACAACAAGAGAAGCATGATTCCTCTTGTGCCTGGAAAAAACTACTGAATACCACAACTACAACTAGTGGACAAGTAGGTCATCGGCATGAGTTAGATTCTCTTTACGAGCGCCCAACATCAGATGACGACTTGTCTTGTGATGATAGCAGTTCGTCAGAAGGTGAGGAGCAGGAAGAAGAGGTTCTCGCGACAGAAGAATCCCCGCGCCAGGATGGAGTCGATCCACTTCATGTAACGTCGGAAAGTGGTGATGGTGTTTATAGGGCCAAAATAATTCGACCGAAGAATACTACAGCACCTTCTCCTGCAGTTTCATCTTCAAATCGCCTCTTCACCATTCCCAAGGCCAAAATGCAAGAGGCATTGAGCCTGGAGACACTCGCAAACAGGTCACCACCAATGGCATTGATGGTGATCGGTGGGTCTTTACCTTCAGCAGTTGTACAAGAACGCAATGAAATTAAGACGAAAACAAAGAAGGTGCGATTGATCCGTCAGCCTCGAGTATTCATTCTCCATGATTATTCTGGTTTCATGGATTTTCTAGCTCGAGAACGGCAACGTGTGTCGACAACGTCAACATCAGATGCGCGCCATTTCTTACCGGTCAAGACAGAGGTCGACACAACAGGCCTTCTGGCACCTCGTGATGCTGATCAGCGGCACAACACCTCCAAGATCTCCAAAGCTCCAGCATCTGCGTCTTCTGCTTTTTACTACCAGGTTCTATTCTGCTTTGACGAAGGCGACGATGAGAGCGTGGACGATGTTCTTGATAAGGCCAAAAGTGCGGGTGTGGAGGTGGACGAGAAAGACCCATTCATCTTCACGTTTTTTGATCGAGGTTTGGGAGGCATGGTCAGGGATTTCGTATGGGAATTTCGCTATGGGGACAGCGATCTCGGTGATTTCGAGCCATCATACGACTTGTGGCGGCACACAACTAGTACAACAACAAGTATTACTGATGTCGAGGACAAGGTGGAGGACCAACTTCAACTACCCTCCTGCTTAGATTTTTTGGCTTTGGGTGAAGTAACAAGTTCTGTCTATGAACTAGCGAATATAGATCGAAAAATCCAGATCGTGGATGACTTTAGCCAGCCAATGTGTGAGAAGGTGGCGAAAGTAAACTACTTTTTGAGGAGCAGCCACAAAACTGAGGACAAAGAGGAGCAAGGTGGGAGGACACAACTACAAGATCGTCACGAAGAACTAGAAGATGATCGAAACGACGATACACGTGTTGAAGTTGATGCGGAGGACCATAACATTTTCAACAAGCTGAGAAGATGCTGCATGGCGAATCCACATGGTATAATGCCGCCTTTAGCAACCGACCCCTTGCGTAGTCTTCTGCGGAATCTAGAAATTGTTCTCGGCGATGGTGTCAGTGCAGCTTCTTCTCGACTCCTTCCGTCGCAATCGCCTGGATGGTTGAGCCAACCTCCAAGCAGGGGAGCATCAGCCCTCTTTTTTGCTTCGGTGAGCTTACTGTCATCTACTTCCGATAACAACGAATATCGAAAAGAACAAGGAGTTGTCGCTTCATCTATTTTCGATGATGCACGCAAGCAGATAGCACAAGCTGTAACGGCGCAGTTTTCCCGAGAACGTGGCGGTCTTCTCGTCACCGGTCAACGTGGTTGTCTAAAGGAAGAGGTACTGCGAAGTGTTTTACTTGGCGGCTCTTCCACAGCACTTGGTGCTTCATCTTCTCCCTCTACTTCGTCTTCACCACGGGAGTCTCCACGACCTCTCTGCCTCTGGGTTGATTCCACGATGCTAGCCAACACACACGAAACTGCCGATAATGTACGAGACACGCTGCGCACTATCTGCCTTCTGGCCGTGCATTTTAGCCCCTGTGTCATTGTTTTCCAAAATTTAGATGCGCTTATAATCGAGTCCGCTGACCCGGGAAACAAATTTACGATGATGTTCGTATATCTATAGTATAATATGATCTTTCATGTGTATGCAGCGTGGTGGGGATTGGTGTAGGAACTATCTTTATTGATAGTCTTCTTGTCTAAATCGTTTGCGTTGTCCCATTCTATAATCACGAATTGCCTCAAGAAACAATGCGAAGCCCTATTCATCGCTGATCATCCTCATGATCACTATTTACTTTCATTCCCATCGGCGACGCTGATCGTGGTGCAATGCGCGGAAAGCATGCGGCAGAGCATTTTCGAGAAATGTTTGAGGTGTTGCGACGCACCTGTGTAGAGGATTACTTCCCGGAGATTCTGGACATCCGCTATCTCCGTTCTCAATTGGACGAAACAGCAGCGGGAATAGTTTTAGATGAGATTTGCAAAGCGGGACGAACACCTGAGAGTTCCAAAGTCGACAGGGTAGTTATTACAGATGGTAATACAACTGGTCTTACCTCACCTGCGAGGGAAAAGTCAGCACCTACTAGGGTTTATGCCAAGGATGTCAAAACTGCCGACCTAGCATGGAACAAAGAGCTGAAACAGCGTCTCATCGACCGATTCCAGTCCGAAGGGTTGGCGATGAGTCGCAAAATGAGTGCGTACCTACGTCGCTTGGAAGCCGCGACAACGCCTTCGCGTGCTTCTGTCGCATTGATTGCCACCGCAAATGCGCAGGATTATCGAGGGCCACTCTGCACAGCAGGTGTCCTTGATCAGCGGGTGCACTTTGGTGCGCCATCATTACGCGATCGTGTACAGGTTTTGGAGAGGGCTTTGCGCGATATTAACGAAGGGGATAGCAGGACTACTTGTAGTAGAACAACGATATCAGAACTGATTTTTTCACGAGCAGCTTTGTGCGATCTACTTGGTGAGGCGACAACATCTGCGAGTGCGAACAAGAGCGGCATTGCCATTCTTGAGTATGCAGATAATGCAACGACTTTAGAATTGGAAGACGAAGATTCGGGTCTCTATGTTCTTGAGGCTGAGGCAGACTATAATGTTGATCTTGACGATCATTCAGGAGCTGATGAGGCAACCCGTGCACAAATCCCTAGGCAGGATTATGTGGACCGGGAAGTAGCTGCCACAACGATCGTGAAGAAATCGGAACAAATAGACAAGAATGGTAAGAACAACGAGATCTGCCCTGAAGATAAAGTCACTCCGACAGTAGATCAACAGCCAGACCTTTCTTGCCTCATAGACTTGAAGGGTGAGATTCTCTGCTCTTCAGAAAACTGCGCAGCTCTAGCTGAGGAGCTGGCTGCAAAGTCTGATGGTCAGCCTGTCGCAGACCTTCTAGATTTGGCAAAGATAACACTTGACTGCGTTGATCTGGAGCCTACTATGGCTGAGCTGACAGCCGCAATTGCTGAGACGCTAGAGACGTTGGTGGAGAAGGAGGAACAACTACATCAGCAAGGTGAAAAGCTCAAGCCGTCGCCCTCTCCAAACACGAGGACACAGTCACAGGAAGCTGAAGACGAGGAGAACACATTACACGCGACTGCCGAAAACAACACTTTGAGAACTTCGACGACTAGAGCAGTATCTCCTACTACACGACTTAAAATTATAGCCGCTTTGCGCAAGGACCTACGCGTTAGGCGAAAGCTAGCAGAGATTCGAGGAAGCCTGGTTCCACGCGCTTTCAAGGAAATGCAGATGAGAGCTCTCGGGGGCTTGGCTTCTACACGACAGGGACCTGGCGCGACGAGCCAACAGACCTTTAGATTGGAAGTGTCCGAAAAGCTGAGGTGGGACCATGTTGGCCATCTGGAGGAAGTGAAGAAGACGCTTCTCGACACTTTGATGCTGCCGACTGTTTTCGCACCCCTGTTACGGAGCTCCCCTGTGAGACCACGACTTGGTGTAGCCCTAGTTGGTCCAACTGGTAGCGGCAAGACTTTTGTCGTTCACGCGTTATGTGCGCGAATGGTGGGACATGTGCGTTTTTTCCAAGTCAAAGCTGCGGAACTGCTGTCGAAATATTACGACATCATAGGTGAAAGTCTGCTCTCATTGTTCTTGTGCAATATTTCGATTACCTTCAGGTTGATGTCGTGTCTAGTACAACTACAACAGCGCGCTCGCTCTACTTCTTTCTAGCTCTAACCTACCATCGGCGAATCGGAGGCGAATGTACGTCGCGTCTTCGAGAAAGCAAACGAGTGCCAGCCTAGTTGCATATTTTTTGACGAAATAGAAGCGCTTTGTCCAGTTCGGGGACAGAACAGCACAGGAGTGACAGACCGCGTCGTCAATCAGATGCTTACTTATTTGGATGGTAAGACTTTCGATCTTTTTCCCGTATTAATTTTCGCCTCTGCATTTGCTTGCTTTCCGCGTCGCGGAGGTATCTTTTTCAGGAAAGTCGGGCCCGTGCTCGAGGTGTCCCAAGTGCGAAGAAGGGGCATCGACTTCGGCGGATTTGGATGCGCCGGAGGTGGAGGCGGCCCGGCGCGGCTCCACCCAACCGAACAGCGCCGCAGCGGAATAAGGACACGCAAGACGCGGGAGGAAAGACGCGGGCGGCGGAGGAGGCGCGCGCGGCGCTGAAACGGATACCAAAATCAATAGGAGGCGGAGGCGGTAGCCGGCGCATGCGTGGGGATGCAGGCCCGAGAAGGACGCGCCGGGCTTGACATCAGAGGAAAAGGGGCCGGGTGTTACTCGAGTGGTATGGTGGACAGAGGTCACCTCCATCGACCACCAAAGCCAACGTGGAAGGGGCGCCTGCCATCGACTCGAGCAAGAACCGCCCAAAGCTGAGGAAGGCGCAGGGGGTTACCACTTAGGCCGTGCGACAGACAAGCACGCAGCTGGGTGGGCCTTCTGCAAGTTCGACGCCAGCAAGAGAAAAACGCGCAGGAGAAACCTGGCGCCCATGCTTGCAAGGGCCGCCAGAAGTTAGGCGAGCGCGAGTCTATTTACTGCACGCAGGTATGGGCTTGGGGCTTATGGTTTCGCGTGGGCTTAAACAAGAGCGGGGCCCAGGCTTAGGGCCTCGACACCCTTAAGCCACAGCGCCCCCGCCCCTAAGCTTCACCCTCATAAAATCAAAACCGCACGAGGATTCCAAAGCAGACTCATTCAAGCAGGCCCATGCCCTTCCCCGTCTTCTCGCTAAACTACCACGCACCCGACTGCGCGCGTGAAGTGCGTGAAGTGGGCCCTCGCCTGGGTGTGATCGTGGTAGGCTTTCGCTTTGGGTGGCGCTCTCTGTTTCTCCTCGAAGTATCGGCGCACCGTCGCGGGGGGCACAATTGTGCCCCAGAGCTTCGAGCCCGCGCGCGGCCATTCAAAGCCGCGCCCGCTCTTCTGGAAACGAATGCAGCGGGAAGAAGAAAAAAAAGAACAAGAAACGAGCTAAACCTAGCAGCGTGGCAGACTCGCAGACCAGGCGAAAAAGGGCGGAGACGGTCGGCCGGCGGCTTTGCTTGTGGTGCGCGAACCTGCACCAAACGGCTGGCGGGGCTTCTCTAGCGGTGAGGAGGTTGACAAGGCAGCGCGGTTCTCTCTCACGCGCTGAAGAAAGCAGGGCCATGCCGTTCGTGGCGCATGGCGAGAATATAGGCTGGCAGGGGTGCGCGTCTAAGGTTCGCCGAAAAATCCCACGCGTTTCAAGTCGCTGACCGTGCGCGAATTTCTGAGCACTTGGCTGATTATAGGGCTCCCCTTTTAGAGGGCCAGGCTGCTCCCCGGCGCTCCCGATTGCGTGGAACTTTCTCAGTTGTGAGAGAGAACGCAAAGCGAAACGCCCCGCCTTGGGCGGCGCAGTATCTGACAGCTGAGCCAGCAACTTCAGGCAAAGGCTGCCAATGGATTGCGTAGCAAAGACTCTCGGGAGCGGAAGAAGGCCCCATGTGGAATGCAGTCGGTGGCGAATAGCTGCAGCGCTTACCGACCAAGCGGCGAAGGTGACCGCCGTCCGCTCTGGCTTTCGTGATCGTGGCAGGCTGTGGCGTGCCTCTTGGGCAACGGGGCGAAGAAGTTCGCGGCGGGAGCCCTGAAATTGCAGCGGGGTTTCTTTGTTTTATGAGTGTGAAAACCCGCGGGGACCTTGCTGCACGCTGGGAGGTGGGTGGGCTGATAGAGAAGGACTGAGGAGGCCCCAGGCGTGCGTGCCGCGCGTCTGCGTTGTGTCTCTCTTCTCCGCTGTCTTCTTCTTCTTGTCGGTCTGCCAATTTTGCCGAGGGTAAAAGCTCTGCGGGCTGGCAGCAAGAGGGCCAGGAGGTGGCGCGCGGACTCTCCTGTGGTGTTGCCCGCGCTTGGGGTTGGTTGTGGGGGTGGTTGCGGTTGGTTCAGGAAAGCCAGCGGAGCGGGCTGATGTGCTTATCGGGGGCATGGTGCCGGCTGCCCTCGCTGTGTTGTGGGTGGGTGTCAGAATGCTGACCAAAGAAACGAAGCAAAGGGCCCGCGCCTTCCTTACAGCGCGCCGCCGCCGCTGGCTGAGTGATATCCTTGCGCGCCATAGCATGGGCTGGCGTGTTGGGATGCGATGGTACCACGCGCTGGCTTGCGGCGCTTTGGTCACCTGAATGCCATCGACCGCGCCGCGCGTGGCTATATTTTTAGCAAGATACACAGTCATAGATAGCCGCTGGGGGAGGGTTTTGTTCGCCCATGGCCTCCCTTGCTTGTTGTGGGGGGCTCATTCAATCATCGGCGCCGCCTGCTCCGTTTTTCTTTCCCTTTGGGATTGGCCTTTTCAGGCTCATGTCTTCACCTATATTTTTACACCATACATTTACATTTTGTCCCAAACCCCCGATCAAAACGCAAGCATGCCCATCTCATGCGAGCCCATACATAGGAAGCGATCAAGGGTGAGTATGTAGATTGGCTAAGCCGAGAAAGTTATAGCATGTTGCTATCCGCTAACGTGAAGACGAGCGTGATCATCTAAAATAAGAAGCGACATTGATTTCTATTATAATTTGGATCTGGATGTTGCTATACTAGCTATATACAGCTACTTCCTTTTAAACATATTTGAATGTTGACGGACTTGGGGATGTTAGTGATAAAAAAGGTTGTTTTCACTGGTTACATGATTGGTACCTAAAAAGCACTACACCAACAGGATTCATCCCCGATCCTCGATCTACCTTCCAAAAAAGCACCGCCTCCAACTCCTTCCAATCGTCCACCTTCCAGGTATCGTCTCGCGAAAGCAGCTTTTCGTAATTGCAGCTAGCACAAACCCAGAGATGGTAGATCCAGCATTGTTGAGGCCTGGACGCTTAGACAAGATCCTATACTGCAGGCTGCCGGAAACTTGCTCTGAATACGCCAGCATCGCGCGAGCAGTACTAGACGGTGGAGGATGGGTGCTCGAGAAGGATGCGGATGAGTACGTTTTTGAACAGGTGGGAGAAGTTGTCACAAAAGACAAGAAGGCAATTAGTGACGTTGCCACTACAGCTAGTGCAAGTGCAAACGGCACAAAAAATATAAATGGAAACGGAAAAATACGAGATGACACCTCCACCTCCAAAGTCCTCGCAGAAGATACTTCTTCAACATCTACATTTCTTGAAACGGTTTTACTGAGGCGCCTTACAGCCGCAGACATGCGGGCGCTTTTCGCAAACGCACACTTGGACCATGTACAATATGTAGAGAATATCAGAAAGGAAGCTGCAAAGGAAAGTGGCGATATCAAGACAAAGATTATGACGAACAATTAAACTAAGCGCTGTTTTATATCTTCAAGCTTTCCTTTTTTTGCTTTTTCTAGTTAATAGGTTGCCTCCACCACTATTATGACGAACAAGATGTTGCTGTAAGTACTACTAGTAATAGTTTATATTTTGTGATTCATGAGCATGATGATTGCTGTTAGCATGTACAATTTAAGGTCTTGATGAAGTAGAAGATCAATGTTGTCTACAACTACTAGAAGAACACGAATATGACCCCTTCGGTGCATCAGATGCAGATTCACCAGTTTTCGACCCTCTATCTCTAAGGCAAGAAAAGCCACCAAGACCGACAAAAACCAAACGAGCACGACCGATGACAAGGTAGTAAAGATTCCGCGAATGGCCGTAGAGAGAGCTCTGGTGGGGCAGTATTCCGCAGTACGTACAGAGCAGCTTGCAGAACTCCATACGAAATATGGGAGATACGACACACGGAAGACGGCTTCTAAGGATGATAAGTCGGCAAGAGCTAAGAAGATTGCTACGCGTGTGGCATTACAGTAGTAGAAGACAAAGTCGCTAGTACTAGTAGTGCTTCTTGTTGTCTCACACTCATTTCATCAAAGATGGTCACCTCAGATATAATGACTTTTGATGGTCTCATAATCACTACAAGTTCATCGAATACATCAGTGAAGATATTTTTTTACATTCGTTGCTTGGCCAGAGCAAGAGCGTTGTAGACTTCTAACTTAAATTTACTAAGTAATACTAAAGCCAGAGCGATCAAGGTTGATCCGCTTGAGTCAAAATCTCATCATGTGTGTCAAAGATTAATCGGTTCTATTTTTTTTTTCAGGAGTTGAACTCCAGACAGAGGTACTCACTGGCTAAAGAAGATGAACTCAGTCGATGTCCATGTCTTTTGTTGTTGAAACATGGAGTATCACACAGTTGTGTGATCATGTCTGTGCTACTCTCTGAAGAAGTACGTCGAAGGTAGATGAAGATGTTCTTTTACTCGCGCGCCAGGAATTGGGAGGAGGGCCAGGGATCATTCTCTTTGTTTGTGATCTGGAGCAAATGTATGTTGTTTTTTTTGGTGATCCAGAGCGGGAGCGAGTGAAGAGGCATTAGCTTATCCTCCGTGAACGAATATGGCGATCTCCTCTCCACTATTAATCTTCAGATTGATGCTTGTCATTTTACATTCAGGAGAGAGCCGGGTTACGTGTTTATGGGGCCCATTTGTCCCATCCCTTACTCTCCTTCAACTTATTATCAATGAGGTCGTTTATTTTGCTGAGTTCGTAGTAGATTCCTAACACGAGTTTACTGAGGTGTTACAACTTTGTTGATGTTCGTTCTGCTGAGTTAGATACAACTAGGTTGCTTTGTTGATCCTGACATCAGAATTCCTAGAAAGTCAGATTGAGTTAAGAGTAAAATTTTAATATCCATTGCTGGTGTTTCGACATACTCTTATAGGTTTGACATAGCAGCCTGGTGTAGTTACTTGCATTATACTCAAGAATTACGAAGAGAAGAACAAGATCAACACCATCATACTCTCCATTTTTCTAGTTTACTACCTTCAGGAGGCAGATCATACAACAACAACTACCGAATCACTGCTGCAAGAACTAGTTGTCGGATTTTCTTCCAACAGATTATAATCTATCACGTTGTCACAACTTCAACTAAACGACAAGATGGCAGCACGTCCACCGCCTCTAGGCACTGAGGATGAGGACGAACAGCGACCGGCGTCTACCTCCAGAGAGGGAGGCTTTTCTCCCCGTTGGCTTGTCAGAATGCGCCAGCGTGTGAGGGACAAGACCTCAGTCTCCACGGCTGTTAAGGCTTGCACCAAGGGTTCATCTTCAGGGAAGGCATCCTGGGAGAGACGTTTTCAAGGGGAAAACAGTCGCAGGAGATGGACTTGGAGATGGATTAGGGTGAGCGCTAATGTTTCGTCTGGAAGTTCTCGAGGACAAAGTAGCAGTGCTGGCCCGATCGCGCAGAAGTATCGAATGCTTATACCATCTGTTAAGGACTCCTCCCGTATTGCCTCAGGGACAACCATCCTTGTAGCTTCCGTTTTTCAAGTTGGAAAAGAATTAAGGATGTAGCTGGAGTTGTGAAGAGTGCAATGCTGGTGAAACCTCCATATCTGTAACCTTTGTGGAGCTCCTCTCAGCTGCTACGGTTGTCGCATTATACGGAAAAGGACTGGTGTATTTTTTTCACGAAACCGATGGTGTGGCTGAACCAGCGCAATGGCACACGTTTTTGCACAGTTCCTTAGCGCTGTTGCTCTACATTTGCGCCTGGCGTTATTGGAAACAGATGAGGAACTACAAAGAATTTCTATTGGCGAGGAGTTCGGGGATGAGCAGTGGCGCTTCTTATGGTGGTGGATATTGATGTTGAATTTTCGACAAATTGATAGCGCAAAAGGAAAAGCAAACTAATTTACAGTTAAAAATATTTTTCGTTCCTCCCTCTAAAATCAGCAGTTTGGTGTCACCGAGCACGCAGAGATGTCCTCCTCGTCGAAGCCAAACCCGCCTCTGTCGAAAGTGCTCACTTTTCCGGCAAACTTCTATTATGACACTTGGATTTTGTTTTCGAGCATGATTAGATTTTTTAGAAGATGGACACTCATGCATAGAGACCTTCATGATGACCATTGAATCTAGGAGTATCGCTGGAAAGAATACATGCAACAAACATCTCTCTGGTTTATGTACTTATTAAATCCATTCGACGGTTCTTGTGCTGCAAACTACACTCACACAAGAAAGATCACATCAAAGTAGTTCTTCTCTAACCTCTCAGCGGCACCGGCAAAGCTCTTCCTGTCGCATCCAAATCGGATAGCAAAGCTTCCACCACTGCAGGCGGCTCCTCTTGCGCTTCTTCTCCTTTATCGGACAAACTGAGCAGTCCTGCTACTCCTGATATCAAGAATAAGAATTTACTAGCAGGACCGTCGTCGCCTCCGAGCGTTCGTGGTCCATCGCCAGTGTCTAAGGATTACGATACTCAGACCAGTGACGAAGACGAAGAGGCTAGACGTATGATCGCTTTAGGGTATGAAGAACGCATCAACCCGCAACAAGAAGGCGTGCGCATTGGATGGGGTACTACTGATTCTGTCTAGTAGAGCAACTTGAAGATCGAGATCTTACTTGTTTTCACCTCATGGACTTGTGCTTGTCGTAGTAGTCCTTTTCGTAAGCTTGTCGTTGTATATGACCTTGATCATCCTAGAAAGATAGTTGGTGTACGAACATTTTCACTTTCTTGCGTTCTGCTCACTTTCAAAAACTTTCTCAGTACAACATCCAGGTAATGCTCTCATTGTCGTTTTCACGTACTGGCATCGTGCGTATTTCATGCACTGCACGGTCGAGCGAATCTGCACTCACCATCCCCTGCGTGGTGAGCTTTTCTCGGTGCATTCCTTGGTTTCTCCGCTTGCTGGCCGCCTGATCGCTATGGTTGGAGAGACGGTGTTCATGTGGAATGGTGTTATTCCCTGTGTCTCCTGGAAGAACTACGCTCGTGAGAAAAAGCTAATCTTAAGGCTAGATTATCCGTATCCCATATGATCTATGGTGAGATGGAGTGGAGTCCCCCCCTTTTTAGATTTAAGGTGGAAACTGAGGGGAAAAGAGGGGAGCCCACTGACTCAACCAGGCATGGTGATAAGCTACCTTTTTAAGAATCTTGTGTGCATTGGTCGGCTTTGCGGAGATGGTGTCGAACACTGGTGTCATCAAGCGTCACTACGGCTTCTTCCTGGTTGAGAACTCGACGTGGACCATCGTTTTCAGCGTGATCTTCTGGCAGATCTTCAAAAAGCGCTTCTTCTTGTGCAAAATCGGAAGGGACCAAGAACAAAGCAAAAATATGAAGAGGAGTTCTGTCGGTTTTTAGTGACTTCTAAGTACGAGACTTAGTAAGTGATTCTTCATCTGCTATTATACTCGAACAAAAACTGAAATATCCGAGTTACTGACTGAAATAAGGGGTGTAGCTTAACCTCAAGGCTACCCTTCCTTCTCATCAGTCTCTCGGTTATTCTGATCAGTTACTTGCTTATTTCAGTTTTTCGAATAATTAAAAGCTATATGTATGATTGTTCTCCTCATCTTCATCGATAATTCTGTAACAACCTGCTCTCAACCTCTAATTCTAGCGGTAAGAAGAAGCCGGTGTTGCGCATGCTGGTCCTTACTCGTTTCATCGCGCTATTGACGATTGGGCTGTATATTGGTTACCAACTCTACTTCGACCTGCCGATGTACTACTCTCTCTGGTGCGCACGCGAGAACGAGCCGGGTTACGATTTGGCGCTGTATCCGGAAGTTATGAGGCTTCATTTTTCACAATACAATGCGTGTCCATGGAAGCAAGTGTATTGTAGTTCTTTTTACCTTTAGCCGAAGCCGCCCCCTTAGGTGTAGGCAGATGTAAGTTAGTAGCTTGTGTAGAAACTTTTGATCTATCACGACCCATGCAGTAGTAAAACACTAACACTATCAACATCGGAAAATAGATATTGAAGCTTCAGAAACAATTATGAAGAGAGTGACTCATTATTATAATATGCATGACTCTAACAAGAGCCTGTGGCACAGTCTGCAATGCCAAACCTTGGTCGACAACAACAGTTCCGCTCTTCGCCCAGTGATGCTTTGGCAAGCGGCGAACTACACTCTCGTCCCCCTTGTGATCGTGCTGCTCTGCTGGCTGACGCAAGAAGGAAGCTATGTGTTACTTGCTCTCGATCGCCGCGTCTTTTGGAACGTGAATGAAGATCCGGGCCAGATCTCTCTTTGGATCAAGCGACCGACTATTAAGGCATCTTTTTACGATGGAGCATCTTTGACCGCCCTCCTAAGAGGAAAACTAGACGCCAAAGATGCTTTTCCAGATGAATATAAGTGAGCTCTAAGACTAGTAAAAAGCTCACTGCCAGCGCAACGAAAGTAAAGGCAGAGATTGAGGGAGATGTGGCGGATGGTGAAGACTAGGAGGTTGTTTAGAAAGTAAGTATTGAGGTCTTACTATTCTTGAAGATACTTATAAGTTTCTTGATGAAACTCTTGAGTATAAATGGCTGAATTTGAATCGAAAATGTTACTTTGAATGACTTGCTCGAAAAAAAGAGGCTGCATTATCATGAGAGACCTGATCGCGACCATGAAAATTTCGACTCAAATTTCGACTGTGTTCCTCTGTCCTTTTCTTTCGGTCCCTGATCAAATCGTATACTTTATCGGTCAATACTTCACATCGCAACTATCCCCTACTGCTCCCTTTAACAAAGTACTTCCCCTCCTGCCTGCTTGCTTGCTTTTTGGGAAGATGCTTGCCATAACGAAGATGATGAAAAACACAAGGTAAGGCCTCAAGTTATGGCATCAGGCTACGAGCAGCCCTTCCTCTTGTCTCCAGTGAGTCGACGCCCATGAGTGGGGACAAGATATTTAGGAAAACTGCTGAGAGCACCACCATCGCCATCCTTTGAGGAAGATGGACCTCGTGGGCTGAAGTAGCCCCAGTACGCGTATTGCTAGACCTAACTGACTCTAAATAAGTAGCTTAGCCTTATCTTCTTTCAATCCAACACTTGTAGGACAATTATCTTTCAACGCCACACTTAGGAAACTGAGAGGAACAAAAATGAAGGCTACCTAGTGTAGAACACTACACAAACACCCGCGCAAAGTGCAGCAGCGGATAGTTCTGAGTTCTAGGCTCAGCCTGTTTTTCGTTTGCTGGAAAAAGAATGTCAGTACTTTGGTCTTCCTCGGTCCAACTTGTTATTACTGAGGTCTTACTTTGTTGATGAAGACAGAGAGCAGGACTTAAAGTAGAAGTCAAACGTTGTTGTTGAAATTTAAAACTTTGCCGAGTTCTTGTTCGAGCTCGCATATCTATCTCTATCAGGTTGGCAAGGAAAGGAATTTCGTTTTCGATACTTAGATAAGTACGTAGAAAGGCATAAGATGTAGGGTCAATAACACAGGTTGACAGGCAACTTCTGCGCTACCAGAGCAGCATCTTAGGTCGGAAATTTGAAGCCCGTACTGATCGTATACAGACGTATTACTTAGGACCAACGTAAAACATGAACATGTTTTTACTAGGTATGTAACGCCATACTTACTCAGAAGCTGTAATTACAACGACTCAAACCAAAAAGCCCATGACCATATGAAGTGCGAACAACGTGTGCCGTGTCTATTCCACTTAAGTACTCACTCATCAACATTCTCCTGAACGCCTAGAACTTCGAACAAGATTCCTGAACGAAATTAACTAGAATACGTCGAGAGCATGTTGATTTATGGACACATTCAAGTATTTAAGAATGAATGCTATTCAATAGTACGTAGGAAGGCAACAGGAAACAAGAGAATCAACAAAAAAAAGTTTTTCTAGATAATTATGCTCGTGTCTAGCCCAACCATGCCCGCTGATTCACTGTGAACCTTAGTTTCGTTGTAGAATAGTAATACTGAAAAATCACATCTTCAACGCGCTTCAGGCAGGATAAGGTCGATCCATTTTATGAATATTCGATTTTCCTGTTCTTGCTATGTAGATGATACAACATATTTTTCGTATGTTATAGCTGTACATGCGTATGCTACGTCATATGACGGAATCGGAAGCGGCCTTTCAATTTTATCCTATTCATAACTCCAGTGTCTTATCAACATCAGGAAGGCTAAAAGGTTGATAGTATTATTCGTTAGAGATCAGACTGGAACAAGCAATAGCAGGAGCCCTTCGCATTCTGATCTACTGGTCCAAGTAAATAGAGATCTCTCGTTGATTGTCGGTCCCCATTAAGATAGATAGATCCCGCGCACCTTTGTGTACTAGCTGTTCTTGTTTTTCATGTTCTTGCTTCGACTAGAACGACTCGCCCTCTTGTGAAATTTGAATGTGACATGAAGAAAGGTAAGTGCCGACGTCGGTCGGGTAACCCGGAGCGCCACGAGGACTATGACTATCAGACGATAGCTGAAGTCGATTTCGCTCGTTTTGTTGATGTCCTGGTTGTTGGTATGAGTTGAAGTGAACCCCATAGAGGACGTAGACGTTTTTTCTATGATTTCGTCTGGCCATCTGGTCGCAGACGACAACATCACGCAAAAAAACCGACTAAGTAAGTGTCCGATGCCAGTCAAAGGGAAATTTCTGTCCATGCAGATGAACGTCGGGATGAGACTTCGTGTTCGCTATTGCGCGGATGGGGTCTCGGTTCGAAGCCGCATCTCAGCCTATCAAGAAAGCAACAGGCGTTAGATTCACTGAGAGAGACAAGGACGGCAATGATGCAGTCGATAAGAGCCGTGTCTGTGTATCGATTCTTGAAAGAAGTTGCAATTAGATTAGCGAAGTCACTCGTCTAACGACAGAAAAATGGAAATGATGAGCAGGAGACGCGACCGTCTGTGAAATGCTTGACTTCTCTGCGCCCACCCTAGCTGGTGCGTCGAATCTTCGAAAAATTTGTAATTTGTAACTAAGTACTTAGGAAGAAAAACATTTTCAGTTTATTATACGTAATCATGTTGGATGGTTTTCGCGAGTGGGTACTCCGTGGATGTTGCCAGGGCACGGCGATTGGCAGTGGCGCTTGCGAGGTCAGGCCACCGCGTGGGAGCAACCGATATGGAGAAGACGAATTTGTTTTGCCAACGCGGTTGGTTATGGTGAGGAATGTAGTCGATATTCTGCTAGAAGAGCACTAGTCGTGTTTGTTCACAAGCGTAATCATCAGCGAGGATTCAACAGGTCTCTAATTCATCAATCGACGACGTCGTAATCATCAGCGAGGATTCAACGAGTCTCTAATTCATCAATCGACGACGTGGTAATCGCACCTGTGCCGCCCATATACTACACAGAGCCAAATCGCGGCCTCGGTGGAGCCCATCTGCTATCCTCATCAACGAGTGGATCCTCGTGCGACGAAAAGGGAAGAACCCCTCCTCCACAGGTCACCACGCCAAATTTGTTGACGCAGTATGACCAAACTCTTCAGCACAGATCAGATTCAGGAGTCGCAGTCGGCTACAATGCATCTTCTTCGAATAATCTGACCTGCTTGAGTCCTCCAACTAGAATCATAGTCCAACCAGCAAAAAAGCATGTAGATCCGGGATCTACTTCTATGAGAGACAGCGGGAGTACGAGTAGTTTACTTGGTTTTCCTCGGTCTTTGGGGCAACACTTTCATGTAACCGGGATACCACTGTTACGCGGAGTTGGCATGTTCTCCAATGTACAGAGGGCACCTCTAACTGGTGGAGAGGGTACCTCTGTGGCGAGTGCAGCAGCTGCACCTCCAACTGGTGGAGTAGCAGATAGTACTGGCGCACCACCTGCAGAGTTGCCTAAAACATTGGTCAACACGACAAACGGGTCGAGTAACTTGGCGAGCAATAACACGAGGACAGGAGGGATAACTATATCTTCAAGTCGTGGCACGCACGACCAGCAAGATGGAAGTGGAACTACCCAGACTTCAACTACAATTGGAAGCAACTACAAGCCTTCAGCAAGACGATCGCAAGTAGGAAGTTCTTCTAGTCCGAATCCTCGTGATCTCATTAGCGTGAATTACAATCAAGATGGTCCAATTGTTAAGGCTACCGTTGAAGCATCCGCAGCGCCATCCTTGGCCTCCTTTTCAAGGCGAAAAGGGGTTCAAGGATGAGCTCAGGGATGCGACGCGGTAGCTCTAAAATTGGAAGTGCAGATGACATCTATCGCCGCCTAACTCGCACGCCTCCTATGCCTGGTGCTTATCGGCCAGAACCCGAAGTAGCAACTAGTGCCATGTCGATTTTTCAAGGTGGGTCGCAGCTCTACACGACCTACGGAGGTAGTTCTGGTTCTTCTTCTACTACGATGACGCAAGGACATCAAGGAGGAGGATTGCCATCGATGAACACATCAAACGTGATCACTAATTACACGCACAGCACCACAACGCCGAGTAGTACCATCATGGCAACATCTTCCTCCTCCAGCACAAATCCGAATCTGACGCGAACGGCTGCTCAGTTTGGAGGTACGAAACAATCCATCACGACAACTTCTGCGACATCTTCAGCACTAGCGCCAGTACCGAATCCACAGAAGAACGATCCGATTAACGTCGTACGAGACCCGAAATTACTGACGCCGAGGCAGCAGACAGTCCTAGAAGAAATTACCTTGCCCTTCATGGAGCAGTATCCTGACTGCCCAGTTGAAGAGACAAGCTTCTCCTCGAAGATGATAGGAGGTGCTAGTAGTGCGTCAGCGAACGATAGCGGAACTGAGAGTGAAAAGAACTACCGAGCTTTGTCGGACGTCTTCCGCGGGTTCGTTTTCGACCTCTACAACGGCACCTACCTCACGCAACTCACGTCAGTGTCGGAAAAACAACTGGTCTTATGGAGAGAATTTCATTTTCATGTTTTGATATTGATCGTTGCATTGATGCCAGGATCATGATAATGAAGATTTTTGTAGAAGTATTTGATGATTATATTACTTCTATTAGTTTTTACCTCTGTCACGTTCACGTAGATGTATCCCTTCAAGCAATATATTACTGGTTAACCAGGTTGCTCTTTCTTAGTTTTCACTTGCTTGTACCAGTTGATTTGATGATATTACAGTAATATGTTGATCTTGATGTACTCCTAGAAACTCTCTAATCCTTCACGCCCAACTTCTAGACGGGCATCGGATCCTCGCTCTCTCGCAAGGCAGTGGCCGGATAGTAGAGTTTCCGCTTTTGTCGCTCTCAAGGATCTACCGCATATCATCCGCCAACGCAACGAGGATGCTGCAGGACACGGGAGGGGGTACAACTTCTAAAAGTAGACGTTTTCTTTCGGAATAAACATAAAGCGCTTCTTCAAAAAGGTACCTAGCTCTTCAATCTTCATCATTGGGAGTTAAAAATTTCCTTGTGCGTTGCTGCTCATGCTCGTCTTCATCAGTCTTCATATCTCAGACTTCTAAACCGACATCGAATTTTCTTTCCCAAACATGATCACGGGTTTTTGGAAACAACTCTTGATGCATACATTTCCCAAACTCAACATACATCTAATCGTCCAGTTGGCGTCCCCGGCCACATCGTGATTCTCGAGTTCTCAGAACGCAAGTTGGCTTTTCTGTTTGGAGATGCTGCGAGTTCCCAGCGATTTCTTATCTGCTTCGAGCTTCTGGTCCGTCGTACGCAGCAAGTCGCAAAGGACGACTACTAAGTACTTCGCTGTGTGAGGAGGGACACGGTTGCCCCTGGCTGATTGTGTTGAGGTCATCCAGTCAGGACAGAGGCGTGATGAAGGAAATTTCATGTTGTAGTAGTTGCTGAAGGATTTCACAAAAGGATCTTTCAAAGAACTTAAGTACTTTCGCGGTCAGAAGATTTGATTTCGTACATTACAACATATACGATCTACTAGAACAGCAAAACGACCAAGTACATGGACAACAATCGTTGTTCATACACCCGAACATGACGGGCACGCAGAGGAAATATTGCTCCACCAAGAATCCACAACGTAAAGGCGAAACATCTGCCCGCTGTTCGTTGAAGCACAAAGAGATGTCCTTTTCGAAGCCGCCCCAGCACTCTTTTTTTGGACTTATTTGCGTTTTGTCTTATAGTAGGCTTGTATGAACAGAGGTCTGGTACACTTGCTATGCTGTGGAATGTCGATCCTTGATCCTATGATTTATGCAAGAATGTCAACCGAAAATGAGTCAGAACTCAGGTTTGCCTCTATGTCCTCGGCTTCTTCTACTACGCCCTTGACTCCATCCAGCACGACAACATCGGCAATCCGTTCTGCGAAAGTCGCTTTGCTAGTTATGTATGAGTGTTCTCAGGGAAGTCGTAGGTCCAATCCGAATCGACTAACGTCATCATGTATTAGTGTTCTCATCATGAGATATGATCCTGAAAGGCAGCACTGAGTACTAGTGTTCAGGCACTGAATACTAGTGCACCATATTCCAAGGGGTTGAAGCCATAAGAGGAACCAAGAAGATGCATTTCTTCTAATTAAGCATCCTCCACCAAAAAAGATGCATTTCAATTTCTTCTAATTACGCACGCCACATATAATTAAGCATTCAAAACCTCCACCTTCTAACTCTAAGGTACAACAAAAAGAACCTGTCCATCGTGAAAACCCCAGAAAGCATACAGTTTCGACATGCTTGCGCTGCGTCTGTTGTGGTCTCGTCTCACGGCTTGTGCGTTTTCACATCCATGAAGTGCGTCGCTGTTGGAAACGATGTCGTCGCAGACGTCCCTTCTGTGCGGGTGAATCGGGTGAACAACGACAGAAAGATTTAGTAGAAGCAGGGCCCTCTACTTTCACGGTCGTAGAAAACGCGTGGCTTCGCCGGTCCCCACGCCTCAGATGCCTTCTGTGCGATGCTGACGACAGCAAGAAGAAGTGCGTCGATCCGGTAGAAGGTGCCGAGATGACCCAAAGGATAAGGTTGACTCCGAGACTGCCGAAGCATCCCCTTGAAGACGTTGAAAAGAAATATGCTACTTCCCTTAGTGGAGAGGCTGACATCGAAATGGGTCAATTAGGACTTGGAAGCGTTTCCGTTTCGCCGAGAGCTAGTGGAGGAGCTGGAGACAGACCGAAGTCTAGAAGTAGAACAAGTACACCACTCGTCGAGGAGGACCCGAATAGCTGCGGTGCAGATGATCATTTCTACAAGCCTGTCTACTACACATCATGCATGCGGGATGAACAAGAACAGGGCGACTCCGAAGCAGATCATGCGCATCCAGCGACAATTCATCAGGACCAGCATTTTGAAATCGCTTTAAGTTGGGACCACGAGCAAAATCCTGCTAACAACTGTACAACCAATCGAGTGGTGAGACGCGCTGACGAGGCATTCTTTCGGAGTTCTGGACTACAGGGCCGTCGAAGCGGCAGAAAATCAGTCGGGCCAGTACTGGATTTTGAAGACAGCACGAATTACCTGTATCGATTAGGGCTCGTCCTAGCGGGATCTGCGTCGAAAGATTTGGCGATATCAGCGAGAAGTCGCTTTTCATTGTTCCGGTCGTTAGTATGGCTGCCACTCTCTGCTATTGGCTGGATAAAGGCTAGGTCACGCAAAGTAAAGGTGGAGAAAATTTGGATTCGAGGCCCAGAAAAGACTTCTAGGAGTACAACACCTGATGATCATCCACCTAGTTCTGGTCGCCCAGAAAAAACTCCTAGGAGTACAACACCTGATGATGATCCACCTGGTCGAAGTGTAGTTTTATCTAGTGGCCACATGATCACTCCAAGGACAACAGGCGACCAGCACATGATCAGATGTGAGTGGATCAGACCCAGGACGCCACGAGGACGAGGAAAGACGCACGTCATCTTCTACATTCACGGTGGAGCGTTTGTCCTCTGTGATACGAACACTCACCGCTATGGTATGCTGGAAGGATTTTTTCCGGTGGGTTTCTCCTGCTTGGTGTTTTTGATATTGTTGAAATCAGAATTTTTGACATAGATTATTCGTCGTGACTCATCTCCCCGGGTGCAGCCCACTTTCTTTCAACATCACATGCTTACTAATAATACCGCTGTATCAACACATGTTGCGCACTTTCATTCCCTCCACGATTACGCTAGTCCAGTTAAGTGAGTGTGTCTTGTTTTCGCCCAATTATCGGCGTCCTCCGGATGTTTCGCTTGAAACGAGCATTGCCGACTGCCTTGAGGCCTATTTGTGGCTCTTAGAGGACTCAGGCCAGGATATTCGAGCAGAAGACGTAGCTTTTGTTGGCGATAGTGCGGGTGGCGCGCTGTGCATTCAAGTCATGCTGCAGATACGCGATCGCGGGAAGATTTGGGAAGATGCTGTGGTCAGACGACGTGGTTCGTTGATATTATGGCTTCCCCTAATCCATCTTCGGAAGCATCGTAGAGACGTTTTCAGAGGGAAAACAGTCTCAGGATAGACTTGAAGATGGATTAGGGTGAGGGCTAATGATAGAGCAGAAAAATACGGACGACACATCAATACCAGTAGCCGACGAGAACTACACGAAACGCAAGTCTCATCCTCCTGCACCTGACGAAGACGCACTTGGATCCTCTTGTTCGCTTTCAACGACATCAACGACACCACCAAGGCAAGGAGAGACGTCAACAACGCCAGAGGATATTGAAGATGACTCGAGTACTCGAGAGGAACATCGTCATCAACAACAACATTTTGATGTTGGAGAGGATCTTACAAAAACCAGGCCTCTAACGACATCCTCTTCTCAGACTGAACAACAGCACATCTTCAATAAACGAACAAATAACACCTCCTCCTTTCAGAATAGTATCATGCCAGGTCGTTGTGTTTTAGTCTCTCCTTGGGTAGAACCGAGCGCTAAAGCAGACTCGAGCTTCATCGCAAACGCGGAGACTGATCTCTTTAGATTCGAAACCGTAAAAAGGTTTGCGAATACTGTCCTTCGATCATGTTCGAACACTAGTAGTAGTACCCTTTCTTCGGGTTGTTCGGCGTCGACGACCGATACCGAAAGTCCTCCAGCACCTGCTCGCTGTACTACTTCTCTGGCGGATTTAGTGGCGCTAGACACGCTTAACCACGGATTTCCACCAATGTTGATCATAACAGGTGACCGGGAGTTACTCAGGGATCAAATCATCCGCTTTGCACGCAAAGTCGCAACAGGAAATCGAGTCCGTTTTGTTATGAGAAAATACTCGGTCACTATATATAATCTCTGTATGACTTAGAATCCTACTGTCTCTCGTTCATAGTATGGAAAAATTGATGACTACCTTTTTCCTTCAAGATCAAGATTACAAAAAGCGTAGCCTTCACCTACTCCTCCTCCTCAAGGACCCTCTTCCTCTGCTTTCATAATCGAAATTTTCGAAGACATGTGTCACGTCTTCCCTGCTCTATATGGGATTCATCCCTCATGCACACGCGCCTTCCATCATATTGCGACCTTTCTGCACTCTGAAGATGAGACTTCAATGCGATTGTAGCATTGTGCCGGATCTGAAGACATATACTTCATCATTGGTGGTAAGAATTTTTAAATGATACGTATACTTCATCATTGGTGGTAAGACTTTTTTTGCTCGACATCTTCTTCTTGATTTAGACTTCAGAAAATCCTCCAAATATCCTAATTTGTCTACTTGACCATATAAGGACATCTGTACATCTATCTTCGAAGATGTTGGGTCTCTCATCTTTCGCGCAATATTCAGCCACCATCTACTACTAACCCCTAGAAAGTCGTGTCAGCTTAGCATCACTCGCAGGGAAAAGATGAAATTTTCTTTGTCACGACAATTGAAATCATGGTGACCTCCACCATCTTCGCTCGCTCTCACACAATTTTGCACCGATGATGCTTCGAAACAAGGATCGCTTTTTCCACTCAGCGCCTCTTTTCATATCTTGTGACCACGTAATCAACATGTTCTTGATCTGCAAGCGTCATGATTGTCACCCGATCATGATGTGCTCTTGAGCTAAACGTATGTGCATATGTTCGGTCTGCTGGCAACCATGATCGAAGAGTCCTCTTATGATCATCAGTCGTGTATTGTTGAGGGTATTCCTCGTGTTGCTGAGTTGTAACTGTGCTACATCAATGTTCCGCTTCATCCTGTCTATCTTGAAGAGAGCAATGAGAATGTTGGCGAAATATCTGATGTGCCTCAAAAACTACCTCCCATCGAATAAAGAGAACTGAAAAAGGAGCACGACATCAACGACATCTTCTCTTCCGACACTACTCTGTACTTGCATGTGTTAAATCCTTGTTTAGCTCCGTCAGCATCAGCATCAGCGTTTGAAATAGCGAATATACCAAAAATACAGGGTGTGGGTTGAACACCACAAGGGGAGCAGCGTTTATGTGAGGAGCTTTTATTGTTAGCTTAAAATGATGCTATTTAGTTTTAGTTTGTAGTTATTGTGAATAGTTTTTGATTTTGAGTGGTTTTGATAAGAGTGCGTTGTAAGACAAAGACTCTAAATATAGTAGGTGTCCTAGTAATCTTGAAATAATTGTGATCTTCGGCAAGAAAACGCCCATGTGTATGATTCTATCAAGTATCTTTTCTACTCAAAGTACTAGATCCAGCTTCGAGAAGAAGTGAATAAGTAGCTGCAACTACCACTTCTACTTCTCGTGTTAATCTCTTCTCCACCTGTTGTTGTTGTAACGTCGCATGCGCATTTAGTAATCATTTAGTAATCAGAACAATATGAAGGCAAAAGAAAAAACTAACCCACTATCGAGTGGAAACGTATAAGGCAACTCGAACCCTCAATCATGCCCTCATTTTATGAAAACATCAATGACCACCACCTTTTAGAGGACAGTAATACTAGATGATATTTCATGTTGATAGCAGGATGTTGATGGGACGACTACAGGAGGATGGTGTGCATGCCGCCCTTCCTGCACCGAGAAGGCACGAGGAAGGCCGATGCTTGCTGTTGCGCAGAAGTTCTTGACTCTACTTCCAGGCAAATACATTACAAGACACATCTACACCAACACTCTCTGGGGGTCTACGTCATCTTGTGAAAAAAGTAGAACCTCTATTAAGACTTGCCGTAATTCATCTTAAGAGGCATCCCTGACACGTTTTCAAGCGGGAAATACGTCAAAGATGACTTCCAAGATGAATTGTTGTAAGCTCTAACTCTAGTCTACATCTAGTACAACAAGTAGAAAATGACCTCAACGCCTCAACACGGTCCGCGGCGCACGGCTGCAGATGAATCGGGCGATCATCTGAGTGGCCTGCCATTAAAACTGACCTATCCACTCGTCGATGCACTGATGGAAGAGAATAACAAACTTTATGGAACATACGAATGGGTGTTGAGATCTTTGAGATCTTCTCAGTCTACTTCGAATGTGTGCTGAGATCTTCTCAGTCTTTGGTTGATGAACCTTGGAATTGGAGTTCTTTTCACGGTATAGCCCTTCCAACAATATTGAGTTCTTTTCACTCTTCGTTCAGCTTCATCTTCAACACGCTCATTATATCTCCTCCTCCTCGGGAAGAACAATGAAGATCCTTAAGAACATAAGTACTACCTACTTCTTGGCCGCTTGTTCCTCTAATTCCTTTCGTCTTCGATGAAATTTGCTGAGTGGGATTTGTCAAGCAGTGGCGCGCTCACGGTGACGCCCTCCCCAGGTGGGGGCACTCCGTGGGCCGCAACTCCGAGTCCCTGGACCTGTACTGCGTCGTATAGTACTTTCTGTCCGCAACACGATGGTGTTGCTCCTGATGAATTTAAAAATAGCAATCCCACGATGTTGATGAAGCAGGCCGTGGACCAAAAACAAGGAGGAGTAGGGGAGGTGGATGGTGGACGAGAAGTAGCACATTCTCAAAATCTTCATTCGTCCGCTACTGCGGGTGGCCGCTACGATAACGAGGCTGTCGAGCAGCAGCGGCAGCGAACAACGTGCGCGAACTACAGAAGCGTCGCACAGCTCGAGAATTTGGTCAGCATCCCACTAAAACCTGCGTCTACAACATCGAAGTCTGAGGAGACTGGCGATAAACAACAGGAAAAAACTTCATGCCCGCTGACTACTACTGCTGCTGCATCTGCTGGTTATAGTTACACGTTTACACTTCCTGTAGAACAACAACACCCAGACGGAGGTACGCATCCTGCTGACAACACGGGGAAGAATCTTCGCCGTGTTCCAAACCACGGAGCGCCGCACAACTACGACTTACGCAATGGAAAGCAAGAGTCACATCATGATGTCGAGCGCTACACCGAGGATGAATACGCAGCGAGCAACTTTCCTTTGGCTTCTCCTCCAGCACTGCCGTCGCCTCCCACAGTAATGGCCTCACCGCCGTCTTTGACCTCTTCGGCCTCTCAGACGGCGCTTGGTGCGCAAACTTCAGGGCCCGGTCGTCGTAGCGTTGCTCGATGCATATCCTTCGATGATTGTGAGAACGACGCACTAGAAAAAGACTCCTGGCCTTCGTCACCTCCTGGTAGTTCATGATTTAGAGAGATGTTGTATCTATACAACTTACTCGATCCTGGTGTCCCCGTTGATGAGTTTCGTTTGCCCGAGAATATGTTACAAGAATGCAAAAACTGAATCAATATAACTCAATCTTGACATCAATCTCGACCTCACAATTTCCAGGTTCCTCTAGCCCCACTAAGCTGCATCTCCGTAAAGGCACCACATATCCAGCATCCTCGTATCCAGCACACGCACAGCTTCAGCATCAACCAGGCAATCAAGTGAACCAACAGGTCGTGGACAACTTCCAACCTCCACGGACGCCCCTTCATTTCAACGCGGGTTACCGGCACCTGGGTTTTACCCAAAAGGACGCATGCATGAATGAGGTGTACGACCTTCTGCAACTCGTCGGGGAAGGTTCCTCAGGCTGTGTCTGGACTGCGCGCAAAAGAATTTTGGTCGGGACAGCAAAGGAGCGGCTTTCGAGGCAAGTTTTTGCCGTGAAAGAAATTCGAAAACGGACTTTGATGTTATGGAAAGGAGATAGGACAGTCGTGTGAAGAATCTGCGTAAGAACTTATTTCTCCCATGATGAAAAACATCATCACAAATTATCAACATCGCTTCAAACGCACGTCTTCCACAGCTCGTGTCGTCTTATCAGCTATGAGGGACACGCTGCTCTGTGGCTGGCTTCGCTCTAAGTTCTATAGCATAGTTCTTTCTCCTCTTCTTGATTCCTGAAGTGAGTCCTTCTTCTAATTAATGGTGCTGGCGCTGGAATTCGACGACCTTCTTCCTTGTCAGTCAGGCGTGGCAGCATGATGAACTGTCCAACCAGGCAGCACATAAACAGTCATTCTTGTACTCCGCAGTTATTGCCTACGCTGACTTCAACGTCGACTGCCTCCGACGTACTACTTCCGTCTTCGAACAAACAGGGTGGATCCATCCCCTCTGCACAACACGTTGGTCTTCCATTGAATACCGAGACAAGCGACTATGCAGCAGGACCGGGATCGGCAGTAGACGCGGTTGGGGGCCTTCAGCTCGGATTGCCGCTCGAGTTGCCAATTCCATCTCTAGGCTGCATGGATGACTCGTACTCGCCTATTTTCGCCGATCATGACACGGATGAGCACCTGCCGATCGTCCAGGTGTTTCCCGGTGCTCCTAGTTGTAGTGACGTTCTACCAACTGTAACGTCGACAGGATACGAATTTCACCAAATGAAGCATGCTGGTGGTGGTGCTGACGAGAGTGGTCCTGTGGAAACTACGGAAGGGCATTCACAATGGCAACCAGCGCATCATAAAGTGGATATCACGACGGCAACGACGACGACTACAAAACAAGACGAGGCTACCACGACGAGTGATGAGATTGGGGCTGAGCAAGCATCTTCTTCTTCAACCGTGGTGAATTCAGGAACAGAACAGACTTCCGCTAAACAGGACGGCACCTGTGGCAATAGCGCCAGCGCTCCACCAGTTGTACCAATATCGATGGAGCAGCTTTTTCTACCTATTCCTTCTCTTGGTGCAGGAGAGCAACTCTGCGGGTTCCCGATGATGTGGCGAGAACACAGTAGCTCCAGTGGGTCGGAGGGTAACCTGTCAGAGGTCGACCACCTAGGCTATCATGGTGATCACAACAGTGACAGCATCATCTCTGGCGGAGCACCTGTCGTGGATGATGTTAGAGGCGAAGACGGTGATGTAGTTAGAGGTGTTAGTAGCTACAATGGAGGTTCAGAAAAAGATCAGCACGGTAGAAACGGCGGAGGGGATGCTTGGGCATCAAGTTACACTTCCTGTTCCTCAGGTGACGATCAAGATCATAACGAAGAGAGAAGCAGAAGTAGTTTTTTTAAGGGTACACCTTTAAGGTGCTTTTCTTGCCGCTTTTTATGCCTCTCTCCCTTAGGATGAGAAAGGCATAACAAGCGGGGGAACCCGCGAGCACCAAAAACCTACCTCTAATTTTTGTCGTGACATCAACAAAAAGAATAAAGCTTCTTCGACATCAGCTGGAACAAGACATCAACGGCGTCAACAACATCTTCAACATCCTTATTCATCGGGCCACAGCGGAGGAGCACCAGATCATGGAACCACCAGTAGCATAGTTTTATCCGATAGTAGCGCTAGTCGCGAAAGTTCAGCGCTTTTCAATCCGGCCCAGAACACCTCTCAGCTCCTGTCTGATGATGAAGATCTGCTAGAACAAACGTGTCTGTTTCGGTCTCGGCGCAATGAGGAGGAGCTAGAGCGACGAAGGCAGCATGCCGCAGCACGCAGTCGGCGTCGACGCGCGCGATCTATGGATCCGAAATTGAGACATCCAGCACAGCATAAAAAGAACTCCTATAATGCTTATGCTCCAGATTCGCAGTATGGCAAGAACGTCTATCTCCTGGAACCATACCGCGAGGAAAATAGTCAAGAAGAGAATAATCATTCAGAGACGACCTTCGACGGAGGTGTAATTTTCAGGAACAAGAAACCAGAGCACGATGATGCATCACTAAGTACGAGAAGTTCACACGAACAACAGCGTGGTCCTTCTTCTACTTTTTTGTACGCGGCGGCGGCGGCGCCGTCTACAGCTATTGCAACTTCTGACTTCATGAAGACAAGTTTTTTGACGAAGCAGAGGCTGAAGTCATCTTCTGGGTCAAGGAACTCTATGTCCTCGCGACTCAGCGTTAGCGAAGGCGGACCTTTCAACATGCACGCTCAGCCTGTAAAACGTGGGAGCAGCAGTAGTGCAAAGACCTGTCTATCTTCTGTCCTATTCGATGCTCGAAGCAGCCATTACTCCTCATGTAGGTCAGCGAGTCCATTTGTTCGTGGCACCTCAGGTACAGGAGAACTACTTCTTGGTCGTGAAGATGCGGGGCCACGACGCCGTTCATCGCGACGTGGGACCACGTCTCTTGCTGCACATGTGGAAGAAGACGCGCAGGAGCACGCTATGGAACACGACAGGCAGCAAGTGGAAGATGAAGATGCTAACGCTGTGAGAGTTGTGCAACATGATCATTACGAGGAAGATGAGGTAGACTTCAATTCCTCGACAACTTGTAACGCGTTTACAAAGAGGACGCATACTGTTCATGAATCCTCGTCATATACTACAACAACAAGCACCAGCTACAATGCTGAGTCTTCTTTTGGACGCAAAGGGAGCAATATCAGTTCTCGTCGTAACAGCTTCAAGCCTGCAGAGGGAAACAAGCTGGAGACAAGTCAAAGTGGTCCGCCAGACGAGTCCTGCAACAGAACTTACGCCAGCCCTTCTGCAACATTGGGTCAACACCATGCTGAAGGAAGGAGGAACACGGTGAATGGAAGCCCAACTTTTCGTGAAGATCGTGAACAACATAAGCAAGGCGACTCTTCTAGTAGAAATGCCCATCGCAAGCATGCTAACGATGAGGGTAGAGGTGCGACCGCAAGGAAGACCTCAACATCAACGACTAGAACGCCATTGAACAAACTGACATCACGGCGTGGGCGAAGCCGATTGAGTACGACGAATGCGCGACGTATTCGCTTCGAGACATTTGACGATGCAAAGTTTTCCTCCGCATCATCGCCTAACATTTTCCCTCCTGCTCGTGACTTTGCAGAGAACGACGACCAGGCCTGTGCTCGACACAATCTGAATCTTCCCAGTACCAGTGGCGCAACTAGTATAGAAGCTCTTAGTAGAGGTAATTATAGCAACCCAGCTGTTATGAGTCATGTTCTTGAACGTGAGGGTGGAATTGGACATGTAGTCTCAGCATTTAGTGCAACAGGAACTCCTGGAGGTAATCGTGGAAAGCTTTTCTGGGCAGCAAGACAGCGCAGACCTCAGACCCCGAGATACGCACCACAGATCCCGGCCGGAGAAGCGTCTGTGTCTTCTGCTCGCGGTGGTGGCGGACCTCGATATCATAGGGCTTCCTTGTACTCTGCAACACCGACCGCGCGAAAAATTGTGACGCCGCTCAACCAATTCGTCGGTCGCGACCTATCAAGCATTCTCAGCAGGGGGTGCAGTTCTGCAATTATAGCGGGATCGGGAGCACCTGGTCATAGTTCATCCAGTTCTGCGGCTGTACGTGCTCACAGCAACACTAGCGCGATTAGTTGTGGTACTACGTCATCCTCATGCGCCTCGACGACTGGCGAGCACGGTGCCTGGTATTCATCGTCTGGCGTGGAGTGTGCCAATACAACATCTATGACTACATCACGTCGCGTTGCCACCAACTACAACCGAGTTTGCGGTCGACGAAGCTGCAGCATTCATCGAGGTGCTGGAGGAGGCAATGGCAGTGCTGGTGGACATGCTACCACACCCGGAAACTCGTCACGGAGACGTGGCATTAACCCGGACACGAGCGCTCGTCCCTCACTTGTTACCGAACAAGCTAAAAATACAAATCATAATCCTCCTAGTGCTGCACGTGCAACTTCAAAATCGCAACAGCGACGGGCGTCGGATATCTACTTTCATTGTCAGCCCACTTCCACTCCAGTGGTACGCCAGCTTGTTGTTGATCGCCGGTCTACCCTGATACAGCAGCATCTACCGGCAACACCGGCAGGACGACAAAGCTGCACACTGCGGGCGAGTGTACGCCTGGGAACGCCAAGAGTGGGTGGCCTGAATAGTAGTACTCTAACGCTGCCAACATCTTCATCTTCTGGCGGAGGAGATTTTGACCCGCCTGGTGCGCAAGGTGGAGCTGCTGGACCACCTCTCTTCGACAATAATCTTGGCGCTGGTCCTCCTTGTGTATACAACATCAACAACAACCCACGTGGAAGTGCTAGACTTTCGACCACAGGCATGGGCATTGCCCCACCACCAGGGAGAAACTCTCGCAGGTCTATAGCAGGAGGGTTCTTCGGTCGATCACCTATGAGCAGTTGTAACCGAACAAGACCTCCGATCATGCCAACACTGGTCCAGGTCGATGAGGAATCTGAAAACACAGGTAGCACAGGGTGTCAGAGCCGGTCTAGAGATCCCTCCTCAAGTTGCAGGGGTCGAGAAGCAGGAACACCAGGACCGCTTTTCAGCGCTAGTCCTGCGGTCCGAACCGGTGTAAGAACAAGTCTATCCGGTGCTGGAGTCGTTAATGGGGGAGCAGAAATTGGAAAAAATGGAAGTATACCTCCTGTAGAATCAGACCAGCACCAGTTACAAGTACCAGAAGAAGTAGCAATGGTGCATCAAAGTGCCGCCTCGAATAGCCTTATCGCCGATCACGTAGCAGATATGTCTCTTCAAGAGGAGCGTCGGCCCAGCTGGCTCTTCACTGATCACGGTACTTGCGACTTCGACAACTGCGGTCCCACAGTGCACGACTTCCGAGAGGAGGTTACCATGATGAAGAGCTTAGATCATCCCTCGATCTGCAAACTCTACGATGTAGTGGAGGATGAAGACACCATCTACTTGATTCTAGAGTACTGTGACGGCGGCGAGCTGATGGGACGCATTGACGACGATGATTTGCTCTGTGAGTACGAGAGTCGCAACGTTGTGAAGCAAGTAACGCAAGGCCTTCGCTACTGCCATGATCAGGGCATTGTGCATCGGGACATCAAGCCCGAGAACATCCTCTTCAAAAGCAGTGGACATGGCGGAAGCAGAGACTACGTAAAACTGATAGATTTCGGCATCGCGTCTTTTTTCACCGCAAAACAACCCCCGGCGAATACAAATACATCATGTGGTGCTCTAGTAGCGACCGCGACGGGAGCTCCTGGAGGCGCCGCGGTTGCTGCTGGACCCTCCTCGAGAACTTCTACCGAGAGCTTAGGAGGAGCTTTATCAAAAACTACAGAAAAACTACACCAAGAACTCACAAACGAGTATCGAGTTGGCACCTACGCCTATGTTGCTCCCGAGGTCCTAGACGAAAAAGCTAGACGTCTCGACGATAAAGTCGACATGTGGTCCCTAGGTGTGGTGCTTTACGTAATGTTGTCAGGGATAATGCCGTTTGCGGGTCCTTCGTGTCGCAGGGACATCGCAAAAGGCAATTTTCACCCTTTTTCGAAGGCGACAATATGTTAAGGCTCAGCTTTCAATGGTCATTCCGGTTGCTCACTGGGATCGCAGAGAGGCTCTCCTTAGAAAACAGGCAGAGAACAAGTAGAGGGGTAACTACAAGTAGAGGGGGTAAGTAACAAGTACAGGGGATGAAAGCACAGGGAGAACAAGTAGAGGGGTAACAAGTAGAGGGGGTAACAAGTACAGGGGAAAGCACAGGGAGAACAAGTAGAGGGGTAACACAAGTAGAGGGGTAACAAGTACAGGGGAAAGTACAGGGAGAACAAGTAGAGGGGTAACTACAAGTAGAGGGGGTAACAAGTACAGGGGATGAAAGCACAGGGAGATGAACAAGGGGTAAAGGGGTAAAGGGCCCTTTTCTTTCAGCATCACTGACCATTGAGTGCTCAGCTTTAAATATGGGCGCAGATCTCGGTCGAAGCAAAAGACTTGATCAGTCAGCTCCTGACAGTGGACCCAGCGAAAAGATTGAGTGCGCAACAGGTACTGCCAACCTGTTCATGGATTGTTCATAGTCGCCTTCTTCTAGTACTAACTAGTAAATACTCACTCCTGCTGTAGTCCTACACTATTTTTAAGATTCTGGTCACGCTCAGTCACGGTCCTAGAATACTCATTCGTTTTCATCTAGAAGGAGCAGGAGAAGCAGAATCAATGAATATGCTTCTTGTTCACCAACACCTTTAGAAGGAAGTAGAACTTTGAAGTTTGTTTCTTTTGCATTCGATGCTTCAATCGCATGACGTCTACTCATGATTGGAATTGCCTGAGACTTGTTACCCCAGGCAACTCATATTTATATTTATATGATTCCTACACGACTTACTGCTCATGCTGCCTTCCAACCTCAGGTTCTCGATCACCCCTGGCTCTGCAGTGCCCAAGTCCCCGGACGCAGCAGCATCGTTGTTAGCGCTCCTTCGGCATACGTTTGCGATGTCGTACGTGCTGCTCGCACATTAAAGTTGTTGAACCGGTTGAAGAGATTTCAGACGCTGTCTTTGTTTCGACGTCTGACGCTGGCGATCATTGCAGTGAAAGTACCGGATTTAACGCATGTGAGGTATTTGTTCCACGAGATGGACACCGATAATAACGGCGTCATCAGTCCAGAAGAATTCTGCGCTTGTTGGAGAAAATACGACGATGAGGACGAAGATCTCTTATTTGTTGACGAGCGAGGTCTTGCAGCTCCTGAGGAGCCTCTTCGGAATGAAGAAGAAGGTCATCGAGCACTTGATCGTGAAAGACGTCTCCAGCAAGTAGTAGGAATAGACGAAGACGACAGCAACAGTTTCGTGTCTGCACAAGCGGCCGCCTCGGTGACCAAAGGCCAGCATAGTGAGCGATTCTCAAGGACATGGAATCAGGAGGATGCTACCACAACTGAGCGAACGGACACGATACCGGGAAGCCATCCAGCGTGCAACACGACAACAGGCGAGCAGCACGTCGTGATTCGAAACATTCTCGATCCGCCCTCTTGGTTTTCACCAGCAGCGTCATCGCCATCTTCATCGCATACACATTACAGTAATCCGGTGTTGCCGTGTTCGGTTCCTTCTTTACCCGAACAAATTTCGTCAAGGGGAACTGCGATTCCGTTCTCCTACTTCGAGGAGATAACGCCGCGTACACTGTCAAAGGGCAACAGCATTGGAAGCCGCGACAGTACGAACTACGAGATGAATGTGACGACCACAAGTTGTACTAGCCGCGAACAGCAAAATGTTGGAAACGGAACAATAGTCGAAGGTGATGTAGTTGTGCTGGAGCAGAAGAACATGATGTCTCAACATCAGACTCAACAGGCGACGACAACAACGCCACTGATCCATCCCTGTTCGTCCACGTCGATCGTCAACATCAACACATCAGGGAGTGGATGTATGACTACTCCAGTCGACGAGTTTGGGTCGTCTCCATCAAGAATCCCTACGCCCAGCAACAGACTGGAAGCGTCATCTTCAAGAAGCACAAGCGGTAAGCTGAGCAATAACAATGTTGGCTATGATTCTGGCTGCACTTCTACTACCTTCTTTAGTGGCGACGGCGATGAACATCACTATTCAAGCATTTCTAAAAGATCATCTGGCTTCCGCAATACCAATATGGCAGCGAGTGAAAGTTGGAGCACCATTGCCTCTACTCTAGACCACAGCAGTTCTAGAAAGCAACTCCTCCCACTTCCTGGAGGTGCAGGTGGTGCCAATGGCAATGGTAGCACAGCTTTGCCTACGTGTGGGAGCTCTGACAACATCTTGGGTTGTTTGCGTTCCATAACGGCCGACAGTGCGGACTTCACAAGCAGGGGTGACCGGACCGCATTGTCGATCGATGACACTTGCTCTTCCGGATTTCACTCAACATGTAACTACGCGATGACGTCTTCTAACAACAAGGTCGTGAATATTCCTATTCTTGGGGAAGATGCCCCTTGTTCTACTCTCGAAGAAACTTCAACTTATACAACTAGGGCGAATACGGCTAAAAATGACGATGAGCTGGACATCAACATAGTGTTGCAGCCACAACAAGTAGTTGACGAACACGTCTTTGTGAAGCCAACATATCATTCTAGATCTTGTAGTTCTTCTAGCATTGTTGCTGAACAAAGTGCATCAGCTACCGAAAAGCATCATCAATACACTCCAACTGAGCGCACTGGATCGTTTTCTTGTGCAAGCACTGCCTACCCCCTTTCAATCAGTGGAAGGACCAGCACTTCGTCGGTGCCGTCTACAACGTACACGCCAACAGCTCGCGGCTCGTCCGGAAGTTACAGCAATTTGTTCTTGATGCATCCCTCCATCTCCAATGTAGTTGGAGGGACCTCCAGCAGCACTGCGGCGCACACAAGATCAAGAACTCATCATTTGATCGCAACGGGTGGCCCTGGCCACCAGCAATCTGGTGTAGATTTTCAGTCTGGAATCCCGAGTGGACCGGTGCAGACGTTGCAAAATTATTTTCATCCCTCCCAAGATCAACTAGTCGATCCACAACGTCAGGAGCACGAACGTTCTCACTCTTGTTCTTCGGTGCTGAGCAGTGATAGTGTTTTGGATTTCTTGCCACCAGGCTTTAGTTTTGGGCCTAGCGGTCACGGTCTACGACCGATTTCGCCCATCCGCGAGTGCGAAGAACTAGAACTTTGCTCGCCTAGTGCCTCCGCTCCGACCTCACCGGCTGAGAACGCTGGTGGGGGTACAGGAGAGAGAGGAGTGGAAGAGAAACTTGACGAAGAGCTACTGAACAACTGTGTGCACCATGATGGAGCACAGCGGCGTCGCCCGTCCGTGCAGCATGATGGGCCCGCTCTAGCGAAGCAAAGCTCTCCAGTATATTCTTTCCGCCCTGGAGGACAACAAGAACTGACTCAAGAGAAGAAGAGATCGTGTCGCTCATCGGATGTCGAGAGTAAACGTCGTAGAGAGTTAGCCGCTGACAGAAGAGCCCTAGCCATTTTCCGGAGTCTGGACACAAACCGTGAGGGCGAACTCCACTATACGCAGATTGTAGCTGGCGTCATAAACGATAAGGCAGTCCTAGAGAACGACGATGTGATGTGGGAAGTGTGGCGCGAGCTAACGAGCCACAAAAAAGCACAGCTGCGACCTAGCGGAGGAGGAAATAATATTGCTCCTGTCGGGCAGCAGCAGTTTTTGGGTCAAGAGAGTAAAGACTGCCACTCCTTTTTCGAGACCACGACGACCACGACGCAAGGAGTGAACTCGAATTGCAGAGGACTTCAAAAGCCACAACAGCTGGTACAACAAAATGAAACTAGTGCAGCACCCTGCTTGAAGATAAGCTCCCTATCATCCTCAAGCGAGCACGATATTGACTTGTTGACGAAAGGAGGTATAGTTTCCGTGGACGAGGCAGTTACAACGGCGACTCTTTCATTGTCGACTTCGCCATCAACGCCAGAGGACAACAAGTGCAGTACTGCTTCTAGTATGAGCACAACAAGTACAGCGACTAATATCGGCAGCAAAAACGAAAACCACACAGCAAACTCGATAAACTTAGCCGAGGGCAACTACACGAGAAACACAGCTGCCGTTCTACAACACTTTAACAAAGTAGAGGTGATCTCTGGTTTGAATTTGATACAGCAGGCGTGCGACCAAGTCCAAGAAAATGAAGCTCGGTCGGCGGAGGGAATACGTGTTAACGTTCCCCGACGAACAGCCGCTTCACCTCGTCCTGCTCACGCGCAAATGCAGTTGCCTCTCGCTGGTGCCCATCTTCGTTTCAATGGAAATGTCGGAGAAACCGATGTAAGTGATGTTTCCGAGAGCGAAAACGCTTCGATTTATTTCCGACGTGGCTGCAAGGATCCACCTCCACCTCTGCTAGCGCTACCTGGTATAAGAAGAAGTGGAGCGAGAGACGAGTCAAAATTTGGACCATTTGAAGGCGAGCAAGAGAATCACGATACCTCACCAACTACACAGGTTACTTCATGGTCGTCCTGTAGCACCACTGCAGGAGGACAAAAAGACGTGTACAAAAACTCGGCTACATCGTCTACAACCATCACATCTTTCAGCAATGTGGTGGTTCAAACCTCGCATAAGCCACCTGGGCCAGGCCTCATGCTCGACGTTCCGAGTGAGTCGCCGCCGCGACTGCCTTTGAGGCAAATATCATTGAAGCCAGATATGGAATTGTTGAAGCAGATAGAATGCGTAAAACCACACGAAAATAACTCATCTGCTAGCTATGTTTTAACATCTTCAACCATATCCTCGTCTGTCTTGCCTAAAGTAGAGCCGAACCAGATTTGCGGTTCTGGCATAGAAGAAGCTCCTCCTGATGTAGTAAAGGAAATGCAGCAAGAACAAAAAGTAGAACCGCGGCTAAATGTCAACATGAACGATCAACATCAACTGGTTGTTCAGAATGATCTTTACAAGCAACTGCGCAGTGCATCTACGTCGTCGATGCCTCTACCTGGTGCTCCTGGAGCAGGACAGACGGTAGGATGCCAGAGGAACAAGAATGTTCACCTGCAAGTCCTTGATGGAGCAAGTTGTTCACTAGATCAACAACTTGCACTGCGTCAGGAAATACTAGATCCTGAACATCCTCAGGAAGGCGAAGCGGAGGTTCGCATCGATGTGGGAGATTTCCTGCGATTTCTGAATCGTGAGGACTGCTCCTCCGTTCGCAGGGAGCTAGAGAAAGAATGGCTCGCAGAAGTTGGGTCTCTTCGTGCCTTATCCTACGAGGAATTCAAACGTCTGCTAGTCTACTCTTCCTTGAGCACGAATGCTGTCGGGGGTGGTTGCGCGAACAGCACTGTTGGAGGTGGTGGAAGTAACTACAATTGTAGTACAAGTTCTAGTAATGTTGGCGCTGCAGCTCCTACCAGCAGTGCGCCGAGGGGAGGAAGGGATACCTCCTTCACCGCTAGTTCTGCGCTGCCCATATCAATGCGTTCAGGAGCTGGCGAAAATGTCGCGCCTCCGCAGGTTTCAGGTGGAAACTTATCTGGTAGAGGAAATTTTGCTGCTTTTGGTGATGCACCACGACCACGACATGAAGGTGGAGTGATCAAGAACGCATCTTCTTTTGGAGGTACAGTGGAAAATACGACTGAAGCTGGAGTGATCAAGAACGCATCTTCTTCTGGAGGAGGAGGTACAGTGGAAAATACAACTGAAGGTGGAGTGATCAAGAACGCATCTTCTTCTGGAGGAGGAAGTACAGTGGAAAATACAACTAGTAAAAGGATGTTAACGACGAGTGCAGGAGATGAAGATCATGATACAAGTACAAGTACATCAACAACCCGAAGTAGATTACATCAACAATCCGAAGTAGAGGCGTCAGCGTCACCTAAGGGGGTTCCGGCGTACACAAGCTCAGCAGTGATCAGCAGCGAACATGGTGTTCAGAGATCATTCTCGACAGGAGACGCAAGATCTCACGTAAGTCTTCAAGATGGTTGCTATACCCAGAAGCAGAGTCAGGAAGGGCATAATAGCGATTTGTTCGGCAGCTACAAAAATAATACCACTTCTACAACATTACCTCCGCCTCCTCCGTACGCCACCACTTCTTTACCAATTAAAGATACTACGTCAACATCAAACTACAAGAACAACTACGATAAGGGTCCTCACAATAGGACCAGCGCGAATTCTTCCTCCACAGTGGCGAGCTCTGCGTCGGCGTCCGTATTACCTTTTTCCGCTACACCATCTACAGCACCTCCCGCCGCATTACCGCCTTATTCTGGTGCTGCTGCAGGAGGGCTGCCATCGACATCATCTACTTCAGGATACTCGTCCTCAATGGGAGGCGGCGCAATTGCGTTTCACCGCGGGGGAATGATAGGAGGAGGTGCAATTGTTGCTGCGGGACGCGACCGCACGGTAAGCACGGACACTCTGCTGCATGAGGCGTTGTACACACCCCGTTTTCGTCGTGAGGAACCATTGTGGAGATGACAAGAAACATCTCACTCTCATGTAAGCAATAAAAAAAGTGATTTCACCACGACCAATTATCTTCAGCCTCTAGTTCTTATACTGAATGTTTACCTACCCGCCAGAAACACAACCTCTCTTCGCTGATGATCAGCGACGTATACCTGGATGTTCCTCTATCTAGAGGCTGAGCTGGATGTTCCTCTATCTATAGCCGAAGAGAGGTTCATCATAGGTAGGAACATCTAGAGCTCCTGTGCTATAGAGATATAATGTAGCTATATTTGTAGTAGGAGCTGTATTTATACTTCTAGCAGGAACATCGGAGCTCGAGCTGTATTCATAGTAGGAGGTACTTAAAAAGTATCATGGCTCTCCTGCCAGAAACACAAGCTCTCCCCGCCAGAAACACGACCTCTGCCCGCCAGAAACACAACCTAGACCACGACTAATTATCAGCCTCTAGTTCTCATTCTAGTAGTACATGTAGATTCATAACAGCAGCATGTCCCTGACCCTGATAGGTAAGAACCTCTAGACGTAGACTATATAGATTTGTAGTAGGAGATAAAAAGTAATATGGCTGATGGATCATGTGAATGTTTACCTGCCCGCCAGAAAAGCAAGTTCTCTGCCTCAATTAAGTTCCAGCGGAATTAAGTACTAGCCTTGTCTTCGGGCTTATTTCTAGTCAAATTATGTACTAGTAGAAGATGGTGACCTAATATTCTTAAGCCTAAACAAAGCTATTAAGCGTGTCGTGTATTGACCAAAAATTCAACATTCTTCATTTCTCAGTTCTTCATTTCTCAGTTTATTTGTTCGACGTGGACTAACAAAAGTACTGCTTTCAACGAATCTTTCAGCATCATCATGCTTCATTTTTCCGTTACGATGATTCCTTCTTGTTCAGCATCTGATATACAAAAATTTGAAATAGTACTAAACAAGGCAAAAACATGTGCGACACCAATCGTTAGCGGACATTCTTCAGAGTGATAGCGAAAAAGTTACTGTATCCACCTCAAGAAATACAAATACTTCATCCACCTCATAACAGAAGCTTGATTTTCATCAAGCGAGATGAACATGAAATAAGTTCTTCTTTTTACAGAGAGGCTTGGCTTCTAATGGGCAGGCAGCATTAGCAAGAAAGCTCGAAGTTTTCCACTCCATGAGCGACCCGATTCAAATCCTCGTGGTGCCAAGAAAGAGGGAGGGCCAACCAAGAAGAACAGGAGCATAAGCCGTTGATACAACGAACCCCTGCTGACAGTTTTCTCATACAGAGCAGCAGGAGCAGGAGTAGTTTTCAACTTCTTCATAAGAAGTTCATCCTGCAAGTACTTAGCAGCATTCTTCTAACTGGTACAATCACCATCACCATCATGAGATATTTCCACATTTGTTCGATGCAGCATACTACTTCGAAGATTTTTTTGTGATATCTGCTCCACCCCTAGGTAGAGTGCGTGGTCGCTGTTGTAGCAGATCAGGCACTCTGAGAAGGAAGGAGCAGTCAAAATATTTAGAAATAATTTGTGATTTATTGGACATCATGATCTTGCTCTTTGTTGTGGTGTAGTACTCGTAATCGTATCGACTGTGAGACAGTGAGACAAAAGATGAGTACAACAGGACATGAATACCCTATCTCATATGCCAGCTGAACAAGATCTAGATCTATTTGTACTCTAGTAATTCTCCTCAATCCCGTGTTTATTCGGCACGTCGGACTCCACCTGCCGCCGGTTTGCGAACTGGTTAAAACTAGGGCCACCCTTCCGGCAGTCTTGGAATACCAAAAAAAAAACGTGGCTGCGGTGGGGACCCCCTGAATCTGAACCTGAATGCCGCACACTCTTCCACTATGCCACATCATCTTGCACCTCAGTTGAATGCGCTTGAAGTAAGTAGTCCCCTTGATGAATATCCTTCCACTACCATAGGAACTTCTACAACAAGCTCTGTACTAGACCAACATTCATCCTCGTCTATTACTAACATGATGGATCAATCACGATGACGGACATATCCTACTTCTTAGCCTGAAAATGGTGGAGGGTAGCCACACAGAGCCTCCTTATCTAAGACTGACAGTATGTACTTCTTGATGCTTAATAAGACACGCTCTTGTTCCCCACGAAACAAAAGTCAAGAGGTATCATGACAATCAAAATTGTGTGGAGGACACGACCTCCACCTCTTTTCCATATAATTGCTGACTTCTGGACTCCATTCAATGTTCTTGTTTTTGTCTCTGCAAGCAGCACAACTCAGTTCTTCAAGTTCATAGCTTACCAAATTGAAACTTCCATCGAGAAGATCAACACGAGATGAAATAAAATGACGTTATAGTTGTAAAAGAAGGTGGTGGAACAATTATTTCCACATCAACAAGAAGCACGTGCTGGAGCATCTTCATCAAGAAGGAGGTGCTGAAGGACGATGATGAAGGAAGATCCACCCAGGAAATTATTGACGCGTTGGTCGTTTGTTGAAGATAAAAACGAGGAGAAAAAGAATGAAGATCAGAAGAATAGAAGGAGGAGCTTGGTTCATCATCATCAAATTGAGGAATCATGAAGATAAAGACGAGCAGAATTATACGATGATGAAGATCACGCAAGAAATTTGAGACCCTGGCTTGTTGAAGAATGAAGATAAGGACGAGAAGAATAGTACGATGAAGATCACGTAAATTGAGTTCAAAGAACGGTTTGAAGAAAAAGACGAGAACAACAAGGTGGACGGCTCTACTACCTGTACAAAGTTGAAGATACTGACGAGGAGATCGTCGATACTGAAGAAAGAGAATCGCCTGCTGGTTTGCGTTCATTGAAGATATATAATCTCATGAAGAAGAGGGTGCCAGCAAACGAGGCGAAAAGTTCCATGACGACTCGAAAATCCCAATCTTAACGATCGCACATCATCGAAGAACAATCTCGAAGCTTTTTACAACTACCTTGAGCTTATAATTACTCATCTGTTGAAAATATTTTTTGTCCATTTTCATCTTGACCTCCATCAACAACTCTCGTGTGACCAGGTGAAAACTAACAGCTGGAAAAGACTTTCTACTTTTCTTTCAATCCGAATTTTTTGTCGTGAAGACTAAGGCGTAGACGTCATCTTCGTGGTGATACAACATCAAAATTTTCACATCATCAAAGACAACTTAAAATCGTTTTTAGCTTTGCTAGTCATCTACTTATCTTCACCCCGTTCCCAGCACTTCGTTCCCACTTAGTTCATCCCACTTCCCACCACCACCAAAAACCATACCGCAAAATGGGAGACCAGGGAGAGTCTACGCGAGTGTTCGTGCACAACTTGCCGTACAACATGGACGAGAAGGACATCCGCGACTTCCTGCGCGATGCGGGTGAGATCCGCCATGTTGACGTAAAGCTTGGACGTGACGGAAGACCGCGTGGCATCGCTATCGTCGAATTTGAGAAAGATGAGGATGCGAAGTAATGATAAAAAAGTTCATGTGGTCTCGTTTCTTTTGTAGTTGGTCCTCTAGTTGTAAGTATTGTGCCGCGTGGTCATCTCTACTCGGGTCGCAACGGAACCAGGCAGTTACTTGTAGCTGCTACGTAGTTCGAATGAATGAATAAGTGAAGTAAATTGTAAATGCAGGCTCGTGTCGCTGTGGTCCTGTAGTTCCTACACCAATTAAACTGATCTTCCATCTACTGGCGTCTCCACCAGTAACAAGATCATCTTCATATCAAAGACACCACCGGGATCGGGTGTACTGCTTAAACATACAGGATACCCACACACTCTGTTCATTTCCCAGGTACTGCATCAGCAAGATGGACGAGACGAAGTTGGACGGTCGCACGATCACCTGCCGTGAGGATCGTGGCAGTGGCTATGTCCATCCGGATGCTTTCAAGAAAAAAGGCAAGGGCAAGTTCGAGTACGATTACGGACGTGGCTCTCCGCGTCGTGGTGGAGGTGGTCGTCACGATTCTCGTGCCCGCGGACGTGGACGCATTAAGGCTAGATATATCGACATAGAAGTCATCAAATGATTCTAATTTAAACTATCTCTACGGTGATCAAGAACGGTCAACATAACAGGGACATCCACATGACATTTCAATTTATAAACTAAAAGATGAACTCACTTTTCTTATCAAGAAAAAATAACAAGAATAGAAAAGAGCAAGAGGGTGGTCAAATACAGGCTCCTTTTTTGTTAGACCAGGATTTTTCTCGTTGCGCCACGTTCTTAATCCTTTTTTACATTTTGCGAGCCTAACAAGGCCCAACCTCTTCGGGACCGCTGGGGCAATCCCGTTAGCTTCGCAGTAAACCCTCGGAGCGGGACTCCCCTCCCAAGAAAGGCGAAGTGTGGACAAGCGCCTCCAGGGGAGTCCCAACCCTTGGGAGGCTCGACGCGGAGGTGCTTTGGAGGGGTGGCCAAAGAAATAGAGGCTCCTTTTTTTGAATGTCGTACTTCATCCTCTAATCATCGCGGCGATCGCTATGGTGCAGGCTCTTCCCGTGGCTACGGCAAGGGTGGCGGCTACGGCGGTCGTGGCAACTCTCGTGGACGCAGCCGCGGACGTCGCGATTCCCGAGGACGCGGAAAATAATACTAAATTTGATCTATTATAAGGTTTATAGTAGATAAAGTAGTAGGAGATCTTCCAAGATTATTTGAAATTGATTGATTTTTCGATAAATCTGGAACTGGGAAGTAGAAATTGTTAATAAGCGCATACATGGTTCACAATGAAAAAAGGTGGAGAGGCGACGACGATGCAGCAATTTACCTGCTAAAATACGTGTGCGCTTATTCATTTCTATCTAAATCTATACATAGAAGCAAGTACTTTAAAAATATGGTTGTTCCTGCAACTCACCACGAGGACGGTGAGATCTTAACCTCGACGATGAATCTTATATCATATCAACAATCTAATACAATTCTAATCCAATCACGACTTAATGATCACGACCACCCAGAAAAATCGACTAGAAGACGAAATAGTACTAGCAGCTGATTATAGGCGGATACTTATTAACATACTTAATAAAATGTTCGCGATCTTCTTCCTCTCTCGTCTCGAGAAGGTAATATCTTTGCAACCGCTCGTGTATTGTAGTGTCAAAAATGATGCTGGAAAAGAAAATCGTAATCTACTATCATGTTGTAATCATACATAGTTGGTAGCGATCCCCCAAACGATATCTGATTGGTTGATGATATCTTCGCTACTTACAACAACTTTGATTGTTGATCGTGATATTATGACTCGGATACGACGCACGTCTAGGAGATGAACGCTATCGTTACGCACAACGATGGAACTATGTTGTATGACCACCGCCCAGGAATCATCTGAGAGGACAAAACAAGGAAGATGAAACGATATCTTCATAGTTCCTTTATCGGAACTGGAAAATTGCTACTACATCAAGACGCAGCCACACCCACACGCTGGTAGAATTAGGGCGCTCAGACAGGCACTCAGACAGGCTTATGCTGTTCGTTCACAGCTGCTTCTATCAGGAGATTTTTTCTACGGCAGTTTCCGTCATTGTCGAGAAAAATGACTGCCAACGAATTATCGAAAAAGCCCGCGAGAGAAAGAATTAGACACAAATCCAACACTGAGCGAATAATGGTACTTTCTGAGTTTTTAATGTGAAAAAGTTGCGTCTATATTCGAGTCAAAAAAAGCAAGTCGTGGTGCCTGCAAAGAGGTACTATAACTCGTATCCATCCTTCTACAGGAGCAAAGCAACTACAGAATTTCTTGGAGATTAGAAAATTCGAGCCAACAAAATGAAACTACCACGCTCTTCGACTCCTACTTAGAGAAGATGTTGATGATGAAAGAAGCTTGGTGAACTCAGAAAAAGTCTGAAAAGATGCAAGTCCTCTTACACCCTGGTCAGGAGATAGAAGGCGACCTTCTCGGTCGCTTCCAAGAGAACTTCCGCTTGCTGGACACGAACAAAGATGGAAAGCTGAGCCACATTATGGTGCAAGGAAATGGAAAAGTGAATCTTCCTGTCGGGAGACAAAAGATAGTAGTCCAGATGTTTTCAAACTCGATCACACATTAGACACATGGTCAAGGGTGGCTACAACCACCTAATTTTGTTCATGTTCTGGGGACGACACATGTACTTATTTTCGCCTCCTCCTTCGCGATGTAGTTCTAGTTGATCTTCATGAGCAAGTGCAAGAAGATCTAGATCATGCATATCTACTAAGCTCGATCTCCTCCAATTTTTCATTTTCTCCTCCAATTTTTTCTACTTGAACGTCAACCCACCTCTTTTCATTCTTGAAGAAGTCGGGATCCTTTTTCGAGCGTTCGGACAGAATCCTACCGACGATGACCTAAAGGGGATGCTCCAGGAGTTGCCCCAGCTAGTGGAATTCGACCTTTTTCTGACGTTTTTTCGGAAAAACTATCGACCGCCAATAGGAGAGGACGTGTTGGTGCAGGCTTTTCAGGTAAGGAGGACGTTTTTGGGGAGGTAAAGCTATCGTCCTTCATCATGATTCAGTTAAATTTGAATGAGTGTGAGTCTAGGTGGAAAAAGGTGTCTCTTTCTTACGTAGCTCATTGTATTCACATTGTTTGACACCAGGGGGTGGTCATATTAACGAGTATAAGGAAGAACAGACGATAACATGGAGCTAATCGGAGCTAATCTTCTTGTAAAAGAACACGAACAACTTGGTTCCCCGAATCAGGTTTTCGACGTAAAAGATAAAGGCGTTTTGAACGTTGAAAAATTCAAAGACGTGATGGCATCCCTCGGAGAGCCATTGCCCGTATCTCAGATCACGGAAATTATGAATGAGGTAGTACTTCTCACTTGCTAGTAACTTAATCTAATCACTATTATACGTTCTTGTTACCAACTTTTAGTACTCGTTTTTACTATTAACTAACTACAGATCTTGTTTCATTTAGTACTATTAACTAACTACAGATGAATGATTAATTTCATCGTAGAGAACTCGTGTCGTGCACTTGGAGGTTGTGAAGAAAAATTTCATGTTGAATGCGCCAAGTAATGCCTTATCCTTTCTTCCCAGTCCCTTCCACCAACCACCTGCTCTACTCATCACCCAAGGTCGAAGTGGATGAGCAGGGGAATTTCGACTACGTGGAACTTGCGAAAACGTTAGTGCAAGGTCCGAAAGGACTTCCTACGAACTAAACCGACTTCCTACGAACGAAACCGACTTCCTACGAACTAAACCGACTTCCTACGAACTAGCATGAAGTTCGTGGATCGGAGGACTCATATAGATACTATAACGAGGCAGAAGGAGTTGTACAAGTAGTCGTGCCGCGGATTGGTGTGAAGATATTACAGAAGATGAACTTTTTTTAGGAGACTGCAACTGCTGGGGAACTAGAACTCGGAAATGATAAACTTTTTTCTCTTGATGAGAACTTCACAACTTTGATGAAGATTTGTTTTTGTATGTGGGACCACGGTTCGTTTGATCAAAGCTGCAAACGCATGACTTGCTCGCAAAGCAAGTCGGTATCATGAAAAATTAAGTACATGATATGTCGTGATAATGAGAGGGCCGCTGATACGCCTGTCACGACGGTTGTAGCATTGAAGTGAAATGCTCGCAAAGCAAGTCACAAGAAACAACTATTAATACCGGACTCGTCTGCGTCGCGCCAGGGGAGCTCATCTTTTGACGTTGTCTTAAGCCTGTTCACCAGTTCGTGTAACCTCTGAAAACCGTCATTATTCTGATAGAGTTAGTGACGAATCAGAGTAAGTATGCAAGAGTTGCAAGTTGACGTCTGAAGATGACGTACTGATTCAACAGATGAGCTTAGGAGCAATTAAACTGCTAGAACTAGATCAAGTAGAAGTTGCACCATTCGCGCCACTTTAGCGTCGCTACTTATCTTTAGAACAACTTCTTGCCACTTGCGCCCCTCCCCTTCGCTACCTACCAAATCAACACATTGACAAATTCAAAAAAAATCATAGAGATGGAGAGCATCAAAATGACGCCGTCCCTGTCTTCGACATGACATTGTGAACCAATGCTTCGCGTCTGGCCTCGCCATGTCGTGTTTGCTCTGTCCAAGCGTCGGCCCGCCTGGCGGGGGACTCGGTAGGGAAAGAAACACATCACCTCTCGTAGCTGATTGGTGAAGGTCTTGCACGACGGATCGGCGGACCTCATAGAAGCATTGATTTGCGTATAAAGAAACGACTTTTGTCAACGCCAACAAGCGACGCCGTCTTGCGCTTGCGCTGTGGCAACTTCACTCATAGAACAAGATCATGTCGAAGCCTCCTGGTACCATATTAAGTACAGAACGGGGGATGGATGCACGAGGAAAACCACCTGCAAGCGGCTCACCAGTCGGAGGAAATCAGTATTTTATGGGCACCAAGAACATAAGTGGTTGTATAGATGCTGGATCAACTTTGACCTCGCACTCCTTCTGATGAATCGCACTCCTTCTGATGAAATGCTGGATTTATCACCCTCCTTCTGATGAATCTTCACGACAGGAAAGACTGGTTGCTATATTAGGATTACTAATCCTAATAAATCAGCCTCATCTACTTCATCTAATTCTCCATTCTCCCCACTGAGTGGGGTTGCTGAGCCGAACATGGCTGCCACTCCTTTGCAGTCACCTGGAGTGCAAAGGACCGCCGCCACAGGTAAAAACATAGCGGAATGCTGTACGAACAAGATCAACATAAGCGTCGCTGTCGCTTTTTTCTGATAAAGAGGAATTTTGAACAAATAGATGAGTATTTCTACTGCTTGAAGATGTATCTAGTAGTTGGACTTTCACTCTGTTTCCCTATGTGAGGAGATCTTGAGATTCTCCTGTCGAGATCTTCTCCCTGTCCAGAGCTTCAGCAAGATTCCTTTCATTCCTCACCAGGTGGCCCCAACGGCACACCCGAGAAGAAGGACTATGCGGAACGGAGAAAGAGTACTAGGGCATCAATGACAACAGAAGAATTGAGGGAAAGCTTAGCACAAAAACAGCGGACAACGCGTGTGACTACGGATGCGTCAAGTCTCCAGTGGCTGAATGTGCTGGTAGGAACTATATGGCCGCACGCGAAGACAGCCATACAAGAGATAGTGGAGAAACAGGTGATACCAGATCTCCAGCAAAACCCAGGTTTATCGGAACTTCATTTTGCGAGATTCAACCTGGGATCGAGGATGCCAAGTACTTTTTCTTATAGTACATATTGAATAAGTACTAGTTAGAAAATTATACCATACCGTTGTAGTAAGCATTGCCTAGCAATGAATTGTGATTATGCTGGAAATTTTAAGATATTGCCTGCGACTGCGACTCTCGTCCCCAACAGCATGAAATTCTATGCCATTTCGCAACATTCTCTATGTGTCGCCCCCGTACTTCTCCACCTTCTCGCGCCACCACCGCTCTCTTTCCCACCAAAAACAGAATTCGGACCAATTGTGGTGCATAAAATAGTGGATTCGAAGGGATTGGAAAAACTGCACATAGAGCTAAAGATCGAATACCAGAGCGATATCGACATGCTCCTCGACTCCGGATACAACGCGACTGTAGGTATCTTCACGGTTACTATCATAAATATTTTGGATAAAAGTTGCTAAAACAAACTGAAATTTCATCGCTTATTAAAGAAGGATTTTGAAATTTCAAGTTTCCAAAATGTTGTGTGTGAACAGTTGTGGCAAGGAAATGAATTTGGATTAAAGTTCATAAAACTGAAATTTCTTGGCTTTAAGAAGGATTTTAAAACTTCCAAATTTCCAAAATGTTGTGGGTGAACAGTTGTCGTCAGGAAATGAATTTGGATTAAAGTTCATAAAACTGAAATTTCTTGGCTTTAAGAAGGATTTTGAAATTTCAAATTTCCAAAATGTTGTGGGTGAACAGTTGTCGTCAGGAAATGAATTTGGATTAAAGTTCATAAAATTACGATTTCACTTGTTAAATCTTGGTTAAATTGAGGTCGGGCGATCGATCGTCTTAGCGCTTTCCGCGCTAATTAGTTGGTGGCAGTTTTTGCCATCAATCCGAAGCTTTTAAGCTTGCGGTATTACATGTTTTGAAACTTGACGATTGAGAACCCACCTCACAGATAAGATCCGAAATAGATCAGCTTTAGCCGGTTCTAAATGGTCTACTAAATCTCCGACAGCGGTCAACGAATTCAGAAAACTCACCTGACGAATCAGAGCCAAACACCTCAATCACACCATAGATCCCAAATTGTCTACCAAAAGCTCGTGACCGAAAAAAGTTGGGTACATTTTCGGTGAGTAGATCACGCTCAACGCTCACCCTTAATAATTGGTCGTTCTTTGACCGAAAAAGTGAAAGTTGGCACCTTTCGTTCATTTGCCGAGATCCAAAATTGTCGACCGAAAAAAGTGGGGTACATTTTCGGTCGTTATTTTCAAAGGTGAGGTAGATCCTGTCCACAGCGTCGAGATCCAAAAATGTCGACCGAAAAAAGTGGGGTTCGTTTTCGGTCGTTATTTTCAAAAGTGGGGCTTGTCCTCAAATAGTAAAGACCAGGCCGATCCTGTCCCCAAATAGTTAGGTATACCTACGCTACTCGAATACACAGGCTTTCGCTTGATCATCTAGATCGAACTTCGTGATTGATTTCGTCAATCCTTGCAACCAAAAAAGCAACCAAAAAAATGGCTGACATAGCAGGTCTCTCGACTCTTCAACAAATCCAGCTTTTCGCTGAGAATGGTGACCCTTTCCGGGCCACTGCATTCAAGGACGGCCCTGGCCGCCCCGGTGCCCATGCCTTGTGGAGTAAGCATGTGCACCGCAAGAAAGCCGACGGCACTGATAACCCCGACGCCATCGGGGACGTCCTTCTACGTAAGGCATTCGGTACAGCCCTCTTTGAGGTGAATGAGGTCGATGTGGTTTTACAACTCACCGACAAGGAGAAAATCACGGCAGTCCTCGAGGAGACTGCTCTACCGTCTTTCAAGGACGTAGCTCGCGCTAACGAGAGCCGCAACGACCTTAAGGAGGCGAAGGCCGTAGGTATTGTCCTTTCTGCTTTGCAGCTTATCCAAGTCGCACAGCGCAACAAGGAGAAGGAAGAGGAACGGAAGCACCGCGATGACCTTACGCGCATCGCTATGGGGGCCTCTTCCCTCACAACGAAACAGCCGAAGAAAGTCGTGCAACTCGCACCGCGCCTGACGGTGCTCGGCATCGTCTCGGACAAGAACAACCTCATCCCAACGCAGGACCAAGTCAATTTCATGCGTTTCCAGATCGAGAAGGGCTTCGCTTTTCCTTTCGCGGACCTGAAGTCCGGCCCTTGGTACCCCAAGAGGAGTGACTGGGTCATGAAGCTTGGGCTCGGCGAGAGTGAAATCAACGACACCATTCGGGAAATTTCTGCCACTATGGGCATGGATGCCCAACGCTCAGAGAAACAGCTACTAGCGGACGCAACCGCCAAGAACAAGGATACTGAACTTCCACCCTCGCAGTACTTGTTCCTTCACGGGAAGGCGCTGATCGCTTGGGCCGCCGCCAGTGAGGGCCCTACCATAGACAATCAGTTCACCGCGATCCTCCATCTCTACACTACTGCAATCCTCGACGCAATCAATCACTTCGGGCCGCGGGTCGTCACGTCTTTCGACGCGAAGACTCGGCAGGATTGGTCCGAGGAAAGTCGTCACGGCGACTTTGATATCATGGCCAAGATTCGCGATTTCCGCGGCGATGATTTTCGGGAGTATCTCAGCTTGTTCAACATGAAAGAAGATCGGCGTCGCAAAGCCAAAGCCGCGGACGATGAAGCGAAGCGTCGCAAGATTACGGTGCAGCAGCCTAAGGGCGGAAAGCCACCGAAAGGAAAGGGTCAGTCTCAACCCTCGGGAGCTGTCAACTATGACAACACACCACCGCGAATTCCTAAGGGGAAAGCGATGGGAAATAAAGGGGGTGGCGCCCTGAATGAGCGTCAGTTGCAGCAGATCCAGAATAAGGGGCAACTCTCTTCCGAAGCTAACGGGCGAGGAGAACAAGAACCAGGGCAGCAGTCCTGAACGTCCTCTCTTGAGGTTCGTTCCCCTCTCGTCGCACCAGAACACGCCACACCATCACGAGAGGGCGAAAAGGAACACAGTGGCGACCCAGCTTCGGAACTAGCCGATTCGGCTTCTTTTTCTAGTTCGGTCCCGTCCTCCTTTGAAGCGGGAGAGCACCACAGACAACAGGCCGAACCTTCGCAGAACTATCCTTGGGAACCTCCCTCGGAGTATATTAGTCCAGCAAACACGGAGCCGGTGGAGATCACGCGTACCCGTCTTAGGGTCAGCGAGTGGATATCGAACCCGGCCAAGTATCAGCTGGCGCTTCAGGCTTTTAATAAGTCATACATCAGGAGCGATTTCCTTCGCCCTTTTTCCGCTGCGATGTTTCTTCACAGCGAATCAGATCTGTCCTGTTTCTCGGGTCCAAGTAGAACCTCATCGCGTAGAGTTGTCCTTCGTGATGATTTCGCTGAGGAGGATATTTCTGATTGGGCAGAAGACGACGGAAGCGACACCGTCGCGGGAAACGCAACTACTTCGACCGCAATAGCACAGTTACAACATAGCACGGCAGTAAAACCTACTAGAAAGCAAGCCGGTGCACATGTCCTAGTGATGTCGCAGCAGGGAGTCTACATGTCTCTTCACGCCTCTACGATTCGGGGACATGTCAACCTAGCACAACAGTTTCGCTTTCCGCGTATTTCTCATGAACCGCTACCCCTTGATTTACAAGAGGCGGCAGCTTTCACAGCTGATAGCGTCTCCGCGCGCCAGAATGCGCGCCGCCTGGTCTTACAATTCTGGCGAAATAGGAAGGACGCACTCCCACGCGACACCTGGCTACCAGGTAGGCCGCAGATTTCAAAAATCGCGGTTACATTGCTCGAGGATATGATGAAGGTCACGGGCATCTTCGGGTCGCGCTTGGCCGACCGCTTGCGGATCGGTTTCCCAATCGTTGGAATTTTCGACGAGGTTGGAGTCTTTCCGAGGGCCAACCGCTCCCGCCCAGTTCAATCGGCTACGGATCTAATCATCAACAAGCACAAGCTCCTCCGCGAAATTGAAAATAAAGCACGATACGACTCGAAAGAAGAAACAGACCACATTTGGTCGTCCTTCCTTTCGGAGTGTGAGTCTGGGTCTTTGTCTGGCCCTTACTGTGTCAACGATCCTGAAGACGTTAAGAATTTGCCCACGGACTTCCTTCCGCTAAGGCGGTTCATTGTGACCCAGTCGTCCTATTCTGGAAGCTCTGGCACATACAAAACGAAGCTACGACCGTGCGACAACGCGAAACACAGTATGCTCATTGAAGCCTGCGCCGTCAGAACGCCGATCAAGTTGATGAATGGCGACCACCTCAACGCAGTCACCATGTTCCTGCAGAAGTTAACGGGACCACAGCAGCTCGCCTTTATCAAGAAAGACATGAAATCTGCATATAGACAGCTCTTATCTTACCGCAGTTTCGTGGTGGTAATCGCGAAGAATCCGACTTGCGGGAGGCTCTTCGGGGCCGTCGCGAAAGCCCTCTTGTTTGGTGAAGAGGCCGCGGTAATTAACTTCAACGTTTATGCGTTGGTGGCGACTGCTCTGGGTAGGCGCATTCTCCGCCTCCCCATCGTGTCTTACTTCGACGACTTCGGCTGCGTCGTTCCCGCGCAGGATGCTCAGCGTGCCTCCGAAGACATGGACACATTCTTCACCGACCTCCTCCAGATCACTTTTGAACGGCAAAAAGACGAACTTGGTAGCCGTATTAGATTCCTCGGAGCGTTCCACTCCACGACCCCAAAGGGGATTACGGTCGAAATCTGCCCCGTAAGGGCCCAAGAAGTTCAGCGCCGTATTGGTGACTTCTTGAGTAAAGGCAAACTCCACCCACTCGAGGCGGAAAAGCTTGCAGGAACTCTACAATTCTGCTCAAGGGCGTCATTCGGCAGACTCGGCCGCGCCTTCCTCGTTCCGATTTACGGCCGGGCCCAGATGAAACACCAGGGCGGCGCGTTGGGGCCCCGCCTTCGTTCTGCACTAGAATGGTACCACAAATGCCTTCCAAGCTTTCGGTACGATATCCCATCTTCATCCGGCGAAGGCAACGACTTGCCGCCAGTTGTCTTGTACACCGACGCCGCGGGTTCTGGGCGTATCGGTGTCGTTTGCTTCGACGGCGATTGCCGGGCTTGCGCGTCCTTTTGGGCCATGGAGGCTGATATGTTCATTGAAATTTACGAGGCTGTCGCTGTCGCGCTTGCGTTATTCGCCGAGCGCATTAAAGGCAGGAAAGTCCTCGCTCTCATCGACAACGAAAGCGCACAGTGCGCGACACAGAACGGGTACAGTGACGACCCCAAGGTTCAAAAACTTGTCCTGTTGATATGGATCCTCGCGCTATCTCTAGGCATCGAGATCTGGTTTGAGCGCGTTACGAGCAAGCTCAACATCGCCGACGGTCCGAGTCGTGACTCTTTTGACACATGTAACGACTTTGGCTGCGTAATTCTTCACCGAGCTTCTCCTACTCGCCGTCCAGACTCGCCGACATTCACAATGGACACCTTTCGGGAGGTCGCTCAGAATGCGGCCAGAAGCAGACAAGCTGCGCCGTTTATGGTGTAGGACGCCCTCGGGGTCACGGGAGCTCTTCTATCTTGTCAGGAGCGTACTAGCTAGCATCGCATTGACTGACATCGGCGACTAGTGAAAAACTTACTGCGCTCGTGGGAACGCTCTAGAAGAAACAAACAAAGTCGGAGGTGAAACACAACGTTCCAGCGGGCCGCCAGGCTGGGACTGTAAGTAAAGACGTTACCCAAGAAATGACTCCTCTCAGTGCTGAAGTAGTAAGTAAAATAATGAGTAAGTAAGTAAGAAAAAACGGCTCTCCATCGTGCTGAAGTAGTAAGTAAGTAAGATAAAACGGCTTTCCGCCGTAATTCCGCCTGTTTCCATGGCTCAGACTTCCAGTTCCAGAAGGAATAGAATAGAGGAGCAAAGGGCGGCTTCGAAGTCGCTCGCTATAGCTGGTCGTAAATAAAAAAGCCACCTCATTCGCGCGGAATGTGCGGCCAGCGTTTTGCGCAGCCTGGTTCCCAGGCCAGCGCGCTCAGGTGTTCCACCTTACAGGACGATGCGTCTGCATATAATCGGTCCCCGCACTCGGTTAGTTTTTCTTTGGTTAACTTCAGTCTCTTCTCCAATAAGACGAGCGTCTCACTCGTAAGCTGGTGAATAGTAAAGAAAGGCAAAGTCTAGCGCTATACCTCGTTAAAGCTAAGTAACGCCGCTAGTATGTCTCTTCCGGACAATGATCCCGTCTCCCGAAGGAGGCGGGAAATAGTCAATATGTTCAAAAACATGGCTTGGTTTGACGAGCGGTTCATCTTGTCCTTCCGACCAACGCAGTTGTCGCTCACGAAACGGCTCCGCACCGCTTTACAAGAGCTCCAATCTATCGAAATAGACCGAACCCGTGAAAAGCGTGCAGGTACTTCATTTGGGCCTTATTTTAAGTAGTCACCTCAGTTGGCATCTGGGAGTAGGACATCGGCGACTGGGAAACCTCCCAGACCCCAACTGACGTGCAATTCTAATTGTCTTTTGACTAATTGCAGTGCTATAAACTATGAAGTCTTCTCGTGCTACGTTTTACTAGCACGGCGTCGCGCTCTCTGCACGCCTTTCGGCTATGTTCATAGGCCGCCGAGAGGTTCGTTTATCGTGGGGAGTTTTCTTATCCCACGTGCCTACTAGGCAGGATCAGGGTATCGAGTGATCGTTCTAATTTAATTACGATTTCACTTGTTAAATCTTGGTTAAATTGAGGTCGGGCGATCGATCGTCTTAGCGCTTTCCGCGCTAATTAGTTGGTGGCAGTTTTTGCCATCAATCCGAAGCTTTTAAGCTTGCGGTGTTACATGTTTTGAAACTTGTTTCTCACCCTCCTCTCTCCACCCCTCATCCCACAGATGCTCTGCGGGAGGAAAATCTACTATGCTGGTCAGTCGATGAAGCAATCCGTCTTCTTTCCGAGGAACCGGAAGCGACGCACCCAGATACGAAGGGGCTCCCCCTTGCAAAACGCCTCAAGCTTTTAAGCGAGGCAACTACGGAGGAACAGAACTCCATCTTGGACGATAGGGCGCACTCGCTACAGATCCAGTCTCTAGTCCCATCTTCGCGAAAGGGCTACATCTCATCCCTTAGGGGCTACCAACGATATTGCACCACCCGAAAAATTAGGGAGTTTCCTCTCGTCTTCATTGAGGTCAAGCGATTCTTAGGACTGGCAAATACGGCCGAGTCTGCAAACGCATGGCTGGCTGCGATAAAGAAGGCGTCTGTATTGATCCACTGCCCCTTCTCTTTTTCGTGCTTCGAAGAGCTCGAGCTAACTACGCTCATCAACGGACTGAAGAGAACGCAACCAACGAGAAAAGTAGCGTGCGCCATTCTGGGCCCACACTTACTCCTCATCCTGGACCACGCTCAAAAGAAGCATCAGCACCAGCTTCGAATGCTCTTGGCATTCTCGTACGTCTTCACTTTGAGACTGCAGGACGAAGCGCTACCACTAATACGCTCGGGCTTATCCTCGGCGCAGCATCAGTCTGCCACCCCCGAATCAGTTCGGTCTCTCGGAGTGCATAGCGCAGTCTTCAGGGCAAGTGACAACTCCGTCAAGATCATCTTCGCAAAACGAAAACAACATCAAGCAGGCGACATAGTGTCTCGCTCTTGCTTCTGCGGCGGGCACGACGTTTTCGCACAGTTCTGCCCAGTGCATGTCTTATTCCCTTACGTGGAACAGCATCAGCCTGGTGAGCCGCTCTTCCCGGCCTGCTCCTACGGCCAGGCCCTCGATTTCTTGAAAGAGGCCTTCAAGAGCATCGGCATCGTCTCGACCTCTTCCCCTGGTACGCACAGCCTTCGTCGCGGATGTCTCCAAACTATGGAGGCCATGAACCCCGACGCCAAGGAGCTCTTATCTCTTGGCCACTGGAACAGTTCTGCGATCCAGCGATACCGCGACTCTCGTCGCACTGAAGAGATCGCCCTTACCCATACATTCTTACCGGACATTTCATCCAGCGTCGAATCTGACTTAGAGGACAACAACGAAGTCGCCCCTTCAGGCGTGTCCACTTGATCCCCTATCCTGCTGAATTCTCCCCACAAACGAATCCCAGACCCCAACTGACGTGCAATTCTAATTGTCTTTTGACTAATTGCAGTGCTATAAACTATGAAGTCTTCTCGTGCTACGTTTTACTAGCACGGCGCCGCGCTCTCTGCACGCCTTTCGGCTATGTTCATAGGCCGCCGAGAGGTTCGTTTATCGTGGGGAGTTTTCTTATCCCACGTGCCTACTAGGCAGGATCAGGGTATCGAGTGATCGTTCTAATTTAACTGAAATTTCTTGGCTTTAAGAAGGACTTCGAAGTTTCAAATTTCCAAAATGTTGTGTGTGAATAGTTGTCGTCAGGAAACGAATTTGGATTAAAGTACATAAAACTGAAATTTCTTGGCCTTAAAGAAGGATTTTGAAATCTCAAATTTCAAAAATGTTGTGGGTGAATAGTTGTCGTCAGGAAATGAATTTGGATTAAAGTTCATAAAACTGAAATTTCCTGGCTTTCAGAAAGGTTTCGAAGTTTCAAATTTCCAAAATGTTGTGTGTGAATAGTTGTCGTCAGGAAATGAATTTGGATTAAAGTACATAAAACTGAAATTTCTTGGCCCTAAAGAAGGATTTTGAAATCTCAAATTTCAAAAATGTTGTGGGTGAACAGTTGTTGTAAAGAAATGAATTTGGATTAAAGTACATAAAACTGAAATTTCTTGTCCTTAAAGAAGGATTTTGAGATCTCAAATTTCAAAAATTTTGTGGGTGATCAGTTGTTGTCAGGAAATGGATTTGAATTAGAGTTGATATAACTTGAATTTCTTGGATTTAAGTTTGGCTGTTGGGTTTTGAAAATTCAAATTTATGAAATTCTAGCGGTTGGCTTAGTATAGAAACTCTCAACGATTCAAATTCTCCACGATCTAACAGAATTTCGCCCAAGGACGAGTAGTGGTGCGTAGACGTAGAAAAACTTCTCAGAAACCCTCTCCTCAAGGTATCAGAAGCATTTTTTTCGACGGCACGTTGAACATTATCATCGGGCCTTTGCTGGACGCGCTTCCTCTCATCGGGACAGCACAGGTCTTTTTCGCGAACGTTCCGACCTTAGACTTCGGCTTTGAAGGCATTGCCGCGATATCAGGGCTCGAGCAGCTGATAATTGGACATGTAGAAGTTAAGGGTACTAGTGTTTAAGGGTACTGTGTGACATGTAGAAGTTAAGGGCTTCTTGTGACGGGAAGACAGAGTACACAGCAAAGGGCAAGGCTGAGGTGCGCAGGGCCAGGACAGTCCTCACGGGCCATGACGTTGGCGAAGATCATTATTTCATGTACTAAATGAAATTTGTCGCGTCAGCTCCGTCGTAGCCTGAGTAGAGAACTCATCCCTTTGATTTCACGAGGAGAAGCGACCAAAGAGAGTAAGTACAGTAGCATTTAGGGGAACAAGATCACTCGTCAGCCTCACGGATAAAAATGATCTTCATTGCCTACAGACTGCTCTAAAGAAGCGGCCATTCGCAATAAGCTACTGCTGCCGAACAAAATTGACGTTCCAGTATGCCTAGACAAGAAGCTCTTCAACATGGCGGACGCGTCTATGCCACCACCCAAAGGAGTACTGAGAGTGCGTGTTACAAAAGCCAGACATCTAGCAGGAGCAAAATGGAAGTTCGGAGATCAGGAGGAAAGGTAGTGGTCCTGGGAAATGCAGATTTTTGCGTACTAAAGTGAAAGGGAATCTTCTGAGCAAAATCAAACTAGTTGTTGGATGAAGGAGTTTTTTCTAACAGCGGTCGGAGGTGTGATCATTATTATACAGCACCTACAATCTAAACAATTCATCACCCTGCTTATTATACGCATTTGTTCCTTTGCACCTCATCACCCGTTCAGTTTCACTTCCGACCCAGTGCCGGTATATCGTTTGGGTGGCGGTGAGCAGATTCGGGGAGTCCAAAAAAGTGACACAACGGCGCCTGATTGGACGAAGACGGAAGATGATTACTACAGTTATGAATTCTTGCCTAGGATGAAGTCAGGCATCATGGATGCCCAAATGTTAAGTCATCTGACGAAGGATCAAGTAGAAGGGAAAAGCACTACCTCTACTAACTTAGAATAGATGACCTCTGATGCTGCATCTCTCACTTAGTGTTAGTTATGGACCTAATAAAGATTAACTAATCCACTATCGTCTAGAACACTCTCACTTACTAGAGTATTAGATGCTCGTCCTCTAATACAGCAACTTCGGCTATTTCTTAGCGTACTCCGCTCAGCAAGAATTCAACGTCGAGCTGAGGGATCCCGATGAAGGACGACCCGCAGCAGCCAGGCTCTTTGGACAGGGAAACTTCGTTTCGCACCTAGGCGAGACTGGACCCATACCTTTGACAGAAGTGGACTCTTGTTATGGAAATTCGCTGTTAGAGTTAGTGTGTATGGTGTGAATCAATTTGCCTATGATCCTAGCTTACGTCCTTATAAATATTTCTCGATAAACCACGTAATCTGATCAGGAGGAAACAGCGTTAGCTGGTCATCGCATCAATCGATTCGAGAATTAGCCCTTTTCCAGATTCTGGCATCTTAAAGCGAACGAAACATGTTGTGGCGAGAAAAATTCTCTTTCTAATACTGGAAATGTGTAGACGAAAAAGAGCACGTTTACAGGGAGCAAATCTACCTCGACACAAGCAAGGTTGCGACGAGCATGCTCCATGTGAACGATCCGATTTGTCGAGGTATTTTTGAATGCTGGTACTCGATTTGCCCCCTTTGCAGCAATGTCTGGTCGTCTACGGCAATGAGCTCAACAGCAACTGAACTTCTAGCTGATGCTCAAGAACATACTAATGTAACTTGTCGTCACTACAACCGCATCTGCGGACATCATCATCATCATCATCATCATATTTCCGCTATCAAATCTATCTACAACAACTAGGTGTCCGCTCAATAATCGAGGTTGAAGCACAATGGATGAAACTTTCGAGAACTCGCACTGGTGGTCGCGCAGCACGTGGGAAGAACCCATACGTCGTTTTACTAGTGAAGGTTCATGAAGCAAGGAATGTTTCAGAGTTATGAAGCCCTACTACTATTTGTTTGACATCAATTCCATTTTATCTACCGTAGACCCTGAAAAACTTCTGAAGCAGGTTAGACGTTGTTATCCACGATAATTGATTTCTTGCGCACCAGGCAGTACTACGCAGCACTTCTAGCAGTATATTTTGTTGTAGGTCGTGAAGGTGGAGGAAGCTCATCTAACCCTCTCCGCAGTGAAAGAGGGGCTCTCGGTAACCGCTTCGATCCGAGGTTCTGCCCAGGGTCCGGAAGCAGCGGCTGAGTACAGTATGTCTCTAGTCTGTAGAGTAGTTTGTTCCTTTTCCTTAGATCATAAAGTTGCAGTCGGAATATTCGTTTTCGTTTTTTTTTTTAGACTTAGAAACTATTTGGGAAGTATTAAGTAGGATGTGTTAGAACAGTCATCCACATAGGACGTCGTCTAACGTGTCGCCCTTGTCAAGTATTACGCAAATACTACCTAGCACTGTTGTGTTAGGGAAGAAACTTGAGTGATGCATTTGAAAGAGTCACATCGTCTTGATGGCTCTAGGCCTGAAGATCAACGCCATGATCTTCTTCTAGTTGGTCCCTCGGACTGTAGTCCTTCACCTCAATGCTTATGGTAGTTGATCTATGTATTGGCCTGTTTGATCTAGCCACTAGCTTCATTGTGTAAGTGATGATAGTGATCTTGATGCGATTGATCTACGACCTGATTGGTAGGATCTTTAGGTGCAATTTGATAGGTTGATAGGCTGATCTTATGTTGTTCCAACATTCCCCCCTTCGTTACGGCGGAGCGAATGAGGATAACACAAGAGAAACCAAATCAAAACCTATGCATTTAAATCTTAAACATTCCATTACAATTATTTTTTTTTTTTTGATTACTTTCAAACAACCCACTTAGTGGCTACGGTTTCAATGTTTTCGATACCATACTAACGCAACTTTTTAAAAGTTGCAACATGCTGACCTATGCGAGGAACGTATAAATATTTCAAATAATTCACGTCACTTACTGCAGATAACATCTAACGATTAATACTTTACTTTGTGGCATTGCATATACTTTCATCATGTTTAGGTACTTAAACAGGTCTGCAGACTTAAAACTTAATAATGCTTACATAATTTTCTCAAACTTAACTTTTCTAAGGGGGTTACAGGAGGAGCTCAACATAATAACTCACGAAATCTAGACACTCCTCGCTAAATAACTCCGTCTCTTTTATTTTCTTCTGTGGAAAAATTATGTCAAGAGCTCCTGCGTTTGACGTCTTCGCTAGACCATCAGCTCGCTGAAGATCTGTCGGAACAAATACAATCCTACTACCGTTCTCGATCACCTTCGAATGTCGGACTGCGATGTGTCTTGTAGGCCTTGTTAGCTCGTTCTTGTGCTTCCTACCGCTGAGGACTGCGCTTCTGTTATCGCACAGTACCGGGCCTTTACTTTCTTCTTGTACTTTTTCCGTCCGACCTCGCAAGAACTCGAGCAGCAGATGCGGCCCATCTGCCATTTCTATCGCCTTGGCAGCTGCGACCCATTCAGATTCCATGCTCGAAGTTGCGGTGACCGTTTGTGGTTGGCTTTTCCACGCCACCGGGAACCCGTAGAGGTAGATGACAACACCAGTGACGCTGCGCATTTTCTTGTAGGTGGACGCAAAGCTAGCATCTCCGTATGCGGTGACCGGATGCTTCAAGAGCTCCGGGCAGATCTTCTTGTTCTCCTCGTGATCACCTAGTTTAGCTAAATCTTTAAAGAATGCTTTCTCTGTTTCAGGCGAATACTCGATCCCCTGACGCTTCGAACCCGCCAAGTAGCGCAGGACACGTCTTCCAGCGTGTTCCATGGCTTTATTCACCGGGATGGCGGTGGCCCTTGCTAATTTGTTAGTTGCAGCTCCAATGTCCGGCCTTGCCGTGACAGTAAGCCACTGCAATGCGCCAACAAGTGCCCGAAAGGGGAAAGAGGACGGGTTTGCTTTGTCCTCATAAAGCGGCGCTTCATCGAAATCGGGAGACGGCAAAGTTTTTAAATCCGGCTGCGCCATGTCGAATTTTCGCAGGACCTTGTCTACGTAGTTGGCCATGTTGATCCGAAGCACGCGACTCTTTCGCGAATAAATGCAGTCTGCGCCTAACAGGTCAAATTTGACCGCGTCAGGCAGCTCCGGCGTTGCTGCTGGAATCATCGGGATAAGAGAGATAGGATGCTTTTCGTGGACTTGTTGGACCAATCTGTCAGCCTCAGCCTCGCTCTTGCCCATGACGACACAATCATCAACGTATATCGTCAGAAGCGCCTCTATCTCTCTGTGTTTGTTGACCTTCTTCCAGAGGCCTGGCTCTGCTTCTGCTTCTACCCAGCCGAGTTCTCGCAAGTCCTTGCTAATTTGGTCGCCCCACAGTTTTGGCGACATCGGGAGTCCATATAGTGCCTTCAGAAGCATCCTCTTCCCATCATCTTCACCGGAGGCATCTTGAAACTGTGGCGGAACAGAAACCACAACGCGACGGTGCTGGATGGATGCCCTGATAAATGCATTCCCAATATCAAAAGCTTTTATGTGCCAGCCGTGTTTTGCTGCATGTGCCAAAGCTACTCGATTGCCCAACTGCGACACCACCGAAGCAAACAGCGAAGCGTCTTCGTTGCTTTCCGCCTGCCATCGGTTCCCAAGCACTACTAAACGCGCTTTGAACCTACCGCAGCGCTTCTGGCTAAGCAACAAAGCCGTAGGAGTACATCTTAACTTTCCATGCTGGAATTCCGCATACTCCTCCTCTTGTAATTTTCGCCAGCAACGATAGGCTTCCAACCTCGCTGCTTCGACGCTGGTTGCTTCTATCCACTTAGCTTTATACGGGTTAGCATGGTGAAACGCGCGCGATGGCGTAGTTGACTGTCCTGGGGGTACTTCGAAGTCAGTAGGATCACCCCCCTTCGACAGGAAGACCTCCTGATATACCAACTCTTCACCATCTTCAAAAGTTAAGTGAGAGTAGTAGGCCTCGGCGAAGTCCACATGCTGCATCTGCGCTTTTGTTCGTCGTTTCCTTGGCACTTTATCCTTAACACCTTTGGGTCTGCCTCTCGTTCTTGCAGTTGGGACTTCGCGGTGGATTGGCCCATACTGAAAATTGGGCGAATTGCCGTGGTTGCTCGGCGGAAGTTCAGACCCGGAAGCGTCGGTGCGCGGTGGTGGTACATCGCTGTGCCCAAGGGTCGCTTTGTTTTGCTTGTTCAACTCGATGGTCTCTTGAAGCGTGTTTGTAGGTTTAGCCTCGACCTCCGGCGTTGCGGGCGGTTGCGTGTTAGTGCCGCCTACAACCTCTTCCCCCTCGAGATCTACCGTGGGACGCACCCCAACGAGCGGAATACCACTCCCAGCGGGCCCATCGGCTGAAGCACGAGCGATCGAAGGCTTCAGCTTGATCAGGATCTGCTCATCCAAATCTGCTGTCTTGTCGTTGCAGAGTTCTTGTACGTTCTGCACTAGTACTCCCTCGAGAAATACCACATTTGCGCATTGATAAACCGCGAAACGATCGCTGTCGTTGTCTGGGAAACAGCCAATTAGCCAACAGCTGTCTTCGTCCGACCAACCTAAGTTGATTCCCCGTAGTGCTCTTGGTGAAAGCGCTGTATTTTTCTCATCTTGTTTGGCAAGTTCCGTTCGACCCGGACGGAAGATGGCCAAGCAACCAAACCGGCGCAAGTATTTCTTCTTGCGCTCTACGTTGACTTTCTGGAGCGGGTTCGATGTCCTCGCGTTTACAGCTTCTTGTGGAGCACTAACAGCGCCTGACTCTTTGTTCTTTCGTGGCATGAGATTCCAACACGTTACCACGTGCCGTAAGGCACAGTCCCACATTCTGGGATCAACGTGCAACATACATGACCGCAGTGCGTTCTTCAAACTTTGCACAGTCCGCTCCGCGTGCCCATTCGTCCAGGGCATGTATGGTATACTATAAGAATGAGCTACGGCGTAACGTGAACAAACAGCATCCATTTCTGCACTTTTCAGCGTTTCCTCGTTGTCCGATCGCAACCAAGCCTACGTACTGCGACTAGGTCCGTCTTTGTAGCACCGGTAAGCGCGTCTGCTCCACATTTGTGCCGAATCTCCCGTAGAAAGCTCTCTACTGCTTGTGGCGCGAAGCTTTTAGCTGGTAAGCTTCTAACCGCAACGTACTGCGTAGTGTTGCAGACAAAGAGCATCACTACTTTGTTTCCACGGTAAGTCTCCGGCTTCACTGGTCCGAAGAAGTCTGTTGAAAAGACAACGAGCGAAGCATTCGCTTTTTGCGACTCAGAGCTGCTAACATCGGCGCCAATTCCTCTAAATTTTGCTTGTAAGCAGTCCAAGCACGACGCTCGGCTCGAGCTGTCGTGTAAGTGCGCCACTCGCCAATGTTGTAAAAGTCTGTCTTCGCGTGTTCGCAAGCTGTCTCTTGGTCCTCTCCTTCTGCGACCTGCAACAGTGACGGCTTTCTTCGCACGGTGTGGTAGGCTTGTGGCAACGTCATCTGCGCGCACGTTGTTGCACGATTCTGCCAGAGGCGTGAACTCATATCCGGAGTGCGTTGGCAGACTGTTCTTGTCGAAGAGGTTTTCAACGCTAGGGAGCCCACTCGATGTACTCGAGAACTTGACAAACGCGCCCGTTACCGTGTGTCTTGCATAGTCACCATTTGCCTCAAAAACGATCTGCCAGCCTTCTGCTTTGAGTCGGCGCACCGACACTAACGCCTCGACAGGTAACTTCGGGAACCAGATAGCTTCCACTTTCTTGCCGGAGACGTTTTCGCTCAAGACGCCGAGGTGTCCCACGTCTGACCCTGCAACCCCTTTTATCTTTACTTTCTTACTGTGATCGATAGAACTAAAATTTTGCTTATCTCTAACTATATGCGACGTGCTACCTGAATCAATGATATTACTTAGAACACTTCTAGACGTATCAGACGAAATTAAATGCAACCCAACAAATAAATGACTGTGGTCAATTTTTGCGCAAGACGATGACAAATTTGCCAAACTAAAACAAGTAGATAAGTTACTCACTGACATACCACTATAACGATCTTTCTGCTGTCTATGCAGCTTTCTCTTTCTTTCCTTTACTACAAGTAAGACCTTTGTTTTTGTTCCTTAGTCAATTCTTCTCCTTCTTTCCGCCTCCTTTGCGATTGTCTTTGCCCTTCTGTTTGCCACCATGGGCAGCTTTGAAGCGACATTCTGTCGTGTTGTGCGAACGGAAAGCAGCTGCACGTGATTCGTCCCAGTTGAAGTGCTTCGCGCAAGTAGGGCAGTACTTTGCCGACCAGGTGCTGTTCTCGTTGTTCTTGCCGACTTTTCCGCCCCCCTTCTTTCCCGCACCCTTGCGTTGTTGGTGGCTATCGTTGCGACCATAGGGAGAAGGGCGGGCGTACTGACTTCCTCCTTTTTGTGCACGAGCGAGAAGTAGTTGCTCATCCTTGTGCTACTTGAGCTTCGCCTTCAAGCTCTGGATGGTGCGTTCGTCCTCGTTTCCGGTAATGACCTTGCTGACACTCTCCTCGCCCAGGATTCCCTTGGCTTCTTTCTCAGGCTCAACTTCAACGGCGAAGATATCGGCTTGCTTTTCTCCAGCGACTTCCTGGAACATAATGCGGGAGCACTTCTCTGCCAAATCGTCGGCGCTGTAACCGTTTTCACTCGCGGGGTGCTGTTTGAAGTCCCGCAAAATTTGCGCAACAGTCGGGTCTTTCGTAGAGATGTTTCTCATCAGTACGTCTCTGATCAAACGCTCACGCATCGGCCCAGCGGGGAGTTCGGCTCCGCACTTTGCTGCCATCGTTTTCAACTCCGCGACAAAGCCCATCAGATCCATGCTGCTGCGCTTCCAGTTGGCATTCTTCAGGGCGCTCATCTCCTTCTCGATCTGAACCCCTTCGAAGTACTCAGCAAGGCGGCTCAGCTCGTTCAGGACGCCCGCCAAATCATCATCGATCTGTTTGTTCTCGATCGCGGTCTCGATGCGCGCTGCCAACGTCTTCCCCAGCGACGCCTTGACGGCTCTGTGCAGCATCAAGCATAGCTGACTGTCTCGCTCGTTCAGCACCGGCGGGGGAGCCACGTTTTGGACCAGCGGCGTTAAGATGTCCTGCTCAAAGTTAAGGCGTCTCGTGCTTGCTTGTAGATTAAGGCCCTTATACCAGCGGCGAAACTGTGTTGCGTCGTCCACCGAGGGGAGCTCCAACAATGCAATGTCTTTCGGGTTCTGCAAAGCTTGTCCACTCACCGGGACAACAGGTGCTGCAGCTGGAGGAACAGCAGGCGGAGCTGCCGGCTGTGCGCCAGGTGGTTTCCCAGGTTCTCCAGGCGCTGGCTGGATGTTTTGATTAGAATTCCAAATGCGGTCCACCAGGATGGTACGATTGCCAAGACTGTTCAGGCCACATAGTTGCGTCCAGTCCTTGATTGCCTGAGCGGTGGCTTGCGCTGCGTTCCTATCCCCGGATAAGCTGACATCATGCGCGGCCAAAGCTGCCTGTAAAGCGTTCCTTGTTCCCGCTGCAGCTACACCCACAGCTGCCGCCAACAGCCGCAGACAGGGTGTGGAGAATTCGTCGAAAGTGTGTTGTGCCATTTTTTTTTTTTGAAAGTGTGAAGGAGAAGACGAAAATAGAGTCTAAATGTTTCAGTTGATATACTCAGAAGGTCGCAAGTTTTAGAAATTTGCTAACTTACGACAAGACCTTATTTAAATAAATTTGAATGATTTGAAAGTAAAAAAAAAAGGATTGCAAGTAAGGCTTATTTATTTTTGATTATTTTTGTGCTCATAAGACTAGGTAGACTGTTAGAACAGTCATCCACATAGGACGTCGTCTAACGTGTCGCCCTTGTCAAGTATTACGCAAATACTACCTAGCACTGTTGTGTTAGGGAAGAAACTTGAGTGATGCATTTGAAAGAGTCACATCGTCTTGATGGCTCTAGGCCTGAAGATCAACGCCATGATCTTCTTCTAGTTGGTCCCTCGGACTGTAGTCCTTCACCTCAATGCTTATGGTAGTTGATCTATGTATTGGCCTGTTTGATCTAGCCACTAGCTTCATTGTGTAAGTGATGATAGTGATCTTGATGCGATTGATCTACGACCTGATTGGTAGGATCTTTAGGTGCAATTTGATAGGTTGATAGGCTGATCTTATGTTGTTCCAACAGGATGAGGAGTAAGGTGAAGTTATGGAATAATGTGTGATGGCTGGAATCTTGAGTTACAACTTTAGTATAATATATATATTTATAGACTTAGAACTAACAACAACAGTCAGATTCGTCGCGTCCGATCTTTCCGTCTTCTTCTAAGCCTCTGCAAGCTCGGGCCAAGATGCAAGCCATGGGCACAATAGTAGGGGTTAATGGCGACCAGTCGCCCACACGGACAGGCTCAGTGCGGACTAGTAGTAATGGAGGCCCAGCAGGAGTCGGCGCAGGTTCCATGTATGCACCGACAAAGGAGCCATTGGTGAACAAAAACGGTGTAGCAGAACAGCAATTCGTAAGGGCGTCTGTAAATAAGGCGAGCAGGCAAATTGTTGACTTGATGGAGGATGGGCTCGAGCTCAACTCGATTAGAATTGATGAGCATCTTTCTTGTGTTGAAAAGAGGATGCTTTGACGATGTGCTAGTTGGAGCTCCTCCTAGTCCCCCTTGTCCACTCTATTCTGCTCATCTAAGATCACAAGCGCGCAAGGAGGCGGTGGCGCACTAGGGGTGAAGCGGACGTCTAAGAATAGTAGTGAAGCCATAGAGATGGACGAGGGGATGAGCACGGTAAAAAGTGGCAAGCTTGCGCAGACGAACAAAAATAAAGCATCTTTGCTGTTATGGTGGAAGGAGCAGGTGATCGTGACGTGTCGTGTCTTTTAATGATATACTTAAGGCTCAACTTTCATTGGTCATCGAGGTTACTCACTGAGATCCCTCTTGAGAGAACAGGGGAAATGAAGGAAAAGCAAAGGGAGAGGCATGGGTGCCTTTTCTTTCAGAATCAGTGACCACTGACTGCTGACCTTTAATATACAGACTTTGAAGCGTCCTGGTCATCGGTATACCGCATCGTTAGCACAACTAGACATTAGCGTCCTCGAGGAATTCGAAATGGGTTCTTCTCCTTGAGAGTGACAGCATATAATTGGAGTGCTTTTTTGCACGCAGTAGAGTTCTTGCACGACTCATCTTCGTTTCTATTTCTAATCCCGACCGCCACCACGGACATGGCAAAACTAGACGACCCCGAACGACAAGCCAACGCTAGCGCGCAACTCGAGCTGCAAGGCGGGATCACAGGACAGCTAGCCCACATGGTCGATAAGATGATCGAAAAGCGAATACCACCAGACGAAATCGCGGATATCATCTCTTTTGCCCAGAGAGACGTGGAAAAGTACATTAACTACAGAATAGAGATGGACGCACGCGAGAGCAGAAAGCGGTTTGACGACGAAACACATTCGCAAGACAAAGAAGCGGTTTGGCATCAGGTATGATACAGCCTTTCCATTACCGTATTCTTAGGAAGTACATCACGAGAGGAGTTCTTCTGAAAAATGTTTCTGGTGTTGTAGGCGTTTCTGTTGCATGAAGATATGTTTCATGTTTTACTTCCGATCTCCGGATCAACACCTGCCTTCAAGAAACACTGAAGGCTTGTCCACTGTGCAGGTCTTACCGCTTTTTGTTGCAGAGGATGACGCATTTTCCTCGGATCTGTGGCTCACATTGCAGACTGGAAAGAAGAAAAAATTGACTTTGGGCCAGGTTGTAGTGTCTTTGGCGCAGTTGCGAAAAGATAATCATCTTGCACGTATCTACTACAGGAACCACGAAGATGCTCTTGTTCTCTTTAAATTTAATATGAATCATAGGCTAGGTTCAGGAACTTCAGGAGTAAGACTAGGATTCATTCGAGTAGTGCTAGTTCTACTTGTAGTAGGACATCGTGGTCGTTTACTGCAAAAAAGAAATTACAGGACTTCATCTCATGTCAACTGCATTGCCATTCAGGTACCTCCCAGCCAGTACGTTTAGATCCTGAAAGCCAACCTACGCCTTCACTATTGTCAACGGTGATGTCATCACCCACAGAGACATTGATAAACTTCTTCATGCAGCCAAGCGCGGTCTGCAGCGGACCTCCAGCAGGGCCTTTGAGCACGCACGGCGGAGGCTCACCTACGCAGACAAAGGGTGCTTTTGCTTATGGTTTGTGTGGGTTTTCTATCTCGACTTCCTCCCGTAATCCAAAGTGGGATCGTGTGGGTGTGCACCATCGGATTACATATCCAATATAGTACAACAACTGATACGTTTAGTTCTTGTGCTGCTGCCGAAGATGATGCTCCCCAACACTTACTTGTACTTCTACTTCTAACCCTCCACAAAAGCAGGCGGGAGGGCGGTTCACAAGGTCATGCTGGACTTCGAAGTGGAGCTGAAGTATCTGGAGCCGGCACCATTTCCAAGCACTGACCATGATGATGAGGAAATCATAGAGGAGCCCTCACCACAGAAGATGCCGAATGGACCGCCTAAGGAAGCCAGGCTTAGCCAAGGACTCGTGGACGAAATGAGTAAAAGCTTACGAGGTTTTGGCAAGTGAGGACAACAACAAGCCCTTAAATAGTTCTTGAGCTTCGTAGAAGGTCGTCTACTAAGTGAGCGCTTAGGATTAACATCCACGAGGTTAACCTCGGAGAAATACTCCCTCTCCAAGAATCAAGATCAAGATCAAATGATAAGCTATCTTGCTAACATTTTCAAAATAACGACTCCTTCCATTTCCTCAACGAATAAGTTGGACGAGACCTGTTCCTCCTGTAAGCGTAATTCCTGTACATCCATTTTCATTATAACTGCGCTTGTTTGAAGTTGTAGCTGTACATGTACATACTTGTACCAATTCATTGGTATTTGGATTGTATCATGTTGTTTGAGTTTCCTATGTACTTACAATGTATGCAGAAATAAATCCTTCAAGGGTACCATCGATTCTAGACGCGGGAACCAAAGGTGTTCCGATTGGGTTTACTAGGTTTACAGTTCCTTTTCTAGTCGTTGTCGTACCAAGAAGCAGCGCTGAAGTTGATGATCTACTTCTCGCTCCCCACCAGGAGAACTACAAGCTTAGACTGCCTTTTACTCTTTACATACAAATACTGACGTTTCAATAATGAATACTTCATTGTCAAGCACCTAGCATTTGATAGCGATCGCGATAATCATATAAAGTTAGTAGCAGTAGGCTGCGCCGCTTATAAAGGTCAGCGCGACTGCAGACTGCTCTCGAATGAGTGTTCGTCTTATCCTTGCTCGAAATCAGTAAGCGTTTGGCTACTCTTGCTTTTTTTGCGCGATCGGTGACTTACTGGCTCGGTTCTGAATGCAGGGTATATGAGCTTACTCGGTCAAATCTATCTGTGACGCATATCCATGATGATTACTAGCTTGGCAGCCTCTTCCAATAGTCGTCTCAGTGCTCGGTGGAGTCGGTCGTGCTGCAAGACGAGGTACCTAAGTAGAAGACATCCTCTGATTTCGGCTGATGTCCACTGTCCCATAAAATCGCTCTATCTCACAACTCCTCATTCCCCTGAACCGCAACTCCATGATGCACCTTCTAAATCACACCCTTGCTAGCGTAGACACAGGTCGCATCCATCATCATTATTTTTGAAGACTTCTTCTTGTAAGTGAAAGTAGTAGCTACCTAGTACCGTTTGAAAATGATGCGTCTTGCTCTGATCCATGTTCTGCTTACTTACTGAATACTGTGATTTAATATGTCAACATTATTGATTCGCAGCACTACTACTAACTAAGCCATGGGGAACCTGATCACACACACAAACACAGACACGAAAAAAAAAATTGCAAACTAAGGAAGCAAGACGAGTCAGAAGGCCCACGACCTGGAGAGGGCTTGACGATTAGGACAAGAAAGATGGCGAACAAATTCGTAAAATCGTGCGCGCTGCTTTTGTCGGTAGTCGCGGGGGGGGGGGTGGAGAGTTCCCCTGCCCGGGCACTGAATGAAACGCAGAATGAAGAAATAGCGCGTACACAGCTACTTCGTGGGTCGAGCTTTTTGCAGGAGCAGCAAAAGGTGCATAGCATGTTCGGGTTCGGCAGAAAGAAAGGCCCGTGCGCAGGAATAGTGTTTAAGATCAGCTTTTATCCATCTTTCTCGGCTTCTTGATGCCTCCCTCTATCCTACCTTGTACTTCATGGGAAAGGGGTTGAGTTGAGGCGACCGAGATGAATAAAAGCCGACTCTAATACACGCTCGAGAGTGGCGGACCGCGGTTCATGCCTGAACCATCCAGAATGCTGCAATCTGTATGAAAGTGGAGCGCAGGGAAGCTGGACGTGTAAGGCTGGCAAAAGATAAAGAGAACATTGAACTAGTACACATCAAGGATCGAAATACATAAATATAAAACATAACAACACGTCGAGCAATGTTCTCTGGCGCACGAATATGCTAAGTTTCGCGAGACCTCTTGCTAAAGATCAAATTGATGCTCGTCCGTAATACCAGATCATATTCTTGTTTGCGTTAATACTACGTAACATTCATTAGACTCCAAAATATGTCATGTAGCTTCGAACACATCTCTTTGATACAATTTGTCATCCTTCCTATCGCAAATTCCACAAATATTACATGATGAAAAGCCAATGCAAATGTATTGATTTTGACGATATTCTAACATAAGCCATCTCGATCTACGTACGACCAATTTATCAAACGACATTCGTTCTTGTTGCAATTTTCAAGAAAGAAGGCTGTGCCAAATCTGATGTGATCATGATCATAATGATAATTCAGCATATAGATACACTTACTCTCAGAGGATTTAATAAAAAATGCTCTCTTTCTTTCATCATCTTCCCTTCCGTTCTAGGTGATCCCAGGAGGTGGAAGAGTGAGATGGGAAAGATTTTAAATTGAATTTTTGGGAAATATTAGGCAGATTGCCGAATAGATTCGCATCATCATTGAATTTTTGGGAACAGAAAACTAAGCAAAACCAATATTCGAAGTCTATCGACGCTTGCTGGTAGGCACATATGGTATGCTGTTGTTCTTTCCGCTTGGCTTATGCTCGACAGAGTGAAAACGACGTCCTGTTGGATCGAGAAGTGCGTAGTCCTGGAATTTCTTATGGTGCTGTGGAGGGGTCAGAGTTTCCTCGGTGTAGTCTTATTAATAGGATCCACCTTACTCTGCTCGTCTTTCTGTTGAAATAAGTGTATCACGGCTGTTTTAGGTTAGGTGCTCGACTTATCCTTCAGTATTAGTTAACTTGAGTTTCCTGCTCCTTTATCATTCAGTCTAGTTTTTTCCGTGCGTCTGTGAAATGTTTGCTTTCTCTGCGCCCACCGCTTCTGGTGCGTCGAACTTCCATCGAAAAACTTGTAATTGTAATGTCGGTTGTTCGAAAGTCAAGCGAAAGGAGTGCCTTCTAATAAGATGGGTTTGAGCTGATGAAGCGAGAGCATAAACTAATAAAAAGTATGGAGAAACACGCAGGAGAAGCACGATTCTTGCACTGCATAACCCACCGTCAAAATCTAATGTCCAGGCAATTATTATGGTTCTGTCACAGTCACTGTCTTGTGAAGAAGATGATTTGTAGTGGTCATTTCGTTGGTACTATCCTTTTGATTTCGGTCTACAACAACCAGACGGAGACATGTTTGTCGTCGATAGGACATGCGTTCATCGGTAAAGAAGATGAAACAATCGGTATGGCTTACACATTCGTATGACAAGTTGACAAACTAACAGCATAGGTCTAGCTCCTGCTACTTTGATGAGTGATAATTTCCTTTTTATTCTCGCATATGCAGTATCCCAAATAAAAATTCGCAGATGCCGGAAAAGATGTGTTACAACCAACTCTAATACTTGTTTTAACAAGCACTCTCATCCTCGTGATCGTGAAAAAATTATGTAGTACAGAGATCCAAGCCTCGACGAGGAAGTATGATCAAAAGTGTAGTGGTCTTGTTATCGAAGGCTGCGCTCCTCTTCCTGTACTATCTGCATCTGTAATGAATGTGACTGATTAATCTTCATGCATCCACCACGCACAACTACATCGGAGTAGAAGAAGTTAGTCGTGATCCTCTGGTAAGACAGAGCCTTCGGTAGGACAGAGAATGACTCAAAATGTCGGACAAAGTCGCCAAGGCTAGGTCTTCTTCGTCGAAGTCTTCTTCTTCGAGGAATTCTTCCTCGAGCAAGATGGCCGATTCCCTTGTCTCGGACGCGGTCGCGTGCATTGTCCGCGATGACGTGGACGCGCTTCGGAAAATGGTTGCAACCTCGAGTATTGTTACGGCTTCCCCTAATGGGGCTAATCCATTTCTATAGACGAGATTCCTCAAGCTCTGCTAATCCATCTCTATACATAGGTCCCTCAACAGAAATATGCATGCGAATAACAGGGAGATAGCAAGGCATGTGCTTGCGGGATCCCTTCCTGTAAGCGATCAATCTAACAATCCAATCCCTGAGTATGATGGTGTTGATGAACATCAAGATCCTGAAACCTTTGAGCAGGAAGATCATCAGGATAAGGCTCAAGGATCGCGATAAGGCTCCAAGATCCCAGGCAAATGAATCCCATGAAACCGATGACACCAATAAAATTCCCGATGCAGCTCCCCACTGATTTCATGCATATCCGCACCAAAAACCTTGAACTATTTGATTTGTATGAACCTCAAGACCTTACAGGCTTAGGGGTTTAAGCTTTTGCATTTGTATAACATTCCGATTAGGATCGACGCGGAGCAGTATAGAAATTGCTGCCTTATTGTGTTCGTATTCTAATAGAGTTATAAGCCCTTTTACACTAGTAAAACTGCACTAGATTCGAAGCGTCACCTGATTTTTTTTTCGCTCTGATTGTGTTCCTGCACCTGATTAAAAATTGCATCATAGATCATCAACCGCCCTCCTATCGTAATTCAAAAATTTGCTTTCGTTGTGATTGTGTTCCTGCACCTGATTCAAGAAAAGCCATCACCCATCATCCATCACCTTGCAACCGTGTCCCCACTAGTATACAACAAAGAAAATGGCTCCATCCGGAACCGGTGCATCGGGCACGCCCGAGAAAAAGCGCAAGAAGAAAAGCGCAGCCGCCGCGCGTGGTGACTACGTCAAAGCACTAGAGGAACGCGACAAGAAACAGGCCGAAGAGCTTGAGAAACTGCGCGGGCAAGTGGAAAGACTTCAACGGGAAAAGGATGAAAAGGAAGCCGAAGAAGACAAACGAAAGGCAGAAGAAGAAGCCCAGAAGAAGGCCGAACAGAAGGAAGAAGAGAGGAAAGCCGAAGAGGAAAAAGAAGAAGAGAAACCCGACAAGGATGAAGCCGAGGAAAGCGACGGCGGCCCGACAATCATCGAAGAAGAGAAGAAGGAAGAAGAAGAAGGCCCGACAGGTCTACGCGGACCGAAGTACAACGGAGCGCCCGCCCCCTTTGGTGCGTGGCTCAAGGCTCTCACAGCAAGAGCAACCAACGGCCAACCCCTCAACCGGTTCACCACTGTAATCGACAGGGCCGGCGAACTTATCAAATGCCCGACAACTTCCGCACGCTTCTCCCGAATCCGTGAGGAAGTGGCCGCCCAGAATCTTACGCCATCGAAAAGGTTCAAGGCAATCCTTACGGCATATGTATCCCGATACGAGTCGGAGGAAGTTTTGTGGAGTAAGCTCCGGGCTATGAACCAGACGCAGAAACAAGGGCCCCAAGCCCAATCCTATTGGGAGTCTTTTTCGGACGTTGCTGAAGGTTGCGGCGTGACACTCTGCCCGAAGAGAGTCGTCGACATCTTCATACAGAACAGCGGGCAGAATCTTAAACAGATTCAAATAATAGATAATCCCGCCAACCTGAACGAGGCCCAAGCCTCAGCAGCAAAGGCGGAGAAGCTTGCAACGCAACAAGGCCCGACCACCGCGCCACAGGCACAAGACCAAGGAACCCCCCCGGCAGGGTTCTACGCGGGTGACGGAGGCCAAGGAGGACGAGGAAAAGGCCGCAAGGGAAAAGGAAAAAGCAAACACCACCGCAACAACCGCGACGACCGCAGCCGCCACCGGCGTGACAGTCGTGGAAGGGGTGGGCGCAACAACCGGGACCGAGAGCAACGCAACCGGCGAGACAGTCGCAACCGGGACACCAGAGACCGCCGCCAACGGCGCGACAGTCGTGACCGCGACCAGAACCGGAACCAGAACCCGAACAACATCCCCCAGGGATGGCAGAAGAAGGAAAACTTCTACCGCGGCGGGGCCTACCTCGTTGCACCGAGCCAGCAGCAGCCGCAACAACAAGGTCACCCACAAGGACAACAAGGAAACCAGAACCCGCACGGACAACAGCAACAGCAGCAGCCGCTGTTCTTCGTGGCCATTGCGATGGCATACGACGCACAAGCAGAGAGGGAAGAGTCGGCGCCCTACGTTGACGCCGAGTACTTCTCTATGGCTGCTATGCAAGAGACCAGCATGTGGCTGATTGATAGTGGTGCCGCCGAACACATCACCAATCTCAGCACAGACTGCTCGAAGGTTTCAAAGAAAGTCTTCATGACTTGCCGCGGGAAACCGGTACGCGCAACCGAAGTCGGGAAGATGACCGCTAAGAAAGGAGACATCACGCTTCAGCTAAGTGAAGTGTACAGTGTCCCAGACTGCCCAGTAAACATCCTATCTGTCCGCAGATTGGTGGAGAAGGGCGTAGTCCCTTGTTTCGCGACGGAAAAACTCCGTCTGTACCAGCAAGGACAGTGTGTGGGAGAGATCCCCATGCTACTCACAGGTGGCGTCTACGCTATCTGACTGAGCGGCCAAACAGGTAAGAAGAGGAGAAGAGAACAAGACGGCGAAGAAGGAGAACCACCGCAACGAAGAAGAGGGGAGCAACAAGCGCAAGCGGCGCTTGAAGACGCACAGGAGGCGCAAGAAGAAGACGAAGAAGAAGAAGTGCGGGAGGCACAAGAGCAACCAGTGCGGGAGGCACAAGCAGAAGAAGACGAAGAGGAGCTCGTAGCGAAAGAGGAGACGCAAGTCAAGCAGTTAAGAAGAAAAGTAAGTAAAATTGCTACACAGCTGCACTTTCCCACTTTCCAAAAATTGTGGATGGCAGTTCGTGCACTCGTGCCACCACGAGTGACTTCCAAAGCAAGGCGCATTTGTGTTGAATGGTGTTCCAACAACATCACTCGACTACGGAACACTGCGCAACCTAGAACGAAGTATGGTGGATTAGAGGGCATGTCTATTCAGCATTTTTTTAGTTTAGATAGGTTCGAACTAGGTGGGTTGCATGTCCTACATGCAATCAACCTACATAGTAGACTCTCTGTAGTCTCAGCCCTGAAGAAAAGCCCGACAGGAGCTGACGCCGTAGAGTTTTTGCAGAAATGTCGCCGAACAGGTATACTAGCCGCCAACGTGTTAGTTGATGGAGGAAGAGAGTTCCTTAACTCAGATTTCCTATCCTGGTGTTCGCTACATGGCATTGGTGTCTACGTGAGCCCCCGAGAGGCTCAGTGGGTCAATGGAGTGATCGAGAGACGTCACAGAACGATAAAAGCAGTCATTGCCAGACTTCGGCTGGTGTATGGAGTAGCAGCAGCCACTCTGCTAAAACTCATATACCTCGCCGTAGATGGTATCAATGAGCAGCCCACGTCTGCACTAAGTGGCCTATCACCTTACCAGGCTCAACTCGTTCGCCAACCTGCTATCTTCCAACCTCGTCACCCTGAAGACATGGAAGAGGTCAGATTAAACCATCTGGAGCACGATCCCCAGATCGTACTTCAGGACTACAAAGAACGCTGCGAGACAGGAGCTGTCTTAGAAAAGGTGAAGACTGACAAAGTCTATATAGATGAGCTTCGACGACTATCAGAACAGGCCCGAGCCTACTATGATGAAAGTGAAACTCTCCGAGTAGAAGACCAAGCAGAATTCTTTGACCGTTTGAAGAAGGCATGGCTTGGCCCGGCGAGACTCATCTATATCCAGCAGAGTGACAACTCCAGAACTTTCATTATCGACCACAGCGGGCACTACAAACGTGTCCACGGGTCGCATATCAGAAAGCATATCACCGTAGACGCAGTGATATGATATTCCCCAAGGAACTACATCGCGTTCTAGTTAGAGTGCATAGCGATGGTAAGGAGTTTTATAATCTGCAGAATGTCAGCATGGCAGAACTTGCAGCGAAACTAAATCTGGAGCGTGACCCTGTTCGTGCCCCGGGTGTAGTACGCAAAGAGCAAGCGGGACCCTTGTCCCAGCAACAAAGTGAAGACCTCCCCGAGGAGGAGAGTAGCGCACCAGTGACAGACATCGCCACAGATCTCGTCTATGTCACCAGCGGCACTCTGCGCACGTATATCACAGGACAAGCGGACAAATGCCGGAACATCTTGAAAAACAGACCCGGGATAGTCATCTTTGGCAACACCCGAGTGAGCAAGAACGGCGAAGAGAAAATCCGCAAGAAGATGTCTGAACTCGCCCCCGAGTATCAGCTACACACCTCGGCAGGTAAACGCGACGGATTCGCAGGCACAGCCGCGCTCGTCCGTAAGGATTTGAACCATTTCAAATTCGAACAAGCCGGACTTGAGAGCGGGAGAGTGCTAGCTCTTAAGTCGCCGCATTATCCTGCTACCATAGTAGGAATCTTTGCGCCAGCACGCGACGACCGAAAGAAAGTACGCGAGTGGGATTCAGCGCTACGCACTTTTCTGAGAACCATTCAAGGACCCCTGATCTTGATCGGTGACTTTGGAATGTGCGCCACTAGCAACGACTTCGACCCTGAACTCGCAGGACATCCTGGCACAACCCTCACAGACTTCAGCGCCTACGCTGATCTAGTGACCGCGTTAGAGCTAGTTGATGTTCTTGGTTCGTCCCCTGGCAACCAGTCTCGTGAAATTACACATCACCGCAAACGCACTTGCGTGGTGTGGGGTGAAACAGAAGAAAAGAAAAACGGCCATAGCATGAGAGTAGACCACTGCCTAGTGAGCAAAGTACTCACTCCGATGGTGCATAGGATCCGGGTAGACTTCCCCACGAAAATCCTCCCCAGAAAGGCACCCGAGCACTATCCCTTGATAGTCTCTCTCAAAGAAGTTAAGTCTATGCCGGAGGGGACGCCCTCAGCCTCAAGCGAAAACAACAGCAAGAAACAAAGCCCCCAGGCTGCAATGCCTCCGCGAGCCCCAGTGGGTACCTCAAAGGGAGCTCCAGGGCCTCCAGCAGAACTCGACCAGTCTGCACCAGGTCAACAGGCTCACACGGTCAACAGCCCTGAACCTGGAGAACCCGGCCCGGCTCAGGCACCAGCCCACGAGACACACCGAAACGAACCGAACGCCGCGAAAGGAAAAAGAGGACCACCTCTGAGAATTTCTTTAGCGAAGAACTATGTAGATTCACTCTATAGACAACTCAAAGAACAGGAGCGAGCTAAGCTCGAGGAAGTTCGGCAAGCAATGCCGCAAAGCAGTGGACGCCTCCACTGGCGTGAAAAGAAAACAGGAATCCAACAGATTCAAGAACTACTGCACACCCTACCGGGCACCGATGTCCTTAGACAGGGGCAGTTAATCGACGCCAGTTCAAAGCTCTACAAAGAGTTAGAAGAAGGCCCAGAGTTCTTAGACGCAGAAAGCTTCCAGCAGGCTTTCCTAGCGGCGCTCTTTCACCTCGATGAAGGAGAAGAACTAGTCGGCATCTTCGCAGCAGGAGAAGAACTCCCCGCGGACTACAATACTCCCGAGTGGAAAGCTGCAATAGCGAAAGAATTGCGGGCCCACTCGCATGTGTTCAGAAAAGCAACAGACAGAGAAATAGAAACCTACACGCATCAACTAACGCCGTGTAAGCTTCTATTATCAACGAAAAGGTGTGGACGTAAGAAGGCGCGAATTGTGTGTATGGGATTCTTAGCTCCACCCTCGGAACTAAGTACCTTTGCGAATGTGTGTGACATGAGTGTCATCCGAATGCTACTCGCCATCACTGTGGCAAGCCAGGGATCAGTCACAATTTTTTCCGCTGACGCAACTTCGGCATTCTTACAGTCGCCATACCTTGAACACGCTCTAATTGAATTTGATGACAAACTGGCCACCCAGTTAGGTTATCTGATTGGTAAAGTTCTGTATGCTATGAACGGTCTGAAATTGTCACCAGTTGCGTGGCAGCGCCACCGAGATGCCACCCTAGCGCAGCTTGGCTGGGCACAATGCTCGGAAGATGTCACAATCTGGATAAAGGGGACCACTCTCCTACTAATCTTTGTTGACAACTTTTTCTACTTCGGCAAGCGAGACGAAATTCTCCACCATTATGGAGAGATGAAGGACTCGCTAAAACTTGTCGAAGAGCCTAAGCGCGAAACAGCCACAGAGATCACCTATGATTTTCTTGGAGTAGCCGTGAGCATAAACAAAGAGACCCACGCTGTGACATTTGACCAAAGTGAATACGTGAAGAAGCTACTGACGCGCTTTGGAGGGGAAGAAAGTAGTCGACGGGTTACTGCACCGATTGAAACCGCGCCAAAGCTTCTCCCAGCAGAAGTTCCAGCTCTAGCAAAGCCTGAGATGGAGCGTACAGGTTCACTACAGTACTTAGCCACAGCTACACGCCCTGACATTGTAGTTGGCTTAAAGGTACTCAGTTCAGCAAAGGCAAGCGAAGAGGTAGTAGCAGGCCTCCGTAGGCTTATCCGCTATCTCAGAACAAAGAGGCTACTTGTCTACAAGAACCGCGGAGAATTCGAAGGCAAGATAGTTCTTACAGTTTGGACTGATAGTGATTGGGCATCCTTACAAACCCTCACTGACTGGCGTAGTAATAGCGGTGCGCTAGTCTGCATCAACGGAAGCCCAATTCTGTGGAAATGCAAGGCGCAGCATTCAGTTGCCACTTCAGTAAGTGAGGCGGAGATCTTTGGTGCTTCCGAAGGTGCCAAGGATGGTTTCAGATTTCGCAACCTGTTACTTTCGCCAGAATTCACAGCTTTCCTCACCCAGCACGGTCTAACCTTTGACCCAATCATGAGGATGGCTGGTGATAATCAGGGCGGAATTAAGTTTGCCACCGCAAACCAGCACGCAGCCAGACTGAAGCATATCTCAATCCGTGATGCCTTCATCAAGGAAGTGGTATCAAAAGGAATCGCTAAGGCGTACTACGTTCCCACCAACTTGAACCGATCTAATGCCCTTAGCAAGATCACAACAGGCGCAGAGTTCAAGCGAGGCCTTGAGCAGCTTGGCCTTGTATCTTACCCCCAGTAAGATCCCCCTTAAGTCTTGAGCCAAGGTGGTTACGTGGACGCGCGAAAGATTCTCGTCTTAAGCTGATTAGATATGACGGCCTAACTTCTAATCTCAATCTCGCCATTACTATCTTCTATCTATTCTAACACCAAGGAACAACCGAAGAAAAGCTTAGGGAGCTGCGAGAAGACAAGCCAGGCAAAGGAGAAAAACAGCACGGGGAACAGCATGAAGAAAAACGTGAAGGAAAAGAGGAAGACAAGAATAAAAAGAATTATTTAAATGTGCCAAGGATTCGCTTTATGTCATCTTGCATTGCATTACTGTCCTGGGACTTGGAGCCGGAGGGGATGTAAGCGATCAATCTAACAATCCAATCCCTGAGTATGATGGTGTTGATGAACATCAAGATCCTGAAACCTTTGAACAGGAAGATCATCAGGATAAGGCTCAAGGATCGCGATAAGGCTCCAAGATCCCAGGCAAATGAATCCCACGAAACCGATGACACCAATAAAATCCCCGATGCAGCTCCCCACTGATTTCATGCATATCCGCACCAAAAGCCTCGAACTATTTGATTTGTATGAACCTCAAGACCTTACAGGCTTAGGGGTTTAAGCTTTTGCATTTGTATAACATTCCGATTAGGATCGACGCGGAGCAGTATAGAAATTGCTGCCTTATTGTGTTCGTATTCTAATACTTCCTCTTTAACAGAAGTATTATACATGTGAATAACAGGGAGATAGCAAGGCATATCTGATTATATGCCTTGCTATCTCCCTGTTATTCGGGATCCCTGCTACAGGGATGAACTTATTATACATAGGGAACAAGCTCTAATGTTGGTCCACAAACCCGCGTGGGAGCCGCACAAGGGCAAACCTTGTTGATGGTGGCAGCAGGGTCCGGAAAACGTCTCGTGGTTGAGTACTTTCTGGAGGAATGGGCAAAACAAGCGAAGAAATCAGACGACGATGTCATCAAGTTGTTGAATATGACGGACGAAAAGCGAAAAGCGACAGCATTACACTTCTGCTGTCGCAAAACCAAAACTGCAGTCGAAGAGCGCAAGCACGATAAGGACCGAGCAGCGATTGCTAGGCTACTTTAAGGCTTGTTCATGATCCCCTAAGTAATCCGTTTTACTTTTATTCGGAAGCATCTTAGAGCAGACGTGGTTCCTTCGCAAGGAAAATAAAACGGTCCTCACCGGATGGACTTCGGAATGGATCATTAGGGTGAGCGCTAATTCCTGGTGGAGTCCGGATGTGAAATCAACAGCCAAGACGCGGATGGCGCAACGGCTTTGATGCTGGCCGTGGGTGCTGGGGATCGAGTGTTGTGTGATTCCTTACTCGCGTTTTCCGAAGACATCGACATTGAGCTTGGGGATACGGTGGGGCGAACAGCTATGGACTACGCAGCCGAAAACAACGACTTTTAAGGACCATTGGCACTCACTGTCACTATCCTCCACTTGGTGTTGTGTGAGCAGGAGGTATGATACTTTGACTTCCTGAGCAAACTCGTACGAGTCTTTGATTTCTTCAAAAGGAAATCAAGAGGAGATGAGAAACAGAATAAAGCAACAAGACTCTTGCTCACTCTCAGCACTCAAACAGCACTGATAGATGATAGTGAGAGAGTGTCTCTCGTTAAGGTGTACGCACTGGGTCAATGCTCTTCCAAGAAGGCCTCGATTGTCCTGATAATGATTACGGGGAGAAGTTGTGCGATTATATCGAGAAGCACGATGACAAGGACCCGTCGTTGTCAGAAGGCGAGGATTACCCAGATGATGACCCAGATGATGACGCATCAATTAAGGCTTAGCTTAGTTCATCCTATTAGAAGGCATTTTTCTTTGGCATGCTTTCAAGGGAGAAGCACTACAAGGATGCACTTGAAGATGAATTTGGGTAAGCTCTAAATCAAGCAGCAAGCCTTCCAGCGCCCGCTCAACTGCAAGTAGTAGGCATGGTGATGGTAAAACAGGAACGAAAACCGCTGTCGCTGACAGTACCGCTGAAAGCAACGGCAAGTCTGAGACGATAGGCACAGCTGAGAGCAACAAGATTTCTACTACAACTTCTTCTAAAAAAAACGTTGATACACAGTCACAGAAACAGAAGATCAAACAAGGCGAGGGCGAAGCACAGGACTCTGAAGATCAAAGTGGGGATGAAGAGGAAGAAACATCTGATGATCTACGTTTTGATGCTCCTCCTGCGAAGCAACGCCAGGAAGTAGTTGAAAATGTCAAAGAGCAAGAAGAGGAAGAGCCGTCAACATCTACCTCAAAGAAAAGTCGCGCAGCGGATGCTCCTAAAGCGGCTGAGAAGGAGCAGGAGGAGACTACTAGCGCTCCCGAAGGTTTTGGTACTGGTACCGAAGAAGCTGACTTATCCACAAGTAAAACTACTCCAACATCATCATCAGACTCCAGTGCTACTACTGCACGGAAAAGAAGTAGTCGCCTTAGCCTTTCTAAACAAGTAGACCCTGGCGTGTCAACTAGCACTGCAAATCGAGAAGAAGACTCAGCGTCCTTGCCTGCACCTCCAGCAATAGACGAAGATAAAAATCAAACTTCAAGAACATCAAGATCAAGAACATCAGTGCCAGTGCTACCTCCAGGGCCAGGAGAGCGACGACCTTCACCAGAAACAGCATCAAGCTCAGCTATACCTTCAAAATTATCATCATCTTCCGAAAATCTACCACGAGCGCGTGTCTCTGCCACAGCTTTGGCTGCGTCAGCTTCTATTAAAGCCTCGTTGAGAACTGCGTCTGCTGCGAGTCGCCCATCGTCTCCTAGTCGTGCTGGGAGGCCGTCTCTAGCTGGAATACCCGAAGATGCCGAGGAGCACACTGTCCTCACTGGGGAAGCTTTTGCAGATGTAAACAGTGTTAAAGCCTCCTTGACAACAGGTAGAAGGTCCTCGAAAAGTAGACAGAGTCGTACTAGTAGTTTAAAGGCCACAATAAAAGGCGATCGTGCTCTCGTGCCAGTTGAAAGAACTGATGCAAGAACTCCTGCCATTTTTGAAGAACCGCATCAAGCGCAAAGAATGTCACGAAGATCATCTCGAGCGGGACCACCACCTCAACAATTAGCTGGCTCCAATATCTCAGGAGCAAGCTCAACCACAAACGGCACTGCGCAAGAACGCCTAGACCTAGAACAAGAAGACACTGCGGATATGCAGGAGGAAGGAAGTAGTATGATGCCTCGTGTTGTAAGCAGGAGATCACAAGTGAGGAAATCAACTACATCTTCGTCGAGTACTAGAAAGTCTTCTACTGCACAGAAAGAAGTGGGACCAAGTGGATTGCCCATCATGCCAGCTTCCACGAGGACAGACGAGAGGGATGAAGCAGTTCTTGCAAGCCAGGAAAGCAGTCGCGCCTCCAGAAGATCCAGTTCTGGGAGTACTTCTAAATATCCATCGTTCAGCTATTCTGTTGGCAACGTTAAGGAGATCAAACTTGTACAACCAAGAAAAAGTGAGGTCCTAGAAGATGAGGAAGAAGAAGATCATGTCCTAGAAGATGAAGACGGGAGACTAATTCTAGACATTTCACCAAGTTCGGCATCATCGCGTGCTTCTCGTCGATCTGGACGCTCATTCGCAGTAGTTCGAAGGAGCTCAAGCTCCTTGCAAGACCTACAGGACCAGTTGAGGCAAAGTAAAAATGGCGTTTACATCAATGATGCGCCAAGGGTTGAGGACCAAGATTATCAGGCAGAAGTCGATGCTTCTAGAGCAGGAGCTTATCAGGCAGAAGTCGATGCTTCATCTAGAGCTGTTGTAATATCTCCTTCTCCACGGGAAGATAAACAACAAGAAAACACGAACAATATGATGATGAACGAGGACAGCCAAAGCAAAGTCAACATCATCAAAGCAAAGGCGGAGGTCGTATCTCATTCTCAAACCCCGAGAATCGATCCTGCCATGGATCCCGAACTTCTAGCAGACTCACGGAGTCTTACGTTGGTACCCGGGGCCAAAAGCGTGCAACAGGCTTTTTCCACGCTCGTACTACTAAAAAGAACTTTACAGGAATTCAAATACATCTCAGTAGGCTTTCGACTTCCTCTTCCACATGATCAAATTCCTCCTGCTCTCTCTGTCATTGTGATTATCAAGCTCGTCATTACTCATCATTTTTTGTTCAGGCTCACGGCGGCGCAGAATTTTTCGACATCCACACACCCGGAGAGGACGACAACACCACCACTGTGGCTGCGTGGAAACCCAATATGAACCCTCGTCCTCGTAGAAGACGTCGCATCAAGGCACAAAAGCCACACAAAACCATGGAGGAAAAGGCACAAGCGGAGAGTCTACGTGAGGTTCACACCGAGACAATAGCGTGGTTTCGTCATGTTCGAGATGAGCTCCTGCGCCGACTCAGTAGCACGCACAAAGTACGGCGCTCACTCCAAGAACAGAATTTGCTGCACTTGTTTACCGCGAAGGAGTATGAAAGGAGACACGAACTGGGACTCCAGAGTACCTCTGCGGAGCAGATTGGGATGAATGATGCGGAGGAGGAGGAGACGAGTGGAGGTGTGGCGATACCGGAGAATGAAATGAGGAGTGATATTAAGAACGACACTGCTAGCGGTCCTAATGTTGGTGAAGTCGATGTTGTTGTTGATAAAATGAACGATTCTGAAGCAGCTGCTAAGAGTACTAGTGGAAACTACAAGGATATTACGGCAGAAGTAATTATAGAGGATAACAGACGTGAAACTAAGGTCGACACGACACTAGTGGAAAACGTGAAGACCGCATCAGAGTCCACTTCCTCCTCCACCTACTCCACGAGTACGAAGGACAAGGAGAAGAGAGTATCCTTCAAGCAGGGACCTGAAATCTCGAAAAATGATACGACTCCTCCTCAGCATCAAACTACGACGAAACCGCAAAAAACGTCTTCAGATAGAGCTCCTGCAACCCACAGTCCCTACCAACACGAGTTTTACGTGTACACGGCAGTCGAGAGCGTACTGGTTGCCGAAGCCTTGAGTCCGGATGTTGAGAATCTTGTCGACGAAGAACTTGCGGGAGTCGAAGGAACTGATTTAAGAACAAAGGTCTTACTTAAGTAGCTGGATTTGTACTAGCTTGAAAGTACTTAGTACTACACTTTTTAATAGAAAGAATGTCAGTTAAAAGTACAACTCCTAGTCTCCTTACAAGAAGCTCTAAGGAAAGAAGCAACAAGAGCAACCTCCCCTCTACTCATGGTTTGTTGTCATGGATGAAGATTTCTGAGAGAGACCACCTAGTAGAGCCAGCGAAGACCCTGCTGTTCTTCACTTATTAAGGTACAACACGACAGATCATACAATTTCTACTTCACAGAAGCAACCCACTCTGCTAACTCTAAGGAAAGAAGCAACAAAAGCAATCCAGCGCGAGGTAGTCCTGGCCGAGATCCGGGAAGGCAAGTTGCGTTTTGTTTACGACTACTTGCAAGACGTGTTGACACGGGAAGAGCGCAGGCTCGTGTGGAAGGCGGGTCTGCGCAACTTGTCATTAGACCAGCTGCTAGACCTGGTGCTGATCGCGCGCACAGAGCAGCTCCTAGGCAGTGGAGAGATGCATTTTGATTTCCGACGTTTTGTGCGGGAGACAGAGCCCATCTTGGAAGTCGATAAAAGAATTGTGGAGAGGATAGCGGACGTTGGTGAAGTTCTGAGAAACGGTGCTGAGACCGAGAGAAACAAGAACGAAGAGCAAACATCTACTTCCTTTCCTGAACAACAAGACCAACGAGTACGTCGACTTCCGCGAGTAGAGGGTGAATCTTCCGCATTAGTTGGTGGATATCATCAGGCGGAGTACGGTGAGGATGGCTTCTCACACGAGCACGCAAATCATCGATCGGCTTTGGAAAGACACTGGCACTCGACTTCAAAGGGCTTCGAGGCTAGTCTAGGAATAGCCAAATACTATGCGCGTGGTGGAGGTGGTGGCTTGCTCGCGGCCCCTTCAGGCGGTCACGGAGGAGCTGCTGGCGGTGCTGTTGACCTCGGGAGAAGTGCTGACTATAATAGTGGAAATCCTCTTCCTGAAGGTGGAGGCGCAGCAAAAGACGGTGAGGATGAAGTAAAAGGACGAGACTGTAGTCGTGTGGAAGGCGATGATGGAAACTACAATAACAATGTCGATGGAGCTGGAGGTAGTTATCAATATTATCCTGACGTAGATGACAGCACTGATCATGATGTCGCCTTGGAGGTACCTTCCTCCGGTTTATTCCACTACGAGGATTTTGAGAAGACAAGGGCATCAGAAAGGCAAAAGGACCATGAACGAGTCTTCTCTTTCTTCGTAGAAGAGTCGGCATCTTCTTCAAAAAAACCAAATGTTGTTGGACAGGAAGATCAGGCTCAGGAAAAGCGAAGATCATCTCGTCCAGGGGTGAATATCACACCAGTTGCAGAGCGTGCAAGTAGAAGTAGGTCCTCTGCAAATTACTCGACAAGAACTCCAAGTGATCATGTTGTAGCTTTAGAGAGTCCAGCTGCACCAGTATCAGTTATTGCAACCAGTACAGGAAGCTTTGGGCGTCGCAGAAGCCGTGTATCGGAGCAAAACAAGTTTATGCAGGATCAGAATCAGAAGGAGACTAGAAGATCTAACGAAGAAGTCTCCTCCTCACGTGGCTCAGATGTTGGCACTTCTACACGACGCTCATCAGCTCCTTCCGCGAAAAATATGATGATGCTGAAGCAAAATCACGAGCTTCTCTCTACACTGCCTGAAAACGTGCGAAGAAGCAAACATCTGTCCTCAGGAGGAAGCGGCCAAGGTCAAGAAGGAGAAACTAATATGACAACTGAAGTTCTTGAGCCTCACATAACAGCAGGACAAAGGCGCTCATCTATCTTGCGAGCTGCAAGTTCAAACGGCACTGGAGGAGGTGGTCGCGGTGGTGCTGTAGGAACATCTTCGTCAAATTCAACCTCTTCAATCATGGGTTTGCGGATAAAGTCATCATCTAGTGAACCTCGTATAGTGGAGGATGTAACAAGCACCAACTCATCAAAAAACACAAATGCTCCTCATCAAAGTCCTCCTCAAGGTCCTCCAGGAGCCTCAAAGCCTATCTCCATTTCCACTACTCCTTCAGCAGCTGCCACCAGCATCTTGACAGGAGTTCCATCTTCATCGCCTAGTGCTTCTACAGCATCTTCCTTGATGAGAACTAAATCTCAAGAGCGGTGGGCACAGTTGCAGGCGAAGCATCGGTCTCGCATGTTCCATGAACTCGCTCAGGAACTGCGAAATAATCACTTGAAGGACCAGCAGGAGCAGGCTTCGGCGGGAAATGGCTTAAGCAGGGTTGTTCTTTTTAGTACTAGTGCATTGATATTACAAGAACATATTATAAAAAAGCATCTTCTTTCATTCTAGAACACACAGTTGTATGTTGTAATGATTAATTTTTCTGGGGGTCGAGGTCGTCGTGTCCTCTACTACTTCTGATGAAAACAGAAAACATGATGAATTGGAGTCCTTAATGCGTGTTCCTATTGATCCTAATATAACTAACCTCCTTTTCACTAGTATAGAAAGGAAGTAGAACGCTGTGATCCGGAATGCAGTGATACGTTCTAAGAAGGATAATGAACGTCTATGCAAAGTACTATACCCACATCCAAATATGAAGAAAGTGCATGTTCTTGGCTGAAGTAGTGCACACCAGTGTCTTGAGCTTAAGCTATCATGGTTACGGTGTCAGTGTCTGGGTCTTCGCCTTGTTCTAATTCCTACATCCACTCCTTCAAGTTCCTCCACCCTAGCGAAGTTGCACATTGAGGCGTCGCGCATACTCCGGGAAGCGGAAGAAATGAAGAAGTATCGAAGATCAGCGATGGAAACGCGGGAGGCGCGCACTAGTGGAGTGCTCGCAGCCCTAAGACTTCAGGAAGAGCTTCAAATGAAAGTTAAGAAAAGCTCATGTATCTCCAGTTTAGATACAGAGACTAAACTTTTTTGAACTACCCGCCCCGTTGGACGCCGTACTACGGTAGGTATGTTGCTTGTAAGGAGAATAATTATAGGGCTTGTGCGTGTCGCTCATCTCTCGACGTCACCTTCTAAGAGACAAATTGATGACCAAGATGAAGCTTCTAGCAGCAGTGCCGACACGGAGACTGTAATGTCAGGCGTGAATGAGGACCTTCAAGAGACGGCTTCCTCAACTTACGTTGTAGACAGGAAATCTGCAATTCGCGAAGCTGTTAATGCTGAAATCGCGGCACGCGCGAACCTTGTGGTAGTGGACGTAGTCGCGAAGAACGCAAGCGAGAAAATTGGAGTGTCAAAATCGGGAGAACTTCCCGGAAACGACGTTTTTGTAAAACGCGTCGTAAGCAACGTCGCCACTAATTCTAAGAACTATGTCGGGGTCGGCGGAGAAGGAGCCCCTTCAAGTCGTGGCGGCACACCTACTACTCTATCATCAGCAAATAGTAGTCATAGTAGAAGTAGCACTAGCACTACCACATCGGTTGCAGTCGCGCCAGTGACGAGTATGGCTGCTTCGATGGGGATTCGGATTGGGGACAGAATTCTGTCAGTCAATAGAACATCGACTGAACGTATGACGCAAGACCATTTCGCGGTGGCGCTGGCGCAGAGACCTGTCTGTGTCTCCTTTGGTCGTCGAGGGATGTTGACCTACGATTTGGTGACGCCACCGGTCGATATAGTAACAGGCTTATCGCCATGGGAGAATCTTAGAATCGAACTGGAGGTCACTCTTGTCGCGTCGGAGTCTCCTGGTTCGTCCTTCTCGTTCTCGCCCTCAGCGAGTGTTGACGCGCCAGTTGTTGTGCGGCAACTTCAGCAGGCCGTTATATCGTCTCCATCCGAAATAACAGGTTCTGGCCAATCTCTCTCTTCTAGTACTTTCAACACAGCCTTAGAGCAACAAGCAAAACAGTCTAAACCCAGCAAAACAGCAGGAATTGGACTGTCTAAGATTGGCAAACTTCCTGGAACAGCCTTGGTGAAGCGTGTCGTTCCTGGAAGTGCTGCTGAAGAGGCAGGTATAGAAGCGGGTGACCGCATCGTCAGCATGAATGGGATGCTTCTGAACAATCGGAAAATGACGGAGGAGCGCTTTCGCACGATGGTGCTCTCAGAACGGCCACTGAAAATCCTCGTAGCAACACGTGTTGTAGTTGACAACAATACGAAGATGTTGAACACGTTATTTGATAGACGAAGCTGCGCTACTACTACATCTTCTGCTTCAAAAGCCAGTATCGACCGCAGTGCGTTGCTTGATGAAGATGATGATGAGGAGGTTGATGGGATTGAGAAAGGAAGCAGGACAAGAATAGTCGAAGAAGTTTTTGATGTAAAGATCGATCCTACAACAGCGGAGGACCACGAGGATATCCATATCGGTATCACAAAACGTGGCGACTTTCCCGGTGTCTCCTTAGTAAGTCGCGTTTTGCCTTATAGCATTGCACAAATGGTAGGTGTTCGGCGAGGAGATCGCATTGTTGCAGTGAATAAAGTAGAAGCTGCTCCTGCTAGCAGTGAGATGTGGAAGATGACTGCTTATGGAGAAACCTCCGGTACTAGTGGCTTAGGAGTCGCACTGCCGTCTTCAGCTGTCAGCACTCCGCGATCTACAGCCTCAACTAGGCTGAGCCGAAGAAGCAGCAAAACTAGCAGGTCGAAGAAAAAATTGCTCACTGAAGACCTCTACCGTTCGATGATGGACATGCTGCCTTTGTCGATGCGCTTTGCACGCTTCAGCGACGTAAATCGTGAGAACCTTACTTTTGAAATTGTTGTGCCTTCACAGTCGTCCTCAGATGAAGCGGAAATCAACAAAATTGGTCTCCAGAAACGCGGCACTCTACCTGGGGCGGTCACGATCATTATGATACTGGACAGACTTACTGTTGCTTCTTCTAGTTGTCAATCAAAATGTTAAGCACTTGTGGCTGGTAGCTGCATCCCAATAGTGCAGTCTGTCTCTTCATGGGAGTGTTGCTCTTGTTGATTTCTGAAAATGTCAGCTACAATATACGCTGCATTGATATAAAGACAAGGCAAAGGCTGCACGGCCACCCACACATATCCTCTTCTCCTCTTCGTCTTCTAATTTGCCAAGGGTATTTGGTTATGCAGAGCAGCAAGGTGTGAGAATAGGAGATCGTCTTGTCTCTATCAATGGAATTTCCACGATGGACATGACGCAAGAAAAATTTGAGGAGGAAATGCTGCGAAGAACACAGGCAATAGTTCCAGAGGGTCGTGAAGCAGATCGCGATGGACTCACTCGGACCTCATCTAGGACGAATAACAATGTGCCTGCTTTTCTTGCTTCTAGAACGAGTAGTTTGAATTCAGTCTCGTCTTCAAGAACAGCACGCACGATAAATCGTACTTCTACTACTGCCTCTAGTCGGACGCCACCTTTGATGCTGCGTTTCGCCCGTGCAGTTCCTGCGAATATCGTTGCGGCAGCAGCAGAGACGAGTCGTCCTCAAAGGAAAAATTCGAGTGTCCAACAAGTTGTCGCATCTTCAACAACTTTAACTTCATCTTCAAATAGTAAGACACCTTCAACATCTACTGCAACGACTCAGATCATTGTTCGTTGTGATCGCGATGATGAGAAATTGGGCATCAAGAAACTAGGTGACTTGACTGGTGGCACAGTGTTAAGGCTCACGGGGGAAATTTTAACATGACAGAAAACTACTCGCTCCAGGATACTGGTACTAGCATGCACTCTGACCATGGCGATGAAGTAGCTCCGTGCATGGTCTTTAGTACAGTATCATGATGCATGCTTTTCGCGCATCGTCCACTCATTCATTATCTGTCTCATCGTCCCATGGTATTATTATTAACAACAACAAGGTTGTAAGAGTTGTAACGATCTTGCTCTAAAATCAGCAGTTGTTCGATGCATGACCGACACCGGGTTCGCGCGCTTGGCGGGGGTCGAAGATGGCGACTATATTGTCGCAGTGAACGGCGAGTCAATTACCACTTTTTTAAGCCTGGTATTGTTTTTGTATGTGAGTGAAGAAGAACAAGAGTTATCCTATATGATAAGTGAACAGGCCAACGCCTAAACCACTAAGCCAAAGAAGACGAGGCTTTTCAGTATCGATGCAAGTAGAGCGATGCCAAGAATTTCTCGTTGCACTGTCTATGAAGATCATGAAATAACAAGAATAGGTATACATGTATAGACTTGATTAATTGGTATGAGTTTACGATTCCACTTCCCTCTTGTTTGCTTTCTCGTCCTTGTGGTGGAATTTCGTTCATCAATTCAAATATGTTACTACGCTACATGATAATAACAAACTGTGGCTTTTATACATAGCGTCCAGGTCCTCCTCCTACATCGATCTACATCTACATCTACATCCGAGTCTAAGACACAATGAAGACCGATTTCAGCAACTTATACTCGAGCGACCGTTGGAGGTCAGTTTTGTGAGGCCACAGGGGAGCACCGTGATGGCGGTGGGCAAGACAGCGTCTCTACTGCATTTAGAGGAACCAGATTACTGAATATCCAACGCTTCCTTGAGGCGTTTTTTTCAAGCAGGAGCAGTACAAGTTGTACACAGCGCAGAAAACGGTGCCTTCCTGGAGGAGTTGTTCCAGGCGCAGTTGTGCTTGCTTGAGTATGAATAAATGTATAACCTTAAGCAGTTGCACGCATTGATATCGGCCTAACTCCAAAATCCAAAATTAACATAGAAGAGAACATCAGCATCAGCATCAGCATCAACTTGAAGCTTCTTGACGATTTGAAAAATGTGTGTACAGATCTTTTTCTGTATGACGCTTTGAAAACTGTTAGAACAACATTACATAGATAAGTCTAAAACCTCAAATATCTGAAATTTTCGTCAAAGAACAAATTCAAAAGTGTCTATGTATGGTCATAGCAGGCATGATTAGGTAGCGGTAACTAGCACATTACAGGTAACATATAGTGTTTAGGGTAAATATTGATTCTTGTTGTAGTGATATTTGGATCAATGATATAGTCTCTAAAGAGCTGCTCATCAGAAAATGAATTCAATTAAAATGGAATATAATCAAAATTTTTTGGATTTTCCTTTAAATTGTGAAAATTTGAAATTTTTGTAAAATTAGTCTGGACCACGCATGATTCTCCAGATACAAATCTTCTACGATATTCCTTGTATAGTTCTTCCAGCAAGATACTCCTTGTATAGTTCTTTCTCATATCCTTAAATCTAGTATTAGAGTTTCCAAGAGTTGTAGTCCAAATGTCGTTGCACAAGCGAGCATCACCGACCTGTAGTGGAAAAGAAATATTCTTAAAACGAATCAAAATTGTCTTTTCAAATGCACGATGACATTGTCATCGAAGATTCTACTACTATCAATATCATACACCACCACAGTCTCGTTCTCTAGCAAAGAATCATACTCCTATCAGGCAAGAAGCAGCTTTCATCATCCAGCGGCGATGAGCTAAAGACGACTGTTCTAGGATGGCGAAGGGATCAGTGAGGCTGTCATTACCACGACAACCCTGTGAGAAAACCCACGATCTGTCTTCACTGGTCGTCATGTGCGTCGGTTTAATACAAAATGAATAGCAAACAAATTTTGATGTCGGTCGTATTCCTGAATAGTTGTAGTAGTTGCTCTCACATCAAACTACTCCACAAGATCATCCAGCAATTAATATGCACGAAAAGGTGAAGCGATAGCGAGCCCTGTGATAAAAACGAACATTCATTTAGTGCTCAGGTGGTCAAAGTAGGCTTCTTCCGAGAAGCATTAAGTCCTTGATTTTAGCCGATTCATAAGCGTCGTATTTGTATAGTTTTTCTCTGATATTTCTACTAGTCCTAGCTTAATAGTTCTACAGCTAGTTCATCTTCGTGTTCATCATCAATTCCAAGTAGAATCACAATCATCAACATGACAATGACCGTGTCGTCTTCGTCGTCTTACGTGCTCTGCACAGGTGGGTTGGGCTATATTGGTTCCCATACCACCATAAAGCTCCTCGAAAAGGGCTACAAAGTGGCCGTCTTGGACAACTGCGCGAACTCGTCACCCGTAGTCCTAGACAGAATCGCGCAAATATTAAGGCATCGCCTATGATCCATCCCCAGAAGCATCTTGGATATGTTCGATAAGAAGAGAAAGCAGGCGGCCTGAAACCCAAGATGCATTTCAGGATGGATCGATTATGGTGAGCTCTAAAACTAGTGGGCAAGGAGGATAGCGTAAAATTTTTCCAGATGGACTTGCTCGAGAAAGACAAGGTCAAAGCACTCTTCGAAGCAGAGAAATTTGACGCGGTATTATTATGATTGATGGACTTTTGCGGCGTCGTCCGAAGACATCTCCCGCTTCTTTTCTGAAGTATTTAGTGAGAAGGACGACTTGCTCTTGCAATAGCAATTATTCAGTTTTTGCACATTGGTAACGTCAACAACCACATTCTTTCAACAAGTTGTAGTCGGATTTGAGACACCAAGACCAAACATCTCCAGGTAATCCATTTCGCGGGTTTCAAGGCTGTAGGGGAGAGTGTGGCGATGCCTCTGGCATATTACCACAACAATTTAACCGGAACTTTATACCTCCTAGAGGCGATGAAGGCGAGTGGATGCAAAAGAATCGTTTTCTCATCATCAGCAACTGTCTATCAACCCTCAGAAGTACCTTTAGACGAGAGCAAGCCGCTGGGACCCTCAAATCCGTACGGGCAAACGAAATTCATGATCGAGCAGTTTCTTCAGGACTTGTACGCATTAATTTTGCTAGAAGTCATACTCATACTTACGCTTACCGTAGTATAAGAAATAACAGTAGAAACTCAAATTATACTAGTACATGGTTGAAATTTAGAAAGAGAAACTAACTTTGTTCATACGACGGACATTAAGATTAAGAAACTCGAGTGATCCTTCCGGCCCTTGTTGGATTCGTCGGACAAGAATGGATCATAGATTTTAAAGCTTCAACTGGTAGTTCTCGATGCGTGTACATCTACAACTAGATGCTTCGCCAGCAGTGCGCACAACCACGTCTTCTTGCTCTCAGGTACGTCTCAGACAAGTCGTTTTCAATAGATATCTTGCGGTATTTCAACCCTGTCGGTGCGCACCCGTCTGGTTTGATCGGGGAAGATCCGACTGGTCCACCGAATAACCTCATGCCATTCATTTATGGCAAGAGACTGGAATAAATTCACTCTTTTTTACTTTTAGCTGAAAACTACAACTAGATTAGCCATTATACGACCACCTAGTTGTTGGGTGCTCGTGATCACTGCGGTTACAGACAGATTGATACAACAAAATACGTAAGAACCTCAACAAGACGTAGACGTGCTTTAGACATGCTTGTTTTCAGTAAGACATCATCAATAATCAACCTTGTTCCCCTTGTTCATCTAACTTTTCCAGCAAGTTGGTGTTAAGAGAAGAGACAAGCTTACCGTATTCGGCAATGATTGGCCGACACCTGATGGCACAGGAGTGCGAGACTACCTTCACGTAGATGACCTAGCAGATGGACATCTAGCAGCACTAAGCTACATCAGCGATAAAACTGGTACTTCTACTTTCTTCTTCATGATCATGTAGTTCAATGCTTATGCCATCACAGGATCTTCATAGTAAGTCCCATGATAAGTCTTGTTCTACAAAGAAGCGATCTCGATTAAATCGTTCTTGCACTAGCACATTCATTATGCAACCGCAGTATTAATTTGGGAAAGAATGTGCATACCCACTACACTTGTTCTTGTACGATCATGCAAGAACTTAAATGTCACACTCTTATTCTCAGGTTGTTATGTGCATAACCTTGGTAGTGGGAGAGGGGCGAGCGTTCTGGAGATGGTCGCTGGGTTTGAGAAGGCGTCAGTTAAGACTCATGTTGGTATACCGGTAGACACTTCTTCATGCATCTACTTTCACACTCATTTTTTTCACGTGGAGGTGGATAAATATCTATTTATTGTCCTCTTCCTTCTAGGGACTGAGTAGGAGTACTTCTAGACCCGTCAGTTACCCCCACCCTCATCCACCTCTTCCTCTAACTCCAGCGTGAAGATTCCCTACGTTATCGGCCCAAGGCGACCGGGTGACCTTGCTACGGTGATCGCAGACCCAGCGCGCGCCAATACCGAGTTGAAGTGGACTGCGACGCGGTCGCTAGAAACTATCATGGATTCCGCGTGGAAATGGCAGTCTGGAAACCCGGAAGGGTATCCCAAAGCGTAAGCAGAAGCAGCTTCTTAAGGACTGAGAGCAGGGTAAGGGAAAGGGAGCCAGCTTCTTAAGGTCGACTAAGAGCAGGGTAGAAGGGGTATCCGAAAGGTGACCGTGTTGGCAAGAGCAGGGTTATTATATCCAAAAGACTTTGGAGGAGGAGACGTTTTTTCAAAGAAGGATTACTTTTACAACGCATTGTTCTCAACGGACTATTTATTATTAGACGATGAAGGTTGCATTTTCCTAGTGCCGTCATCCCATGGATCATCTAACGGCATGACACAGCGTTGCTATGCCTAACGAGCATGAATAAAGGCGCAGTAAATTTTTTCCTTGTCGAAGACCGATGCGAATCGCCTAAAAATGAGGCTTTCCTCTCTCACAATACTTTTTCGGGATGCGGTTGTTGCGAAAAGACTCATTGTTGACAACAGTCTGTTGTCTTGTCATCTGTGACGGTCTCCGTCTCTGTGTGATGGGCTTAGAACAAAATACGTAGACAAAATTTTTAGAAGGAGCTTGATCCTGTCTTGACACGCGGTGACTACTGCGGGTGTTCGATTTATCGACCTTGGAAATGTGATCTCTGTGGTCATCTTATCTATCACTTACATAAAGACAGATCACGGAAGATAAGCTTACCCGACGTCGCGGAATAATCAAAGGAGATCCTCGGGACTTGACGATCCATCGGGACTTGGCGATCCCTCGGGACTTGACGATCCCTCGGGACTAGACGAGGATCTCGTCTTCAAACAAACACCTACCTTGTAAAGCAGTTTATAGCACGCGTTGCGCATGGAGTAACATGGAGTGCCGACCCATAAGAGACGCAAGAGGCGCCCCCTTTAGCTCCATGCAACAATCATAGCCCCCGTTAGCTCCTAGCAAGAAGCGCCCCCTTTAACAATCAAAGGAGATCTTCGGGACTAGACGATGATCTCGTCTTCAAACAAACACCTACTATAGATACTAGTAATGGACCCTATTTTTCTTCACCTTTGATATAAATCTCTGTTCCTTCATCTAGACTTTGCGATTATTTTCGAAGATTTTTTGATTCAACTTCAGAATCAAACTGAGCGTAGTCAAACTCAACGTTGAGACAGCAGCATGTCAGCACGGAAGTCGCTCCATTTTTTTATGAAGCAGGTCCACCCCGATGCGTCCGGACACGTGCTTCCTGTTCACGCGAAAAGGGTGAACCAACAATCCCTTATGGTCCTCAACTCTTATCTCGATCGACTCGATGGATCATCGTGCCAGAGGACCACCTCCTCCACTCGGAACGCGGAGAGTAGAGCTGTTATGAAAAGTGACTTTAGTAGTAGCATCCGAGTAGATCTGTTATGTTAATAGGGGGCGCTAAATGAGTCATGATGATGGAGGACTCCTTGATACTGTTGATTTTTATTGGGAAGGAAAGATCTGAGGACAGATGAGTATCTATATGATTTTCATTTTGTTGGGAACAGAGACAGAATATCTATATCATGTTCATGCTGACAGCAGATGTAGTAGTTCTTGTAGTACTTCTTGTCCTCTAGGTGTACCAGTACCCCCATGTCTTCTACGAGCCTCTACTGCACTACTGATGACTGGATCCGGATAATAGAACAATCTCCTTCATCTGGTGACACTTACTCTTTTTACATGATCCGACTACCTAGAGCGCTCTTCTGATGCCACAATTGCAATCTTCACTACTATTTATTCTACGTAATACCCCTGGCAAATGAGCAGTGCAAGTGCTGTACTACAATTAGATCCGTTCACTCCTTTGATGCCGCTCCTCTCCCTCTCTTACTTCACGAACAGGTTTGGTACTGTTGTACCTCAATTCATCTAAGTAAGAACCAGACTCTAGTACGCCTTTTCTTCGTCAGCAGCTTCCTTTTTTCCGGCCTTTGGTGCGGAAAGCCACGGGTGAGATTGTGTCGAACCGCGCAGTGCCGCTAATCCTGGACCTTCCAACCCTGCCTCCAGGCGCGTCTTTTATGCTGCGCGATCAAGCTGCTACGGACCTGCTCGAACAGGCCAAACAGAATTTAGATTTTTATGATTGGATCATGTAAGTAGTTAATATATCCTTTCGTTCAGAAGTTCTAGTCTAGTATCTCTCTGTCTCCACTGTCTCTCTCGTCTAAGCTAACTTTGGTTCCCCTCGTCTTTCTTTCGTCGCTTCTAGGCTAGATTGCCCTTTCTCACTTTCTCTCCAAAGCCCTCTAATGAAATCAAAGGAGCCGATTTTCCGACTTGCCGCATGGGACTGGAAGAAGCTTGCTCCGAGACGCCGTTCTCGGTAACATCAATGGTGATTCAGCAAGCACGTTACGGCTGGGACGTAAAACTAAAAGCTCTAATAGACTTAGACCCAGGTGCTTGATTGTTAAACGTCAACGTCAACTACGTGAAGGCTCAGGAGAAGAAGATGCCCATGCCTCATTCCCATTTTTATCTATGTAGTTGATGAGGGGAACGCGACAAGTAGAAGGAGATCATGTCTCAACATTTTTTTGAATAGCAATAAAACAACGTCCTCCATGTGGTCTAGGCTAGCTACGTACTACCAACGTCTTGGATTATTTCTCTAACCTGAGCTACCACATCAACATCGTCCTCCGAGACCTCCTCTTCGCGTGCGTCATCCATGGGCAGTTCAGCTTCGCGACGGGTTGTTGAAAGGTTTGAAAAGCTGTGGGACACACAGACACACGATGTGATGTTCAAAGATTTAAGGCTGCCGCTGGAGTATCCTCAACATCATCCCGCCCTGGCCCTTTTTCTACTTGAAAATGGAGCCAGGATGCACGCAGGGACGCGACCGCGGTAGCTCTAACAGATGCACTGTACGACGACCCTGCGGCAACGAAGCGCCTCGCAGCGATGGAGGCCTATCGTCGACGATATCAAGCACAACTGCTGCGCAAGGCACTCAAGACGAAGAATAAACATTAAGCAGAGGGTTTTTGACTATCTAGTAATGCTAACAAAGACATGAAGAAGGAGGATTTCGTTTTGTCATTTATGCTTCTTTGTAGTCGGACTTGTGGTTCTTTCATCTGTAGTGCAGCGGAAGGATCCTAAGATAGTCCCTCCATCCAACCAATTTCTATGGTGTAGGAATTATTCATGTGTGCGAATAGGATGTTCCAAGTATTGAGAAGAAACAGAGAGACTGAAGAGTCTGAGACCTACGACTAGACAAATAAGAGTACTACGACTAGCACAAGCTAGGCACCAACTACAGCAAGTAGTAGTTTATAGCAGCAGAAGTAGGACTTCTATAGAGTTAATATCCAGCTGCTAACTTCGCCATACTATTAAGATGGGATTATTGGCCTTGGGGAGTTGCTATGATGAAACAAGATCGGGGTTTGTACTCGACACAGGCATGGCCACTATTAAAACTGAAAACGTTTCTAAAATCGGGGCCGACGGCGACGGCTGGAGAGTGTCGACAAGAGGGCGGAGGCAAAAGTAGTGGAGAAGTTCGGAGCTGTGGCTGGAGCAGGACAACAAGAGTAAGGTTGTAGACAAGAAGTTGACTCATTGTCAGGCTCCTCTTTAGTTTTTAGGCATGAAGATCATGGACTTCATCAAGAAAAGCTTCCAAATTATTATCTATGATGATTTTAGCACTGCTTTACTGCCAGTGAACGCTGAGGAAGTGAGTACTTATCGGCTATTAAAAGGATAGACCACTTCGACGCATGAAAGGAAAAGTAAGGACCACGTATGATAAGCTTACTTTCTTCATCATCATCTAAGACTGAGACGTGATTCACTAAGACTAAGACGTGACTCACTAAGACTAAGACGTGACTCAGCCAGAGCCTCATTCTGTTGAACAAGATGGCGGAGAAAGATGTGCGTCAGGTCCAAAGAAACTCCGCATGATCGAGTATGGCTATCATCCGGACCTGGTGTTTATGGAGCCTGGCCTTACACCAGCACAACAGACCGAAGGCATAAGTTAAGAACATGATTATCACAAGCACTTCTCTCTTAAGTAGTACACTTTTTACTGAGATTCCTTGAGTACTCATGATTTCCAAAGAGAGACTTTTTAATGAGCATTTGTTGTTTATAACTACTAGACGAGAGAGTTCGTTGAACCCGTTGTAGAGGAACTGCGACTTTATAGGAGTGCTACGATCTCGTCTACTTGGTTCATGAACTGGACTAAAAAGTTGTAACCACACATTTTGTCATTTGTAGTTGTCCTGCAAGTGTGAGCCCCAAAGCCCTCTAATACAAGCGATGCTGTGGCGTACACTTGCAGAAGGAGAATAACACTGCGGAATTCTGGCTACTGGAAAATTTGTGGAGAGCCATGCGAGGGACAGAGCAGTCGCCATCTACTTCTACGTCTCTCACTCTTGTTGCATATACAACATGAACATCCATGGTTCTAGATCAAGATGATAACTTTCAGAACTACGTCTTTGTAGAGGAGAGCGGCATGGTTGTAACAGCGTAGTAGTTTGTTGCAGGGAAAGACGAATCAATACAAGGTGTTTTTTTTTACTTGATGATTGCAGAGGCACATGAGCCGCACTCGTCTCCCAGCGGACGAAGGCCATTCTCTATGACGAGACTCAGTTTTATATTATTCGATCCCCATGCACATGTTGTTCGGATCTACTTGTCGTCATTCTAATAAAACTCCCGAAGACCACGACGACGACCGCAAGCGCAACTCGTGTACTGCAAGTTCCGCGAGGATCCCGCTGGTTTTGTGTGCTAAAGAGTTAAGCAGAGCTGCAGAGAAATAATACAAAGAAAAGCAAAATTTTTCTATCCGACTATCTGTCAGGACGATCATGATCACGGCTTGCCTTACATACAGTCCAAATCAATGGTGGAAGAATTATATAATACTGTCAGTCTGATCAATAGGAGAAGGACTTTAAATTACGCAAACTTTTATATTAGACTTATAGAGTAATCACCAGACGGCCGTGACGGATGATAAAGAAATAGTGCAATGAGCTCTACGTCCTCTACTAAGAGATGGCGAGTATCGAGCGGAGCGCGGATGCGTTTTTGTACCCTACAATTTCGATGTTGCCGCATTGTCCGCATTGCTAGAGGAAGAACTTGATGTCTTGCGTGCGGATCTTGTGCAACGCAAGCAACAAGGGAATCGAAATGAAGCATAGAAGAATTATTCAATATTCGTGAAGAACACGGCAATGGCATTCTTGAGAAAACTGAATTAAACATTTGAACAACGAACCGTAAGACCCTATAAATATTTCTTTCTTTTCCCCTACGCATACCGGCACTTAGTTAGTAGGGCAGACAGCAGCTGCACCTCCACGTCAACGAGAGTGTATTTCAACAGTCATCGATCTCAATCACTCCAAAAAAGAGTCAGGTGCGCAATTATCTCTGTTGCAAAGAGAGTGATCCGAATCGGTGAAGATGCTTCTCGTATGCAACGCATCCCTAAGATCATTGTTTTAAGGCTAATTGATATGGGTAGCTCATGCAGTGTGTTGTCGCAGTGGTACCTTGGCAGAATCGGTTCCAGTCTCAATCTCGCAAGCACAAGAAATTCCAAAAAAATGGGACCAAAACCAGGTAACAACGGGTAGCCCTCTATAATATAGATACTTCCCGCAGATCTTCTAGTTGCGTGCGAAGTTGGTTCCTTTAAACTGGTGATAGTTGGATGCATAAAAACGCATTGCTGATGCTGTCGTAATTTTTCTCAATCAATCAAGATTCGTTTCTGCCTTGGAGGTGATCGCTAAAGAATGCCTAACCATGGATGTTCTGTATACATTTGATTACTGGGATCGAGTCAGTTACGCACTGACTTCGCATGACGCCTTAGAATGAGAGAAAAACCTCTGTCCTTCGCGAATTCCGCATCTTCTGTCGTACAACGTCGTCGCTTGGAGTGAAAACGAGTACGAGTCAACGAGTGTTTGCGAGTCTACGAGTGGTCGTCAGCACGATTGGAGTCTACGAGTGGTCGTCACGAGTGATACATAGGGCATGGCTCCTCGTTGCTTTTCGCCGGTTGCTTCCTTTCTGCAACTTTATTAAACTTTTTGACTTTATTAAACTTTATTATTTTCCTCTTGTTGCGTGCGCGTATGTCGTTAGCTTCGAGGTCGTAAGGCCAGGGTGCTGGAGTACTGCATGACTGAGTATCACATCGTGTTTCAGCTTTTTCGGCTTCTACGGTCAACATCATGAAAGATTGCATCTTCATGACCGTCGTAAGCAGTTCTTGTTTTCGTCCATCTTCCTACTGTGTTGTGACTGCTTGGATCTTGCAGTCGTTCGGATGCGATCTCGTACCGAGTGACTTCATGGTGACATTTTTATGTTCCATCACGTGGCCACGTTAGAGTGATGTACTTATGTTACATCACGACGTGGCTACACATCTTCACGTGGTCAAGGTCATACATCACTTAACGCCCCGCGGGAGATGCGAGCAGCCACTTCACTCGTCCCAGCGCCCTCCTGCACCATGGGCCCCTGCTGAAGTGATTGTCAACATCAAGGAGCCGGCTGAAGTGAGCCCCTCTGAGCCGGCTGAAGTGATTGTCAACATCAAGGAGGCAAGGTTACTTATCTTCATGATGTAATATCACGACGAGTTATTTGTATGTGTATGAAGAGGACTACTACTAATATCATGAACTTGAATCAAGATGATCACTGTTCAAATTTTACAAAAATGCTTAGTCCCCTGATTTGATATCAATGTATCGATCTTCTGTCCTAAACCTCGACGAGAGTGAGTCTCTGCTTTTTCCCCAAGATCAAGAACACAAAAAAGAGTATAGTCTCTAGGAAAAACATCTTATACGTAACAAGGCAAGTGCACGAATCAACTTTCTTGAAGAAAAGTCTTCAATCTGAGAGAATTACAAGCAAACGAAAACGTCATCAGTTAATTTAAGTACAACTACGACAACGACATCTACGCACATCTTCATCTTCAATAAGTATGAATACGAACAAGAACAACGGGACGTCGATCCGCCTCCAACTTACTACTTACTACAGTCTCCACCAACATTAAGAACAAAAAGAATGTCGTTAACGTCGGACCTAACGCCTTTTTCCACTTCGAACAAGATGGAAAAGGCTTTCCCTCCTGCTTCGAAGGTGGACGATCCAGAGGCCGAAGTCGTCCCTTCCGGTAAGAAGTCTACGAACACGATGAACAGCTATGGCGCCATGGACTGTGAGCCTAAGGCGAAAACCTGGAAACCTGTGCTAAAAGTGGAGCGCCAAGTGTTAAGGCATGGGCAAAATGAACTGCAACAAAGTAGCTTCTTCTACTAAGTCTATGTCTAACTGTGGTGCATATTCGTATGCCATTGCATCAAGTCAAATCGTCTACAGCTAAGAACTCCAACCCATTTTGGGTCTTAATTTTGGTTATGGGTTCACCCATCCTGGAAGAAGTTCATGAATTGAAGATGATTTTGTAGGTTTTTATTTAGGGGAGGCCTTGTCATGGAATTTGTGAGAGCAAACAAAGTGCCTCAGAGAGGAATTGTTTTTATCACAGCAAAAAACTCCAGATCTCTAACAAAAATGCATCCGCGCCAAGACCTCTATACTCGCAACTGGAAGAAGCTGGCTACTGCGATCACCCTCGTGGTCGTACTGTTAGTGTTTTCGGGCATCGGCGTGTTTATGCTTCTCTCCCCGCATCCCGAGGAGCTGTGGGCCAATCTATTCGGGAATACCACTGAGGCGCGGCCAAGGTCACCTTCTTTACGCGGGCTCGCGTCTGGACTGAGTTCTCAAGGTACTACGACATGTAGACTAAATCTTTGCACTCAAGGCACTAAAGCAACATGATGTAGACCACCTTTGTAATGAATATAGGTCTTTGTCGTGCTCAATCATGTTCATGCTGCTGTTCTCCGCCCCTGGTGGAAGGGACGCAAGTGCCTCTGAGAGGACAAGCGCCCGCCCCTGGTGGGACAAGATGCCGCCACCTCTGAGAGGGAGCGGGGGCGTGCGGGACACAATGAGGCGCCGTAGCGTTTTGCGAGAAGTGCGCCGCGATTGTTGTGCAGCATGGGGAGGCTTGGACGCATGGAGGCCCTGCGGGCCTGTGCTTACTACGGAGATACTGGGACAGCGCCGACTGGCGTGGGTGATGGTTATTCCTCCTGTGATGCAAGAGAACGAAAGAGAGGCGGCCAGCCTGGGGCGCCTTTCTCCATTGTGTGCCAGCGCCAGGCCCAGGGCCTTCGCTCCACTGATGAGCCGAACCGCAAACGGCACCGCAGGAGATGGGGGCGCGCTGGCTTCCGTGGTCCTTGTCTTCTGACTGTGTGCCCAAGGTGGGGAGAGCCCCACAGCCTCGGCAGGCTGGTGCCGCCTCGTTTTCCTCCAAAGAAAGCAAGACGAAAGGGCAAGGCCGTGGCTGCGAAGCCGTGAGGAGGTTCGACGGGCTTGTTGGCTGCCTTGGTGTGGTCGCTTTCTAGGCCCGTGTCGTGTGGTGTGCGCGGCTTGGTTGCTCGCCTCGCCCTTGTCGGGATCTGTCTGCCCTCCTCCGCCTCCCTCTTTCCCCTTTTGTTTCGTTCTTCCCTCCTGACCTCGGTAGCGGTCCGTCGTTGTGGATGGAGGGTTAACCCTAGCCACGGACCCGCGCACCGGTCGCCAGTGATAATTGAACAGGCCAACGCCGAAACAACTAAGCCACCTGCGCAGCTGGCTTAGTGGTTTAGGCGTTGGCCTGTTCACTTATCATTCAAACTACCGGGGTTGGCTCGGCCGCCTTTCTCGCGGTCTTTCTCTGTCGCTAGGCACCCCCTGCTGTGGCTAGGTGGGTCGCCGCCTTTCATATGCGGCTGGTATCATTAGGCTGCCAAGTTCATTGGGGTCTGGGTTTGCGTTCATTCCCGCGACCTCAGTGGCCAGGCCCCGCCCTTCTTGGGTGGGGCCGGTCAAGTTTGCTGATGTCGGGCTCATCGGTGGCTGCGTCTTACCGGCTTGGCCCATTCTGTGGCTGGTGTGTGCACTGGGGCGCGCTCAATCAGACGCCCCCCGCCCTTTGGCCTCGATGCGTATTTTGGACCTTGTCACTTTTTTGGCATTGCCGGGGCTCGAATCCTAGGCAGTTTGCTTGATAAGTGAACAGGCCAACGCCCAAACCACGAAACCCGAGGCGGGCAGACAGCGCGTCAGCTTCGCACTTCTTGGCGCTGCTACTTTTCTGGGGTCTGATCGCTCGGCGGGCCCGGGCGGCTTGGTTGAGGATGCCCAAGGCGGACCTGGTCGTTTGAAGTGGAGACTCTCTGGCGAACACCGACCTGCCGCCGTCCCTACTCCCCTGGTGGAGTGACGGCAAGGCCCCCGGCTTGGCCTCAAGTTCCCCTGAAGACTGAACACGGGTGAAGGCCCAGCGCGTTGATGAGTCGCCTTCTATACATGCATGGATGCCCATGCTGTTGGCCCCTCTTCTACCTCTTCTACCGTTATTAACCTAACCTAACATCTGCCATCGTCCCAAATCAATGCATGCTATCGAAGATAAAAATGGATGCAGTTTCTCAATCGTTTTGCTTATACAACAATTTATTTGATGCGCCTTTTTAATATTTTTATCAGTATCTTCATTCTATAGTGTTGGTCATGGTCGTAAATCCTTGGAACTATCACAAAGACCCACCAAGATCAGAAGGATGAAGATCATCAAAATGACCAAGATCGCCAGGCAAAAGGTTACCGGAGCACCATCCAAACGCCCGACGGGTTTACCGTCGCGCGGGTGTCTCTGGCTTCTCCTCTCTCTCTCGTAGGTGGCTCAAGCCTCCCAAAACAGTCAAGGACAAAGCAACACAGGAAAGACCTCAAGGTAACCTACAGACCTAAATGCGTATGGTTCCAAAATCAACGATCAACAGGCAAAGGACCTTCAACGTATTCAGATAGCAGAGATAATGAATGTTCATAGCTGTAATCAGGTTCGTAATGTTTTGATCAGTTCAAAGAACATATGGGTGATCGTATGAATCAATGATGATAGCATAGGCGTTCCATATGAAGCATATGAAAGCTTTCCCATGCAACATGATATCCCAATGAAGAAGCTGAGACTTCTTTCCCTTGCAACCCCAATGAACATCCACAGGGATCAAAGCAGCCAGAGACCATCTGCCTCAGGCTGTTAGTGCAATCGGTATCAATCTCAAGCGTTTCTCAATGAGAAACTAGACGCGACTTAACAGTCTGTGTTCGAATGTTCCAACACTGCTTTGACCCTTGAGTCTGGCTCAGCATAGAGTAGAAATTCATGCAGAAACAAAATGTCTCGCGAAGAAACTCGACTTGCCTCAAAACTACCCGAATGTAGTTGGCATGGCGGCAGCTCCTCATGGTATTCCTAACGGAGTTACCACCCGGGAGGACGCAGCCAAAATGTCGCAAGGCAGAGCCGAGACGCGGAACCGGTGGAGGATGGATTTTGCTCGCAGAATTTGGACGATGACGAGACTGAAGACGAAATAGCTGTGGATAATAGTGGGGGAGTAAAACTGATAGGACATAGTCTTTCAACTAGTTCCATTACTGCAAGAAGATAGAGTTAGTCTGGTTGATAGTTGTGCAAGCACGTATCCTCTCAAGACACAAAGATAGGTCATTGGTATAACTACGAGAATTTGTAGGATGGCTTACTGGTAGCGTTGGAAAAAGGGCTTAGGTCATATTATGCCTTGGCTAGGTGAAAGGGAACTGCTCGCAATTAGGATGGGAATCCAACTTCAAAGGCGCAGGTGGTTGTCTCGTGCATACGGACACCAGCCAGGCCATACCCATAAGAAACCATCCACGCCTGCAGCTTCCACACTTGCGCGCAAACTTACTCAAAGAAGAGACTGATAGTGGTTGTATTTGGTCAACAGTAGAAGAAGGAGTCAGTAGATGTTACCTTACAAGACTCGAACGTCATAGAAGGTGTGGGCACTTTCATATAGATGGCCTCCAGGTAAATTGTCCTGAGTGCGATCTACAGAAAGGCCAACGCGCACCATATGCAAACCAATAGAGACACTTCGAATTGCGAAGGCGTATCAGTTAGGTCAAAGAGCTGTGCATTCGTGATTTCTGTAATGTAATTAGGAAGGTGTGCGTCGACCGCTTAAGCTGTAAAGTGACCGTGTGGAGGAAATAGAAAGAAGCGACAAAAGGCATTCGCCAGGACTACTCCTTATCTCTATATGACAAGGTAGTATGGTTCCTCCGGAGGGATGGAGAACCTGTCCTGAGCAGTGACGACATGACCAAATAAGTTATGCAATCGCTGCGAGTCTCAGACAGTCCGGCTGTTCCTTATAATCTGGATTGAATGAGACCTGCGAACGTTTTATGCGGAATTTGTTCGGCAGTGTTCGCACAATGCTGACTAAGTTGATAAACGTCTCTGGTGTTACTGCGTCGAGTACGCTGGTGACTGCTGGGATTGTTTACCGCATAACTACGCGAAAATGCCTCAAAACGATGGAAAGAGTCCTACTCAAATCTTGGAATAAAGGACTGGTAGAAACTCGCTGAAGAGTTCACTTCAATCGACATGCTCCGTCGATTTGGTTGTCTAGTTCACTTCCGTGAACAAATTCAATCCAACACTCCTGAACCCAAGCTCTCGGCCAAATACCGCCGTGACGTCTTCCCTTGGATTCTGTCCGAAGTCGTCTGGTTGGTTGGTTGGAACGTTCGCTCATGACGATCGTTGCAAGCTTGGACATCGATGGGCGGAATACTCTACCCGAGATGTAAAGTTTGTTCAGAGAGGACTACTTAATAAAGGATATTGATTGGCTTTTGCCAGATCAAAGGGCATCTACATAGAGTCTGACGAACTGGAAAACCTGCCGGGTGGCGCGTCGTAGCTGGGCTCCCCCTTGCCTGGACAGTCAGAGCCAAGGCTGGATCATCAATCGGGGTTCTCTGGCACGGAGCACATTCCAGGTGGACCGACCGGAATTTCCGAAGAGATTACTGGATAAAGTAGAGGAATCCAACGCAGCTGACTCTTCTAAAGGTGTTACACCTGAGGAGGGGAAAACTGAAGCGAAGGATCGCGTGGCATCTGCTCCGCTTAGTCCGTCTAGGTTGAAAGCGCCCTCTCCAGCACGTGTTGTGGCAGGCGAACGCCATACACACGGCGAGAAGCGTGGCCGACCAAAAGGAGCTAAGGACAAGGCAGGCAGCAGGGTACGAAGAACAAAGAAACAGTTAGAAGAATTGAGAAAGAGTATGGCGCTGCTCGCTAGTGCAGTTGGTGGCATGTGTGAACTCGACGAAGATGAGGAACTCGTCGAGTCATGTGTGATTTTGTCCGTTGCTCAAGCACTCAAGTCCCCTGATGCCGATAAGTGGCAGGAGGTTACTGAGATGAGCATGCGAGACTGCTAGCCTTTGAAACGTGGAAAGCAGCCTCTGACGAGGAGCTCGCGACCGCGTGACAGGCTCGACCAATTGCCATAATTCTAACTATCGAAAGATGTGGAAGATACAAGGCTTGTGCTTGTGTCGTCGGTAGTCTAGATGGATCGATCAGGAGAGCTCAACACCTTTGCTCCCGTAGTTTCACATACCGCAAGTAGGTTGCTCTTGACTTCTGCTACGTCAGAGCAGGACTATGTGATCCCGTTCGATTTAGATCTTGCGTTCCTCAATGCTGAACTCGATCGCGATGTCTTCTGTCATCTCCCATCCATCTGGGCAGAGAAGCATGGACGCGAGATCGTGAAGCTCAAGAAGGCCTTATACGGCTTGAAGGACGCACCACGAGCATGGTTCAAGAAATATCACGACATACTAGCCATTCTTGGCTGGGAGCCGTGTGATTCTGCGCCAGGCTTATGGAGAAAACCGAGAGCGAAAGCACCAGAGAAGTTCCTCAAGATGTCGCCAAGGACTTCTTAGGTGCCGTCGTGTACTACTGTCGTGAAGCTCGAACATTTCGGCTCAACGAGGAAGAGCACATCGATAGAATCGCAAAGAGATTTGAAATCCAAGTCGGGAATCCGGTTTACTCGCCCTATTTTGACGAGTCGACTTTTCTTGAGGAGGGGATCAAGATAGTCGATGGGTATCCTTATCGTGAGGTAGTTGGTGCCTTGCTATGGGTAGCTGTAACCGCGCGCCCGGGCATCTCTGTACCGGTGGCAGGCGTTGGTTAGACATGACAGCAAACCAACGTCAACACGAATGGCTAAAGCAGCCAGAAAAGTGCTGAAGTATCTGGTGACAACGAGAGAACAAGGACTGGAATACTCACCAGAACAAGAAGAAGAATTCAATAGAATCTATTCAAATTATTACCTGAAGGCAGAGATAGGCCAGAGGTGAATATCTTTAGTAATGCAGGTTTCGCCAACTGCGTGAAAACTATGAGAACGCAAGTGAAAGATCATGCGCTTAATTTCAAAGGCGTTCCAATCGCTTGGAGAAGTAATCGACAAACTGTCCGTGCCTATTCTACGGCTGAAAATGAATATAGTGCAGCTGCTGACACAATTGTGCTTAGTGAACTGCATGACTTTACAGACTTCTATAGGCCCCTACCAACTCAGTTGGTGCACACACAGAACGGCTTGTCTCCCTCTTTAAGACAATGCTGCGCTCTGGATCGACAACCAATCCGAGACCACAACAGCCAAAGCAGCTGAAACATGCCCGATGAGTCGCCACTATGCACTTCGCTACTTGCGTGTGCGTGATGCGGCGAGTTAGATAGTTTTCTGTCCAACTAACTAACTTAGTGAAGGCTGATGGCTTAACTAAGCTAGAATGTAGCTCGTTTCAACGTAGACTACTACTTCGCCATATAGATAACCCGGCAAAGAAAAGTCAACTATGAAGATTTAACTTACAAAAAGAGTAACCATTTCGCCTAGTGGTTAAGTGTCTCAGTTCAGTTTCTCCGGATCTGAATGGCGCAGGGTTCGAATCCGACAGAGGTCAGAATTCGAAAATGCCCGTCACTAGGAGGGCTGAGGAACGGCATCCATGCTGCGAAGCCGCCGGGCAAGGCCTGGATATGAGGTAAGATACGGCGACCCAGAGGAAGGGCCCGGCCCGTCCTATGCTCGCCTCGGAGAAGTGGCCAACTAGTTCAGTACTGGTTTACTTTGGTTTTAGACAAGTATACCGTAGTCATAGACGAATAGTTAGGAGATATGATTTCCGTGGATAGTCCAGAGACTAGGGACTTCGACACGCAACGATTGAGGAGGGGTGTTGGTCATGGTCGTAAATCCTTGGAACTATCACAAAGATCCACCAAGATCAGAAGGATGAAGATCATCAAAATGACCAAGATCGCCAGGCAAAAGGTTACCGGAGCACCATCCAAACGCCCGACGGGTTTACCGTCGCGCGGGTGTCTCTGGCTTCTCCTCTCTCTCTCGTATGTGGCTCAAGCCTCCCAAAACAGTCAAGGACAAAGCAACACAGGAAAGACCTCAAGGTAACCTACAGACCTAAACGCGTATGGTTCCAAAATCAACGATCAACAGGCAAAGGGCCTTCAACGTATTCAGATAGCAGAGATAATGAATGTTCATAGCTGTAATCAGGTTCATAATGTTTTGATCAGTTCAAAGAACATATGGGTGATCGTGTGAATCAATGATGATAGCATAGGCGTTCCATATGAAGCATATGAAAGTTTTCCCATGCAACATGATATCCCAATGAAGAAGCTGAGACTTCCTTCCCTTGCAACCCCAATGAACATCCACAGGGATCAAAGCAGCCAGAGATCATTTGTCTCAGGCTGTTAGTGCAATCTGTATCAATCTCAAGCGTTTCTCAATGAGAAACTAGACGCGACTTAACAGTCTGTGTTCGAATGTTCCAACATATAGACACTCATGTGCGTTAACAGGTTAACTCACTGACTCACGGAAGTAGATTATAATACTCCTGATATTTGTACTTATGTCCTTATGTATGTCTTCCTTAATAACATAGTGTACGAGTTGTTGATCATTATTAACTACGAAGTAGATAGTGTCCTTTTCTGTGGTTGTGGGTTTATTTGGTGAACCGGTACCCCATTGCGGATAAACCTGCGCACACAACCATAGAACTGAGCACTCACCGGAGGCGTTGCACAGGGCTCCGGCCTGCCTTCGAAGGTGAGACCTCTGGGGCTGACAGGACCACGACCGCGCCGGCGCTTAGTTAGTAGTAGAGAAGTTCTTGCCTGACTTTTCTTTTTTCGGCTTTTGTTTTTTCTAGTTAGATATGCTCCGCCAACATTATTAACTACCTAGTAACAAATCGATTTCATCATGACGCACTTGCTTCTTCATCTTCGCTCATCTTATCTCATGCTCCTTCAACGTTGTGGGATGAATGCTTTTCACATTATCAATCTATCGATCTACAACTTTCTCAAAAACAGGACCGGTCGACGAGCAGTGTGGTGGCAGAGAGACTGTGCGAGGATCTCCTCACTTTTCTTGGGCAGACACTTTCTTTCGAGCAGCGGGAGTGTCACCTTCAACATTTTTTCAGTCGTCGTGTGGAGTATCCAGTGAAAGCGGAGCGCCTGCCCCTACTGAACAAGACCGAAAGGAAGCCCCTGCTTCGCTTCCACCAACACCCCCAGAGACCAGCGCGGGCGCCGAAGTCACACATGTGACAGCTGACGGCTCGGACAGTCATGACGAAGATGAAAGAACGCGTGCTGGAGAAGACGGCGGGGCCGCCTCTCCTGCTTTGCCCCCTGGTGCCCCTGCTGCGGAGCCCGACGTGAAAGGTGCAATCACATCTGGAGCAGGTGGCGGTGCGCACAGGCATAAGGAAACGGCAACGCATGCTGGAGACGCTGCACCAGCCCAGCCTCCTGCGCCATCGTTCAATCCGCCTGCTACAACAACCGGCCCGGCCAACTGTGTAACAACGGGGATGTGCATCGACGTCGATGACCAGAACGACAAGAAGGACGTCTCAGTCCGATGGCACAAGTTCTGCGAGAACCTGAACACATTTGGAAAACGTGGAGATGAGAGTAAGCTTACGCCGGAGAAAAACAGCTTCGACTCCGTACCGCGAACATGTGAAGAAGTGACGCAACAGTTCCTCGATGAAAACCTGTGGGTACTCAACACTCCTTCAGTCTCTCGATTTTGATTTTTGTGTCAACCATGTTTAGCTTGGAAATAAAACAAGGAGACGGGTTAAAGAGTGATCACCTTGTCGCTTCCTCCAACGAACTTGATCACAACAAACTACTTCGTATTCATTAAATACGATATATTATATTAACTTCTCTCCCACTTTTCGTAATAATACGACAGTATGCGAATAGCGAGTACAGAAGCAAAAGCAATTGGGTAAACACGGAGAACATGCAGCAGTCTTGCTGCAAGACTGGGGCACAGACTGAAGTCTCTGCACCGTCGAATGGCAATGGTGCTGCGAATGAGCCTGAAGCTCCTGCTCCTGCCCCTCCTGCTCCGAAGATGGGGCCCGCAAATTGCGTCACTACAGGAAAATGCAAACGCATGAATATTGATCGCCTCGAGGACACCATGACGAAATTCAGCGAGCCAGTTACGCCACATGAGAATGAATCAGGAGGATGTAATCGTGAAGGTTTCATACTCTATAATGCACTGTCGACGTCAAGTTTCATGCCCAATAGAGTTGAGAAAAATCCAAATCGTTCCCCTGAAATTCCGGTATCGTGTGTCCCTACAGCATGAATTTCCACCACCTCTAATGAAGATTTCTGTACGGAACTGCACCAGATTGGAGAACGTGGGGAGGTCGACGAAAGTAAGCCCACGGACGCGGTAACGAGCTGGACTAACGGTAAGGTACCAAAGCAATGTGGCGAAGTAACGCAGCAGTATATGGATCAGTACCTTTGGGTACTAGACTGGTTTTTTTTGGCTCATCGTAGTGACCTAGTAGGTATCTCTATGACCACGACAGATGTCTAACTTTATTGGCTACAAATTGATTTTCTCTCTTCAATTACGCTTTATTTTAATTGTTTATAATCAAACTGGTGATAGTAGCAAAGTCAAAGAACTCCAACTCAGAGTATCAAACTCATGACGCCCCGCTGTACCTTCTTGACGCACCACTTGGGTCCAGCCATCGGACCAAGAACTTGAAGAATGTTGACTCCTCTCTTTCTCCCTCAATTAATACAGTTTTCGTATGGACGGAGCAAACCGACAGGAACAGATCCTTCGAAGAGTCATTTCTATTGGGTAGACAAAAGCGAGGAGGGCATGGTGGAGTCTTGTTGTACGGATGCCGCCAGTCTTCAAGCATCTGGCATCGAAGAAAAACCGACGCCGACCGGAGCAGCTCCTGCTGGTGCCGCTCCTCCTCCTGCTCCGAAGAGGGGGCCAGCGAATTGCGTCACGACACGAGAATGCAACATGTATTGGAGATCTAGAAAGGAAAACACTACATCCTTCTCGTCAGATGAATACTTTTTTCTCATCTTGGTTAAACCTCGACTTTCATACAAATCCATGCTGTACGCATATCCGAGTGGTTTACAACAAGCTAGCTCTTCGTTCCTTTCTAGTCAGCCTTATGTATAGTTGTTCGATTTTTTTCAAAGCGAAACTATTCAAGAACCTCCTTCCGCATAAAAAGGCGTATAGGCATCCTGCTAACTACACCCAATAAATCTGACAGGTTGATGTTCATCTCTCGCAAACACCCTGACGGCGTTGTGAAGGACGCTGCTGGGGACGGGCGTTGTGAAAAAATGCATTCACTTGCGGTCGGAGCCAATACCGAGAACAGCGAGGGCGCCTTCATCAATCGAGCACCGGAAAAGTGTAGCGATGTGACGCCGGCATTCCTCGAGTCCGCATTTATAGTATAAAATATATTAGACGACTACGTAGCCCTAATTTTCATCCTTTTGAATGTCGTTTCTGTTGTAACCATGACCTTATCTGAGGACCACGTCTATGAAATTTAAGACTGACGTCATATTCATTATCCCATTTTTCCCGTTCTTCTTTTGTTCAGTACTTATACCTCGTCTAGGTCGTAAAAAGAAGTACAACTCAGGCCTTTACTCTCTTTCTCGCATACACAGATGCCCAGCGGGCGTACGTTCGCCGAATTCGCTAGTCTCCATCATTGGGCCAAGAAACAGGCCGTGGACGACGCCGGCAAGAATCAGTGGGTCCCGTGGAATAAAGGCACACCGGAATTCAAAACCTGGAAGGAAAAGACGCAATGTTGTCGTGTTAAGGAGGCAACGGCTCCAGGAGTTCCTGCGGCTGCAGCCGGCGAATCGTCGACAAGCAGTGGCCGCGGGTCCGCTCTTGTAGCAAGACCAGTCCAGCCTCCACCTTCAGGGACCGGTCGCGGAGCGCCGCCTTTTGTAGGCAACTGTGTAACGACGGGGAAGTGCACAGTTCAAGTTTGCGTTGGAGGGATGAGTAACCACGGATGCGAATATTATGCCCCTCGAGATCTCATGACGAGGTTGGAACAACTGGACTTCTGTACGGATCTCAGCACATATGCAGCAGGTAGGGATGGAACGCTGGGGAAACAGGTGAACAACAAGTACAGCTTCGCTCATAATGCACCGCAGAGCTGTGACGCAGTGACGCAGCAGTTTGTCGACGACAACCTCCGTGGGGTATTATTCCACATCACATGCTATTACTTCTTGGCGATAAAACATCCTGTTTTCGTAAGTCGTTTATCTTTTAATAGACTCAGACGCTCACCCGCACTCCCGTACAAAATCACACAGATCGACAACCGCAAAGCGCGACGCGACACGTGGGTAAAGCCTTCCCAAGATGGGTCTTGCTGTATGGAGAGGGTAACACAAACACTTCATGCCGCTGGCACCTCGACAAACGTCGGAGGGCGGCTTTCTGCGCCTGTTGCAAAAGCCAGGGCGCCTCCTTCGCTGCCACCTCAGCCGGCTGCTCAAACGATCAGGAACACGGCGTCTTCCATCGCCAACTGCGTAACGACGAAAAGCTGCAGGCGTCTGGTTCATCCCGGCAGTCATGACTCTGGTAAGGTTTCGGTTGACGACATGACCTTTGGCAACAAGAAGGATCTCTGCGCGAGTCTGCCGGATATTGGAAAACAACGGGAAGACGATGGGGAAACGCCGGATCATAGCTTCACATCCCTACCGACGAGTTGCAGCCAAGTGACGCAGAAATTTCTGGACGAAAATCTTTGGGTACTGCAGCTTTGTCTCTGGCACAATCACAAATCTATCATCTTGAGGGACTTCGAGTGCTCGTTTCTTTCATGCGAAAATTTTTTAGATAGTTGTAGCTGTCACCGAAACGAATGATCCCACCAATGAACTTGACAAGCAAGCAACACTCATGGTCTCACTTCCGCAATACACACACAGACGTACGGGAGCGAGCCGAAATCGACCGGCTGGGCAAAAGACCACCCGAAAGCTTGCTGTAAGGAGCGGGCATCGCGCTCAGGCGGCACGACTACAAAGTTGAAAGGCGTCGCCGCAGCGTTGCCTCGTCCGGTGACTGCGACTAGAACCACAGTTACTGCCCCACCCAGCCGTCGCAGTCTGCCTGCTGGTCGTGCAGCAACTGGCCCGGTCAAGAACTGCGTAACGACGGGGAACTGCATCGCTGAGCTACAAATGGATTCTACTGGCGACAATTGGGAACAGCTCGACGTCATGGATGATCCGCGCAAACCAATTTTGCGCTGTGAAAAACTGAGCACGCTTGGAAAACGTGGAGCAGAGGCGAACCCGGAGGGCTACAGCTTCGATTCCTTACCGCAGATGTGTGGAGATGTGACGCAGGCGTTTCTCGATCAAAACTTACGGGTACTAGACACGCCTTTATTTCTCTATTGTGTTTGTGCATAGTAGTAGTGTCAGCCTTGATGTTTGAGCAGCTTGGAAATGAAACAAGAATGAAGATGAGTTAAAGAGTGATCACCCCGTCGCTTCCTCCAACGAATTGGGTCACAACAAACTTGGCATTGATTTGTGTTATATCTCTCCTCTTTATTTCGTAATAATACAACGACAGCATCAATCGTCCAAGCAACCACGCTATGGTTGGGTAAACAACCAGGAAGTGCATATGCAGAAGCCTTGCTGTAAGCAAGCGTAGACCGCATGGCGCTAGTATGGCACAATACAATTCACTTCTCCAATTCATTTCTACAAGCCATTTCATTCAGCCTGTGCATTTTCCTTCTTAGGATTGCGATTGTGAGAAATCGAAATGCAGGCAATAAAGAAGTGAATGGCTCTGCGCTCTAATGCGACTCAAGAACAGATGCAGCTCGTTCGAGGTGCAGATGAGGAGAAAACACAGGAGCGAGCAGTCAGAATCAGTCAACATGAGAAGATACATACACCAATACCGGAGCTGGATGTTCTTCGAGTTGTTGAAAAATTTAATTCATTGCATGCGCATAAACATAGTAATAGTATGAATGTACCAAGTTGAAGAGTCGGACATACAACAGAGGCTTCAATGATTGGGTGACCCGAATTATCATGAATATGAAAATGTATACCTAGACAGAGAAGGTGGTGGACGATTAAAAATAGAAGTGAGTCAGAAGTGGGGACGTCGTACTTGTTGTTATTTGCCATCATCAAAGAAAAGGCATGAATCTCGTCAAAAGTATGCATATGGAGGTAATGGTTAAGCCCAACATGCTAGATGCTGCGTAGTAGCTTCGGCTCAACACTATGTATAAAGATTTATATGCTACTCTAATCGTAGTCAGTCAATCGAGGCCGCTCAGGGTCTCTCTCTCTTCCTATATAATTAATGAAATAGAGATAGGATGTACTTTTGAGTAGTAGTTTTACGTAGTGCAACTACAACCACAAGAACGAATATCTTCGTAATGTTAAAAAGGTCATGATCTTGTTCTTACATTTTGAAAAAATCTGGTACCACGAGCAACGTTGTAAGAAGTAGAGAATAGTTGGCATCAGATCGCGACAAAATATTACCTGTGTATTGAATTTGGCGGATCGCTAGTATCCATCTGCCTGAGAAGTTGTAGAAATTGTATGGGGACACCTATGGATGGCTCGTGGCACAAGAGCTTCTGCATCAAGAATAAGAAAGTGTAGCATTAGCATAAGTAACATACATTTTTTGAGCATAAGAACGCACATTGTTTGACAACACTGCATAGGATTAGGAAGACCAAGTCAGCAAGGCTCTCAACTACATGTGATTATAATATCCTGAAGGAGCTGAACGACTGTAGAGCACATTGATTAGCTTGTGGGTGGTAAGCCCCGTTATACAGACAAAGAGAAGACTAGTTGGATATTTAGCGATGGCGCGATGACGTGTTTATGCTTCCTTGTTTGAGGGGTGTGCCTTGTAGTTGAGTAAGTAAGGGTGTAGCTGCAAACCTATTAGGGATGCACAGAATAGAATAGTTGGATAGAAAGGTGTTCGGTGTTCGCTGCGATAGGAGGATGGCATATGATACGCCGAATTATGAGGGTATCCTGGAGGGATTTAACAACTGGAGCATATTGCAAATCCAAAGAAATGTCTACGATCAGAAGACGTTTTCAACGAGGAAGAAGCGGATCATGATCATGCTGATGATTGCTTCTGCTGCAATTATTCCAAGGAACGGCGCGACACTTTTGCGCGAGTGTTGTTGGTATCATGTCTTGCAGATCGGAAAATCCATCTTCTCGTAGTGTGACACATTATTAAGACAAAAAGATCTGACCGAAAAAGTGAGCTTTTGAAACCAATGATCATGAAGACGAACATTGATCTATTTGATATAGAGTAGTTTATAGAACGGATGTAGGATGGACTTGGATGGATCGGATGGACCCCCCTGATTCTTCCGATCCTACTTGAAATGGTGGAAAGTCCATCCGTTCCATCCGATCCATCCGATCCATCCCATCCCGGATCTGGCACCCCTATAAACTGCTCTATGATAAAAACGCTTCGACAAGCTAGCGGCTGCTGCTGCTCTGAGAACAATACACTAGTTGTACCACGCTGCTCACTGCTGCACCACGAAACTCGATAATATGATGAAAAACTAGAGTTGGAGTTCCTGTTCCACTTCTCTTCCTCGTGAGATTAATAGGAATACACAAATGATACATCACTTAGCAAGCTTTAGGCTAAGTCGTAGGAGTTGACTTCAGCTCCTTTGCTTCTACGAATGTTAATCATACAAGATGTTTGCAGGCGAAAAAAAGATCAAAAACGAGTGCACCTCATCCCGAAATGACGAAAAACTATTATGGATTCCGCTTGGAAATGGCAGTCCGGAAACCCGGAAGGGAATCCCAAAGCGTAAGCCGAAGCAGCTTCTGAAGAACTCAGAGCAGGGTATGGGAAAGGGAGCCAGCTTCTTAAGGTCGACTAAGAGCAGGGTAGAAGGCGTATCCGAAAGGTGACGGTGTCCGTGAGGGACAGGGGGAGCAGGGTTATTATATCCGAAAGACCACAGAGGACGAGGAGGAGATGGCTTTTCAAAGAAGGATTACTTATACAATGCATTCGGCTCAACGGACTTCTAAAATTATTAGACGATGGAGGTTTGGGTTGCATTTTCCTAGTGCCGTGATCCCATGGATCATATTATAACGGCCTGACACAGCGTTGCTATGCCTAAGAACGAGCATGAATAAAGGCGCAGTAAATTTTTTCCTTGTCGAAGATCGATGCGAATCGCCTAAAAATGAGGCTTTCCTCTCTCACAATATGTTTTCGGGATGCAGTTGTTTCGAAAAGACTCATTGTTGACAACAATCTGTAGCTTCAACAGTCATCGATCTCAATCACTTCAAAAAAGAGTCATGTGCACAATTATCTCTCTTGCGAAGAATGAATGTTCTTGAATCAGCTTTGCCTTTGCCTCGTCATGCTAGGAGTTGTATGTGTTTATAAGGATTCAAAACTTTGATGAATTTAGTAGAAGTACGATTTCCACAAGATCATAGATAGAATATTGACTTTCGAAATTAATCAGAAGATGCGCACCTCTTGTTCGTGTCATTCTGAAACAGCTTTATGCGACAGAACATGACTAAAATGATGCGTATGCGCTGGGAAGACTAGCGCCCTCCTTTGTTATCTGGTCTCCCTCAATTCGGTAGACATTTCATCAGTTTTCGGAAGAAGAGGTGATACTAGGAAACGATCGGTCCTAGCAGCATCAGCAGCGTAATCGCATCAGCATCCATCATGAGGACCAACCGTTTACTTGAGCCCATCGCCCCTCGGTGATGTTGATTATCGGCAGGTCCGCAATCTTCAACTTACTACGTATTGGCAATCTCCGAACAACTCTAGTGTCTGCTCACGATTCCATGCATTCATAAACTTAAACTCTACATCGTTTTTTATTAAATTATGATTTACACATACACAATATATCATATCTCATTCGCTCGTGCCTCTGTTCTCGTCCTCGTTTTTAATCAACATCCTGTGACACCTCTTCCATAGCGCTTGCTTCTTAGTAGCTTGACTAGCCTTGTTACTAATCGTCTGTGCTTTAAATTAACACAATATATTATTCTCTTAATAAGAGAATAAGCTCTTCTTGACCCGAGGATAGCACAAAAGCACAGCTTGATAGAAAGTATAAGCATGATTTTGTTATATCGTTTGTCTCGCGGATATTACTGGACGTTGACGCAAATTCAAAATACACACCCGAAGTGCAGGCAAACTCTGTAGTACCTACTACATCATCTACATGTTGTTCCAGTTTCCTTACGCCTGTAGAAGTATTTGATAATCTTATGGAATTGAAATTCAGTAATCATTCTCGTTTCATTGAAAGTAGAATTGGGCTTCGTTTCCTATCGCCCGCAGCTTGGTCGAGGTTCGAGATTCATCAATATTTTGTTTTCTTTTGCCGTATTGTTTCTCAATCTCAAGCAATTTTTCTCATGATTAATTTCTTGTTCTTGTTCAGCAAGCTGAAATCTAAACTTTTTTGCATAGAATATCCATAAACGTAATTGTTCTGATTCATTGATCATCCCTTCTTCGGTGAGTCAATCGCTCATCTTTGATTTTTTTGAAAACGTCGGAGCATCACCTTGGCAGTCGCTCTGTTCTTGGGGCCCCCGAGAGGGCAAATAACGAAGGCGCGGACAGTCTCTTGCCCATCTCACGTTCTTGCATTCGCTGTTAGCATACTTCTACAGCTCCAGCTGGCGGCCAGTATTCAACCTAATAAGAATTTAAGATGACGAAAAAGAAGGAGGTGGAGGAGGAGGCGAAGAAGGACAGCGAACAAGAACGACATCTCGTGACGAACAGCATGACTACGAATTATAGCAGGCAAGAAAGGCAGCAGAAAGAGGGAGTTGCCCCATCGTCAGGCATCTCCTTTTCTGGATCCGATTATCCTGGAAAAAACGGAAGTACTGGCGTTGAAGATGATAAGGAGCAGGAGGCTCTCTCTCTTTCGCTCGTGACACGTTGGCAGGCGTCGTTCGAAGCGGATCCACCTGCGACGATCCATTCATCGTCGTCGAACGCTAGGAAGCGTCGCAAGCTGGAGAGCCGTTCGTCGGCCTCAATCTTCGGTGGTCCTCCTCTCGCCGATGCGAAAGCGGCTTCAACGCTTGTCTTCGGTGGTCCTCCTCTCGCCGATGCGAAAGCGGCCTCAACACGTGATCTCGCCGACGCGAGTTCCGATCCACTGACTAGTTCCAGTACAGTTACGAAGAATTTTTGCGCCGCAAATAGAAGTATCATCGTGCCGGCCCCGATCGTGAGTGGGTGTAGCTTGTTCCTGAGTCGGGGAACAGAACTTCCTGAGTGTCTTCAAGAACAGGCTGCAAGAATCGTAGTAGGAGCTTCTCCATCTGCATGCAGCGAGCCGTTGGTTCTTGTACCTCTACCTTCCGTGGCCTCGTCTTCTAATCAGGCTCTTGTGACGAGCCTGATCGGGGAAGTGCGTGGCGAACGGCGTCTGGAGTACATCCGCGGACCTGGTGGAGGGATTCGAAAATTGCGTGGAGCGAGGCTTGAACCTCATCAAGTACGCTTGTGAGAGTAGCGAAACAAAGCATAGCAGGATTGGAGCGGCGATCGCAAGCTTGTGTACAGGAACCTGTGACACGCTTGACTGGCATCGCGATGCGGATGTGTCCCTGTACGCCCAGTTTTTCAGCCCGTTTGCAGACGATCAGCTCGGAGCCTACGAATCGGCGTGCCGGAATCAGCTTCAGAAACAGGAGGACATGGCGCCGGGCACGAGTACTGGGAGCGGCGCGTTGTCCGTCGTCCGGGTCGATCCGAAATTTTCCGACGAGGCTCTGGAAAAGCGACTGCAGGGCTGGACCCTACTTGTGGATAATTTCTCGTGGTTGAGTGGCCGTGTCGCGCAAGATCAGTGGCAGCTGTCCAAGGATTGGAAGACTGCGGTCGCGCAAGGTGGCGTGCTCGCGGATCCTCTGCGCAAGCTCCTGGCCACAACCGAAGGGAAGATTGCAGGCTTGCTCGACGTTCCTACATTTGTGGCGCAGGGACCAGGATCCGGGAGCTTCAGCACCTGCAAAAGCTCTCGGCACGGCGACGTGTCATTTTACGTGGCGTGCATCAAGTTGCCACACGATTTTTATCGTTCCCCCAAGCCGAGCAGCACACGCAGCTCTACTACAACGTCCTTCACAGAGGAAGGAGACGCACCTCAACAGGTCGCGTCACCAGCGCCACCGGATCCATCAGAAGAAATTGAAGTGCACGCAAAAGGATCAAGCGCATCGTCCACGCTGGAGAGTAACGTGGAACAGGACAGGAGGCCTTGCGAATTTTTCTGCATCACACCAACAGAACGAGAACGCAATCGCACAGGTGATCGACATGCTGCGCCGCCCGCACCACTTCCTGTTCTGCTGGACGCGATTCAGGATTCTCTCTGTGACGGAACGTTGTTCTCACAGATGCACGAGTTCCCCGAAGGTGTGTCCATTGCCCTCCCAGCGTTTGCTCTGAAGAAGCTAGAAGCGCTTGGCAAAACCGAAAAGAAACCGGAATCAGCGTCGAGCATGTTAAGGGCTACCGAATTACATACCGCACTACCATCCTTGGCCCTTTTTCTACGAGAAACGTCGGAGCCAAGGATGTTTTGAGGAATGTAATTCTGCAACCTCGTCTAAGTATGAGATGTGTCCAACGACCTCCAACAGAGATGTGTCCTGGTTTGAAATCTGCGCGCGACAGCACAACAAGATCCGTTGCGCTTGCTCGAGGCACGTATTTGCATGAAGTTGACCGGCCATCTCTGTGTGGAATCCGATGTCCAGGGTCAGGAGAGATCCTTTGTCTCGCGACTCTCGCCTATCCCAGCGAGCACTCTCCCAGCGAGGAAGATTGCCTAATATCCCGCCATTCCAAAGAAAGTGAAGCTGCATCTTCTCAATATCAACATCAACATCAACTTATTTTGTCAGATGCACGAGATCGAGAAAGTGCGCGCGGAAGATCGTTGTGGTCTCCGTCAGCTGCCGGTGACACGAGGATCAGATGCTGTATCTCCGCGAGCACTCCGACGACGTCGGCGTGTCCTCTCGACAAAAACGCCAACGCTACTAGTTCGAATCCGACAGCTTTCTTTGTGGATCTGGGATGGAGAAGCTATCCGACTGCAGTCCATCCGGAGTACGAAGATCCGCCGAAGCAAGACGACGACACGAAGCACAAGCGACTTCTGAAGTTATCGTGTGAAACAAGTGAAGATAGAGAAGAAGAGAAGATGAGCAGCAACGTGGGTCCCTGTCCACTTCGCATCGTTTGCTCGGAATGCCTGAGGCACGGCCTGGCAGGGACCGAAAACGAAGATCCCATGCTACGACAGCACGATCTTGGCAACAAGAACACAGCTGCACGAGATGAGGCGCAACCACTGGCGGATTGGGAAGATACTTCTCTCCAAGGACGTGAGGAGCGATTTTTCTTGCTTGGCTCTGGTCCAAATTGTAGTAGTCTTGCAGCAAAAGAAAAGAGCAAGAACATAGCCGCAACATCGTCCACAACTACATCTTGTAGTTTTCCCTCTCTGGCGCATACCAGAGCTTGTATTGGCGACACTCAAAATACATTTTGGCGAGGGTCGAGAATTATCGATTTCGATATGCCAACGAATAGTGTGCGAGACGACGTGGCAGCCGGATCCGCGAAGTCACATGACAGTACCGAAGTCGAGCCGTCCGGCAACACGTCTTCGTCTTGCGAGTGTGGGGCCAGCCTGAAATCGCAAGGCGATAGTTTTTTGGAGGTGCGCAGATATCCCAAGCCGGAAGAGCCGAAGGAAATGATTTTGGGAAGCACGGCAAACAGGGGGAGCTGGTGCAGCATAAAAATGACGTCGAGCCGTTTGTTGAGCAGGTTGAATCCAGAGAGTCGTTCCTTGCTACTGTGGCTCCGAAATATGATGAGCGTCGGTGGCGAGGTGTTCACCGTTCCCGACAGGGCCGATCCCAGAGCAGTTGGATACGTAATTTATTCGAGCACTTTCTGCTTGTCCCTACTGATGCGAGCACTCTTTGTCATGGGATTCACCCAAAAGAGACCCTAGTGGCAGAAGCAGACGTAAGTAAGTGAATAAAGTAAAGAAAACTAATTTAAAAAAGGGCCCCGAGCCTGCGTACTTCAACCCATCTGACTTCAGGATGATAGTGATTTGAAATCATCTGAATCTGATCATCTGAACTTCTGACACCTTAACGCAACCTTTTTCCACTAACATAAACTTAACCCACCAAAGAAAAGTAGAACACAAGGACTAAGCTTAACTTTCCCGAGTCTGCTAAAGTTTACTAAGTTACCTCAAGTAGATCAAAACAGTTATTCGAGCAAGTGCAAAGTGTGTGCGGCGATTGCTCCACCTGTTCGAGTCATGGAGCTGTTCGATCTTCCTGTCCGCTTGTTGCCACGATACCGTCGACGCGAGATATTAAAGGAGAAGGACGCAGCGAAGAAACGGCGACAGCCTGTTGTAGGAGATTCGGATCCGGCTGAAGCTCAAACTCAAGACACGACGTTGCAGCAGAGGGCCAATACTAATAATATTGCCCCCGAACCCCGGGATCGAAGTGACGGCAGTGCGTCGGAGGCTCAGCTACAGGCCATTCCGCAACACAGATACATCAGTCGTACCTTCCATGATGCAGCAACCTCGTTGCACTGATATCGGCTCTATCCTCATCTCTGGAGTGGCGCGCACGACGACAGACGATATCTGGAAGGTGGGTACCAAGCCCGTCTGGACCACGGCAACAAGGTTGCTAATGAGGTCCGTTCTTCTTCATCTTCCCTTTGAAGATGAAGAAGAACGGACCTCATTAGCAACTGTCTTTTCCGATCCATCTTGTTCTCACGCCGGTTTGGTAACTAAATATTATAAGTAATTCCTTTTCATACTAACAAGCGTACTAGCTGTACTAGTTTATGTTACATGTTTGTTCTCTTCACTCTTTTGCTCTACAAGTTGTACGAAATAAAATAGTTCTTTTTTTTCACGCAGCACATTGTTATTGTTTCCGTGCACGTAGCACATTGTTTCCGTGGGAAACGTCTTGAAATCATTTCGGTCAGTAGTACAAAGTCCATGACTCGCTTTCATTCATGACAAATTTTTTTTCATATTTTCATCCTGGATCGAAGGTCTCTCGGGATGAATCACCATAAAGTACAACGAGCGCATCCAAAGGAGCGTCACGACACTTTTGCACCACGAATGTTGATGATAAATGTCTTGCAGATAGATGGGAGAATCCAGCCTATTAAGAGATAGTAGTGTGACGCACTATTAAGAGAAATATTAACACGAGATCTGATCGAGATGATCTTTTGAAACCAATGATCCTGAAGAACAATGATCTGATGATGCTCCAACAAGGCAGCTGCTCTGAGAACAGACTAGTACCACGCTCACTGTACCACTCCTGAGATTCATAGATGCATTACAGCAAGTTTTAGTTTAAGATTTTGAGTTGTAGTTGGCTTCAGCTCCTACCGCTCCTACGATCATACAATATATTTCTAGCCCAAATAGAAAAGATCAAAAACAAGCGCACCGCATTCGGAGACGAACCAAGATTCTTATTATTAGATTATTTCTTTTATCGTCTTGTTCTTGTTGAAGTTTTGAACCCAATGAATCGCATCAAGCTACTGAACACTGCAACCTCCTCGACTCTTATTTGATCCAGTTGTTGTTCTTAAGCGGTTGAAAATCATTGGATGAAATCCTGCTTGTATGAAATCGTTTCATATTAATTTGGAAAAGAATGACAGATTGAACGCAGCTCAAAATCCTGCATTAACCCGCAGACTGGAATGATGACACGGCCACAACAAGAACCCCTACGCGACCCGTGGTCTGGCATTATCAGCGTGCATGCCGATAATTGAGCAGCGTACTCTTCGTATCTGCCGACACGCATATTAGTGCCATTCGGTCATGAGGATTATGCCACCTCCTTGAAGATTTTCCTTGGCGTAAGGTCGTTGCTACAAGATGCTACATCAAGTATTACAAGGGAAAAACGAAGACTCCTCGAGCAAAACGAGGAAAACAGATGAATGCCAACACCTTGCGATTTTGCGACGGCTGCTGACACGACAGGTGAGAAGAGAACAGAATGGGCCTTTTGAAGACGAGGGCGAGATCTGCGACGCACTTTCAGTTCCGGATTCGGATGTAGCTTCTCGAGTCGTAAAGCTGTTGACGACTCAGTTTTGTTAAGGCAAGTACTAGAAGGGTTTAGGGTTTACTGGAACTTACTAGTTTTGAGTTCAACTTGAAGTATTCGAATCCGAAAACCAAAACCCTTTACATTTTCTAATTAAGTATAGAAATACTGACTTTGAAAAGTCCTAGGTAAACCTCATCATTAAGTATACAGTATCCACCAGCTACCTAGTACTATGATCTGTAGTTACTAAACTTTCTATCTTCTTTCGAAGAATACCCTGATTTTTGTAGCAAGCAAATAAGAGTCCTGAAACTATGAATATGCAGCCCTGCTCTCTCAGCGTGCGCTGGCAATACAAAATAATAGATTTAGAATAACATTTTTTTACTTCTGGTTTGCCGAATAGATTCGCATCATCAACATTTACAACTACTTAAGCGTAATGATATTAACGCAATTCTAGCAATACTATCAGGAGCTTCAACAAGTAGAAAGAAACAAGTACAAGAAAGTAGACGAGGTGACCTCGTGGACCTAAAGATTCTAATATTAGGGTGACGACGCAGGCTTTTCATATCTTCCACAGGGATACCACGCTGAGTCTGGCTGTCGCAACGGTCTTGACACGGACAATGTCAGGACATGGGATAGAGTTCTTGTGCTTGACGAGAATCATCGTGACGAGACCACAGCAGCAGAATGTCTCATTCGCCTGACCAAGTCAGAGACCGAAGCCGCTACTTCGTCGACAACAGGACGGCTCATCCGCCTCACCGAAGCAGGCGCGAAAGCAATGCGCGAAAACACCGCGTTGCGCAAAGCGGCTGCAGGGCTCCTCAATGTTTATATTAGCAAACAGGAGCAGAAGGACAGCAATCAGAATGAGCACACGATGAGTAGTATTATCACGAGGTCTCTAGTTCGGGTAAGATGGCCTACAAGACATGAGAGCTCATCTACTAGAATGCAACTGGGGACAAGAAGAACTTCTTCTTCTAGTACAACTAGCGCAAGAACACCGACTGCGATTGCGAAGAAAGTAGATCAAGTTGATGTACTGGAGTCTTCTAGTCCAAGAACAGCGGCAGCGAAGAAAGCTGAAGTAGATCGAGAATTGCTGGAGGCTGAGGTAGAGCGACGCTTTCGTAAGCTCTTGGATGACATCCACAGTTCTTCTTTGCCCTCTTCCTCTTCGAGAACAACTACTACTTCTTGTTCATCTAGCAGGAGTACCACTTCAAGCACAACTACCTGTTCTACTTGTTCATCATCATCTACCAGTAGTCATAGAACCGACAAGGACATCAAGGAGGTACTTACTATGAAACCGTTTACGTTTTGTGAACTGTTTGCGGGTCTTGGTGGTTTCAGGATCGGCTTAGAAGCTCTAGGAGGAACCTGCGTTTTCGCCTCAGAAATTAATCCCGTGTGCCAAGCAGTCTACGCCGGAAGGTGGAAAGAAGTTTCATCGTATCGTGCTAGAGATACTTCTACAGACAGTCGCGAAATGAACATGAAGACTTCTCATATTAATTATGTTCCAGGCCCAGCCGCGAAAAGCGAGCTTTTGTCTGGTGACATCTCTGCCATGGGTCCAGGGCAGTTGCATGGTGATATCACTAAAATTCCCTGCTCCGCCATTCCTGACCATGACCTGTTAGTTGGTGGATTTCCTTGCCAACCCTTCTCGCGATTAGGAAACCAGGATGCTTTCGATGAAAAGCGGGGAAGAGGTGTCTTGTACCTGGAAATTCTGCGAATCTTGGAACAAAAACAACCCAGGATGTTCCTATTAGAAAACGTCCCAGGAATAGCGGACCAACATCAAGGAGAAAACGCTGTACTTGATTACAAGCATCAAGGAGAAAACGCTGTAGCTCATGAAGATAAGGATTGGACGACCACGGGAAGTGGACCTCCATATAAACGACAGAAGTTATCTTCTTCAAAGGAAGCAGTCAGTGTAAAGCAAATAAGTAGTTCATCTTCTTCGAGAAATACTTCTACTTCGTCTCCGACACTACTAGACGAGAAAAAGTCTTCTCCATTGGACATTATCTTGTCCGATTTGCGATTGGGTGGGAAGTATAGTGTGCAGGCGAAGATCTACAGTTCCGCACCTTTGACTGCGCAGCAGCGCAAGCGCGTGTACTTTGTTGGCGTCCTGCGCCAAGAGGGCAAAAAAAGAAGAAAAATCCGCTTCCCAGAGGAAATATTGCCGGACCTGGGTTTGACTGCGGCAGACGTAATCGATTTCGAAGAGAAAAAAGATAAAAGTAGAAGCAAACTAGCGTTGACCCCGATGGGAAAAGGCAAAGGAAAAAGCTCCTCGTCATCAAGCTCCTCAATATCAAGGACACCATTGGAAGATAAGACGAGGCCCCTTCGTTTATCCCCAGCTCAATTCGCAAAGCTTTGGCCTAAACTCCCCTATTTGCAGAGAGAGGGTAAGAATCTATTTGTCAACCCACAAACGACGAAGAAATTAGGTCCGATTGTCTCGCACTACGGCCACTCGCCTGGCCACGGCAACTGTCAGCTCGTTGCTCGACCTGCCGACTCGCTCGAAGGTGGCGTTCCACGACTCTTATCCAACGAAGAGTGCCTGAGAGTCATGGGCATCAATCCTGCGAAGTTCTTGCCAGACATGGAGTCTGTCTGGGTCCCTAGTGCCGTGAAGTTTCCCTATTCCAAACCCTTGATCAAAAAATCCTGCTACCACATCATCGGAAACGCGGTCTGTCCACCTGTGATTGCATGGCTAGTCGAAAAAGTTGTTTTGCCAGCTGGGGGATTCGTGGAGAAGAAGATTGTAGCCTCTGCGTCTGCTGAAAAAGAAGAAGCACGACTTCTATGCAAACAACAAGGTTCCGCTGACGGTGACGCTGAGATGCAAGAACAAGAACAGCTTCTACCTGCATATTTGAGACTGGCATTAGAAGCTATACGTGACTTTTGAGTACAAAGACTATACTTAGACTCTTGATGGAGGAGGACTATTCGAGTCTTGACTTTCCGAACCTTCAAACCCACCAGTCATCCCATCATGATGAACCACGCAGTATCGATGTCTATCCAACTTATCCATATCCACCCACTAAGTGGGCATAAAATTATATGTCATGATACCAAGAACTGAAGAGTCGTGGAGGATACTAGAAGTATCTATGCATACCTTGTAGAGCATCTGCAGGCCACTATGAAGTTCCGAGCATCCGAAACTGATCCTCAATGGATCATGATTCATCCAGTAGTTGCAGGTCGTGTTCATCAACAATAGGCGTTTCAAAATCGGAATTTTTTTCTCCTCAAGGACAAACTGAAATGTCGACCAAGAACGTTCTGGTTCTTCAACTGATCTCATTAGACTGTCCGCCCCGTTCAACATTGTCATAACGGGCCATGCAACTCGGCAGAAGTAAGACCATCTTATGATGTACTGTAATAAAATTGAAGATAGAAGTTCAGTAGTCCCCGGTTTGCGAACTGGATATAGGTCAAGAGATTCTTTCAATCCCCCCGGCATTACAAAAAAAAGAAACTTTTTCTGATATCTCCAAATCCAAATCCAAATACATAGGTAGTTGTATACACATACTCAAGAGCAAAAAACTGATCACCACGTTGACGACCTTAAAGTTTTAGCCTGCCTATAATCGCAATATATCTTCATGACCTCATCCAACATGACGAAGCTTGAAAATATTTGAAAAAATTCGCAGGCTTGTGTCGCAATTCAAGAAAGGCTTCATCGCTGAGAACGCACTAGAGGATTTTTCGAGCTCGAGGAAAGAACTTGAAACATCATCTAAGTATAAAAATTCAATTCTCTGCCTTGTTCTCGATCTGAGAAATTTCTAATTCTTGTTCTAGAGCACAACAACAAAAATGGCTGAAGGAGAAGGAGAAGTTCCGCAGCAGAGCGCCTCGCATATTCAGTTGCGAGTGCGCAACCATCAAGGAGGCGAGGTCCAGTTCAAGATCAAGCGAACGTCACAGCTGAAAAAGCTAATGTTAAGGAATTTACCTTGAAAACTTCTAGAAGAAAGATACTCACTTTTTGATTCCTCTCTACTAGCGTGGTGAACGCTTTGTCTTGGTCTTCTACCATAGTAGCTCAGAATTTTGTTTGAAGAAATGATGTGACGTAGATGTTGTATTTTGGTCTTCCTCGGGTTTGTCTCATATGCTGGTGATCATATTTCGGTTCTTCTACTTTTCGTTCTCCGCGAACCTAGAACAAGAGACAAATGCGGATTGTTGATACAACAATTCCCTGTTTGTGTTGAGCTTCATATTAATCCCCATCCCGTTCTACTTCCTAACGTAGTTCTTGCAGTTACCTGTTCACGATGACGCCCTCTAATCTTAGAAGCGTATTGTCAGCGGACCGGAGTACGGATGGGCGAGGTCCGCTTTATGGTAGACGGGGAACGAATCAACGAGAACGACACCCCAGACGGTTTGGGTATGGCGGATGAGGACCTCATCGATTGCAGCGTGGAACAAACTGGAGGAGGCTGGAGGAGGAAGCAACAAGAACGACTTTAGATGTTGAATGCTTGGCACCATAATGTAGTCAACTACTTGCACTTCATTTTTTCCCCGATAATGATGTAGTGAATGAAGACGAGAAGAAGAAGTAGATCATGATGCTGGACGAAGATGCTGATGCAAGTTTGCATGATGTTGTTACGACTACGTACTGCTTCCGGCTTCTGCTTGGCGATGTTGTGGTCCAACGAACTGGCTTCATATAGTACCCTTACCCGAGGATGTAGTAGCTCTGTATCATGGCAAGCAGGGAGGACAGGAGTCAGGGGTGCTCAAGCAATGGGTTGCTCGATTATAAGAACAAGATGAAAGTGAAATGATCTTCAGAAGTCTATTCCAAGCAATGGACGAGGAAGAAGCAGTGAGTCTAGATCGCTGTGGAGATGCTTGTGGTTCTTCATCTTGATGAATGTTGAAGCATCACCATTGTTGTTGCCCTCCTTTCAGGTCTCTACCTGCTAAAAGACTCTGCAAAAATTTTTCCACCCGCCCTCCCCATAATACTGCAATGCAACACACAATTATATCCATAAAAGGAATCAAAATCAATCACACCAGATCGGTGCTCAGATTAGTGATCTGCTGAAGAAGCCTCCTTCAGGTGTATCACCCAACCGACCAATCATGTACGATAGAGGACTTCTTGTGGACTCCTTATCATCCCTTTTTCCTCAGACCCCCAGCGACAAATTCTACACTTAATGTGTCTAACTAGCTCTAGCTGCACAAGAAAATGATTACTCGTCTAGTACTTATCTTCTTGTTCTGCTGTGCACACGAAATTTCACCCAGAATTCCTCTATAGTGCTCGCTAGTACCTACCGAGTTCTGTATTAACTTCATTTGCTGCAGTAGTACTAGTGGTAGTCCTGTGTTATCATGTCCACTCCCAAGAGAGATTGATGAAGATTCACCTTCCTTCTGTGAGTCACAAACACTGTGCTGCCTTGAAAGATGTAAGAGAAGAGCGCCACCACAGAGATATTGAGCAATGAGCTGCTAGACAAAGAAGGGTGAAGATTATCGGACTGAGCTGAACTGAAGAGGCTGGGGACCTGCTTCATTTGAGAGACGATTACTTATGATACATGAATCAGAGTGGCGAAGTACAAGTAGCTCTTCTACCAACACGACAAAAATATAATGGAAGACGCAGACGACGACGAGGCACTGTGATGCGGATCTCAACCCAGCACGATGAGCATCAACTTGTCACCCAAATAAACCCACGACTGATTTTTAAAGTTGTTTAGAGGTCGTTTGTCTATGATTGATGTACTTGCTAACACGTTTTTAGCAGTAGATGTAGCTCCTACAACAAGAACATCGTATTACCAGAACACGTGGTAAGCAGGTTTTACTTCGTACAAAGTAAGTTTCTCCATCCCGATCCCCCTAGTGGGATCATTGGATCCACCTAAGGAGACCACACGACTTTATTACACATAACTTTATAAGCACGACGTAAGCACATAAGAGTCAATCATGTTAGCTCTCGCCGCAGGTCGGCGCGAGGTGGCGCGCTCGGCCGCGAGAGTTGGCTCCTTTTCGCAGTCTCGGGCCTTTCTCTCTGCCTCTCATGCCAAACGGAAGGCTTACGGTGACGAGCCGACAATTGTCCCTGTCAAAGATGGCTATAGGGAGCATCAGGTACTAATCCTGTTACTCGCGTCATCTTCAATTTATCATGATTGAGTAACTAGTAGGTACCCATCTTTGTTTTACAACGAGAACGACACCATCTTTGAGCCAGCTTCTACCTGAAAAGAAACGCGGCTCAACAAAGATGTTCTACAAGATAGGTAGTAAGTTGTGCTTGTTCGTAGGTCCACCCATCCGAATCGACTAACATCATCAAGTTGTGCTTGTTGTTGTGGTGCCTGCTCTACCTAATCAATCTACTAAGTAACAACGAACAACCGTTGTAACAAATTTCACCTTCACTCATCTCGGACAACTCAGGAAATCCAAGGTCAAGGTCCTTCGTGGTGGCTGCTCATGATAGCCGGATCCTATTGTTTCCTTGGTGGCACTGCCGGATTGCATAAGTTAAGAGAGCACATCAAATGGAAATGATAGTTTGTGATGATGTTACGAGTAGTTCCAGTTTGCTATTTGCTTGAGTTCTTGCATATTGCATAGCATGAGTTGTTAAGAATAAGGGGACGACGACAGTACCCAGGAACCTCCTAAAGAACAATATTTTTTTTTACTTGCTCTTCTTCTTCGAACTCATAGCGTAGGAAACGAGAAGGACTTGGGCCCGAACTGTCAGTCCGATTGGCAGCGTAATTTGGGTGGCATTACAAACCGAGAGCCAGAAAAAAAGGGCCGTCGATGGGTAGAAGTACCCGATGAGAAAGGACGGTTCTAAAACGGTCTTTCTCGATGAACTGAAGTATACTGACACGATGAGAAAGGATTAAGGTCAAGGTTCTAGGCTATCCGTTGAGAAGGTTCTAGACTTTACAGTGAGAAAAGACTAAGGTAGTTCTAGAGTCTCTGTTGAAGTGTTCAAGAAGTCAGTTCTAGGGCTACCCGATAAGAAAGGAAGCTTCTTCTAGAAAGTGAATGGTTATCATGCAGCTGGGTAATGGTACTTTCTGTTGGAGGCAAATAATCTTCTAAGTTGTTCCACGACTTATTTCGTGAACATGATGATGTGATTTTAAGACAAAAGAGACCACCACGTCCACAACGACCAGCTTCCATTCGTGGTCGAAGTCGAAAATAGAATATTCATCGGTTCGATGGTTGCGCAGGTTCGATCATGGTTGCGCAGTGTTCAATGGCGGCCGATGATCAAGCACTGACACCCATGACCACAGCTTTTGTTTTTGACATCAAATTCAAAAGCCTTGTTATTATTAGTACTAGGACGAAATCTTGTTCTTGTTCGGTCGTGGCTAAAAGATATTCATCTTGTACTCTCAAGGATAAGATTTCGGTCGGTTGCTTTGCTCGGAAACAGCTTGAAGAAGAGAAAGAAAGCGAGAGACCGTAGACACGACACTTGGAAAGAAACCTCGTTTCGATGTCGTCTTGCTCTATTTAATCGGTATAATGATTCTTTGTTCTGAACCAACATCCAGATCATTATCAAAAGAACAACAACTAGAAGCAGTACGTAGTTGTCAATCGTTCTCTCAGAAAAACAAATACTTAAGTGCTATCTAAAGCTACTACATCTAAACCGAGCGACTACTAAAATTTACTTAGTCTGAACCACGACGCTCACACAACAACAAGATGACTGCAGGCCATCGTGCCGAAATCACGCTTCGTGGTTCAGTGGAAGTGATCACCGAATTTTTTCACTATGCTTTGAACAACATTCTATACCAGCGCTGTGTCTACCCAGCGAGCCTCTTTCGACAGGAGAAGAAATACGGTCTGTCTTTGATGATATGGCAAACAAGTATGATGAAGATTCACATTTTTAACATCTTCAGTAAGATTAGGATTATGTTGGTTTCCATTTCCATCGTTCTCTTTCTTATTCTCCCTCTCCCACCTAATTCCGAACGACCTCTTCTAATGCTAGTAACGCAAGACGAAAAGTTGCAGGAGTATCTCACCAGTGTGTTGTCGCAGATGGACAAATGGTTGACGGCTGGGCACGTGCAGCGATTAGTGCTTGTTTTCGTTTCTGCAGCAACCAAGGAGGTCCGCGAACGTTGGACCTTTAACGTGCAGCAAGAACGGGATGCGGTTACTGGAGGTACTTGTCGTTGTCTCTGGTTGTACTGAAGAGGACTCTCTTGTTTATGGTTTCACAAGAAGATGAAGAAATCCAATTTGTTAACTCTGTTGTACTCATATTAAGATGAATTTTGAACAGGGGTGCCATCGGGATACCCATATTCGCCAGGACCTCTATCAATCGCCAGGACCTCTATCATATTCGCCAGGACCGCAAAATTTGATACATAAACTACAACAGCCCCAGTAATGAGCAGTGCTGGCAGTGGGAAAACGTTGAAGGATGTGACCCGAGAAATCCAAGGGATCATGCGCCAGATCACTGCGAGTGTGAGCTTTCTCCCTGTCGTCGACGAAATCCTCGCATTTGACTTGCTCGTATACTGCGCGAAAGAGACTTATGCTTCGATGATGATAAGAGTGAACTCTGCTCTCTGCAACTCAATTTTCGCTGATCCCTAAGGATCATATAATCAGTGTATTACTGTAAATTTCAAGGACCTTCTGCGGTGTCTTCATCAAAGATCGCTTCTTTCTATCATGCTTTGCTTACTCCAGCTCTTCTAGCGCGGCACTTTCTCATGCGATGTTCTTACTTCACTGCAATTACAAAATACTAATGGTTGTTCCTTATTTGACACCTTGTTCTTCATTCTTCTAAGAAAAGCATGTTCCGCGTGCATGGGAGGACAGTGCGCCACTGTGCATCCCCATGCGCAATCAGCAGGACGTGAGGCTCGCGAGCTTCTCGACCACGGTGCATCGCGTTGACACAATGGTCACGTACAGGTGCGATGACGACGTTGATTAAGGCTGTACCTAATACATCTTTGGGCGCATCCTTGAAACGTATGGAGGAGTATCCTAAGGGAATGCTCCCCCATACTTTTCAAGGATGCACTTGAAAGATGAACAATTACGGACAGCTCTAAGTTGAGGGAGATGCTTCGATGCTAGGCATCGCTGAAGAGAACAAGAGCGTCAATAATGGGAAATCTTCTGAGACGTATGCAGCAGAAGCTGGATCGATGTTGAGCGACAAAATGGACGTCGTGCTCAACTGATGAACGACTACAGGATTTGATAATTCGTTCTTGGACTAAAATCTTATGATCATATCGTTATCGGGAAAAGACACGTCGACGTGCATGTGTTGCTGATTGATATCCACGACGCATGAAAAAAATGAACCTGACTGACAACAACAAGTCTTCACAATTAGGACTCTGGCATCTATTCAGCATGGGGTATGACATGTACTTAGAAGTATTCGTTCTCTTTCAGCTCCACCTGATACATTTAATTGTTCTTCATGATTATCCACATATGTAAGTATCCTTCTGTTCTTTCTGAGTCTCATCAATCTCTGATTAGAAGATTACACCACTTCTAGAGCTACCGTGAATCCTGGATTGTTTTCTGCGCTGACGGTTTTGCAATCATTTCATCGAGGACTACATCTGCATGTGGTGCTGTTAGAAGACAAATTTATCATCACACAAATTTATCATCATGAAGACCAAGTAGACACATTGATTCAGAGGACAAGCTTAATACGCAATAGCTCAAACAACTTAAGTGAACAACGACGTGCTGGAATAAAGATATGATGAATTATCACGACTTGAAATCCACAAAACGAACCTGCACGAAGTAGAGCACTTTCGCGAAACCCGTAGATAAACCAATCCCCAAACAAGAGATAAATGAACATTTCCCGCAAAATACGAAACTTTACTGCACTATGCGCAAAGGTGGACAAAAAGCTAGTCATGTAGAAGCAAGGTGAAGAAGTTGCCCCAATGCTGCGACTGGCGTTTCCAGACAAAAAGGTGTTTCCGAGTTCTCGTATGTTGGTCGATCATGTGATCAAAGGAGTCTGCGTGCGCATTGGAAAAAACAACAAAATTTTTCATTACCATGCAGTACTACTCCAGACGACGAGAGGATGACCAGATGAGTATACGTTTACGTATGAACAACAATTATACTTTGGAACTGGAACAAGATCAAGATCTTGGTACTCAGTCTTCAATCTTTCATCCTACTTGAATATCATCAACAACAACATGGAAAACCGTTTCCCTCTGGGTCGAGGTCTCTTGGAAAACGCAAACGTTGGCGCTGCCGTTTTGAAGCAGAGAATTGCTGCAGTGTCTAATGGTTATGATGTTGGGAACCTATCTTAGGCACCACATTACAAATACTTTTCCAGTCGATTTTCGCTCTTTCTTCGAACCTGTTGTTCACCTTTCCCATTTCAATTTTTCTCCTACGTACAGACTTACACTTGTACATAAGAAAACTACCTTCTTCATAAAGATCAAAGTCGCTCCACGACGACGTCTCGAGCACAAGGCGATGGAGGTTTGCATCCGGACTTGATAGACAGTGAGCAGCTTGAGGCAGAAGAGCGCGAATTCGGCGTCCGGTTAGAGGAGCTGAGAAATCAGCTACCTGCCTATCTGCCTGTGGGAATGTACCATCTGCTTCATAAGGCAATCAGAAAGCAACAAGAAAAGCTTGCGACACAAGGTGCAGGGGGAGGAGGTTATGACCTGAGTCGCTTTTTAGTAGAAATTGGTTCGGTAGAAATTGGTTGATGTAGAAATTGGTTGTCGGTAGTTGCCTCGTCATAGTGACTTAATTATTCATAGAGTGCTGTATTTAGCTCAATATCAAAGTAGTATCAGTAGTTACTCAATCTACATCTAGTTCTAGGTGTAGCACGACCAGATCTACAACTTCAGTTCTACTTATTCACACGTTGATTTCATCACTCATCCTGAAGATCAGTGATGTTTCCATCAGATGACGTTTTCCAATACTCGCAAGACGGAGAAGGCGGAGCGTCTTTTCAGGGTGCACAGGACGACGACGAGGAGGAGGAGGATGCGTCCGGACCGTCACCTTGAAGGACATCATGAAGCAGCTTGAAGCACAACTTAAATGAGAAGAAGAAGGTCAATTTCAATAACACGTCAAAAGTAGAACGTTCTTCCTGGGGTGATTTGACGATCACCACACTGCACACTAGAATTTTATGAATGTTGATGACCATGCATGATTAATCAGATCTCCTGCCAGCTTAACGGTTTACCCGCTTAATCAGATCTCCTGCCAGGCTGGCACATCAATCAATCAATCAATCCATCGATGAAGCAGAAGCGGTTCTAAAAAAAAAGGAGATGATCCTAATTGCAGGATCGAATAGCAAGATCCTACATATTACAAGCTGCGCCTCTTGCAGTACCGATTACATGTTGCTATCACATTTTATTTACACTGATGAAACAAACAGGACTCGGGAGGAGTTGATGTGATAGTTGAGGAGTCATATGTGTGTTGGGACCCGTCGAAAATACTAGTATGAGTAACTAAGTATGATCTTGTACTTGTAGAAGTATGATTGGTAAGATCATTAGAATAAAGTAAAAGTTGTGAGTCTAAGAAAATTTTTCTTAGAAAAATTTTCATCCTAATCTCGTTTCTGACCTTCTTTCATCTTTTCTGGGTCTCGATTACTTCAAGCAGAACTACCCATTCAAAATGGTCACTGCAACCAGAGAAATACCCCATGAGGAGGTGGACGAGGAGGAGCAGGTAGATTTGGTTCTGGACTTGTTGGAGTCTTTTAGCGCAGCCATGACCTGGTACCAGCAGAAAATTCTACTGCTTCTGAAGGCCACTGTCTCAGTAGCAGAACGGGTACGATTGCTGACAGGAGAAGAGGAGGAGGAGGATTCGATGTTGGGGATATCCTCCTCAACAGAAAAAAATGCTGAGGTTGAGGAAGTGCAAGTCGGTCAAGTTAGTTCTCCTCCAGTTATAGCGAAGACGATCATAGAAGAGGCAAAGAGGCGGATCGTATCGAAGGGACACACGCAAATGGAAGACTTTGCTGCTGAAGCTAGGAAGGACTTCGCGAACAGCACTTATCTGGCTGATTTGCGTGTCAAATACAACCTCTTCGCTGCACGAGGGGAACAGCAATTACTTCTGCGTTCTATGCGCAATAGCGCGGAAGAGGACGTCAAATGTCAGTCTCATCTGTCTGTTGCAGCTCAGAAATTAGGAGACATGTATGGAAAATTCTTAACAACTATCATCGACACTACTGAAAATGTTCTGGCCGAAGGCTTTGCGAAGGATGAAAGCACAGAAAGCGTAGGCAATATAGAAGCAGCGTTGGATTCGTTGCACGATGAATTGAAAACAGTCACAGCAACTCTGGCACCAGATGAAGATGAGGACGAAGCTTCAGAAGCAGAAGAAGACGTTCTGAAGCTTAAGCTACATAGCTGACCTTTCATCGAGAGTGACCCACTCCTCGCAAGCACACTTATAAGTACGCTACCCAAGAATCAAAATAGCTCCATGTTTACCTTGATCATCCTCGAGTTCGCGCCTTCTTGAAGAACAGTTTCATCAACTACCTCCATGACCATGTCCGCCTGAATAATACCCTTGTTACTCGCCCTCGTACTCGTGGTTCCTTTTACCATTTCTTTAGGTCAGCAAGCTGGTGCTCGGAACTTCTAGAACTAGAACAACATCGACATCGTATTTGTCTCCTATGTATATTAAACAACATATTGGTCTCCTATATTAAACAAGCACTAGAACAACGGTCATCTTGCTCTTTCTACCGAAAGGTACAAGAAGACGGAAGGGCCTCTAACTCTCATATTTGTCGTGTTCGAAAATCGGAATCGCTGAGTGCTGAGTTTGATACATTGTTCGACTTCTGAGAGTTGTCTTGCTCTTGTAGCATGCCTGTTGCTGTTGTTCGCTGGAAATTGATTTAGAGTTGAGAGAGAGTGGAGTAGAGAGAGAAAATGAGTGAGCGAGAGGAGTCTTGCAGGAAGATGCTTTGGAAGAAGTAGATGAGAGAATTGATGTAGGAGCAGAAGGGAGAGCGAGAGAGAGAAAATGGCCCACACATGCTATGAAACCGATTTGACTTTTGATTTGTTCCGTCTACATACTCGTTGCGGACAAGAAATAAGTTGTAAAACCGAGTCGACTTCTGCGTAAAAACTATTCTTACCCGCTATGCAACAAGCAACATCGACCTACCGTCCATCTACTTGCAGGTCGCAGGAAAACGTGCGCTTTTCGTATTCACTTATTTTGAAGTGCCATGCTAGAGATCGTTCGTAATCGTAAGTCTATTTTTAAGTTGATAGCAGATGATAGAAGTGTTGATAAGATAAGGAGAGTGCGCTCAGTATAATAATTAATGTATGCAGCTCGTAGTTGCTCGTATGATTTGATGGAGTGAGACTGAGAGTACAGAAAGTAGAACCTATTGAGAGGTGAATAATGGCGAGTGACGTATACAGCCCAAAAACGGTATAAATGGAACCCAACACGAAAGAGGCATCCAAAAATAGATGGTGTGAAAATCTTGGTTTAATGTGATGAATGATGAAGAACTACCTACTTAGTGACTAAATTTGAAATATCAGAGATTATCTGACTCTCATCTTCATCTATATTTTTTCATACTCACTTCTTAATCAATCTTATCTTTTTTCAAGTGTTGAAGCAAGTTGTTGAAGTTTATCTTAAATTTGAAGTAAGTTACTCATTCTCTGCTCAGCTTGTTAGCCATCACCTTAACTTGTTTGGTAGCTTCTTATAGAAATCATGTTCATGTCCTCTTTGCAGATGAAGACACTAAGCGGCGCTCCATCCCCATGTGACCACGACGACAGTCGACCGGCCTTTTGCGCTCAAGTCTCCACGGTCGTGGTGTAAGTAGGGCACTCGTCGTCGTCCTCTCCGGAACACTTACGCATACGAATACCATCATGGAACTGATGAGACCACCTTGTCGTGTTGAACATTTTTGACTTTTTTTGTTTAGCAATCTCCACCAACGTCCTCGCATCGAAGTTGAAGCTGAAGAAGGGGGCGTAGTTCGTTTTACTAGGACTGTTGTCGACTTCCCGCTCCGACCCTTGCCAAAGACGGAATAGCAGGCACGACAGACAGAGGTAGTCGTGAGGATATCTGATATCTTCACCCCCTAGTAGAGCTACTAGGAAAGCATGCCAGAAGACTCGGGATCTGAGCAGCACAGCAGAGCAGCTGGGAGTGCTAGGTCGAGTCCTGCAGACGTGGCAGCTAGCCCAATAAAGGATGCAGAACTTTATGAAGACTTTATGTACTTACTGTGAGCGTTCCTCCATCTTGTAGTAAGTCACTGCAAGGCCTCGTTTTGATTACACTGAGTTTTCCTCAATCAATCTCCATTTCCATTTAATACTCTTGAACACGATCAATCGTGTTTTCTTGCCTACATAAGTCAGCCATTGTTCTCTTCTAACACTTGCTTCATCCTGTTGCGGAAGATAAACCATTTTATCCACCTGCAGCACATCAAGGAGATTCGTCTCAGAAAGGCGCGACTAGTTCGACTACTGCTCAACCACATGCGACAGAACCGAGCAGTCGAATAAGCGTTACTGTACTAACATCTGACTTCATCTTGTTGTTCTATAATATCTTGAAGTAGAAACATGATCATTAGAAAAATGGTAAAGTACTGCACCTCCAGCAGCTTCTAGTAGGTACTGCATTGATCCCACGCCTGTAGCTGCATAATAAATATATTATCTTCAACGCCGAATCCTTTCATCGCGTTCTTCCTGGTTGAAAATCATGACTTCTTCATGAAAATCTGCACTGAAACCTACTACAGCTGGTTCGCGATGCAGATGGGAAAAGTCGTCTAGTATGCGAGAATGGACCACTTCTCTCCGAAGAAGACCGCCAACTCCTGGACACTGCTCTTAGAATAGCTTCGGATCAAGGATTTGGGTACTACAAAATCAAGTTTCAGACTACAGAAATAAGATGAAGACTGGTCATTACACTCTCACTTGTAATCCCACATTTTGAAGAGAGGCTGAATGATTAGAAGCGATACAGCACCTCCCGAGAAGTACTTACAACCAATACCGACCAAACGTTATTAACATGATCTTTCACCTAAAAATCGACTTTCCAGTTCAACTTCAAGTGCGCAGCAGCACCAAGGAGCTTCTGCGTCTGCTACCTCTGGCGCCTCTGGCGCTCCCTCTACGACTACGTCTACCTCAGGAAGCAATAAAGCTCGCTTAGTGAATCGACGTTTAGAAAGTTCCCGTGGGGATCCTGCGTCCTCGTCTACAACGTCGACTGCGATCTACAGCCTTCTACAGTCGGGCAGAGGAGCTGAAGACTCTGGTCCCAGCAACTCCTCAGCCTCCAGCCGCACGTCCGCGCGCACTCCACCCACGACAAGGACGAGAGAAAGCAGTGGCCCAGGTTCTGAGAGTAAGGTCACCACGTCAAGCAAGCCTTCGTATAGTGCAGTAGCGGGAGCTAACCTACCACGTGGTCCTTCATTTAGCTCCTCCAAAGTAGTAGCAGCTCCTGTGTCATCCTCCAGTACAACAAGTACAACAACTGACAACACAACCAGTACGACCACAGCTTCGTCAAGTTGTAGTACGAGTAGTAAGAGAGCAGAGTCGACTACGTCGTCGTCACAGGTGGCCGTGATGCGGGGTGGAGCAAAGATACAGCTGCAGGGATCCAGCCAGGCCGTATCAAACTCCAGTGGAGGAGGTTTCCATCTATCCGACTTCAGCACGAAGGAACTGGTTTCGTTCTCCTCTTCATCATCGTCTTCACCGTCAAAAGTCAGCGAAATCGCGTTGCCGGAGAAAATGAGTTTGCGTATCGCAGCACCTAAATCGCGGACGCCAGCGTCATCAAGTACGACACCAATTGAAGATCCAGTCACACCAACTACTTCTGTCGTAGCTGAGCAGGTGGGTGATTTATCGAAGAACAAGAACAACGATGATCGCGATTCTAGTAGTAGAAAAGTGGTAGAAGTGGATGACGAGGATGATGGCTGGACGACAGTAGGACCGCAGAATGGAAACCATCGGAAAAGAGCGTCGGGAGGACGAGGAGGACAGATGAACAAAAATAACAGCGATGCACTCGCAGCACCAGCACCCAACGAGAACGAAAGGTTAGTACCTCCTCAAGCTCAACCAACTGGTACTACTACAGCCGGCGAAGGAGCACCAAATAAAGTTCCTCTGTCCAAGAGAGCAGCAAAACGGATGAAAGAGAAGTCACAAGTTGTAGAAGGTGGAGAACAAGCTGTCGGGAGTGGTGGAAAGTCACAAGTTGTAGAAGGTGGAGAGCAAGCTGTCGGAAGTGGTGGTGCAAAGCCAGGATCTGGAGCTTCATCTGGTACAGCTAAAGGTACAGCAGTCCCAGCCGAATTTGAGCAGGAGCCGCAGTTAACGTCGATGAGTAAAACGATTAGCTCATCCAGTTCTGCTACTTCTGCGTGGGAAACTGCTTCTTCTGGGGACCCTGGTGCCGAAGACGAGATGATGAATGTGGGACAAGTACTAGGTAAAAATGGCAAGGACACGATCAAGGACCAGAACCAGTCTTCTAGAAAGAACAAAAGAGGGAAGAAGAAGCTTGCGAATAAGATGCACTCTAGTAGTGCTCAGGGAGAAGATGATGGTCGGCCTGCTCTACCTCAGGATGGAGTCACGCGCGCTTCGGGAAGTAGTCCTTTTGCAGCAGCTTCGAGTTCTTCGAATATTTTACCTGCTGGAGGTGGTGCGTCGAAGATGCCGAGAACGAAATCCAGTGCCGCTAGCGTGGACGAACTAGTGACGCACATTATGAAGCATGCGGCCGCTTCAACAGGGGCAACTGGAACTGCGTCATCATCGTCAAGTAGAGTAATACCACCGCCACCTCGACCTCCTACAATTGATCATAAAAATGGACCTTCTAGTACTAGAACAGGACCGGGACCAGGAGAGAGTCAGCAGCAGTACAAGCAGACTGCGTCGACGTCTGCGACCTCGTCTGCGTCCTCTTCTACTAGTGAACAAGAGCAACATGGAAGAGCAGCAGGAGGGGAGCGACAGAACGTAGTACACCGAAAAATGCTGGAGAGAGGTTTTGGTCCAGGGATGATGCTACCGTTCGCGGAAAAGGAGACACCTGGAAATGAACCACCTGTAGGATCAAACCCAACAGTCGGTAGCGGTCTTGCCACATCTAGCAGTGCTCTTTTTCATCAGCCTAGTAACGCACAACAAAGCCATAATATCAACCCGAACATCAATAGCAGTGCGTCGATGAAGAACAATGGAAACAAATGGTCTGCGTCGGGAGGTGGTGGTGGTGCGTCATCTAAGAACAAGGGGAATAAACACAGCAACAAAAACAAGTCCAATCCCCAGAATAGCGGTGGAACCGTGGAAGAGTCAATTGGCCTGCTTCTCGAGGGCGACATTAAACGACTTCTGCAAGCGAGAGCGCAAGATTAAGGCACATCTAGATGATGAAATATCTATCATGAATTCCAGTATCATGAAAATCCCTGAAGTACAATCCATCAACTCATATTCATACGCTCGCTTATACAAACACTATGATGTTGGATACCTCTAACAACTAAGACGGAGCGAGGGGTCGCTGTTCGATTTCGACAACGATGCCGCATCTTCTAGTCGGGGTGCACATAGTCGGAGTCCCGCAGGAGATTACCCTTTCGCTCCTAGACAGCGCCGACGAGCGGGTCCGTCAGCTGGGAGTGCGAGCAACAGTAGTGTCGTGGCAGTCGGGGGACCGGGTCCTCTCAGACCCAGTAGAGAAGGCGACATAAGCTTCCATAGCGGAAGACATGTCGGAACGAGTGCTCCTGCATTTAGCCAACTCGAAGGAAGCCCACATGTTGGTACTTTTCTGCTCCGATTGAAGATCTTTTGTTTCTTCTACAACTAGATACAGAGTTTTCTGGGACAACTAGTACAGTCATAGCTTTCTCAACTTCGATTTGCAGTCGACAACCCTAAATTTTACAGAACCAATGATCCCTCGTGGAACCATATCTGGCGCTACCCGAGCGACGCACGAGGACCAGTCTATTTCGGTACTGGGCGAGTCTCCAGTGATCTCACAGCAAATTAAGAAACAACTCCAGAATTGTTCGAAGTCCTCTTCTTCGATGAAGCATCAACGCGACGCCGACACAGACAGTGGCCAGCATGAACTTGTAGATGGAATTGACGGAAGATGGCCTCAGTCAGAAGGGTCGGCAACAAAAGTGGCTGATGCTTGTGGTAGTGTGTATCCTCCAGTGCAAAAGAGGATGCTGGCGCAAATCCTGGCAAAAGCGATGGCGCCTAAGCTGGTGCAACAGAGGTAATTATATCTATATCAACTTTGTTGTAGTTTCAGAACAAGACGACCCAACTACATTTCGACTTTATTCGGATATTCGGAGCTGTTAGTTGGGGAAAAAAATCTTCTTGATGTTACTTGTTCATTGTGCAAGAGCACCATCAAATTCAACTTCATCAGGCCTCCGCAAATACCCGACCACGAACGCAACATGCAGAGACCGCCTGTGAGTCGCAGCTCAAATCCAGCTTTGCCATCGAGACGCGGAGACACCGCTTCTGATGTTCTGGTATACTTTTACTGACAGGACTGCTACCTTGTTGTCCAAAATCTGGTTTCTAACGTAGCTCTTCAAGTGATGCACTATTATTATTTTCCTTTCGAGATTCTTGACGTGATCACCACTAAAAACTAATGGTTGTTCCTTTTTCAGTTTATCTTGATCAACAAACGACATCAGTTTAAGTTCACCTTTTCTCCCAGATTTGCCGAATGGATGAGCAGGGACAAATGAAGGTGATGGAGCCGCCCGTAGCGGGCAAAGTCATGTCTTTGGACGACTTAAGGCGAAGAAACGATGCGAAATCACTGTGGGACGACATTTCACAGGTAACTTATACTATACAGTACCTGAGAAGTATATTTTCATCTTTATTCTCATACTCATCTTCATTCACAACACGACTTTTTAATGGCAGTAGCAGATTGTCGCTTGATTTTTCTTCACCCTGATCATTTCGTTTGTGAAGAAAATGTCAAACAACCCACACTGCTCAACAGGCGATCTTGAGACACAAGAGAGGCGGTACGAGTAGCCAAGGTAGCATGCCGAGAATTCAAAGTTCAGAAAGTGCCTCCGTAGCAGAGATGCTACGGATGACAACGCGAACGCCAATGGGATCAGATTCGAATATCCGAGTCTCAGACGGACTTTCACGGACGTCGTCATTGTTAGGTAGTTTGTTTTTTCTGGAAAGACAGTTGGCACCTCATTTAGAAGTATCGCCCTCACAACTTCAACATCAGAGAAATTCGTAGAACTCAAAGAAGATTCAGGGAAGTCGTAGGTCCAATCCGAACCGACTAACATCATCATGGCGAATCTAAATCTGTCCAAGGACAAGGATCATTAGGCGCAGCAAGTATAATTTGACTTGGAGTGATTTTTCTTCTCCTGATTTCTACTCCTGTTTGAAAAAATACAACAAACTCGTCCAAACTAGGTTCAACAACAACGTCCGTTGCTGAAAGGCGATCCACACCTGGTTCCAGGAACAAGCGAAAGCCGCCGCATGTAGTCGTGTACCGAAAGGACGGCCGTGATATCATAGTCTGTCTACCCAGGGACCAGGGGAAAGACGGCGTAGGAGGTGACAAGAAGAACAAGAGACTAGGTGCTGGAGGTCCACTATCAACATCGGCAGTGTCGTCTCAGCGTGGCGTCGTCCAGGTCTTGCAGAGACCGCATGCAGCTTCTAAAGGATCATGCGCGAACAACTTCCATCAAACGAGTTGTAGTGCAACTACCCCAGCAGGTGCAACATCATCTAGTGTTTTTACGGGGACAAATACGAACAATAAGTCAAGTGATGGCTTGATTCCACCTTCTCAAAGTTGTCGCAGCAATAACAACAATGGCAACAAAGTAGGAGGCGCAGGACAGAGCAAGCGAGGCGGTGGTGGCAATAGAGGGAAAAAAGGCAGAGGATCGAATAAAGGGTATTTTTAGTAGAAGCTACGTAGATGCTTGCCTGTTCAACTTCAACGTGCTCAACAAGACAAGATCATGGGTTTTTGGCACAACTTTCTCTACATACATCTCAGTTTATTTCTTAGACGATCAATCATCTCGATCTCAATAAATCTAAATCATCTATTTGAAAAATTTCGTTTATTTCATTTTCAACTCCAAATTCAATTCCAAGGTCATGCAACGCAGAGGACGCACGAAAGAAAAGGGGCTCAAACCCCCACGAAGTGCCTCCTCCACCGCCACCAGTATTGCCTTCAAATTATTCGCCAGCTTCGAATCATGCGGCAGCAGCTTCTTACTACCCTCCACCACCCTACCATGAAGATCCTAACATAGCAGCAGCGGGAGGACCGAATTACGTTTACATGCCGGTAATAGAACAAGAATTTGAAATCGATAATTCTATTTTGCTGGCCTTGTAGTTGATCTTGATCTTGATATATTTATGCACAAGCACATCCACGCAAAAATTCAGATGATGCCAGGACAGATGATGGTTCCCATGTATCCGCAGGGTGGTGGCTACCCATCCTTTGCTCCGGCTCCGGCTGGTTACTATCCGGTGGCCCCGCACCAGGCAGCAGCACTGCAGGCACCTCCAGGAGTAGTTTTCAGCGGAAATCCAGGTCAGCCTGTTCAAGTGCATATAAGCACGCCTTTGAGCAGTTATCAAGTGCCACGCTCAACGGGAACGCCAGATGCCCTAATGCTCAAGACCGCAACGTCCTCTGCAACGGTACTATATACTACCAGGTTTTTTGGAGATGTGTGAAGTATGATTATTATGTTGTCGAATAAAGAGAAAAAAGTATTGCTTCATCAGCATCATTGATTTTCGTTGAATTTCAATTTGTTCATTTCCTATAATTCGTTCAGGACCAGCAGGGCGGTTTGATAGGTGATCAGCGACGTGCGAACGAGCAAGGAGCTGAAGCCGGTTCAGTAGTTTCGCACTTGACTATCTCTGGCGCATCGAATTACACGCCGCAGCTGACAAACCCACTTGACGAGCTACTTCCTCCGCCAGAGCACGGTTGTAACGTCAAGAACACTAATCTCAATGGTGGAGAGCAATCTCAATGTGACTTGGAAGAGAAAGATAGTGTTATGGTCAACATTTAGTGTCCATCTTTCTCGGCATCTTGATCCCCTTTTGCCTTGCATTCTCATGAAATACAAGGGGAGCAAAGGGGTCGAGATGAGGGGGCCGAGATGGGTTGAAGCTGAGTCTAATAGGGGAGGTGGTGCGGCGTCGACGGCAGCTGCGTCGGCCAGAGAAGCAGCATCCAGAAGCGATGGCCGCAGTCCGACTCCCGGTGGCGGAGAAGACACCGAAGCACCCCCTCCACCCCCAGAGGACGACGACTCTGGTGCCGTTGTTGGTGGTGGTTCTATGTTAGACTTTGGACAACAGGCGACACTTCCTAGCTGTGCAGCTGTTCCTGGAGGACCGACTATGTCCGCCAACAGCTACAAAAGCACAAGTCGAGCTTCCTGGGCTGATCAGTCTATCACTCCTGCGCAGTCGTCCGCGGTTCCGCGTCCACCTCCTGCACCGTCAACCACTCGTGTTGATAACTACGCTGCTGCTCCTAGTAGTGGCGGTCTCATTCCATTGAGGCCACCAATACCACCAGGGGCTATCAATTCGAATGGAGTGCTTGGCGGGACATCATCTGGTTCTGGTGTACCAGTAATGATCGGAGATAACTCGGCGTCATCAATGAGTGAAGATATCAGTAGTTTGTTGGCTGCGCCGCTCGGACTACCTTCGCTAATGCGAACAACAACAAGTAGTACTGGTGGAGGACCAGGAGGAGGCGTTACTGGTGGTGTCGGTGTCGGAACAATGCAACCACAAACAGGTAGTTGCACAACCTCTTCATCCTCATCAACTGGATGTGGACCTCCAACACTGAGTAATAACGCCACAACCTCGAGTACAACGACGAATGCACCAACGAGTTGTACATCCTTGCAACTCTCCTCGACATCGAGCGGAAGTACTAGCACAGGAAATCTTGGAGGTTGTCTCGCGCCAACATCATCCCTGTGTTCCAATCCGCTGTTGCAGCAGGGCACTCTGTCGCAAACAGAGTCGAATCCGGGAGGTCCTCTTCTAGGAGAGGAAAACGACCAAATGGGCATAATTCCCAAGGACCATACGGTGATAGGCACAATGGATAGCCGAGGTGGGATCACGCTTTTCAACAACGCGCCGTACGTGCTCAATGGAGTTCAACCTGCTGTAGTGGGTGGACCACTTGGAACAACAACAGGATGTGTCGGAAGTAACACCCAATATTCTTTTGTTCCTGCAGGCGTTGTGCCGCAACAGGGTGGACTACAGCAGCAGCTCGTGCAGGTGCCACCTGGTTACACACTAGTACCGACCTCGCACATGGCCTATCCACCGATGGGAGCACCGCCGGGGGGCTCGTAAAGTAGAAGAGGTCGTGAATACATGATGCCAACAAGTCGGTGATAGTCGTTGTAAACCTCGAGCCTGATCGTTCAATAACAGGATCAACAACAGGAACAGTCAAAAGCCTAACAATCCAACAACAAGCTAGACTAGCGGGTAGACAACGTCCGGCAATCTTAGGCAGATCGCCGAGTAGATTCAAGTCATCAGTTACTTGCTGTAACTAAACCTAAACGTCAGCAGAACGCTAACAAGTTGCAGCACAACTCCGCGTCGCACTCAGATCATTAGCCGCAAGAATATTGAATGTAGCAGATCTTCATCCACAAAAACACTAAAAATCTCAAAGTTTCTTTATAAGTACATTTCACCGTAGGAATTATAATCATTGGGCTAGACGAAGTACATTTTCGATTTCGAACATTTCGAAAGAACAAATCGAAAATATAATTACCATGCTTTGTTGTTTGTTATTCATTTTTCCCGACGTAGATCAATTTCTATCTTTATCTTATCAATTTTCAGGTTGTTCAGAGATGAAAGTTTGTCTTAGTCCTTTGTCAGTAATATTCTATCTTTTGGTTCACAAATAGTACTACTACCATCTGAAATTGGGAAGCTTGACAAACTGTAACAAAACGCGTGAGTAAGAAGAACCCAGTGAAACAACTTTGATTTCCGTGTACATTCTGTTTCGTTGTGATACATATTTGTAGTAGTACTAAATTATTTTCTTTCTACAATATTTATGAGTATTTGGAATACTGCATCGATGTTTATAAGGGTAATGGATAGATAATGCCTTGTGTTATTCGTACTAGAATAATCTCTTATTTTCGCCTATTAGTGACCGATGATCGCCGTGGATCAAAAATTTCGCAGTCATCTTGTTTGACATCAGAAATATTGTGGCTAGCATGAACTAAGCACAGCTCGTATCCAAATCCGCTCGATAATTACGTAGTCGTGAATTTCGCAAATAACAGTACAAAAGTTGAAATTTTTATCAGAGCAATATACCGGTACTAACATCTATTTAACATGTCCTAGCCGCGCCTTCCGAAGTGGACTGTGACGCCGAATAGATCTGCATTTGAAATCTCGCGTCCCTCATATCGCTCCCGAGCGTAGAGGTGCGGCAGTCGCAGCTGCGGGGAGGTCGGTGCCTTACGGAGGCAAACCGATTGATTGACTGGCTAGTTCTCCTCGTGTTATGAGTTATTTACATTTTTGCTGCCAGGAGCACTCAGCTGTGCATTAATACTAGAGTTTCCGAGCAGGCCTAGCTGCTGCTGCGTAGCTGTTCGTTGCATGCATGAAATAATAAATAGAAATTAATCAATTCGACGTAGTAGATGAACCTGATATGCTTAGCCTTACGGTTTTTTAGTGCTAGAGACCGATCATAGGACGATAGATGATCATACTTCATTTGATTCATATCATGATCGAGTAATGTGGCCGTGGGGGAGGGTGTACTATCATTTCGATGAAGGGATGCCGTGCGAGGATGGTCGGCGAGGCGCAACAAAAGCTGGAGGATGTCGAACATGAATGAGGTAGTGGATTCGCATTCATGCCTCCTACTTACATCTATCACTACCTTCAGAAAATAACGCCGACGCACCTTCTGGATACCACTAGTACTCGAAAAAGATTAACAAGAGACCCCTGATGTGAATGGATGAAAACGCATAGGGAAGGTTGCCCTTCTTGTTGTGTCTTGTCATGTATCTATTTTATGAAAGAAGTGCAATCAATCAAGAATCAATTCGATCATCTTTCGTTTGTGCTCAATCAGTCTTGTTAAGGTAGTTTTGAATCAAAATCAATCGTCGGGCTAGCGCTTCTACTACTTGCATCTACTACGTTGATAAAGTCGTGAACTAAACCTGACTTTTTGGTGTGCTGAAGAAGTCATTCTTTGTTTGATGCTCCTTCAATTTCTACCTAAACCTATGCCTATCAGTGATCATCATGAACATCACATATCTCGTTATTTGAAGACTACATTACCTTATTCCACCTCTTACCTCAACCTCCCGCTACTCTTCCCTCCCCGGGCGGTCCCCTGCCATTCTTAGCTTCCTTGATATTCCTTTCGATTTTTTTTGTTTTTCCTCGAGTCGCCTGAGTAGTATGACCATGAATGTATTCATCATCAAACATTAATTCATTGTTAAAGTAAAAGTTGTATTTTTAATTAGAAATGGGTATGCATGTTGATGGGTGAGGTAATCGAGCAATGTATACTCTTTTATGATCTACTGGTGACCACAGAGTTGGTTTTGGTTTCTTATTACTCGTCTGGTGTTAATATCGACTAGATTTTATTTATGACTCAGTATCGGCTTGCATGAAGATCGACGAAGAAAGATGATTGAGGAACATGAACAAGATGATGAAGGTTCGCTTTGGAATAGAGTGTCAAGATTAATGTCGGAATGTTTTTCTGTCCCATTCAATACTAGGCAGCAGGAGTGTATTGTTTGATATTCCCTCCATTCAAACAATACTAGGCAGAAGTGTCTTGTTTGATATTTATTTCTTCATTCTCTACTTTCTTTTTTGGAAATTCTAGAGTGAGAAGTGGTGGTGCTAGTACTTGTACAATTCTTGTGGCGGATTGATATAGAAGCATTTTCTGGAACGTGTGATGCCTATACGCTTACCTTTTCGCAGGTGAGCCAACTCCTATCCTATCCTAATGAGTAAAGTATGCGAGGGTGCCCTATGTTGAGTCGTATCGTTTTCTTTCTTCTCATTAGTGGGAATAGCTTTTCTTCTTCGTCTTCCACCGTCCGTAGAACTTGTGGGTATCAATATCAAATGATCAAAGCTATCATTAAAAGCAGCAGGAGCAGGTGCTTAGTTGTAGAAGTACTAGATTGTCGTAAGAATCCATCGAAGAGCTAGACCTACAGGGGGAAGATGATCCGGCGTTATCTTTTTTGGGCAAAACAAGCTGACGCTACGTGGTAGCTGTTTGGGTTGAAAAGCGCAAAGTCACGCTTCAAAGTTGTATTTATGGTATGATGATACACGACGAAATTTCTTACTTCTTCTCATATATAAGCTTTCTATTGTTTGTTGTTGGCCAAACAAACTACAAGTCGTGAAAGTGCAATCTTCTCCTTCTTCGTAAATTTCCGACGATTTTACATTCTTCCACCTATCACTTGAGTATGTTTCATTCTTTCAAAACAACGCATCAAAATTGTGATGATGACATTCTAAATATTTTCCCGAGAATTTCTCTCATTCACGACGTATTGCAGTACATGTACAAGATAGATGACCTACATCAAGGGCTTGTATTCTGATCTGTCCTCTATGAAGAAATAGAAAACCTCCCATAAAGATGAAGGTGTGATATTGTCCTGTACTATCGGCTATCACGACGGCAGAGATTGAGGCAACATGCAGGAGGAAGCCCATGAAATCTAGTGTATTTGTGTTCGCCGATCGTGCGGTTCCGAAAGTGAGGAGCAGTGCTACAGAACTGTTTGTTGGTGTGGTTCGGTCGGTGAGTAGTAAGTTTAATATGTCTCTAGTATTATCGATCCCTCAGATGTTGTCATTTTTTTTCAGAGTTGACAATAGACTAGAGGGAAAGACGAAGACCTGTCCAACAACTATGAGCACCCGAGGGAGTCAGCATACCGAGAACAAAATGATTTTCTCTGTTGTAGAACTTCTTTCAAGGTTAAACTAAAGAACATAAAGAACTACATAGATACAATTACAACGAAGGGCTTGCGAGGAATAGATACACACCTAAGTTAACCTGGGCTCACGTGGTTGACATAATCTCGAGTTCCTTGGTCCAAGAACCGGGGCGGCGCGAAATCAGGGCTAGTCCTCCAGACCAGAGAAGAGAGGAGGAACAAAGTTAGGAGCAGCATCAGCAAATATACAACTGTCTACCAAATGCCTGTAGATGAGAACAAACAACTGTAGAAACCAAATAACTGTAGAGCCCATCAGAGGAAGCAGAGAAGAAGCAGAAGGAATAAAGGCGCAGCAACTTCTGTATCAACGAAACCACGAAAATGGAGGAGTCCACACCAGCGGATCTTGAGAGTATCCTCTCAGCTGCCGGCGGTTTTTCGGACGTGGAGGAAGACGCTTCGTTTTTGATCTCCCGTATGGCTAAGATCGTAGCATCAGATCTACTGGTGACTTTCGCAGAAGGCGGGTCATTTGGAGACGAGGGAGGAGAGGATTCAGCGTCTTCACAGCTAGTAGCACCTCAGAGCACGAGCACTAGTGGTACGACTGCTGATGATGTTCTAAAGGCCGTTTTGCTGGATGGAGCAGCAGATGCTGGTGCGGGAGGAATGTCCTCAGCTGGTGTAGTAGACGGGGATGGAGGTTTACGAGTTGTAGAGGATCATGAGAAAAAATCCTTGCCAGATGTACCAGCACAACCAGAAGTCCCAGCAGAGGAAATGGACTATTTTGCTAGTTCTTCGCAGTCGGAAACCGAGCAGTGGTCTCGGATAGCCGCTGTTGTGGTCGCTGAAGTGGAACGACACGTCCTAGAGGCTGACGAAGATGACAGGGAACACAGCCAGCAAGAACAACGTCTGACAGAAGATGCACCATTTTTAGATCTAAAAGAAGCTCCTGTAGATGAGCAGGAGGAGGCTTCGCCAGAACCAGTAGGAGTTGCAGCAGTAGGAGTTGAAGAACCTGCAGCACTACCAGATGATCCAGTTTTTACAACTTCTACCGTTGTAGACGATGAACCGAACAAAAATTCTTCAAGTAAAGCCACCGAAGAACCCGAAGAACCCGGCGGTGTTGTTGTGTCCGTAGAACCTGACGCCCCTCCAGCATCAAGAGCTCACGTCGCTGAAGGGGACATTTTAGGTGCAGATCAACCGTCTCCTGTTGAAGCAGCTTCAGCTGGTTCTGCAGCATTAGCAGCTCCACCACCAGATGATGACGAAGATGTGGTTCGGTCTAGCAGTAAAGAAGCTGGCAGCAGTTCTCCATCAAAGCTGAGACGACGAGTTAGCTTTTCTCTACCTCCAGCCGACGATCCTACGGATAGTACAACCGAACAAATCATACAAACACCTGGTAGAAGTACTACCCATGATATTAAGGTAGACACGTCAGCAGATCCAGATCAGAAAACTCCGACGGTATCCAGTCTCCTAGGAGCAGACAAAATAGTGGACCGACCCCTTGACTCTCCTGATGACGTGGAAAGTGTGGTTGCTTCCTCGGAGGAGATCACACCTAGAGACGTGGTCGAAGTCCAGATGAGGCCTGTAGGAGGTGAGGTTGTCACAGATGGAGGCAAAGAGCCATTGAAGATTAGCTTGGCGGTATTATTCAATTCTCGCTCACCTTCTCTAAAAGTAACAATCATGATCTTCTTCAGTATTTTTCTACGTCCGAACCTACCTTTTCAAGAAACTTCCTCAATTTTGACAAGCAGCGTCTGGTTATACTCTCTGCTGGACAGCGTTCTCCTTAAGCTCGAAGATCAAGTGGGGGGTGGGGCTCATAGAAGCACTTCACAGCCTACAACAACAGTACCGCTAGTCGTGACCCAAGAAGTGCTATGAATTTGTTTCATCAACCCCACAACACCCAGATCCAGCGTCACGAGCAGGGAAGCCGCATTGTGGGTGAAATGTCGGCTCGGACTCTATCAGCAAGGGACAGAAGAGTTTTGGATGAGGCATTGAAGTTGACCATAGATCAATGGAGTATGACAGAGCAGGCGAGCAGTTCTGCATCCGCAACTACGAGTGGTCGTGCAGTAGAAGGGACAACTGCAGGTCCGACTGTAGGCGAGTCTTCTTCGGGGACGACGACTGCATCTTGGTATTCAATTCATCGCGTAACTCATAACTACGAGAGCATGATGAGTTCTTCTTGAGTCATCTCCATGGCATCCATGATCCACATCAAAATCAACATCACAACCCAGGATGCAGAAGTCTCGTGTCCTAACGGCACCAGAGAGTCAAGATCCGGGTACCTCTTTGACCCTAGTAATCGGAGAACAGGGAGACTTGAAGACCCTACGCATAAGTGCCTCTGCCAAGGACACTCGAGAATTTGTCATCGAAAGAGCAGTGACACCACCTGCGGCTGTTGTGCCCTCGGCTTCGAGTGGGAAGACAGATGATGGTATAACGAAAGAAGCCGTGGCAGACGCAGACGAGAATGGGAAGGAAGCTGATACAATAGGGAAACCAGGAGTAGATGACGCGAAAGAGGGAGATGGTGACAAAGCAGATGCGACTATGAGAAACAACATTTTGCTTTTGACTTCCAACCACGTTCCTTGTTCTTACTCACCTCGATGATCTTCGTGTGATTATTGTGCTTAGCTTCGTGAAGATCGTACTTAGTCTTCTCTTTCCTTCTAAAACACCAGCCGAAACGGGCAAAAAGAAGAAACCTGATGAAGATGACGATATAGATTGGGCGAAGGCGGAAGAGGAGTCAGCCATCAAATTACAAGCAAGCGCAAGGGGAAGAAGGGACCGGCAGAAGGCACAAGCAAAACGTGATCGACGAGCACGGGAAGCTGAAGCAAAACTTATGTCTTAGTGGAGAGCCCTGGAGATGAATGCTGGAGCTGAATGCTATAAAGGAAGCAAATAAAGAATTTGAATCTCGATTTCATGAAGCACACTGGAATATTAGAAGATGCTTGATGAATACTCACTTTTTTCACGAGGCCGCACACGAACTACTTTTTTCCCAAGATGAGCAGTAGTTTTCTCAAGTTCTGTTGAACATTCCTTTTCATACCCTGCGTCCGTGACGAAGCAGAAAGGGTAGCAGCAATACGAATACAAGCTGGGGTGCGTGGCAGTAGGGACCGAGCTTTCGTAGAAGAGCTGAAGTATAGGAGGAGACTTCTAGGTATTCTTTCCCTAGGCTTTTGCGAGCAAGAATGAAATGAATGAATAATAGTGTTAGTAGGCGTATCTACTACATAAGGCGAAGATTGTTAATACTAGTGGGTGTGGGCGGGCATGTTGTAACTCCTGTATTTTCTCTTTCTGGTTGTGCCGATGAGGTGGAAACAACTAACCAGAGTGCTGTACTACAACTGGCAAGACAGACTGCACCTCCTTGTTGTGCTCACATTACAGCAAACTACGAGGCGAGCCGTGGTACGACTGAGGAACGTGGATTAGCAGGTCAAGAACAAAGAGGCCCTCAACAGGAGAAGAGAAGCAAGAAAACGAAGAAAGCCACGAAGAAAATGGTGCTTGTCGATCTGCATCATGTGCACCATCACCATCACTTTCATAAAACAAGTGAGAGCGAGGACGAAGGCGGAGTCCAGACTAAAAAAAGCCTAGAATACGAAGCTACGCAGCTGACGACAACGAGCTATGTCGAAAACAAAGCGGAAAGCGTCTATCAAGGAGGATACCGGAAGTTCCTCATCGACAACGTATCTTTTTCTTTTTCCTTTTCATCCATGATGAGAGAGACTGAATGACACTCCCTTCTGTGGTCTGAGCTGCAAAAATAGGTGATCTGTAAAAATACTGTTTATTCTATTCAGAACTTCAGTAGTTAAAGGTATACTTGCGCTAAAGCCTTACCCCCCACCAGCCACCGTTCCAATCTGCGGAAGAATATTACACCCACACGAGTGGTCTCACTGGTGCTCAGCGGATGGGTGTGAGTCCGTATCAGTTCACCGCCGATCAGCGTTTGCACAAACAAAGGCTACCTGACGGTCGTATTCGATGGACACCTGCGTCCTCTTCCTATTCAAGAGGGACGAGAAGGAGCAGGAGTAAAGGTTAAGGATCGTTATTCGAAAATATGCATTTCCATATTCTACCATCGTTATTCGAAAAAAATCATATTGATTCATATTCTACCAGTACTAGGACATGACTCTCTTGACAAACTCATTGATTTATACTTCCTCAAGAATCTTGAAGTGCGAGGGACAAGCTAGTACAGAGTTCAGAGTTTCCTTCTAATAACGGGACATGCAACGACCGCCGCGCACAGCTGAGTTCAGTTTCGACGAGCGCGCAAAACCCAAAGCGGCACCAGGTACGGCACCAGGCACGGCGCCAGCAGGTGGAAACCTTCATGCTTCTTCGTCGTCTTCGAAGGCTCTATATGGTAGTCCGTCAGGAGCTGATCTAAACAGGAATGTGAACGGGAAGAACGTTGATCACTACCAGTCACCGCCACCCGCATCCTCTTCGAAAAGTGTGCACTTCTTCTATCCAAGTGAAGAAGACAGTAGCAGCATAAGGGAAATTACTGGAGGTCATCATGGGAGTGCCGGGACGACGACGAAACATAAAACGACGGGTTCTGTTACGGCACTCAGGACAGGTAGAACTAGAACTAGATGAATCAGAAAACCGGAGTTGTTAAACAAAATCAAAAGTCCTCTTCCTCACATGTTGCGTCGCACGAGCGTTTCTTACACCAGATAAAGATAATGGAAAGTTAGAATTAAGCTTCACTTCGATTTCCCCCACCAACGCCAGCTTTCATTCCCTGTTTCCTAGCCAAGAAAAGCTACAAACCGCACCACTACATACACGGTGGGTCGAAGTATCATGGCACAAGCAAGATCGGTAGGGGAGAACCCCATTTAGCTTTGGGTAGCAGCTCTGGACTAGCGAAGCCATACAAATCGCCATACGCTGTCTCACCTCTAGGCAAATTCGCCACGACGAGTTCTGGAGGAGGCCTGGTGAAGAGAAACCGCTATGGTTCGCCTGGGAGAGGGATACAGTTGCCGCCTATATTGTAAGAAGCTGTGATCGAAATAGATTCCTATTTTCATGATTTGGTGTTGCTGAACAGAATCACATCGAAGCCAGAGCAAGTTTGTTGATAAAAGTAGGTTTCGTATGTCATTATCGTATTCGTAGTGCTAATGTACAGTCACAGGTTCGCAGGAGTCAGATTATTTTTTCGTATTTTCATCGAGGATGCGGATACTGTCGTGTAGTTTCATATTTTTTTTGTGCTAATATTTAGGTCACGACCACGACCACTCAAAAATGTACCAACATTTCATCATCTTAACATAACAAGAGACATTGACAAGTATTTGGGGCTAGAGGTCTACTAGTACGCAAGAACATGATAGGAGGACAATCTTCATTCTTGTTCTGCTCGTTTCTAAATCAAATGCATAAAGAAATATTGAAGGCAAACATTGATCTGCCAGTACAGAAAAGCAGGAAAACATCGTTGCGTAGCTAACTGAAGCGCTTGAAAATCTTACCATAATATATCTCGCGTTTTTCTTTTTACCATACTATATCTCGCGTGCGCAGCATAGGCTTAATTCACATTTCATTCTACTTTCAAAACACATCAATCCAAATCACTAGCAAAATTACATCACATATTTATAGAAGAAATTACTTTTCACATTCAGCAGAAAAAACAAGGAAGCGAAAACAGAAAGAAATTCCCATCATAGTCGCCCTTCATGCATGTAACGCAAGGAGGAACCCCGTTAATAACGCCAGAGGAATACCAGCAACATCACCAGAGGTTTAATACGAGCAAGAGCATCAACATTGTACGTCATACAGCGGAAGACCATATCTTCCGAACAATGGAGTGGCAGAAAACTGTTTCTGGGGCAATCGCAGCCGTGTGCTTGTTCTGTACTTCTGAACCTGCTGATGTGGTATTTGTACACAGACGGACAGCGGACGAGGCTTCGTCATGATTAGGCGAGTAGAGAAGGCACATTTTTGCTGTCAGGACTCTTTTGTGAGTTTTTTCTTTTGCTTGTAGTTGGAAACACCACGTAAGCTGCTGGTGTCGGTCATGCTATCACCAGATTCAAGACGGTAGAAGAGCAGAGAGCGTCACGACTAAATCAACGACTCAGGCGAAGCAGCATCAATTTCCGCTTTTCATGTGTCACATCCTACAATCTAATATCAATTTCTTGGCGATCAATGAGACAATGCCCTCACCAATTTCCTCTCTTTCTCATCTCGATTCACATTAAACATGAAAAGAATAGTTCTCGTGTTTTCGAGTCCTAGTTGAGATTTTTTTACGCATACGCAATCTAGTACTAAAGCAAGGAGAAGATGGCGACCTACCAGATCTTGGCCTGCCATGCAGGGGACCAGTCTAAAGAGAGCATTCTCAGTGTCCTCAAGAGTCGAGTAACGAACACTTGCGATGAGGTAATCTATAATATTCTCATGTCGTGCTCGTGCAATGCTTTAAAGAGAGCATTTCATTCTATCTCTTATTGAGAAGAATCACTTTCACTACAAGAACACTCACCTCCAGCACCTCCACAGGTCTGCAAATTCGACGTCCCTGAGACATTGAAGTTCGGCTCTTTCGACTCCTTAGTCCGACTTATGGATGACTTGGCGAAGTATGACTCGCAGGTAGAGGGTGTATTGCGACGTGTCGAACGACAGATGACGGAATTTTATGGCTGCCACCTGTAGAGTAATCCATGATCTAGGGTGCTGGAACAAGAAACTGAAGGATGGATCATTGTTAGCATTAGACGTAGCTCTAAAGAGCGGATGCCAATGCGGATTTCAAAGTCCTTTTCCGCCAGAAGACCATGTCAGTGGAGAGCTACGTCCGCACCTTCCAATGGGACGACACCAAGTGGCCCAGGAACAGGAATGTATTTTTGTCGCTAGTGACACAGAATACTAGTGACCATCAACATCAAGTTAAGTACAAGCAAGACTAGACAGAACATCTTCAAACATCATCAAGAATGATGCGGATGTCTTTGTTATTCAGATGAAGAAGTGACAGGATTTTTTTGAATTGCTTTTTCAGGTCGCCGACAATCTCACGTCTCTATGCACGACAGTGACACGAATTGACGACGACGTGAAGAACAAAGCTTATGCTTTCTCCGATGTGAAATCGGTACTGAACAATTTTTTTTTTGCGCTGGTAGGTACAAAGTCAATGAATTAGGGGTAGGTTAAAGGTGCTTTTGTTACCGTTTGTTACGGCTCTTCTAAAGGGGAAAGCCATAACAAGCGGGATAAACGAACACCAAAAACCTACCTGTAAACGAATCAAAAAAATATAGTTGATCATTGATTCAATCATGGCTATGCCAGGCACTTCTAGAGATGTAACTACAACTGAATGACAAAAGCAACAAATCATCGTTGTAATCTTCCTCCCATCGCAGCAAGAGCATCATCCTCCGTTCTACCAAAAACATGTAACAGAGTATCGCGAATATCAACAAGCTGAAGGGACCGGGAACAACATTTCAGAACGCAGACTTGACGGATATCTTTTATGATCAGAATGGACGACAATTTTGTTTTCATGATCCTGTCACTACTTCTGTTAACTATAATGCGCTAGTACTAGAGAGTGAGGATGAATCTACCATCAACATTGCTTTAAAGTGGGGTATATAGACATAGAGATGAATCAAGTTCAATGTCACGATACGCATCAAAAAACCCTCTCCACCTCCAAACCCTCTACCACCACCACCACTGCCCATCCCGATCCGCCTCCCTTTCTTCATACCCCGACCCCAGAAGTCGTAGCTGCAGATGACTTCATCACGAAGGAGCATCTCTATACCTTGCTAGTCATCGTGCCAAGAGGTGGCGACGCAGATTTCCTCGGTTCCTACGAAAAAGTGGACCCCTTCGTTGTCCCACGATCGGCTAAGAAATTCCAGAAATTCACCAACGGAAGAATGGATGACGTGACGGACAAGGTATTAATATTTCTTAATATCCTTCACGTTCAGCTTCAGGGTGCCTGTGGGGCTCGTTGTGAAGGATCCGCAACCTAACCTAACCTTCAGAGGATACTAGAACTAGGTTTATTTCAAGATAGTTGTAAGTAGTCAGCGTCCAAAATAACTACTATTCAAAACAGCTTGTTACTATTCAAAACTACTTAAAAACCACAGGACGGCAACACTCTCTGGCGAGTGGTGTGCTTCAAGAAGAGCGTTGACGCAGTCCGTAAGGGCCTCAAAGAATGCAAGTGCAGCGTGCGTTATGACGGAAAACAATCAATTTAATATCTCATAGTTTACTAGCTTGGTTGAGTAGTGAAACACGATGCCACTTAATCAACATCGCCTGCTCCCACGAGGACTACAACTGGTATTCTTTAGAAAAAGTGAACCTGATCTATCACCCTTTCTCTTACTTACTTGATGGCCTCGTTCTCTATCAGAACTTGTCTCTACGGGTGCTACGGACGACAGCACTATCAGGGACGTAGACATGACATTCCCAGACGAGAAAAACCATCCTCCTTCATCCCTGCGAGTTCGAGTACAGCCCAACGGCGTACAAGGATCAGCTGTTGAAGATCGAGGGTCTGCAGAGCGACTACTCAAAAAACGAACTTGCGCTGAAGCGACACTGCGCCGCCGCCTTCTCAGACTGCCTAGTAGCGTGGATGCACTTGAAGGTACTGCAGCTATTGTAATATATTATATATGTCTATCTATCACTGGTGCTCCAGTTTCACCTCAAAGTAGCTCACACTACATTTTCGTGCAGCAAAAGGCAGTTTTAACATCTTACTTTTGTGCTTTCAACATCACGATTACATGAAAACCGCCAAGTACAAATCCCAAATCAGGCAATGCGAGTATTTGTTGAGGCTATCTTGCGGTATGGTGTCCCACCGAACTTTGCTAGCTTCGTCGTTCGACCGACAAGCACAAAGAACATGACCAAGCTTCGTGCGATCCTCAGTGACGTTTTCACCGCATCCGGACTGTTCGGTCAGAGCTACCTGGGAACAGAGAAAGGTACTTAGTACTTTTGATGTAGTTGTACTGATAATTGTAACTACGAGACTAGGATGCACAGAATAGAATAGAACGAGACTAGTTCCATTTTCAACTATGCAACACGAAAATGGTTATGCTGATGCAGTTGGAAAGATACAGAGTACAACTATGTTCACGAACAATTCTTTCTCACAGGTGCAGCTGGCGGCGAGGGAGACGAGGAGGCCTACTACCCGTATGTCTCACTCTCATTTCAGCCACTCTCCGGTGGTAAGGAAGCCTCCTAATCAGAAGGAAACTCCAACCATGCTCTTATTTTTACGTTGAAGATTTTTTTATGAAGATTGATTCTTGCTGTTGAAGACCAAGACATGATTGCTGATTCTTGTTCCAACTTGGTGTTCCTATATTACTAGTTAGTAGAAACCATTTTTATCATTATCTATCACCATCACACTGCTGGCATTACCAAGCAGGGCAGCTCAGCTGCGCCCTCTGCAGCTCTCGCTTCCTGCTTGCTCGCCCGAGGTCAAGGGACCTTACACACATAAACATTCAGAACCAGCACAATGACCTATTTACAAATACGTTCTTTTATTTGGTCTTCGGCACCTGAAAAACAAGACGGACCTGCTCTCGTCACCGCTCCGAACTTTAATCCAAGCTTGCTTCTAGTCGCAAGTACATATATTTATGGGATCTTAACATTATCTCAAAAGCCGAAATAAGCATCACAACTCCTTTCTTCTCATTGTCAAAACCGTAGGCTTATTCACAAGTGATACTCAAATTTAATTCATTAAACCATCAACTACACTCAAAAATTCTCACTTTTACTCATCGTTGATTAAGCTTGGTCTTGTTAGATAGAATCGTTTATAAGGACCAGAAAAGGGAATCCGAAGGCCAACAATGTAGTTCTGAGAGAAAGACTTGCTCATCAAAAGGACAAGAAAACACAGCCACGACAGGGTTACTCACGTGTGAACAACGGAGGAGCTGATGGCCCATTCAGAAGGTAATGGTAAATTCCTAGGATGGACCAGCAGCTCGATTTGCGAAGAAGAACCAACATGATAAGAGTGACGATCAAGAAGGTCAAGGTCTTCGTCAGTTGTAGACGGAAGAGGTAGCGAAGAAGTTCTTGTTCACGACCTCTGCCGCGTGTTAGTTTCCATCAACACCTATATCTATGTTGTGTGATGACATCTTTTTGACACTCTCTCCTTGTTCTTTTTGATGAAGACGAATATTAAGACGCAGCGTGCCTCGGTGGAGAACGAGCGACGAGAGAACCGCGGACCAAAAGATTTTTCTTGCAAAGAATGGGAAGCAAGATGAGACCAAATAGAAGAGGAGTGGACGATTTGTTTATCTTCGTAGTTGTCGTTTAGCGATAACGAGCTCTGCCATCTTTCCTGCAGTGACACGGCTCCGCAACGTCATGTCTTGGTTTCATTCCTGAAGTTTTGCTTGTAGAAAATCTTCCTTCTTGTTCTTCTGTAGCTTGAAGAAGGCCTACGCGCACGATGCTGACAAGCATTGTTGTAATGTCGTGGTATATGAAATTTACTGGTACCAAATTCTAGATCTATCGAACAAGGTACTTGAACAATTATTGAAGCCTCAACATTGTGATTAGATTTTTGATTTTTTGACCAAGAAAAAATGTTCTTCCTTTTCCGGCTATCGCTAGCCTTCGCATTAGGCACAGCCATACGCTCAGTGGAAGCGTCAGTGGACTGTACCGCCTTATCCTCTTGCGGAGCATGCTACAATGCTAGCTCGTGGTGTCACTGGTGCAGCTCTAGCACTGCAACATCCTCAATACAGCCACAGTTGCACCTAATGGCCAAGCATGCAGCCCAGCAAGACCAGGGGCAGCAAGAGCAACAACTACAACAATTTGGTGCTGTTCCTGCAGGAGGAAGTTGTCACACCATCGGCACTGGTTGTATGGTCGGAAGCTCGTGTGGCGATGACAACGTAAATGCCACCTGCAGAGCACAGCCGGATTGCCAGACTTGCACAGCAGCCTCGTCACTATGTCACTGGTGCGGCGACAGCTGTCACGTATGGGGCAGCCCTTACGGTTGCGCAGTTGGCGTCAGCTGCATGGCTAACACAGAATGCAAGCGTAAACAGCCGGTTTTTATTGGGTTTGCGCCAGCACCGGACTACGTTTACATCGCGACATTCGGGCTTTTGGCCGTATTTCTGTCGATGGCAGGCTGTGTGCAATGTACCATCTCTAGTATAAAAATTCGATGATCATGATCATGATGTAGAAGATGTGGATTTTGATTTTGTTTTCCTTCAGTCGTTTGGGTTAGTTACATCTACTCATCTAACATTTTCTAGCAATCACAACATCTTGTTCGCATTATTGACGTGCACACAAAACAACCCAGGTATCTGCTATCGGGTGTACAAAAGTGTCCAAATCGCCAGAGCCGAAATCGAGCAATCATACGAAGGCACCCAGCTACGAAGTGGAGTCGATGAGGATGCGAGAGCAGTGACTGTAGCTGATGAGCAGGATGGCCGCGGTCCTCAGCGCATAACTGCCCTCGACCCAGCCTCTACGAGGCCAGCGCTTTGGGCTCGCATTATTGATAGGCTAGTCAGCGGCTGCTTTCGCAATACGTGTTGCCTCTGCCTGATCTTGCTTCCGTTTTTGATTCTCTTAAGGCTCATCTCCAGAGTAGTTTTTCATTGCTGGTCTTTTCCTTGTGAAATAATATTCTGTCGTAGACTATTCACTGCAAGCTTTTCCAGCAGAGTTGAGCAAGAGATCCTCATGAGTAGATGATGCATGAGTTGTCCTCCGAACCCATCCTCACCATGCCCATGCAGTCATAAATGAGAAAACAACAAACTATCTCGTCGGCGTCTTCTCTTCTAATATCCGGCTCCATTGTCTTCGTGGTGCACTATCCTCGCGAACCCGTGATTGATTACTGTAGTAAGGAACTCGAGTGGAGCAAGCTGATAAACAACATCGAAACTCTGGTCACAGAACAGGTGTATGCGGACTTTGAGTTTCTTTTGAGTGTCTACAACCCGAACCGCGTAGATGCGCACATAGACGAGGTCAAGGCGAGACTGTACTATCCTCCAGGAAGCACAAATTTGATCGGAACGGTGGGATTGAAAAACTACACAGCAGCAGGAGGCAGCGTTAGTGATGGGTACTAACTCTTTTACGACTTAACATTTTTGATAAGGTACTAACTCTTTTACGACTGTGCTAGGTAAATGAATGAATGAATGAATGATATGGATAAAATTTTGGTCCTCTGGTCGTCAGGAAATAAAAAGACCTTGATGCGTGGTCAATGCTTTTCACGTTAGCCAACATGAGCATTTCTTATTTCTACTACACTCCTCTGTGATTTTCATTTTCATCAAATACACCCCGACGACCCAACTGAACTCAGCCTCGCAGTCGTGTCCCTCGCTGTGGAGCGGTGGTCGGCTCTCGACCTGGCTAAGCAATACGCATTAGGGCAGTTGAAGATAGAGGTTCGTGGAGAAGTCAGCTTCGCTCTCAACGCATATGGTTGGAAGGTCGTACATACGACAGTGGATCTTCCTCTGCAGGTAATCGACACCGCGGCACCAATAGACATGACGTACTGCAATTGCCGGGACGGACCGCCGTCGCATCGACACCAGCGGAGAAGTGACGCGAAAGTGAATCCTTTCGATGATATACTAGACGATGAACAAAGAGGCTCTTCCATATCCATAAACGATCAAGACCACGACATCTACAGCTGGTAATTTTCCACACTGGTTGCTACCAGCTAATCGATTCCCTTTATTTCGCCTCAGAGTTCTCTCACCTCTCTGCTTACAACACGTTGGTGATACAAGAGCAGCAGCGACAGCCGACATAACCCCTATTCCGCAGTACAGTGGCACGATTGGCGATGTACTTGCCTTTTTTCCCATAGATCGAATCCATAACTTTTGAGAATAGAGTTAGTTTGACCGATTATGAACTCGAAACAAAAGAGACTCGTGTACTAAATAAAGTTGTATCTATAAGAGATTGGATTTGGAACGCATGACGTTATTTCTTCCAAATTATCACCGTCCTATTTGGACGACTTAGACTTCCTCCAACATCAACATCGGAGTTCGGGCAGTGTCTGATGCTCATGCTGTGCTTTTTGGCTGCTCCCGTCAACAAGTATCTGTTTTTTCTTCTGCACCATTATCGGTCCATCTTGACCACCTATGTATTTAGTAGAACGTGGTGATCCACGACCCGTCAAGCTGACGTCGCTGAGCAGGCTCTTCTGGGTACTAGGTAGAGGGACTGTGGTTTTTCACGTCTGGTTTTTTCGGACTGTGGTTTTTGCGACGGATCTTCCAGATTGATATCGGTTCTTGCATCCTGGTGATCTCCTATCCTATCCTAGGTTGTTTTTGCACTGTACGTAGTTGAAGAGAATCAGAATGAGGAGAGAAGCGATAAGCACTTGATGATCAACGATTTTTGATGTCCTTCAATGCTCGATAAAAATATGCTTCTGTTTCCTTGTTTTTTAGTCATAATAATGAATGACGCAGGACAGCGATACTAATCAGTAGTTCTTAGTACTAAGATGAACTAAGACCCAATTCCAAACGCATTCCTAGAAGTAGAAAATAATAGCAAAAAGCAAGCCAAGAGTTTGACCCCACCAACACCGTCCCATTCCCGGTCTTCCACTTTTGTAACGGACAAGGTGATCACATGATGAAACAACCAAGACCAACATATTCCAACTCATTGCCATACAAGATCTAGACCGTAGACATTGTCAACTTCATCATCATCAAAAAGATGGAAGTTTTGTTGCACCACGTTTCGTATGCGGATGTCTACTTCCATTTGGAAGCGCGTGCGGGAGGTGATGTACAGCGTCTTAGGGTGCATCGGGAACGCCTTGAGCGGCTAGCAAGGAGAGTCTCTATCTATCTCCAAGAGAATGAAGTAGGCCGCGTAGTTACGAGAGTTTATCGTGGTGACACTGGGGAGCAGGACAAACTCACATCGCCAGGGAAAGCGTAGTGAATTAAGTTCTGTTCCTCTTCATGATTCATTGGAGGAAAAAAATAAGTTCTTGTGCATTGTTGTTCTTGTTCCATCGACTTGTTATTACGCAGACCAACAACGACACTTCGTCGAGTTGTACTTGTTCTACGCCTATTGTTCCTAACTTATCATCAACCCCAAAGGTCTCCACGAGTGCGCTACGTCGCTTCTCCAGACGTGAACAGTAGTGCAGATAGCTGCTCCTCTGCAGAAGATGAAGAGGATGGGAGCCCAGGCGCCGCAAGTAGGTTTCAAAACGCATCCAACATCACCATAGGGTTCGATCTCCGCAATATGCCTCCAGAGAAAACGCCGTTTCTCGCAGAAGCTTTCTTTGATGGCAATCTCGAAAAAGCGGCGAATTACCAACTCACAGGCGTCGTTTTTCCAGTCATCGCTTTGGGACTTGGTATACTAAGTAATTAATTGTTGCTGTCAAACTCAGATTCATCTTCTTTCCACTCCGACCAGCCACGAGGACTAAGAACTTCTATGACTCACATCAATAGAGAGCAAAAATAATGCGGTTTGATGTAATTTGTATGATTGGTCATACTAATCTTTCTTCATACATAGTGGTACATATTATTATACCACTCCCACAATCCACACCCACATCATTCAAAACAGACGCGTGGCTCGAGAGCATTGTTCGTCGCAAGGGTGGCTCTGACTTTTTGAAGATTTATTTCCTTTCCGGCTCGCATCAGCGTTAAGGCTCTCACTGATGCATCTTTGATTGCATCGTTGAAAAGTATGAGAGAGTAAGTATTTCACTGCGATACTCTTCAGGGATGCACCAGTGGAACAAAGATGAACTTCTATGGATACCGCTAACAGCGGACGAAGCGTGCCGAAACCTTCTCTACCGAGTCTGCCGCAAAATGTCTGATCCATTTCGCTGAACTACAGCTGAAAGAGCATTTTCCCCATCTAGAAAAACACCGATGGCGCAGAGAATCACCCGAATGCTCGCATCTAGAAGGCACGAACATACATCTCCGCAGGATACACAGCGGGCCGGGGGTGTTTTTGTAGTATGGCAACATCTTGTACTTGTTTGTAGTTTCCGGAACAAGAACGATTCTATTGCTAGGCAGTGCGTGGATCGATGTGAATACCTAACATGGGGACTTACCTGACAAAAATAACCTTTTCCAGGGCGGCTGCCTGTATATTGTCATTCCCGCGATGATCATAGGTAAGCACCACAGGTATAATCACTAGACTTGAATCGTGGATCAAGGTTCCCTTCTAACACCACTACTTATTATGATCTTCTAACCTCCCGACGAAAATGTCCGCTTCATGAACAACGAGTGCTTGCCTTGGTTAGACCGTGACCGAACCGACTGCGTGAGACACTTCCAGGATGACTCTTCTCGCGAATGGTCACAGGAATTCTGCGTTAGCTTTATCCTAGCAGAAGGTGCTCCAGCAAGAGTTTCAGCCATCACGCAGTCGTTGCACCAGTTTCGCCCGAACTACATTCACATACTGCGGCCGAAGAGCTATCGCGACGAGGACTTTTTGCGTGCTGACGGAGTCCAAGTGCTCCCCTTTCATCAGGCTTCGGTGGCGCCCGCGATGCCTATGAGTCTGGATTTTTCCCAGCAGCCATTTTCCTACACGGGCGTTAGAGAAGTGGACGAAAGAATTCGCCTCGTCTGCCTCGAGATGATGTGGCATAAGAAGATATGGCTGAGTTTTATAAGTACAAAGAACCTCTAGTTGTAACATTTTTTTTTGATGATAAAAGATAGCACTTGTCCCATAACCAAACCCAACCCCTAGCTTGGTAGAAGTACTTGTACTTAAAAAGTTGTTGTAAATTGATCGCACCACCACGACCACCACCGTATCCGTAGCTAGTAAAACCCTAGGATTGACATTGGTTCCCCCTTTCCTTCAAAGACAGCAGTTATGGAAAGCCAGCAGGGCATGTCCCGCGATGACGGTGAGCTTGCGACCTTCTGGCTTCGGAAAACCCGGAAGCCAGTCTTGTGCGTTTTGATGGTGCAAAAGCCTGGAGGCAAACCCGTTTTCTATCGCGGTATGAATTTGGAGGTGAGTATGCCCACAGGTTCGCTCTGTGCAGAACGGAATTGCATAGGACAAGCTGTAGCCGCGGATCCGACTTAAGGCTTACAGATTGTCGGACGACCTTGAAGTCTGCTATTTTTCCAGTCTGCCGACCTCTCGACATAATATTCTGAACTTGATGTTGTTGTGTCTCTCTTTTTAATAACCACTATTCGTTGTGATATAAGTTTACGTACTTGACTTCTAATCTCCTCTCCGCCGTGAACACATCAAATTGTTGGCGGTGTTGTCGTTGCCCATGATCGGAGGGAGTAGCGGGTCTAGCGCGCCGAAGCAAGAGGCGTCTTCCGTAGTGTCTGGTGGACCAGGTGGTAGAAACTTTGGTACCTCCACATCATCGGTTGTTAAGACTTGTTCTAGCTTTTGGCCTTGGCCGAGATCCATCATCTTCCTGAAGATAAGTGACTTGAGCTAGAAGTAGGGCCCTCAGGATACGTCGAAAGAGGTGCGCTGCAAATCTTGATAGGCTTTCGCCTTTTTTTAGAAGGTGAAGGTTTATAGGTCCAGCGACGCTTAAAGCTCGTCTTTCCCCTTCTTCTAACTTAAATAGGTTTATCCCTTCATGCAAGATAAGTGACTAGAAGTAGGGGGGTTCGTGCTCACAACGTGGCCAAATTGAGAAGTAGGGCCGGGAAGTTAAGTGGTCGTTTCGTGCATATTACAGATTTAGGATACCCCTCTTCAGCTGACTAGCACTGAGACACTGAAAGACCACTAGACCTCCACTAGTACTCATCTTCTAAGGGAGCTATGTCGTCGTTTCGGGGGACACTAACCGATGTTGACCGACTGTCGTCACAGCAGGTGGACTACATGTGTACGGAAGTAGCTGCTGCGACTGCTTCACAGACGAAGGTTTCTCTAGGACGCGATGGACCACGTCCAGGCGATGAAGTTGTACACTCATTTTTTAGCACAGGAACTTCGCACGCAGATGAACCCGGACATCAAATAGGCGACAAGGACTCTAACCTGCCATTGAGCAAGAATTCTACTGTGTCGCTTGATTTCGAGTGCCAACCTCCCTTAGCTCCGGAGTGTTCCGCTGTTTCGTACGCAGGATCTACGGAGATGATGCGGGATGATGCGTCTTCAAAACTTTCTGGTGCTGACCAACCACCGGATGAAGCTGTTACTGCTCAGGGTGACGAGAACAAGAGCACCTCTGCTCCTTCGAAGGCCCTTGAGGAACCAGCTAGTGAACGTCTTCATTTCCATCATCCGAGCCGTCGCGAATCACTTGGCATCAAATTTCAACCGCATGTTAGGAGTAAAGAAAGCAGCGCCAAGCCGACAAGTAGTATGCCTTCGAAAGATGTCCAAGTTGTACAACTTCTAGAGGGTCAACAACTTAGTGCAATCCCTGGAGAGGTAGAAACGCAAACGCTACAAGTAGGAAACGGGGAAAGTACTGGTAAAGGAGTAACAGGTCTTTCTCAACAAGCAGGCAATGGTGCAACTGCAGCAATTGCGAGCGCCAGCGGAGGTGCTGCAAATGCAAATGGAGCCAGCTCTTCACCAGCTGCAAATCCACAACAAGCAACAGAGGAAGATGAGAAACGACTTTTGAGGAATGCTCGTAGTTTCAACATGTTAGAACCCACAAATTTCGTCCTCAGCCCCGAACTGAATCAACCCTCTCTAGCACGCGTGGGCTCATCAAAAACTAGTTTGGAAGTGTTGCAACAAAGTTTCACCAATAGAGATTTTGTTGCCGGCGGAGATTCACCTAGTAATGCTAGTGCAGTACATGGACAAGCTGGAGGTGCTGGAGCTGCATTCGAATTAAAAGTACTAGAAGCAACGTCGACGTCTACTAGTTCTTCTCGGGGGCGGCCAGTACCAGGCACAGATACAGCAGACAGAGGGAGCAACCTCCTTCTAGGCGAAGTAGATAACAGCCCTTGCAAAAGCGCACCTCGTTCCCCAGGTGGCCGGATTCTGAGTGCCGGTTACGCCAACGTCATGAATCCACTGTATTTAAGGCTCAATACAAATCATTTCTAGTACATCACGACATTCTTCACAGTTTCCCTCTTGGGATTCTGAAGAAATGACATCAGCGAGAATGAATTGTTTTGAGCTCTAGTGTATGGCCAGTTCCCTGACCTGTTTCACGATAAATGGTCAGAACATGCGGAGTCTCAAAGTGGTTCTGTTCTGTCCCCATTGCTCGACGAGGACCACTCGAGTGGGCCGAACACAACACGTCCTGCGTCACCAGATGGACTCGTGGTCACTAAGCATCTCGAGAACTACAGGGTTTTGGGAGTACCTACTCAACAAGAGGCTCCAGGAGGTCGAGATGCACTCGTCAACGTGAAGAAAAATCCTCCAACAACAACAAGTAGCAGACCTGCTAACCTAGCTGCACCGCCTCCAACCATTACAGGTGGTCCTCATGATGGTACCACATCAGGAGAAACAGGCGCCATTATTGATGGAAGTGCTGCAGCTATATCGCCGATGTTGTCGCCGGCGCCATCTCCTCTGGCTCCGACAGCACAGAAGCTTACACGAGCAAAAAGAAGCGTGGCGAGATCAAGCGACTTGAACCCAATCAACCCATGTGGAGCTTGCATGGAATGGCTGCGGAAAATTAGTGAAAAAGAGCCTAGTTTCCGTGTCATAACATTCGCGAGCATGGCATGTGAACGAATTTTCGTAAAACGCATAGATGCTTTGTCATAGTTGTCATGATAAGACAAAGACATGTCTAATACTAATTAAATGAAAGGCGCCAGCGCTTGAATAAGAACGAACATTGTACCAGAACAGGAACCTTCTCGATCCAGCTAAATGAATCAGCAGAACCATGGGATTCCGGAAATTAACAGTCTGGGACACCTCGTTTGTTCCGGCAGTTCATGGGGGAGATGCTCATTTGATAAGAAGAAAATCACTGCAGAAAAGTCGTTTCGCAGTTGCCAAATTGAGGCACTTCAATTATTAACGCATAGATGCTTTGTCATAGTTGTCATGATAGGACATATCTAATTAGATGAAAGGCGCAAATCAAGATTGGCTACTCTACAGTGGCTTAGGTCCAGCGACGCTTAAGGTCTTCTTAGGGAGGACTTGCTACCCTCCCTACACCGGTTCTGATAGGCTGACTGATGTAGAATCTCGGGGTATAGGGTGTACGCAGGTCTTCCCCTCTTCTGGCTGGGCTAGCCTTTTTTGATCCCTTCCCCCCCTTTTTTGTTAGATTTTCAATATTTCCCTGACTATGTGACTCTCATCTGGTCTTGCTTACTTCAGCTCTTCTAGCGTGGTACTTTCTCTTGAGTTTGTACTTAACTACAATCACCATGATAGGACATATCTAATTAAATGAAAGGCGCTAGCGCTTGAACTGCTCATGCAGTTTGAATCGATTTCATGCGCCCGGTAGGTAGCCCCACAACTAAGGTCGTGACTGTAGTTGCACTTTCAAACGTGCTACTCATCCTCGGATCTCTTCATCTGCACCTTGTGAAATTGTTGTCATAGTCTGTCATAGCTGCAAGATACTTGTTTATAATAATGTAGGTGTAGCGGTTATCGTTATCTTCATCTGTGCTCCTTGATGATGTTTTGTTGTTTTGTGCTTTCTCAGAAGCATGCAAGCTTCTTTTACTGTTATGGGTCCCTCTCCAAAGGTCCCTCTCCAAAGTCTATCGATGTGGTGCAGTAGCACCATAGAGAGCGCTCTCAACATCATGTGGCTGCATATCGGATGTCCTCCTGTGTGAAGCGACAAAAACTTCGAAAATTACAGTATGCTCTATAGCAAAAACAACTACTCGAGGGCCTTCATCTTGATCTGCGCACTCTTCCCTAAGCTGCAGGCGACCTAGGAACATCGAAACTACTGTTCGAGCGTGAAGAGGGACCACGAAGGGACTTCATGCATGATGGACCGATTGAGCGCTCTGAAGCAGAGAGCGGTGATAACGAACACCATTGAAGATGAGGGTTAAAAGCATTCAACATGATTGTCTCCATCTCCTACAGGAGCACCTCATTGATACATATGATGTGATCAATCTTCGTGAATTGGAATGCTGAAATGAGGATCGCAATCTCACTTGCTCTTTCTTTTTATCCAACAAGAACGAAGCAGATGACTTAGGTCTTTCCACTTATACGGACTTTCTTACCTTAACGTGTAACTGTTTGACTGCCTGACTCTGACACCTACCGGGTGAGACTTGCGTTTGGTAAGACATGAACTTTGCGTGAGCCGCCTTGCGTGTAGGCGAAAAACAGGGACACGCCGGACGATACTGTCATATCGAAAAAAAACATGGACTCCGTTTGCGTTGGTTCTCACAGATGCCTACGGCGGTCCTTCATAATCGTATCGATCATAGTTTAGAAAGATGGGAATGAGTCACTAAGCCTGTCTGTTGTTTGCGAAACGTACTGTGCCCCATGAGGTGGCCTGAGAGTTTCTCTGAAGTCTGCCAAACCCAATCCCAATATCTATGTTGTATCATAGTTTAGTAATTCCGGAAAAATAATGTTGTAGAGTATAGTCCATCTTCGTCGTGCTCGTCTGCCTTCTCTCAGGTCAAACTTCACGAAAGGAAGTTCGATAGCGTTCATTATATATAGTTGACTCAAGAAAAAAATATTGCATTCGCATCGTATCAGTCATCATCACGAAAGTGCACATTATAATTCGTTCAATAATCACAGCTGTGGCAGGTTTGATTATTTATCCTCTTCTGTATTGGCATAATTAAAGATATTATTTCTTTTCTGGCGTGAGACCACGTGGAAACATCAAACGATGTGGAAAATAAGTGCTTACGCCGATTGCTAATAACTGCGTGTATTGCTCCCGCTAGCACGACGTTTGCAGAGAAGATTCCACAAGCACAAGATCATGACGATGACACGCGAACAAGCTTAACAACAAGAACAACATAATAATGTCACTGCAAAGTAGAAGAACATCCAGCCTTCGACGTGGTCCCGTGTCGGCACGCGTTCTTTCAAGAAAACAAAGCTAGCAAGAAAATCTCATGTATTTTTACAAAGTGATTTCTGCTAAATAGAAAGATGGAAGTGGAACACCTTGAGCATTTCTGACACGAGTAGTACAGTACGACATCCGAAAAAAGAAGAAGTAGTAGAATGCGACAACCAAGGACGCTCACGCACGAGGAGCAGGTCTTGTTTCGATCAGTCAAACGACCCAGGCCCCCACCGAGAACGAAATGGTTCTGGGTGCCACGTGTCTTCATTCGCGTGCTAGTTCTATTGGTTAAGGGTAGTTTATCACTATCCCGTGTGCACTATGCTGAGTGGAGTCCTCCTGGATTTAATAAAGGGGAAACTAAGGGGGACAGACAGATGGCATCCCACTCGACTCGGGATAGTGAGAAACTACCTCTAAGTTGGCCGTGCTTGATGAGGTCTTCGAATCGTCTGACGGACATCTATATGACGACACTGGATGGACTTGGTGGACCAGCACCAGCCCGAAGAGTGCCGCCACCTCTAAAAGACCCAAAAGAGGTAGAGCCACCAAATCATCCTTCAAGTCCTACCTCTTTGCATCCGCTAAAAAAAGTCGTGGTTTTCCTTTTTTGCGGCCAACAGGACCACGTGGTTCCTCAAATGATCGGCACTCTACCTGGCAGAACGCTCGCAATTCTTCAACCTCTGCCAATGGCGCCATTCCAAGTGCAGCTGCAGAATGCAGCAGATCGACAACTGGCGTTGTCCCAACCCGCAGAGGCAGCAATGCTGGCGGAACAGCACCTGCGTGGCGTGCAAGGGAAGACGCTTACGCGCTGTCCCGCGACTTGGCTGCCTGTCTTCCGGGCGATGTCAACCAGGGCTCCGATGCTGCAGCCTCACAAACGCAAGTTACGGATCTAGTTCTTTAAATCATTCCCATCTCATCTTCGTACCCACGTCTACTAAGCTGATCTAAGGTCTAGGACACTTCTATGGAGCATCTTGAATAATCACAAGGATGTGTTGAAGATTACTAGAGGTTATTTGTTATCTACCGCTAACTACCCATTCCAGGACCACGAGATGAGGCCTCCTACAGAAAAAACGAGGAGCCACCACTCGTGGCGTGGAGCCAGGAGGTCCCAGATACCGAGTTCCCCAGCTAGAACCGATTTCCATAGCTATTCTGTCGAAAGGACACCAGCAGCAACATCATCTTCGAGTACAACTAGCCGTAGAGGAGGGCCATGCTCTACTCCATGTGGTGGCGGTGTTTTTGGTTCTGCACTTACTAGTGGTGCAACAAGTACAACCCCGGCCTCAGAGGTCTCTTTAGCATCGGTATCTGCTGCTGCTGCTGCAAGTAGCGCTAGAACTCCCACATCATCCCAAAGGAGTGGGAGCAGTTCAACTTCTTCCCGTGGATATGAAACTACTGAGAAAAGTTTGAGATCATGTTGTGGTGCTGTGGCAGCGTCTTCAAGTGGACGGGAGTACAACGCGCCACCAGCACGTACAACTAGCAGAGGGTCTAGTCCAAATCGTGGAGGAACAGGTGGATCTTCTACAACAGTCGCTGGAGGTGGTGCTTCAAGCACAAGGACTGGTCGTGGAAATCGAAGTGACCGATTCTCGTCGAATGCGGCGGATCAGCATGCTGAAATGGACAATATTGAACCAACTTCTCGTGCAAAAATCCAAGTGAAACCGGCATGGTCGAGTCATGCGACAGTAGTAGATGTTGGTGGCTCCTCTTCACACCCAAATAACGGGGACCACACTTGTGCAACTGCAGGCGCAAGAGCTCCCGCAGGTGGAGGACCGTGTTCGACTGGGTCAACGTCGTCGCGACCAACTACGCCTCGGAGACCTAGTAGCGGAGGGCGCGCTCGCGTCCAAGAGTGGGCTCAGCGCAGCGCCACTCATTGTCGAAGCCTACTGATGAAGCAAGGTCGGAAAATCCTAGGTGGGAGCGGAGGTTCACCATCCAGTGGCTCCGAACAAGTAGTAGCAGCGGAGCAGATGAAGGCAGCACCGGTCCGCACAACAACCAAGAAAGGTGTACTAGAGGAAGTTGATGTATCAACTCAGCCTTACAGAGGACGCCGCCTTAGGAGCGAGGTCAAAAATCGCGATCAGGATCGCGAGCAAGTTAATGTCTCAACCAATCATGGTAGCTCTTCCTCATCGGGAAGAACCTCTAGGCCTACAGGAACTAATTGTGCAGACTACGCTGCAGCACCAACAGCAGCGGCACACCCACCTGCAGACCAATTATCACCACACGTGCATCAATCAATACAACCTCAGCCACCACACGTAACTACAACAACCGCGCCCACTCCTGCCTTTCCCTACTCTCCCGAAAACCAGAACGTCGAAGGCGCAGGCGCAGCCACCACTTGTTCCCTTGAAAAAATCGAGTTTTTGTGTGATGAAGAACCTGCGCAGGCTGCTCATCTCAGTCGCAGTGCACACCTCTTTTATGACTATGTTGTAGTAGCTAAATCTACTAAATTCTACATCAGGTTCCTCAACATCACTATGATCTTTCGCAGCCCTAATGCTACTTAGTTGCTTTCCTTAAATAATAGCTTGTCTAAGTCTTGCTGTCAGGAGACTCCTCAGGGGAGTCACAAGGAGCTTCTGTGAAAACCAGTGCGCGGCGCATTAAAGATGCAACAAGGACTGCTGCCGCACAAGGACATCAAGACAAAGACTCAGGTGCACCATCTTCTTCTAGTAGACCATCAACATCTCAGCAGGAACAACCTGAAGGATTGGAAAAAACCCTAGAAAAAGAGGCTCAAGAAGCTAGAATCAAGAGTGCGGCCAAACGAGGCGCTTCCAAATCATCATTGCTCGTAGCAGGTGGACATCAAGATTCGAGCACCACTCAGACGGCGTCTGTGGCTATGGGCACGGACAATGTTTCTTCTTCTTCTTATGGTGCAGCGGTAGTAGCCTGTGTTAAAAACCAGGAGAAAACGACAACGAGTACTTCTTCTACTGTTTCGTATGGTGCTGGTACTGGTGTTAGCAGTTGTTGTGCAGCTACTAAAGCTAAAGGTAGTTCGGGAATGGGAGCAATGCCATATCGTGGTGGAGGCCAATTTTTAAAGAATGCTGTTGAGATTGGCTCGACGTCCACCTCGTCTGCTGCAGCCGCTGCCGCGGTATCGTGTTTCGGAAGCAACGCTAGAAATATTGCGGGGGCTGGAGTGCTCCTTAGTGGAGGTCATATTGGAGCAGTAGGTAATACAGCAGGAACGTCAATGTTGGTAGATAAGAGCAAATTAGGCGCTGGCGCACCAGAACTGATAGCGAAAGGAGCATCTTCATGGCCATGCCCAACATCGTCACCAGCAGTAGCACCTCCATCTCCACCTGGAGCAAGTGCGACTTGTAGTCTTTCACTTTCTGCGTCGAGTCGAGATTCCAGTTGTAGCTCAACAAATGGTAGCGCATGCAGTAACAAAAGCGATGCTGTGCCGAATGCTATGCAAAAAGCTCGTTGCTCTAGGCGGCAGATTGAGGCAAGAAGACGCAAGCATACGGAAGCTATAGGGTGTTGTACCGCAGCACCGGTTCCAACGCTTGTCGCCTTTGAGTATCATTCCTGTAGCAAGCAAGAAGAAAATGAAGATCCTTTGTTCCAGGAGGGGCTTCGAGCAGAAGGCAAGCAACATGAAGATCCGTTTCCTCAGGGGTCCCATACTAGTAGAGAAATTCTTGCATCTTCAAGCTCTTGTTGTGCTGCAGATGAAGTGAAGGCGGTTGCAGGTCCTAACCGTCCTGGTCTGGGTCGTTCATTAGGTACCGATGCTATGAGCGCCTCGCCAATCGGAAGAGACTCCAGGAGTCATCGTGTCCGAGCACCACCGGCAATTCTTCCTGGAGATATTAGCAGCGCAAGAGGACCAACAGGAGGAGGAGCACCTGGACCATGCAGACTTGACCGAGCGCCTGGCGAAAAAAGGCCCTGCTATATTGATGCACTACAAAAGCGACAACAAGATCAACAAAACCTCCCAGGAGGATTCCTAGCTCCTTCTAGTTTTGATTGTAAGAGTGACGTTGAAGTCGAAATAAACAGAGAACCAGGACATCAACAGCAAGTATTTTTAAGGGAACCGAGAGAGCATCCACCTCAGGGCAGCATCCTTGGCCCTTTTTCCAAGGGGAAAAGTCGCCAGGGATGGCGCCAGGGATGCGAAAGCCAGAGCTCTAAAAGTAGACGAATCTCAACTAAAAGTAGACGAATCTCAACAACAGGATCTTCAGCAAGTAGAGGTGTATGATTCAGAGGGAGCCTCGTCAGCTCCAGCACGTTTTCATCATGCAGATGTTCCGCGAAAAATAGCACTTCCACCTAGAACGACTACAGCAACAACATTCCAGCAAAAAACGCATCACCAATCTTCAGCTGAACATCAAAACAATCCACCACCTGTTAATCTTAAATCAGAACAGGACTTCCAGTGGGATGTGGAAACTTTGACAAATCGCATGGCAGATCTTCCCTTTGTTGCTTCCTCTTCACCAGCAGAGGAGGAAGCTGAGTTTTCCGCATTGGATACTACCTCTTCAGCAATTGAAGAACAACCCGGAGGTGGGAGCTTCGTGCATACGACATCAACAGCAAGAATTGAAGAACATCAATCCGGTAAGAGCTTTAGTACGCATCGTGATCATAGTTTTTGTGGAGAAATAGGTAGGGCTAGTACAGCAACTACAACAAGTGGTGGTGGTGTTGGAACGATAGCAATAGAGAGTATTTCTCGTGGTACTAGAGGTGCAGGTGGACATCAAGATGAAGTACAAGGACTAGATGAGGTTCCGCGACGACCAGATGACGACGAGCAGAATCAAGAGCGGCTTGATAGTAGTGCTTTCTACAGTTGTGAAGTTGCACATCCTGCCCCCACACCTACTAGTAGACCGCAACATCAGAATAAAGGCACTGGTCGCGCTGTTCCTACTTCTAGCGAGCTAGTCAAACGCGTAGCAGCGAGATCAAGGAAAGCAGGAGAGCACACAGAAGACTCAGCTGTACAAAAAAGTACACAAGAGCAAAGCCGTATACAAGTAGAGCATCAACATCCTCGAGAACACCCTAAAGAACATGAACTACAAACAAGTGGCGTAGCACCAAAGACACCTAAGTCTTCTAGTACCTTTTGCTCGTCTCCTGCCAAGAAATTTGACAATGTGGTAGCAGAGTTGGCATCTTCTACGACCACTAGTGGAGGTCGTTATAAAGTTCCAAACGGTCCTATTAATCAGACTGGCGCTATTAATCAGACTGGAGCTGGAGGAGGAAAAGCAGCAGGAGGTGCGACATCAAGTAGAAGGGGCCCGGAGTGGGCCCCTCCTGAAGTCATCAATCCGCAGCACTTGCAGGAGACGGAGAGTTCCGCTGGGTCTATCGCACACAAGACGTCTAAAGAAAAGAGAAAAAAATCCTCTAAGTCATCTTCTTCATCCTCACCTGCTAGTTCGTGCACACATGGAGGCTCTAGAAGTTTTCAAAAAGATCAACAATATAATCAGCAGGGTGGACCAGTCCCAGTCGTTGTTCAACATCCCTCCGATGAAAGTAGGGACATCAGTAAAAACTCGTCTGCGTCGACAGCAGATCCAGGACGCCTTTCATTACCGACTACCGATGATGATTGTGATGAACTACAGTTAAGGCTTGAGGAAATTCATCTTCGTCCCGTCAGCCCAGGAAGCTGACCAAGATGGATTTTTGCAAGGTCTAATGCACTACAGCCAGGCCTCTACTGGCACCACTGGCAGTCCAACTCGTCCCAGAATATTAGGCTGCGCCTCTCCTTCTCCCCACTGTTCAAGAGAGAGGCTGCGACGGCCGTCACCGTGCTCCACGACTCATGCACCATCTTCCTTCGACCGTGCAATGGCTGAAGGAGAGTCCGCCTCGACCCAGTTCTTTGACGCGTCTTTTATGTTGGCTTGGCCGAATTTATCTTGAAAGGCATCTTGGAGGAGGGCTTGTTTCTCAAAGAGATGTGAAACACTGTATCTATAAGTACAAAGATTTGAACTTTCAAGGTCATGAAATTTGGGCAATAAACTACTCTAAGCCTAGCAGCATGACACCTGGTCGACGAGTGGTTGGGGATCTTTCTGTTGAAAGCGTGTGTGGCTCTAGTATCCTCGCATGTTGTGGAGATCCTCCATGTCGTGGAGATCCTCCTGGTGCAACTACTGCGACTCCTGGTGGATTACAACTGACTAGTTGTATCACCGAAAAAGATATTAGACGCGACGAAACTACCCAAGCCCAACAAACTACTACCCGCAAGAGGAATAAACTTCTACAACGAGGAGCACGACATTGTAAAGCTGCCAGTTGGAGCTCAACCCTGCAGCTTGAGTGCGGAAGCAATACACTTCTCCTGTCACCAGCTGCAAGTGGACCAGGAGGAGCGCAGCAGGTGGACTTATCTCCTCTCAAGCACACAAGAAATACCACCACGGTTTTGTTTCAGAAAGCGCCGTTTTTGTTGCCGAAAAGCGTGAATTTCGGCGACGATTTGCACCCAAAGGCTATGCCGTTCCGGGGAACCACCGGCGTACACTCGCGTGCTCGGAGTTGGTCCCATGCGTCGAAGCCGGTGTCAATTTTTATGGTCTTAGGCCCTCTTAGGTATTGTTCGTGCGGGTGGTGGAAGAGAGAGGATAATGATGAAGATCGCCCGGAACACCTTACCTCATGCGTAGAAAAGGAGCATAAGCTCAAAAAATATATGCGCGAATTTAAAAGTTCTATCGGCCTTGAGCGCTAGCCTAAACCTGCAGGAGAGTAGTCTTCAATATCACGAGTCCTCTCGATCAAGTTCAGCGTTGATGCCGTCCGTTTTCCCTTTCTTCAGGGGAAAGACTAAGGCATATTAACGAACGAGGTATAGGTAAGCTACCATCGAATGGGGTAAGCTAACATCGGGTGGGGTAAGCTAACACCGAATGGGGTACATTTTACTCTTATTCGCATCCTACCTCTAAAATTTCGAACATTATAACGATTCCTGAGGATGACTTGTGTGCTCCGGATCCTACAACTGACAACCAGCTTCACCCCTTTGGCTGCGTATCCTGCGAAGACGAGAGTGAGGATGAGCGTGACGTCGAGGTATTCAAACACAAAAACCAAGTACCTTAGAGAATTATTCCGTAGTATACAACTCGGCTATCTTTCAGTTGCTATGTCGCTTCTTGTGTTGATATTCTTTCAGCGAAGGTTCCCTGTGTTCCCTGTGCTCCTCCACGTGACGCTGCTCAACCTGTACATCCACTTCAAGAATAGGGTCAGTAATGAAGCACGTAATTATTATATTTTGTCTTTTTTCTCATTCTCTTTTGATGCATGCCTTTTTCTCCTTCAGGTGGCTGGCCGAAGCATTTCACTAAAAGAAGCTCACTGTGATGGAGTCGATGCAGCAGACCTCGAGGTGGTCCCAAGTTCTTCTACAATTAAGTCTTCCACTCCGGATGAATTTTTTTACCAGACTGACGGCGATCGCGCCTTCGATATTGATGCCTTACTCCCGGTGCGGGCAGGTGCTGGTAGACCCGTCTTATCTCCAAGTCACCGTTTTAGTTCGGTCATGAGTTCCAACCCACCTTCTAGAAAAATGACCGCTGACGCACCAACATCAGCAGGCCACCAAACCGATGGTGAAAGGCCGCAGCCGGCCAGTAGTAGGACCAAGCAAGTTAAGGTGGTCGTTGAGGAAAGTATAAGGGATAGAAGTACAGAATCGACTAGCTGCCCCTGCCGAATAGATTGGAATCATCAGAATCAACTAGATGTTGACGTAGACGGATTCTACAACAAATTACCTCTAGAGGGACGAGCATCATCCACTTATACATAGAGTAAGTGCAATCAGGATAACAATAGTCAAAAGGCTCCTGTAGTAACTACTGTAGTAACTGCAAGCATGAGAAGTCTAGATGGTGGTGGAATAAAACATCAATTACAAGAATTTAATTTGAGTCACAACTTTCTGTGCTGGAGTTGCAGTTGCCTACGAAAACCCTGTACTATGGTTCCTCTTCTAAACGTAACGACGACGCGGGGGCGCTAGCGGATGTGGTCGAAGGTGTTTATGGTGATTGTTCCGACGCGATGTTACTTTATTCCGGGACGCCAAAAACTACACGACCTACAGGCATCGCTAGTGCAGTGGATAATCTTTCGAGGTCCAGACCAGCTACAGCTAGTTCAACACTACCAGACTTAGGTCCAACTCGATTTCCGGCATGGTCTTCGACATCAAGACCAGGCTCGTCTGCTCAAGGCACCAGCTGTGTATCGGGGCCACCACGACCGCCATCCCGGAGTAGTGCTCAGGGCAGCTCTGCGTCAGGACAAGGATCAACTATGATTTGAAGGTTCCTCCTTCTAGAAATCCATGGGGAAATAGGAAAATTTCCTACACGACCATGTGAGGAAAATAGTAATAGATCTGAGATGGATCTCAGGATGAATTTTTAGGATGAGCTCTTCTAAATCAGGGGGCTTTCTATACGACCATGGTGTTGTGGTAGAAGATGACCACTTGTACTTGAGACCTATGAAGATGACGTCGTAGTACTTCATCCCGGTGAGTGACTTTTGTTACTAGAACCCTGAAAACCAAATTGTGTCCCGTGACCTTCATCTTAATCCTTACAAACAACTTCATTTATAGAAGTACCTTCTAGCGAGTAAGGGTTGGAAAAAATATGAAAGTTGTAACGCGTAGCTTTTCTCGAGGATGTTGGGTTCTCCACTGTAAGCCGTTGTCACCATACACATCATTTATTCTTATCGAAACACTTTTTATGCAAATATACACGAGCAATTTGGGGTGGAAGCGAATATACTAGGCAGTAACTCTACCTCATATTATTTGATACTGTCCCTCCGTCGAAGGCGTTGCGACCCAGCGAACGCCACTCGCTGCAATTCGTGGGCCCTTGGCTGTAGTGGCTGGCCTTCGCGAAACTTGCTCCGTTGTCGCGCCTCCGATGCCATTATCGTGGGCACATGAGCAGCTGGCGCCTCGTCCTAGCCGAGTCGCACCCTGGCGTGGCCGTAGCCGCGTGTGTACAGGCTGCCTCGGAGATCGTTCACGCATCGAGATCGAGGAGGTTAAACAGTAACACCTGAGGAGGGACCGGCTCGACGCCGAGGGTGGCCGACGCGTACCGTTTGAATGTCCTGAGGAACCCCAGGAAGGTCATGGAAGGCGCTGGTCGCCTGACTGTCTGGCGAGCCCCTAACCCCCAATAAAAGCCGCAATATTTGATATTATCACATAGTCTACTATTTCTCCAATATAACTAGTAGTTGTATTTGTTGATGAATAAAGTGATAGATAGTTAGGTTCCCAGGTGAGTCACAGGTGAGGAGTGCTCGAAAGAGGTTTTGGAGTGCATATTCATGCGAATGATGTTGCTAGTGCTAGTACTACCCCCATCCTGAGGACGAGGATAATGCTACGTATTACCTGACTATTGCTATGATATTTCTCTCGTCGTACTATTTCTATGATATTATGTATAATGTCGTTCTTATAAGAGGAAAAACTTTCACTAGTTTTTCTTCCGGTCATGATCTATCTACTTACTTCCTTCGTGCATAATCTTGATCTACGATTCTTCAGCGAGCTAATTTTCGACCAACATGTTGATAGTACTTTTCGTTTCATCTACGTAGGTACTGTCATAATTATCGGCTTTTCTTTTCAACTCACAGTTTTGCTTTATTCACCTCCTTTAAAATCATAATCTCTTGTTTACTACTTGTTAACCTTCTACTAGATGGAGGTTGATAGAAATTTTGGTCAATTATTGCGTCTCCTAGTTCAACATTGAGCAATAATGAAGTACTGATATGGGAGTAATATTATCAATTTATTTGCTTTTTCGAACCATCTGGAAGTCGACCCAACTACAACTTGGATGAAGTCTTCCAAAACGAACCAGGTGAAGCCTCCGTTTGCCTATAATGAACGTGCGAGGCCGCTTGAATTGGGCGTTCTCCTTCATTATAGTATGACCAAGGACTGACTTGCTAGTCACATCAATATCACAAAAATGTAATTTTTAGCAAGTCACACTCAACCCTCCATGATTGATTGAAGTCACACACAATCTGCCATCAGGTAGTACAACCCTACTGATGTACTCGGCAGCCAAGGTCAAGAACGGAAAATTACTCAAACAATCCCTTTACTACTAAGACTCAAAAATCAATGTCTTATTTTTCCAAAGATGCTCCTTATCGAGTTTCTTGAGAAGTGGTCGTAGCTTCCATCAGGAATCTCAGTCTCTCTACCTCAGGATAATGCGTTAATTTCCCCCTTCCCATGCAACTGGTTGTAGCTCCTACACCTCATGAATTCAGGCACCTCTTCAATCAACCAATCAATCCAGGACAAATATAATTAAAGATGCACTCCCGTCAAACTAAATGACTGGGTATATCATCATCATCCTATCAGATGCACACCTCCTTCATTCAAGAAGGCCAAAAATCGATGCGCATGGTTTTGCTACACCTGTCTACTTCACGTAACTTACCCACCACGTTGTCACGTTGTAAGTGACCTTCCACGTTGATCTAGCATAACAATTCATACGGAAGACGTCATGTTGAGTGGCTGATCTAGAGGACAATGAAAATGCTTTAATAAGCTCAACATATTGAGAATTGCCAACCATGTTGATGTCCATGATCAATCTACATGAGAACCATCCCATGACATGTGAAAACTACAAAGCGAAAGCGGGAAAAGAATGCCACAAAATCTTGAGGACTATCCATTCTTCCGACTCGTGTTCCTTTCTCTGGATGATTGATATCAATGATCTTACAACACAGTGCTTGAATCTGTTTCATCTTCTGCCTCAGACAAAGGATAACTGCCTGCGACGCAATACAATATTGGAGAAACTATTGCCAATACTTATCTTCCAACAATGACCTCATGCCAGGCACATCAATCATAATCAATCAATCAATCAATCAATCAATCAATCAATCAATGGGGAAACGCAATTATACTGATGATGGTCTTCTTTCTAACCCGAATCGGAGCAAGAGCTTTTCATGTCAAGAAAAATATCTTCCATGTACAACTCTTGCCTGCTTTGGAGACCGACAGAATCATCTTGACGCTGCCACGCAATAGTGTCAATAAGTACATCTCCATATTCACGCAGCATCATGAGGTAGTTCTCATGCTTTCTATTCGTCCGATCATTGATTTCTAGTATACCTAGACGAAACATCAAGTGAAAGTACAAGTGAATCATCTACCTCTTCATGTAAATTGCGAATCTACCCCAATAAAAACCTGCAGCGACATAGGCGGCAAGAAGTGGTCGAGAGAATAGTAGCGATGGTCGTTATTTCAAGGCTGGCCACGATAATTGACTGACGTGGTGATGTTGTATTTCAACATAGCAGCTGCACTCATATCTATAACTGAAAAGTAAGGAAGTATCATTTTTGGAGGCCATAGAGATATTAGACGTATTTTGTTTTCTCGTATAATTGAGTTTGCGCTAATAGTGCTTATATCTTCAAAAGTTGTACTTGCAGTTCTTTTGTTCATAGTTGTAGTCATAGAAACTCGTTTTTAATTTTATCCGTTTGCATCATAGACACATTTTTGAGTATTTGTTTTGTTCTTCTTGCTGCAGTTGTTGTTGTATCTATTACTTCATCGTAGTTCCTTTTTTATCAATCATCGAAAATAAGAAGGACCCACTTTTCACCTTATCTATGATATTTTTTTTTGAAGATATGGAGAAAATTTGCATGCTTGCCCCTCTTCCACCTGTAAAAAGAACTTCAAAATCTATTATATCAGAACTACAAAATCAAGATCAAGATATATCTTCAAAACTTCACCAAAAACAAGCACCGTCCTCGTCTTCTAGCAAGTCTCAAGCTGCAAGCAGAAGTTGTACTCGCGGTCCTTGCAGCACATCAACGACAACAGCTTGTAACTCCTCGTCAACAAGATCTTCCAGCTCGTCAACAACGACAGCTGCTAGTTCGCCTGCCTCCTGCAGTTCGAGTTCACAAACTACAGGAACTACAAGAACTTCAACATCAGCGAACAACGACAACCAAACAACGTCACCTGAACGAGTTGCACATCAAGCACACGTCGGAGAAAGTTCATCTGCCTTGGCCTCTTGGTGGTCCTCCATTCGACGTGGGTCTCCCTTCGGTGGTCATAACGACCCCGTTGACGGACCATCGATGGGGCTTCTCCATAGAGGTAGTTCATTATCCTTAAACACTACGTGTGCAGTACCAGAACAAGACTTTTGTGATCAACAACAGGAGGCAAGTTATAGTACGTCAAGTTATAGTACGTCAAGTTATAGTACGGCAAGTCGCAGTATCCAGAAGACAACAAGTTGCTGTACAACATCAAGTTGTTGCAACAATTTTAACGATTTTCCGACGACGAGTCGAAAAATAAGTGAAGACGAGAAGCGGAATTATAGTGAAGAAGAAGATAGCAGGTGTAGAACTTCTGCTTTTTGGACGAAGAGTTATACCGACAACAAGAACTTCGTCCAAAGTCAAAGAGAAGCTTCAGAAGTAGGTTTACAACGCCTAGCAGACGAGTTCTCTCCTGATTTTCTAGACGAGTTCTCCCCTTCAATACTTGTTCTAGAAGGAAAGTCACACTTACAACTGGGTCGTGGAGATCATGTTGAATCGCGAAGGCGGTTTCTTTGTGGGTGGCGGGACAGTGATCGCGCTCCTGCTATGGGCATTGTTGTTTCACACGACCCTAGTGGCCGTGCGGCGGGCGAAAGCGGCAGGCGACGCGAGCACCGACTCGAAGGACACCAGAAGCAAATGGACCTTGTTCTTGGCCTCCGTAAACTTGGATTTCACCGCTGCCGTCCTAAATGTGATGGCACAAACCGTATACGTGATCTCCATTCTTCACGACGTCGGTGCCTGCGCCTACAAAGAGACCAGCATCATTCCAGTAGGAGTAGGAGGAGCCTCGACAACCCTACTACAACAGAGGACTATGGGTACTATGGCTCCTGCTGCGCCAGAACAGGTAGGCAGCAGGTCAAGCACAACTACCATGGGAGATACACCAGGAAACAACATGAAGGACCTAGAGGACCTACAACAAGCAGGAGAAGCATCAGCCGCCTGTCGCAGAGCACCTCCTTCTAGAACTACAGCATCAAGTTCAGGTCCCTTCCAAACAGACACTGGGTTCGAACTAACGCTCTCCTGCGAAGACTCACCTGTTCTCTCAGATCCCTTATGAAAAGAAAACAAGGTAGACCCTATGCATACCTCGCGAATAGGTAAATCAATCAATCAATAAAACGTCTAGAGGAAATAGATAATAGAAGCTGCAGGAGAGTAAATGTAACTATTCGAAAACTCAAAATAACCGAGTTACTGACTGAAATAAGGGAGGCACTAGCTTACCGTCAAGGCTACTCTTCCTCCTCGTCAGTATCTCGGTTATTCTGATCAGTTACTTGCTTATTTCAGTTTTTCGAATAAGTACATCGCTGTGAATAGTCCACGACCTATAAGCAAACCTAACCTACATCTTTCGCAGCTGTTGACTTAGTTTTGTTCATGTTCGCGTTGCTCTTGATGGACGTAGAAGAAGAAGAATATACTATTTTTAAACTAATGATGCCAATGCAAGTAGCTAAAAAAGTTTTTTGAGAAGTTACAAACATTCTTTAGAGCAGATCATGAACAAATCACGTTGTTGTATCCTCTTCCTGCTCTAAAATTCTACATGATCGGGAACAGAGCAGGAGCTCCGGTTGCTGACAGAAGTCGGAGAATGTGGTCGAAGAGTGAGCTGCGAACGATTGTCAGAGAAATCTTATATAGTGAACCTCTCTACAACGATTTACATTTGTCACCATCTCCAAGTCCGGACGAGCAGGCCTCGCATTTTGCTCCTCCGAGTAATCCATCTTCTAGAAATGAACGTCCTGGAAGAGGACAACTACATGCGGAACAGTATGATACATACCAACTACTACTTCAACGTGCACCTCCTGCTGAAGAACTACCGCAGCATCAACAACGAGATGCTGAGGGAACTCGGCGTGAGCCGCGACTTCATCCTGTAGTTGCAACGAATGAAAAAAACGCAAAGACCGCACTTTCAAGCAGAAGCACGGGTCTGAGTGCCGTTACAGTCGCAAGTCCCTCACCTGCTCCAGGAGGACCTTCTGTAGTCGCAAGTCCATCACCTCCAGGTGATAACGCAGGAGGACAGCCGCCAAGAATGAGTCCTAGTAGTCCCAGAAGGGTTGGCTTTACTGCTAGTGCTTCATCACGGGGGGAGTCTCCAGGATTCTTAGCTGCTGTTCAAGGTCAAGCCGACGGAGAAGAACATGGTATGGGAGGTCCTCAAGGTGATCGAGGTCAGGCTCAACAACTTCTTGGAGTTATTGGTTCTCAAGGTGAACAACAGCTACCGGCAGTTGCACCACCACCACCACCACCACCATCTTCTTCGTCAGCAGGACCTCTGGAAATAAATGTAGGTCCTCAACGACGTGTTGAAGCTCAAGAGGACCGACAACAACCTGATCAGGAGCAAAGGGAATACGGAGAGAGCACGAGGAGCGCAAGGGCTGTTGTTAACGGTAATGGAGAGATCGGCGCTTTTCAAGAACATCTACATCATTCTCTTGATCCTCCGACATCCTCTTCACCGAGAGAAAACCCCCAACATCAACAACAACAGCTACGTGTTGAAGAAGCCCATGCTGCACAAGAAATTCCACCAAGTAGTTCAGGAGGATTGGGATCATCAAGGGTAAACCCAAATTATGTTGGTGAAAATGGTGGTATTCCTCATGCTTCCCATTGCCAGCTTCCTCTCTCCTTCAGTGGTGGTGGGGACCTCGAACGCGAACGGGATGATCACGAGCCGGATGCAAAACCTGCATCAACTACGGACCTGGTCCCATCAGAAGAAGGAAACAGCCTCCACGTAAATACCTGTCCATCTTCGTCTGCTAATGGTGGTGTTCATCATGACGGTATAGATGGAGCTGGAGATGGAGCTGCTGTTACCAATGGAAATCATGGGACAAGTTCTACTCGAAATGGAGCAGCAGAGGGAGCGAGCAATAGTTGTATAGTTGTAAGTAGTAGTACAGGTGGAACAGGCAGTAATAATGGCAACGGTCATGGAGGCACGACTAATGGCAATGGTCATCATGGGCAACATGGAGCTACTTTCAGTACTGGTGCTAGTAATGGAGGTACTCAATCTCATGTTGATCACCAAGTAGCGAGCACTTCCAATGGTGGAGGTGGTAAACGTAAGAAGTTGCGATCTGCCTCTGCCTCTGCTGGAGGAGCTCTCCCTACTTTACGGTGGCGCATAGTTTACCCCGATGAACAAGGAAGAGGACATGGACAACATCGAGAATATGCCCAACATGTTGACGCGTCCACGAACGGGAGCGGCGGTTTGCAACTGCATTTGAGTGATGCGCTCAGATCTGATGACTACGTGTCCTCATCCTCCTCCAGTCGTTCGAGGGGTGCAAATACTTCTCGAGAGGAACAAGTACTACCACCTCCATCGTCTGGTGCAAGAGGAACAACACCACTTCCGAATTCTTCGTCTTGTACAGCTGGTGCAGGGTGGTCCTCTACTGGTTGTGCAAGAACGTCCTCTGCGTCTGCAACGGAGAGTTCTTCTGGAACGAAGATGAACGACGAAACTTGTTCTCTTTTTGGCAGATGCTGGGCACCGAAAATACCCGCTTTTTTGATGCATCTATGCTATGGCTTTGCGACGATTGCGTGGCTAGTGTCGATTCTCAGCGCATCCGAACTAGAAATCGACCTAGTTGACGAGGATGACGTGGATGAGTCCGAGTGCTCAACGAATGCAGGAGAAGCAATCGACGACGTTGACGACAAGGCAGCACTTGGTGGAGACGAGAATGACAGTGAACTTCTAAGTGACGAGGAGGAAGCTCCAAGTGAAGAAGATGGAGTTAGAGAAGATCAGGATCTTGGTGAAGAAGATGAAAATACTATCGATGAGCAGGACCCTCTTCTAGAAGTCGCACCTCGCGTCTCCTCCAAACAAAGTGGACGTGAACTATCAACTTCAAAGGGTGGAACATCAACTGCAACAGGTGCCACGAAGAGTGCTGCGCCTGACAGCCATAGAAATAAACAGCGATTGGAAGCAGTCGATGAAGGAAACGAAGACGAAGACGACGACGAGGAAGAAGATGAGGACGAGGAAGAGGAGAAGGAGGGCGAGTTGTTCGAATTACTAGACTTGGACTCTGAAATTGAAGTACTGGTAATGGACGAGCAAAAACTCGGTGGGAAAAGCAGAAGTCGACGCTCCTCTACTGACGGACATTATAGCAAGATGAAAGCAGAACTAGAGCTACAAAGGAACAATGCACTAGATGAATATGACAACTTTTTTGTCAAACAGAATCTTGAAGAGGGTTGCCTCGGATCGCCACGAATAGGTGCATCTTCTTCCTTGTTAGGAATATCACGTGGCCAACAACATGACAACGCACGTGCGAGGTCTCTTAGCCGGAATTCTAGCTCTTCTTTGGTCGGACTCGGATCTCGTCGACAAGGACGCCAAGAAGACATAGGGCAGTCACCACTCCTAGATGAACATGCAGCAGAAGTAGATGAAGCAACTCTAACTCCTGCTCCTCTCATTCTTGGTCTGGAACCCCGTCCAACTCTCGACTCTTACGGGAAATCTACTTTGCAACCCCTGACTGTGGATCAGGAGGAGCACCATTTCGAGCGCACTCCATCAGCACCACCCGTTGTATCTTCATCAGGGACATCTTCATCTTCTTCGAGGAGCACAAGGACGCCTCAAGAGAACAGGGAACAAGACCATGGGGCGACTGGGATGAGTTTTAGTGATCAGGTGATTGTGCTGCCACCTGCTCCAGCCACATGGTCCATCTCTGCTCCGCCTCCGAGACTTGTCCCCTCTGAGGTAGCTGCTGGTCCCACTGGAGGTGGCCCCTCTGCGTCTGCTTTGTTCTCTTCTTCTAGCACTTCTTCTTCTGCAACCTCGAAACACCCAATAATACCTCCTACAGCTACAGCAGCTACAGTCAATGACTCAAGTAATACTACCCGTAAACCAGCAGCTGGACCAGCACGACTTCGCATGAGCACAGCCTCAAGCACAAAATTAGCTTCGTCAGCAACTCCAAATGTTACCGTTCCTCTAGGAGGACAACAGGGAGGAGGAGGGCCTTCATCTGCACCTCCACACACTCTTAATCAGTCGATTCCGATGGGGGGAAGCGTCGCAGGCCCGTCGTCTTTTCCACAAACGAATGTTCAGCAGCATGCCGTGACCACGACATGGCCTCAACCATCTACAACTGTTGGTGGATCAACTGCTACCATTAAAACAACTGCTATCGCAGCGAACGCGGCTTCTACCTCTAGTGCTATGCCTGCTGCAGCTAGTGCTACCACAGCTACTGCTGGAGCTAGTGGTGCTACTGCTGCAGCTCCTGCTCCTGGAGGTGGCAGTAGTGCTGCTGCAACTAGTGCAGCTACTGCCGCTGCATTGGCCCGCAACAACCTGTCAGTCACTCGTCAAGCTAATAGCAACACTCTGAAAATCAGGATAGGAATCGGTGCCGACCGTGCGCGTCGCTTTGCTGCGGCGAAGGGAGTCCGCGTCACGTCTTCTGCAGCTACAGCAGTTCTTGGTGGTACGTCAAACAACGCTGGTGGGGGAAGAGCTGCAAACCATCTTCATCACGGTCACAACGGAGGTAATGCTTCAGGTGGTGTTGTTGTACCATCCACTGCCGCTTCAACTGTGGTCGGCGGGAATACTGCGCCTAGTACTGCTGGAGGAACAAGCCGGAGCAGTATTGTCGCTCCCTCTGGAGGCAATACCAATACTGCAACTGCTAATAGCACCACAATGCAAGGGGTCTCATCAACTACATCTTCATCATCGCACAAAACCACGGTAGTAGTCGCGACACCCAGAGGACACGGAACTGCAAACAAACACTCGTCATCAAGAAATATGTCGAGTGCCACATCAGGCGCAGCGTCAACTGGAGGGCACCACGTAACACAACTACAGTTGTCGACAAATACAAGGCGCCCGAAAACAGAGAGAAGATTCTCTGCAAATTTAAGAAGATAACCCCACACTGTCGTGTAATCGAATTTTTTTTTTAATGACTAAGTAAATCTAGAGGAAGTTGTCGCAACGAACTAAAATATTACTTCTTGGAGCGAGAGAGGATGCATGAGTGGTCGTTCTCTTATAGTTGATGGAGGTGTAGTAAAATACAGTGCAACTCTAACAAAGGCAAAAATTCAACACTCTCCGCAGCAGAGAACAGCCGCAACGGTCGCAAATCTTCGTCTTGCCCAACACCAGGGCTCGCCGCCAGTTCCATCAGGTTCAGGAACATTTTGTTCTAGGGAACATCAAGAACCGACCATGTATGAGCGAATCTTCGGCTCCTCTTCAGAGCCAGCACAAGTAGAACATGTTGATGTTGGTATTGATCGACAAACTTCATCAGGTGTTGGTGTTCCAAATGTGGTAGGACGAGGGGTCGCTGCAGGAGGGACCGTTGAAACTGTAGGATTGCAAGGTTTAGGGGTCGGCGAAGTGCATCACAATGTTGAGCATCAACCACAACATCAAGTAAGCAGGCACCCGACGTCGACTGCTTCTAGGACAACTACTACTGCTGCTACTACTACTGCGTTGACACAGCAAGGTGATCATCAACAGGCGAGTGGTCTGTTCATGCTGCCAAGTAACGTGAATCCCGGTATCAGAATTGCGCGAAGAAGTGTTAGGCATCAGCTGGGCCAACATGCACAACCTGTCGTCAGGAGACAAGACCACGAACAACATCACCATCATAGACCAGGGATGAGACAAGAACCTCAAGATCATCATCAAGGACATGGTCATGGACAACATGGACATGAGGATGTAATTGGGGCTCATCCTCATCATGGACCACATGATGTACTTGGGTCACGGCCACACCCGCCTCCGAGGTCTTGTAGAACCTCTTCTGGTACAGGTGGAGCTGGATTAGTTTTGCCAACATCAACACAACACGCTCACGCTGCGCCTGTTGTGTATCAGCCAATGCCGGACCTTTCCCCGCCTCGTCCCAACGCTTCCACGCATCCCCACGCATCGGAGATCACGAGCAACTGCCAGCAATATCAACAAATCATGTCGAGTACGCCAATTTTACCGACGCCTCCAGGAACGTCATCAAGTATCGAGATACACAGTGATAATACCACGCAGTATAGAGATTACAGTGATAATACCTCGCAGGCGCAACCCCCGCCGGAGTATCAAACTTATAGTACCGGTAACAGTCCCTTTAATGCAAGAACCGCAGCAGGTCAGGAGCACGTGCTGGTGGAGCAGCGACCCAATCAGCAGCAGGCACTACAACTTGTAAACGAACAAGAAAGTCGTGGTCAACAGCTGATGTCATTTGCGAATCGTCCTTCCTTAATTACTTCGACTTCGTTACCTCACGATCACGATCACACGCAACGCAACATAGATTATGACTCACACCAACAACAACAACATCAAGAACTACAACATTTTGTTCTTGAAGAGACCCCACATACCTGGCATGGCATCTCGACGCCTTCCAGAGATGCGAGACCATCGAGAGGAGCAGACGTCGCTGTTGATCCTGTAATTAAGGCTCAATATATTTCATTTCTACAAGTCATTTCTCCCTATTTCCTTCTTAGGATTGGGAGAAATGTAGGCAAGAAATGAATTGTTTTGAGCTCTAATGTAAGCGGCGACGTCTTGAGCTATAGTCAAGACCCGCCTGAGACCGACAATCTGGCGCTTTATTGCTTCGGTTTGCACGGCAAGAGCACTGGGACTGGACTCTAGATATGAGTCGCACTTCTGAACAAGGGCACTTCTGAAGAACAAGGCGGGCACTCGATGTCGATTGCAGTTTTTTTGTCAGGCAGTTATGTCAGCCAGATGAAGCAGTTCTAGCAAACATTACATCTAGCGAGTAGCAAAAGATCAAGATGCACATCAAGAAGTACTCCGTAAAGAATCATGAAAAATGGTCTTTCTTGTACAAAGAAATACTAGCTGTTCAACAGTTCACTGCAATGGATCTCCCCCGACTTACAACACAAAACCCGTCATATTGTTGCATTTTTATTGGCGAGGCCATCTCAATAATCATGTCTTGTGTGTAGCCATTGCGATTGCTTCGTGGCGCCTCGTGTTTCTCATCTGTGAACTATTTGCTTTACGGCCCGCGCTTGACAATCAAGAAAAAAACAAAGTTAAAGCACCATCGTGCCTTTCTACTGCGCTCGTGTTCCACTGCCTAGATTGTCTCGTGCAGTTCTGTTATGACGTAGTAGTTGTTCTGCTATTACATCTCAAGAATTGCTGATAATTGAAAGATTGATGAGAAGAAAAAAATGAGAAAAAAAATCCTCTGTTTTTCACGAAACAAAAAGAAAAGAAAAAGATCTGTTTTTGCTCATGAGTCAAACTTTGTTCATCTGAAGTATATTAAGGACGAGCCCGTGGTGATTGAAAAAAGTTTCGTTCATAATTAATGAAAAGTTTCTGGCGGTTTTGCTTGGAGGAAAGGTAAAATCAAAAACAGAATTTTTCGAAGATCCCAAATCGAAAATGACAAAATACACTCTCTTCTAAAATGATCTACACAGCATGCCCCTCTGTCCCTTTTTTCAAGATCTTTGTACTAGCATAGTTTAGTCGATCTTGTGTGCCCCTTTGAATTCGAGTTGTTCCTGATCTTGAGCTTGCGTTTTTGATCGATCACATTAGCGACATACTGAGAAAGAAAAGAAACAAAGATCATTATCATCCAAGAACTCGGCGAAGCGACATTTTTCCACAACAACTAAAAATATATGTAGGATTCTTCTATGATCCCTTTGCGTTTGCTTTTCACCACCAGGCGGGGAAATAACGGCACTTTTTTTTGTAAGTCATCGTTGACCGCACGACGGACTTTTACTTGCGTTCTCGTATGATTTGTTGAATTCGTTTTCGTATATCTATCTTGCTCAGTAAGTGCTAATGCTAATTAGAAAAGACGGCAAAGACATAGAAGTTTTTTTCAAGTAGACAGAGCTTAAATCTAATTGCAGAAGTCATTGAAGACGACCGGGAGCATTCGTTTACTGGCAGAACATTAACCAGATTATTTGCATTTGCATGTTGCTTGTTCACCTTTACTTATTATAGAGTAACTTTTTACTTCTACAACGATACCTAGAGATATCACGAGGTCAGGACAGCACCCTATCCTATCCTAATTTAAGTAAGATAACTCAACAGAAGTGGAACATTAACATTTTCTTCGAATTAATTTACTTTTCTACTTCTAGAAGTAACAAAACGAAGATGACAATCGCATTCGCAGAGCCGCAAGCAGACTTAGAGTCTATGCTTCTTGCGATCGGCGGCGAGGAGAAGACTCGTAGTCAGCGGAAGAAGGAAAAGCTGAGACTCAAAAAGCAGATGGACCAACAGGAGTTGATGCAGAAACAAGGGCAGATGCAGACAACTACCTCAACGATGGTTTCAGCACCATCCGCGACATTGACGACAGCGACTTCTGCGTGTTCAACAGCTAGTACTGCAACTTCTACTTGTGGTGCTTCTAAAATGAATAGTGCTGGTGTCAACATGAGCATGAACCACAAGTATGGAGGAAACGCGTGCACGAAGATGGCGCGAGCTCCAAGGAACAGCATTACAGAGGAGGACTTGACTTCATTGATACCGGATTTGAAGGCGCAAAAATCCCAAAGAACTAAAGAACAATGTGGACGAGGATTAAGTCGGTACTTTCACGCCGACGATGACGAGACGCGATCACCTTCCTCATCTTCCTCAACATCTTCATCAGCTTCCTGCGGTAAAACGACATCTTCAAGTTGTACTACTTGTTCCTCCCCAACAACAACATCAAATAATGTTCTAATAACAGGGACCTCCGCTTCCTCTTCCTCTTCTTCCTCCAGCTTTGCAACCAGACCCCGCCCTACAGCGATACAAAGCGACTTTCACGACCAAGTTTCTCTCCTCGAGCTAGCAGAGATCCCCAGAGCGACTCTAGCATCAAGACAATCCTCCGTAATAGACCCCGAAAAGGACCTCCTAGACGAGCTGCGATCTTCTCCTCATGGAGCAATGGCGGCAACTAGCGTTGTCTTCCGCAAATTTGACGGCGCAATTAAGCCCACCGAAATAGTGGAGCAGGTATCTTCATCTAAGTAGATAAGAAACTACAAATACAATGCACTACTTCGCATTTCTGTTTCTCCCTTCACGACTATAATGCACTACTTCTTCTGCATCTTGTTACTACTTCTAACTATACCTATCTAAAGCTAGAGCTAAACTGTCAGTACAGAGAATGAACAAGATAAAACTCATCTACTCCTACCCTAGTGTGGTACAACCTCTAGTTCTAGTACTAGTAGTGCCAGTTTTGAATGTAGGATGGGAATTGTTTTTCAACCATTGTGCAGATTTGGGAAGCCGAATTACAGCGAAGGGCTTCTGTTGCGCGAGCAGCGAGTGAGGAAGAGGACATGACTCTACCACTACCATCGCAGAATCTTCTACCTTCAGAGACGACACAACAGGACGCAACCTCAAAAACACCGAAGGGCGCATCAACACCGGGCGGAACTATTAAGTCAACAAAGGAAAAAGCAAAAGAGATTAAGGTACAACTAGATACTATATGCGTTTTTTGTTCTATTTGTTCTTTTGTCCATCGATGCTCCATCTTTAGCACACTGACGTTCTTGAAATCAAAACATAAGCGTAAAAGCTGCAAAAGTAAACTACTACCTAGTATCCAAGAACCTCATCATTTTCATGAGCTTGACAACATTCTGATTTCTCACGACAATGTTACAATACCAAAACCAAAATTACTTAGGTAACTTTTCATTCGGAGGTGAGAGCGAACGTCCCACAAGCAACAGCAGAGATGCAGAAGCTGGTAGATCAAGCAAAGGACTTATTCGCTGAAGAATTTGAGGAGGAGTTTGCTTCTCAAGTATCGAAGAAAGGCGGTTACAGACTCACTCTGATGGCAGACGAAGCAGGTATTTTTTTGGAGATCTTGTTCAATGTCATCAATACTGTAGCACTCATATGATGGTTTCGACTAATATCTCAAGAACTGCATATTCGATCATGCATTTTGATGAAAATCATACATAAGCATAGGCAACAAGAACACAATTATTGCTTCTTCCCCCCACAACTTCTTTTGTAGGCGAATTATCTCCCCTTTTCCCTCACAGGTGACCTCTGCAGCTTCATTATGTACAAGACGAACCCCAGCGAGAAGTGCTTGTCTATCGCGCACGTCGCTGTCCCTTCTACCAAGAGGCGACTAGGCTATGGTCGCCGGATCATGAGGTGGCTGATCCAATACGCGAAGAAGCAGCCTCGTTCGCAGATTGCATTCTTAGCGCTCTCTTCTATGCCAGGAAGCATCAAATTCCACCAGAGTCTGGGCTTCAAGAAGAGCGGGGACAAGTTGACAAAAAAGGAGGACGAACCAGTGAAGGAAGGGGAAATCGAATACGCAGAAGGACAAGTCTACATGACCTATCCAATCAAGGGAGGGAAGCGTTAAAAACAGGATGAGCCCCCACACATTCATGATAATCTTCAACGTCGACCTCACCTCGTTGTAATTACTTCCTATTCCCAAGGACCCTAAAGGGGCCCTTACGACAGCACTTAAACACCCTTTGCCCCATTTTTAACAACTATTCTTGCCCCAGCAGCATCGTCGTGCTTTTTTTTGCGCAGAACTTCTACCTTCATTTTGGTGTTTTTTCTAGTACAGATTGATATGGAATGATGAGCATCTTGTGTGGTTTTCTTTGTCTACATTTTGATGTAGCACACCATGTAAAAATGTTGAGAAGTGGGTCAAGGACTTCCTACGCCTACTTTTCCTTGTCGGGTGAGATCAACTACACTAATCGATCCCCGTTTTCATCTTCCACCATTTTGAAGATGATTTCTTATTTCTCTTAGACAATTAGGGGTGATGTTCTCTTACAGAAAGGGGTGCACATGTAGTTGTTCCTGTACAGAAGTAGTACCAGCATGAACAGCTTTTTTTGCTCTGCGAATTCATCCGTTTTTATTTGGTACATTATAATATGATCATCATGATCGGAAGATGGACGAGAAGGATGTCGTTGATATTTTCCTCGTTGAGGAAGTATCACGTGCACGTAGTACCAGTATCACGGTCATGTCCGCCATGTTCGGGCTACCGCGCATCGCCACTTGATCGATTGACTCAATTTATCTTCTATTATACAAGGTCGTGGCTGCAAAACACTTCTCTTATCAACATTTCCAGGACGTGAAGGTCCTCGACAACAAATACATCAAACGTGTAAAGATTGAAGAGTCTCGTCGCACCATGCATTTCGTAAGTAGTTTACTTCAAAAACTGCTTGTAAACCTAGAGAGGCACTCGAGACTAGTCAAGGACATGAACTCCAGATACGGCGTCAGCCAAGTTCAGCCGAGCTAAGTAAGAGAAAACGTTAGTCTACACCTTAGCATTTTATATAGAAGACTAGAAGACCAAGACTATCTTCATCAGTCCTGAAACCATTACGGTGCTTCGTCGTAGCAGAGCTTAATTTGGTGCTGTTCCAGCACATACCTGCTGCCTCATGTTGTGGTCGTTCTACGAAGTGTAGGAGGACCTTCACCTTGAAGAAGGACATTACGACATATAAGCCTCGTGTTGTTTTCAACACCCGTTTTAGCCCCTCCATTTCGATTTCTCAACATCATATACAACAACCACATGAGGAAAGCCATGAGGGCGAGCATGTACTTACCTCCCGCTGTTAATTCTTCGTTGTATCATTTGTTCATGACCGTAGCGCCTGATCTCGATGACCGCTCGCCGCGTTTGATTCGCGGACGACGAGATAATTGCGGAATTGCGAGCTTGCGACAGGAGCTTCGAGAGGAATATGAATGTGTCGTCAAGCGTATTAGAAATCACAAGTACTACCGTAGAAGTCGATGATCATCATGCTATCTTTTCACTGTTGCTCGTTGTATGAGTAAATGTTGAAAGAGTGAATGAGTGAGTCATTGTGTAAATGTTGTGAGTCGTTTTATGATCAAGATGAAACATGTTAGAAGAACAAAATGACGTTGCATGGAGCTAGGTTCTTCGGTATGAAGTTTCGGACGAAGAAGAGGCACCACTGCTATTAAGGTCAGGTTTTATCCATCTTCGTCGGCATCTTGGTACAACCCTTTTCCCTTGTATTTCATGGAAAAGGGGTCGAGATGAGGGGACCGAGATGAATAAGCCCTGCCTCTAATATTAGTAGTGGCTGCTTCTACAGGTACCGCCGGGTGACGAGGACGTGGGGACAACCTTTTGCGCAGGCATGTTGAGATGTTGTATTACGTACAGGAGAAACATCAAGCGAATTTTTCGTCAAAAATGAGGATTGAAAGAACAATAGTACTAATTTTTCATGACCCTAATGAAGTTCTGTCATGAAGTAAAGTAGTAGAATCTTAGGGATGAAGATTTGGGCTTTTCTACCAAGGGATCGCATCTCACTCATATTCTTTCGTAGAGATGAGGACCTGTCATCTATGAAAGGCAGTAATAAGATTTGTGGCTCACGACGAGTCAGTTAGAGTCTTCAAGATGAACATCAAAAGACTCATATTGATATTGTAATACAAGCTCTATTATAAGTCAAAGTCTAATATTAGGTGACTGCGGCGAACAGCACCAACCACCTAGTAGACTTGCACTTCGACCACCTATAATGAAGCTCTAAGCGAATGCTAAGACATCAGAGAAGGGACAACGACCACTAAGAGGCTGCAAGAACTTCATCATCAAGTCCACCGAGTGTGCCAATACATAGTTGACATCGAGATCACAGCGACTAGCTACGACTACGCTCGATCGACTGCAGCAGCGGCAAGTGGAGTAGTCAACTTCAATCTAAATCCATACATACACTCACTACAACGACCTAACCTTAGGCCCGAAACCCGTCTACAACTTGCCTTCCAAGAAGCTGAGTCGGGCGGTCCAGTTCTTGATCGCGAGAAAGTAGCGCCTCTGGAGGATTTCTACAGGATGAACATCTTTCGCTTCTTCGGAGATATGCTCCACCTGGCGAGCATTCTCCTTTTTTAAGGCTACTTCTTCTTACTGTAGTCCCATGTTGTGTGGGGAATGTTAGGCAAGTTGCCAAATAGATTCGAGTCGTCAGATAGTGAAAGACAACTACCTTTGCTCTAACCTGTGCTATGGAAAATCAACAAAAATAAGAGCTGCGTTGGAGTCAGCTGTCGGATGCAGGAGGTTTACTTAAGGCAAAAGGTTGATACTACACGTACTTCTTGTGGTCTGTCACAACTATCTATCAGATACGACTATCTATGGATACACTGAAAAAACTCGAAATCAGCGCCAGCGGCTCCAAAAACGGTCTCAGCATAGGTAAGTTGGTGATTCTGTGGAGAATAAAAAAGGACGACTTCTATAATTATTGAAGAGATATTTATAACGTCTTATGCATAAAGAAAATTGACTAGTTTACTTCCCTTCGACTATATCCCTTCCAGCAACGTCTTTGGCCTACTTCCACTTCCTCGGTCAAAGTCACAACTTTTGAATAAAGTCTTGTCGCCACTACTTCTACTAGCTTTTTTCTAGTTAGGCTGGCTCCACCACTACTATCAAATAAAGTCTTGGCTTCGCTTAAAGCGAAGCCAACTACGGCATACATTCATCTACGGCATACATTCATCTACGGCATACAACGAACGGCATACATTCATCTCTGGGCGAGGTGGTGAAAGAGAGTGTTGTCATTTGAATGAGTTGCAATCATTCGTACCCCTGGAATGGGTTTACTACTACTACTGCTATCATCTAGAAGATCCACTAGGCTAGAGTTACTTACTAAATGCGATACCATGATGATGTACTCATCTAATTTCCCTCATCGTTTTCTGCTGCCGATATCTGGACCTGCTATACGAGTTCATATCGATCTACAACAGCGCGATGAAAATTTTCTTTATGAAGAATAGAGGAGAAAACTTCGTAGACTAAATAGAAGGACTTCTTACCCCCTACATACTAGTACAGGCATTTTATAGCGCTCCCGAATGAATTCTCCAATCTCGTGGCCCTCGTCTTTCCTTTTATTATTAGAGTAGGACTCAGTATGTTCTTTTGCGCTGTTCTCATTCGCCTCAAAGCTTATCACCTATCTACAAGAAAGGCAACTCAATCAAAGGATTCGCTCATTGATGAGTGGCTCGCGGGGTACAGCGAGTCCTCCTCTTGTTCGGATGGGTTGGAGCAGGTGGGCGGGCTACTACGCTCACGGGCGGGTAGCGAGGTACTGCGCGCTGAGTCGTTGCGTTTTGGCGCTATATTTGGCGTGGGATTGCAGCTCTGGCAATGGTGGTGATTCAATGCTCAGTAGGGTGCACTGGAGAACTTCCGCTGCAATAGACTAGGCGCCCAATTTAATTTCAATCAGTGAGCGAGAATCCTCTGATTGAGTGGTATATAAAAAAAGCACTCCAGAGCCAGAGGAGCGCGAGCGCTAAACTGCTCATCTTGTCGACGGGGTATATGGTGTATTTAATGCGGTTTAAGCCACCGATTAACCAGACCTACGATCGCAGTGTCGACAGCTTCAAGTATGAGCTCTACTTTCTGGTGCCATGCGTAATTTTATGCGAAAAGACTAATTAGATAAAGATACTGGCTGAGTAACGATACTAAGTAGATAAAACAAATGCGGCTGTAATTGTAAACAATCATAATCATGAAGACCGACGTCACCTGGTGGAGCACCTGACTCCATGCGCAGAAAAGGCGATAAAACTCACCGCTCTAAAGCAGGGGCTATAGCTGAGGTTGACCACTGACATTGTCTTCTAATCTTTTTATGCTTAGGTGGGCCCCAACCTATCCTCTAATCTTTTTAGGCTGCATAACGTGCGCGGAGCTAGTACCGACAGAAATATTATGGGCGAGCTCCATTTTCCTCGAGGCAGTGGCAATAACTCCGCAGCTCGTGCTATTGGCGAAAATGCGAGAAGTACAACGTTATACTTTTATCACTTAGAGACTACTTGTCAAGAGCCACAGCTCAGTTAGAAGTAGCTTCTCTCGACATTCCTACTTTACTAGAAAACAAGAACATCTTTTTTTGAGTAGTTCTAAGGCAGTTCACGAGATTGATTACATCCTTGCAGGTCAGAGACAACTAGGTGGAAGTAAGTTGTTCAGTCAGCTCCTTGCAAATCAAAGGTTCAGTTACCTCCTTGCAAATCAAGTAAATTTTTCAGTCAACTAGGCGGATTACCTTCTTGCAAATCAAAGGTGGAAGTAAATTGTTCAGTCCACTCTTGTTCAAGCAAATGAATCAAGGCGAATGATAACCTCCTGACCTCACATTTCGTTGAAATGAACAATCAAGGTAGAAAACCTGACCTCGCATTTCGTTGCAGCCATGGGACTTTATAGGACTTTCTATATCCTCAACTGGATTTACAAGTATCTGGTCGACAAAACCTACGATCCAATAGCGATACTTGGCGGTAATCTTCTTTGGTTTTTTGGCAATTTATATATACTCTGGGTGAGTCGATGCCTCGAGCGATACTTGGTGGTCCACTTCTATGGTTTTTTGGCAATTCATTTTTTTATAGAGGTGTAACTGACATAGATACGCCGCCCAGAGCCGGCACATTCATTCACTTACTCATAGATTGGGTAGGCTTAGGCTGCTCGTAATCTTTGCATTGTTCTTTCCGCTGCTTCAAAGCTTATTCATCTGACTCAAACGGCGGCGTTGACAACATCTATTCACCTTGATGTGCATTTTCTTCAGGTATCGTCCAGACGGTGTTATATTGTGACTTCTTTTACTACTATGCCATGAGCAAGTGGTATGGGAATCGGCTGGTGCTGCCAATGGCTACGTAGAAGCTACACAGAAGACTCTTATGATTGGCTGTTGATGTTATGTTTTTCAGCAAGCTATAGTACTTTAACAACTACTAAAAACGATAATTATAATGGTCTGATGTCTGTCACCTCTTGGATTAGAGGCACCCGCATATATTATGTCTACCAAGAATAAAGTAAGTACGTCGTCGTCGTGTACTATTTTAATCAACATCCAGATCCATGATCAGTGGCTAAAAGGTGCTATAATATTACGGCTTCAACAAGTGGCGGGTGGTGGGACTCGGGTGCGGATTTTCACTTGGACAAGGCGGGGCGTCGCTGCTGAGAGGGGGCTGTTTGATGCGCGACGATGATCAGCATGGTGACGATAGAGCTCCTGATTCTACTTCTGGCTAGGGAAGCTGCAACATCTTTGCTCGTCGTGATTTAGGTAAGGTCTTGTAGTTGTTTCTGTGTCTTGAGGACTTCGTTCTGATTATAGTGGTTGGATCCACGTGTTCTCCATCTTCGTCAGGTACAAGAAAGAAGTATTATGTAGTTCCAACTGGTTGAAAAAGTATAAAAGTCAGGATATGGAGGATTTCGCTGTGGTAGTATATGGAGGCGTAGGAATATTTGAGGCTCAACGTGATGCCATATACTTGCAAGCGGAGTACTTGTTGAGCTTGAGTTGTTTGCTTTGTAACTTTGTCGAAATGGAAGGAAACTGCTTCTACCACGAATACTATATGTAAAAATTATAAACTTCAAACTTCAGCAAGATCTTCATACTTCTCTACGACGTCTACTCGGCTGCTCTCTAGTACGTCTACAGCAGCCCTCTCGCAGGCCTAGGGGAAAGAATCGTCAGCATCCATGTGGCAAGGAACTGCATGAGATTCGACGCAGATACTAGTGACTTCCCCTGTATATGGACTGAGTATTATACCTCCTCAGGACCACTGAGTGTTACATTGATTCCTTGGTCTTCACAAATACTGACGCTTCAAGATGAATAAATACTTCATTGTCAAGCAACTAGCAATTGCTAACGATCGCGAAGTTAGTAGGACTAGCAGTAGGCTGCGCCGCTTATAAAAGTCAGCGCGACTGCTCTCGAATGAGTGTTCGTCTTTTTATCCTTGCTCGAAATCAGCGTTTGGCCAGTCTTGCTCTTTTCGAGCGATCGGTGACCTACTGGCTCGGTTCTGAATGCAGAGGATATAATGAGCTTATTCGGTCAAATCTATCTGTAGTAACGCAAATCCATAATGAGCATATCTGTAGCGTACTAGCTTGGCAGCCTGAGTTGTCTCAGTGCTCGGTGGAGTCGGTCGCGCCGCAAGACGAGGTACCTAAGTGGAACACATCCCCTGATCGTCGGCTGATGTCCATTGTCCCATAGAGTCGTTCTATCTCACAACTCCTCATTCCCCTGAAACGCAACTCCATGACGCACCTTCTAAGTCACACCGTTGCTAGCGTAGACGCAGATCGCTCTGCATTTATTTTTGGAGACTTCTTCTTGTAAGTGCAAGTAGTAGCTACCTACGGTTTGAAAATGATGTGTCGTGATCTGATCCATGTTCTGCTTACAAACTTTATATAAGAAAGTATGATTTGTGTCTGTTGTTGGTTCATTCTATAGAAGTCCACTCCTTTTTTGTCTGAGGTCTACCTGATTATGTCAGCATTATATATTGATCCGTAGCACTACCACATACATATCATGGTGAACATGGTCACACACACACACACACACACACACACACACACAGACACGAGTTTCAAACTGAGGAGGTGAGAAGATCCACAACCAGGGCTTGACGATTAGCTTTCCAAGTAGAACAAGAAAGATGACGAACAAATTCGTAAAATCGTGCGCGCTACTTTTGTCGGTAGTCGCGGGGGGGGGGGCGGAGAGTCCCCCCGCCCACGCACTAAATGAAGCGCAGACTGATGAAGCAGAATCGAGCTTTTTGCAGCAGCAGCAAGAATCCCGTCCAGCAGCAGCAGTAGCTGCAGCAGCACGAGTCGCGAGAGCAGCCAGAGCAGCTGCCCGGCGCGTGCTAGAGAAGGAGGAAGTGCCGTGTGACAAAGTAGAGTTTAAGGTCAGCTTTTATCCATCTTTCTCGGCTTCTTGATACCGCCCTCTATCCTTGTATTTCATGGGAAAAGGATCGAGATGAGGGGGCCGAGATGAATCAAAGCCGACTCTAATACATGTGATGCGTTTGACCTTGCTGGATGCGTGTTGCATGGGCGTGAAAGATGCTGCGAGATGAGCGCCGGGCAGTGCGTGACAAAGCGACCGTAAGTGAACGGTCGCATAAAGCTGTTGTAGAGGAAATAGTAGGAAAATTGAACTAGTACAAATTGAGGCTAGAGATGTAAAAACATAACGACGCCGATACTAGCTTCTTTTTCTCGAACAGTGTTCTCTAGCGAAAGAATATGCTAAGTTTCGCGAGACCTCTTGCTAAAGATCAAATTGATGCTCGTCTGTAATACCAGATAATCTTCTTCTCGTTTGCGTTAATGATGATGTTAGTCGGTTAGGAATTGTCCTACGACTTCCCTGCGTCTCTTCTGAGTTTTGCGGATTTCTCTGATGTTGAAACTGTTGCGTTGAAGATGTTGATACTGTTGAAATGGATGATATGGATGCTGGGCTTCTTGTTTCTGCTCCTTGTTGTCGTCAGCTGCTACTACTACCTCACCAGTTGTGGGCTGTTGTTGAAGTAGAAGATGATGCTGAAGTTGGAGCTGTTGCTGATTCTGGTGTTGAAGTTGTAGCGGAGATGGATCCTGTGGAAGAGGAAGAGGAAGAAGTTGAGAAGTGCTTTGCTGAAGATGTTGATGGAGGGGGGGCCATCGTTTGCGTTTCCTTCTGCAATGTTCTTCCATCGCTCTCGTTCTAGGCAATCACCCACTGTGGCAAATCTAGCCACTAGTTCTGTGGGTGCCCTATCTTTCCACGTTTCCCTCGGTCTTCCCTTTCTGTTAGCCCTAGCTGGCCTCCCAGCGTTTGTTGCCCCCAGCATCCTTCTCACCCAGCGCCCCTCTGGATACTGCACAATATGCCCCAGGTATTTCAGACGTGCCGTCTGCAATCTCTCCGAGAGCCTCCCCTGGTTTAGTTTCGTCAAGATTTCCTCCAAACACAGTCGCCGCTTCTTGTTCCAGAACGTGTCAAGCGCGTCCTCCTGCTTCTGTGTTGGTGCCCAATTCTTCGCTCCCCAGGCTAGAACCGGGTAGACAAACGAGCTCAGAGCCCTTACCTTCAGCTGCGGCCGTACTCTGCAGCTGCAGAGTATGCGCCCCAGCTCCCCTGTCTTCCTCTCGGCCTTGCTTATCATCGCCTCTATGCCCCTTTCGTCATCGGCCTCTTCTGTGATGACCGTACCCAGGTATTCGAATTCCGTTACTCTCTCGATCGTCTTGCCGATTTCCTCTGGGTAGGCCTCGTCGTTGTTTGCGTTAATACTACGCAACATTCCTTAAAATTAAATTACGCAATGCTCGACCTAACGGCCTAACCTACAATATTTCAGGGAAGCTTCGAACACATCTCTTTGATACAATTTATCATCTTATCGCAGATTACACAAATATGACATGATGAAGAACCAATGCATTTTGCCAATATTCTATTAACATAAGCCATCTCCATCTCGATCTACTTACGCGAAATTTATCGAACGACGTTCGTTCTTGTTGCAATTTTCAAGAAAGAAGGCTGCGCCAGTGCTGATGTAGATGATCATGATTCACGATCACGAAATAGATACTCGCAGATGATTTACTTCTAAAAAACGCTTTCTTTCTTCATCGTCTTCCCTTCCGTTCTGGGTGATCCTAGCTAGGAGGTGGAAGAATGAGATGGGAAAGAAAGTTCATATTGAATTTTTGGGAACAGACGAAATTGAAAACTACTTAACCAAAACCAATATTATTCGAAGTCTATCGGCGCTTGCTGGTAGGCACATATGGTACTTATGTTGCTGGTCCGATTATGTTATGGTACTTATGTTGGTGGCTTATGCCCGTAGCCATTTTGGCTCAAGACTTCGTCTTGTGGCCCATGATCCCAGTTCAACAGAGAGACCCAGTCGATCCTAATCAATAAAATGAGACGACATCAAAATGAAATAATGCATCCATCCATCCATTCATATTACAACAAAGAAAAGATCTTCCCCAATCGGCTGGGTCTATAATGGGGCTTGTTAACGAAATCATAACAAGCGGTTTTTGCTGTCGGTCTTGATTTTAAAATACATCCCTTTTATCTTCCAATGATTGGTTCTGATCATTTCAAATGAATCAAACAACATCATCAATAAATCGAATAAAAACTTGCCGCGAATAAATAAATGTTCCATCATCCGTAAATAAACAAGTATGACGTAAAACACCATCATACATAAACATACATGCATAAATGAAACCGTTTCCTTTTCTCTCTTCTTTTTTTTTTTTTTTCCATCCTTTTCTCTGCCCCCTAAGCTAAAATAACTAACATTTTCACTCATGTTTCTAAAACCACTAGATAGTATCGCGGCAAGTCAAAATAAAACAAAATGGTAGACAAGAAGGACTCGAAGGTCCATAAGCCGGGCGCGAAACCGCCAGTAGCAAAAAACGGAAATGCGAAACCTCAGCATGTGCCAGGAGGCGGGAGCAAAAGCAATTCCAACCATGCCAGCAGCAAGGGAAACGACATAAAGTCAAAATCTACTTCCTCTGCGTCGCACAACGTCAATAACAAAAGCAATCCAGCTCCTGTCATCCCAGCAGGTCGAGTAGCAATCGATACATATGATGAGTCGCTAAACGGTGGAACCTTCATGGAAGACGATGATGGCCAAGTAGACCTCCTAGCAGACGAGTCGCCCCTGCTCGTACATGAAGCATCATCCACCGCTGAATCTGCGGAAAAACAGAAGTCAACTACTACCTTCGCCACCACATCTACTTCCACTGGGAGACAGAAAGGAGAGCGCCTACTTCCGAGTGAAAATGATGAAGAAGAAAGTAGCGTCATGTTTTCGACTACCTCCTCCTCCGGACAGCCTGGCTTATTCAGTGGGATATATGGAGCTGCGTCATCCTCTCGGCCTAAACCACTTGATGGCCGCAACCCACTGCAACTCAACAATCTTCCCAGCACGTCGCAGAGCTCATTTGGCGAATACCCGGCACCATCAAGCTACGGATCGGCATTTGATAAAGATGACGACAGCGCACGAAGCACCACGGCGTCATCTTATAAGGGAGGAAAAACGGCAAAAAAGGGCAATAGCAAAAAAGGAAAAGGAAAAGGACAACCCGCAAAGCCGCGTAATCAGCATCTTGAACGGGAACCAGAATACTCCGCCAAGCTGAACGATAAAGAAGAATTTCCTACCAATTTATCAGGGCGTGACGATGCCCAGGCGATGTATTCACTCAAGCGGGCTGACGCCCTTGGAGAGGATGGAGAGCCGATGTGGGGCAAAGTTGGAGATAAGTGGCAGCTTCCACCCGGCTGGTTCAAGTGTGTCTGCGAGTGGGCGAACGACGAAGGACAGTCCAAATTCCAAGTCGTTGAGACTGCAAATTCGCGCTGGTTTGATTTTCTTACCTCTCGGCGATGCGAACTTGCAAGTTTCCCGATGTATAGGAATGAGATGAGCTTCTCAGTGGATAAGGGCGAAACTATTGCTGCCAAGGTGGTATGGGTTTGGAAAAGGAGCTGGGGCAGATACCAGCTCAAGGTCGATAAGGTAAAACCGCTGCTCGACGCCTCCAGATGGATCATGAACAGCACCACCAAGCTCCCACTAACACCAGACGAAGAAGAAGAAGAAGAAGACTTTAAGCACGGAAAGTTTGGCAGTCATGACCAGGAGCAAGGCACTTCGCACCAAGTAGATCAAGATGGAAATGTGGTATCGGCGCACTCGGGCACGGTTGCGGTACTCTCCCAGAAAGCCTTCTCCGCTGATATTCTTGCAAAAGTTGCAGACATGCTGAAGATGAACAATGACAAACTTCGAGAAGAATTGAAAGAACACGTCCAAGAAGAACTGGTGGAGATTAAGAAGGTTCAGAAGAAGCAGACGAAAAGTTTCAAGAGGCTGAAAAAGATTGATTTTCTTGCTCATGCAGTAAAACAGCTATTGACTCGCGACGGGCTGAAAGCAAAGGGAATGGAGGACACGGCATCCGAGGCTTCGGGATCATCAAGTGACAACGATTCTGAAGTTGAACCTAAGCACAACTTTACTGGAACAGGAAAGGACGCAGCTAAATCAACTGCGCGCTCGAGTATCAATACCGGAAAAAAGTCGATGGCTGTAGATGACAACTTTGATGATAAGACCAAATATCAGCATGTGGATGGAAGAGTAGCGGGATTATACTACGCTGATCAAGAGACTACAGCTGTCCACAGCGAACACAAAAGCGGGCATGAGCAGAGAGGAGATGCGCGCGCAGAGTTTGTTACTCCGGATCAGAGCATGATCATCGATGAAGAAAGTTCCGGAATATCTCCGATGAAGCTTTTGCAGGCAAAAGTGATCAGCGTCAACTCGTCTCAAAGTCATCAAAAGCAACAACATTTCAAAGGAGACGATCCAACACCTGAGCGGCTGGACTTCACGACTGGGAAGGCGAGTCCTCGTCTACCGCCTGAAAATAGAAATGATTCAAAGCCCAGCTCTGTCTTCCCGGCGACCCCCAGGAAAACCTTGATGAACGATAAGGCAGATCGCAAAGATGATAAAAGCGAAGAAATGGAGATGGACACAGCCGATACCAACATCCAGATGCCTGTCGCTGCTCATGAGGTGCAAGATATCTGTGAAATTGCAACAGGACCGGATGAAACCGCATCAACCACGCATCATCCAGCTACCAACGGCATAGACCATGAAGAAGAAAATCCTATAAATGTGCCCGAGGCCTCGACCTCAACATCTCCATCTTCGACTCTAAAAGATCGAATCACAACGGAGGAATACAGCATGCCGCTACCAGTCTACAATCACAGCCAGCTGAAGCCGAAGCCGGAGTCAAGTTCGGAAATTTTGGTTCGTTATTTATGCTCTAATTTTTACCGAGAGCTACCGGCTGGCGCGCCGGACGATGACTACCGAATAGTCAAGGAGACAGCGATCACCACAGCGAAAATCCTGTCTGCCTACGATAAGGACGAACCGCGAACGCAAGATCAAATGAGATCTGTAGGTCAAATGCTCCGACGCATAGCCCTACACAAGGAAGGAGACGGATACCCGATCAAAGAAAAAGCAACCTACAGCCACAAAGTTTCAATCGATTGGAGCAGTCACGACTTCCGGACTTGCAACATTGTGCTAGCTTTTCACAGTGACAGTTGCTCATGGCCAATCTTAGCATCTCTCAAGGCTGCAGATGGGAAGACGGTCTCTCCGTGTCATCCGAATGTAAATTATGAAGCTCTTAAAGAATTGCGCACATTAGCCTGGCAACCTGCTCGGGGTTGTATTTTCCCAGATATTTTTTCAATATTTTTCCAATATTTTTTCGAATGCTCCTGTTGTTTTGATTTTTTTTTACCCCCCCACTGAAATCTTGAAAAAGCAAGGAGGAAGCAAGTTAAAAAACAGAACTTCGCCCTAGCAAGTAAAAAATTTCCTAACCCCCCTATCAGAAAATCAGTTAACCCCCTAGAGCTGATATGAAAAAGGCAGGCGAAGCTGCGGTGGCTCATCGGGAATCTAGTCGAGCTCTTGAAGCTGGCAACTTGCTTGCTGTTGGTTTTTATCAGTTTCTCATATGGGAAAGACTGAAAGTAGCATCAGCTGGCGTTTGTCTGAGCGAGGTGGTGACCAGGCAGAACTCTATGGGAAAACGGATGAGGCATCTTCACTCTCCTTCTGATGTCGTGCGAATGAAAGGCAGATGAGGCTGTGGTCGTTTCAGCGTTCGAGGAATGTGTGGAGGTGTGGACGTAGAGCAGAGGCCCACTGGGATCTGGTATTGGACCTTGCTCAAGGCTGATGAGGAACTGCAATGGAAGGAAACAGCAGCAGATCCTGAACCAATTGCTTGTGGAAGCGTTGCGGAGTTCCGGAAAAAAGGTCCTGTATCTTAGTATTTTCATATGGAGTTATTAGTATCTTAGTAGCTCTTATTGTTGTAACCTTATCCTAGTACTCTAGCTTAAATATAAACTGGAGCAGTTTTGATTTTTCATGTTCTTGCAAGAGTTCTGCCTCTGTTTCTATACTAGTTCAATCCTTACGCAACTTCTTATTGATATTCGCGTTTGTCCACTGTAATGAAGTTCTTTCTTAAGTAGAGACGGCCGGCTCAACATAATCGGTTGTTTTCATGATTTTCCTAGCGAGGATTTGCATTTTGATTCATGGTTCATATTCTACTCATCACCGCCAGGTCTTGCATTCCGCAAAGATGCGTTTCTTTTTGATGTGAAAGCAAGTTCTGAGCCGGAATGGAATTCCGAAGCTTGTTAAGCTGATCATGGATCTCTGTGGCGATTCACGAGCACGAGATCAAGCGAGGATCAAGGCGAGGCTTTCAGGAGGAGAATTGAAACAGGAAGTGGACGCGAGTAGATTATGTTCTTTGATCTTGCCGTTGTTCAAGGAAGGTGCCAGAAGTCCTTAAGCCGTGTTTTGGATATGAAGAAACAAGAACAGAAAAGATGAATTCTTTATTATTTTCATTGATGTATATTTTTGTTTCTATTCTAGGAAAAATAGGTAGTATCTAGAACGCAGGACTGCCTTCTACTTCTCTCTAATATGCGTGAAGAACTGACGAGGGAGGCAAGAGTCCAGAAATGCTTTTCCGGATAAGGACAAGGGGAAACACAACCACAAGCAGAAACGGTTGCCAGGTCGTGTGCGATGAAGTAGAGGCTAATGCATGAAGCAACCTGGAGTGCGTTCTTCCAGATAAAATGGCTGGAAAGCTTTTGAGCAAGCGAAAGTCAGACACGTTTGTGCATTCCTGGGGCGGGTCGCAAACTCTAGAGGAATAAGTGGCTTTGATATTGTAATACATAGATGCCGAACGCATCGGGGAAGTAAACTATTGATAAACGCACTCAAAAACAGAGAAAGGCTTTCACCGTTCGCATTGTATTGCAAGAGAAGTGGCTTTTATCTAAATCTCATCACCGCTGAATTGGTTTTCAAGTGAATTCTTGTGGGGAACATTGCCTATAGTTGTGTGTAGTTACAGCTTCTGCTCCAGCAGCAGCACGTATGTACAAAAACATAATTGATCATTTGTTGTTGCTATAAAGTTCAGACTTCGAGTTAGTGTTTCTTTTGTAGTGCGCGAATCTGCGGGCATCGCATTCACATGGGCGTGGACAAGTTATAAGGACAGGGACGGACGATGACGAATTGCGTTACGGAGTATCACAATCACTGATGACACATGTGCTTCATATACCCTATAAAAAGATGAAACACAGTCCAGGCTGACTGTCATATGACTGCTTCCTTGTGTAATTGAACTCGAGCTGTGAAGAAAAACAAATGGTAAAGGACCTCTATAGTTGCAAACTCATGCCAGAAGTCATCACCTGACGGCTTCGAGCGAAAAGCTTCGTTTCTTGCGACTTACTGCTACAGGAGCATAAAGAAGTCGGGTTGTGTAAAGTGAAGCGTTGAGAGTCCGACCTCCATGGAGTTTTAGCATCTGGCCCCGCGATCTGTATATCAGTACAAAGCAAAAGATGCCGGCTTGAGCATGAAGAAGTCTTTCAAAGTAAAAAACTGCTCGGGCAAAGATGTCTCGGCTGTTTAAGAGTAAACAAGACAGGAAAGTGAACAGTCTTAGTCTAGGCCTTTGCCCATGATCAGCTCGATGAAAAGGGAAGTCAAGTGGGAGTGAAGTAAGATGAGTAGCTATGGGCGCGCATTCAGAAGAGTTTCTTTCGTGTCTATTGATTCCTGAGAGAATCAGGCGCATTCTGAGAAGGTAAACCCCTGAAATTAAATATCTGTAAGCAACTGAAGCAAAGTTGAAGCGTTTTTTCAATCTGTGTTTTCGGTGACGTGCGTCTATGACTGGCGGAAAGTGCATCGAGTTCTGATGCATTGTTGTTTACTGCTTGAGCGCGAAGCTGGTCTGTTTGATTCGTATTCGGTTTTTTTCGGCTAGAGGTAAATGTGTGAACCTCAAGTGAAAAGCTCGTGGTCGTCGGTTTTCGGTAGAAGTTGTAAGCGAGAAGTTCTTCGCATTCGCTTGCAAACAGCAATGAAAATTATACTCGGTGTCTTCAGTGAAACCAAGCTAGTTTTTTCCCTCAAAAGCGAAGTGCCTCAGGTTTTGATAGGCGGGCCCCGCTGTAATTGATTGCGAGTATGGCTCGAGAAAAGCTTTTGCAAGGTTTTCGGCTTGATCGTCTCGTTGTTACTCAAAAACTTAGATCTCTATGCATTCAATTTTAGAAGTAATGAATTATATAGTGTTCATAGTATAAACAACTCCCAGCTGTTGTTCAAGTTTTGATATTGACGCATAAGGTGATGTTTACAACTCTTGTTCTTATACCAACGAGAAAGTTTGTGAGTAGACTCCAGCGAATACTCATCATCTACTTATATAGCACTGAAAACATAGACTGTGATAAGCTGTTAGTGCTTTCTCATCAAGTAACAAGTCCTATAATAATTTTGATCAATGCTTCCGCGATTCTTGTGGTTTCATGTCGTTTTGTACTCTGTTGGTAAAAGAAGAAGTTGTGACGTGCGTCTTCATGAAGAATAGCCAACTCTCACAAGATTCTGCTTTCAGCGTACTATTTAGATTTATTTTCGGATCAAATTCTTTGTTCAGCTGTTATAGATAGACTTATTACAACATCATGTCGGACACTGAACCGGCGTCGAAGTTCCGGAAGTTAGGGGGACGAACACAGAGCAGGACCACCAGAAATCAAACAAGAGGATTCAAATTCACCTCAAGTTGCAGCTCTCGTTCCTCTGCGTCGTTGAGTTTTGGACTCGGTAGCACACAGTCTCGAAAAAAAGAAAGCGCAGTCGCAGGCAGTAGCGTTCTTTCATCTGATCGCGATCGTGCTAATTTCCAGTGTGCTGGATCGAATGTTGCTAATCGGAGAGCAGATGCCGCCGTCTCTTCTGCTAAACGCAATCGCGATAAGATGGAAGGAGAAAACAGGCAGGAGCGGCTTCTTCCGATGGAAGAAGAGGATGGACCTGTCTCGTATGAGGAGGAAGTCGGAGGCTTGATGGGTAGTCGCTGTGGTGGAACAGGTGCTGATGATGAAAATCTTTTAGGCGAATTTGAAATGGGATGGAACTTCTGAGGTTCGCGGGACAGCTCCACGCCGTCGGAAGAAAGGAGGAACTCTTAGTGGCGCAACATTGAACGTTGATACGCTGACGGCCGGCGCGTATGGATCTACTCAAATCGAAATTGCTCCTTCAACTTCTAACGATGGACCACAGAGCGACCGTTTGGGCGCACCCAGAGGAAGGCGTGGCCTTCCGTTGAGCATCAACGACTGCGAAGTAGTAAGAACTGATGGTGGTTCATCTGATGGCCGGAATCTTTTGGTAGCACACAACTCACCTTCTCATGTAGAAAGGGCAGCATCAGACGCACAGGAAAATGAAGGAGCGCCTGTTTTACAAGGAGTAGGTGGAGGATCTTCTAGTGGACAGCAGAATAATGGAGATAGCTTGGAAGAAAACGATGGGCAGAACAACGGCTTTCCTGCGATAGGTCCTGATCCTGATGAGAATGCTTTTGGCCTTGGACACGATGGTGGAGGTGGACCTCCGGACTCTTCACCAGGACCAGGTGGAGGAGGCGGTAACCCTGGTGGAAGTGGCAGGATCAGAAAAGTAATACCAGTATCGAACATCACGAGGCCTCCTGCTGCTGTGACGCACTTTTTTGATGGAAAGCACAGGTTTTTAAACAGGTATGAGATCCTTTTCATCAATTACTTGACGCAAAAGGCATCTGCTGAACAGTGGGATCTGGAGACTGCTGGGACGGATTCGCTGTTGCAGTGGAGCTTCGACGCTACCAACGGCACGGTTCTTGCCCCGAAGCACCAGAAGATCAAGTCGATTTGCCGAAAGCTTGACCCGAGTGCGCATTGGGTAGTGAGTTGCGCTGAGGGGACTATTGGGGTATGCCGCTCTGATAATCCGGATAAGGAGTACAAGCCGACGACAGTAACGCTACCGGCAAACATCACCAGCACTTCATTCCTGAAGCGAGTGGAAGGCCACTCGATGAATCCCTGCTGGGATGAAGCTTGGAGCAGTTTTATCGATCTGTTGCCGTACATCCCACGAAACTCCAGTGCAGGATTGCGGGTTGTCTCGCTCGCGACCGACAGCGCCAGTACTCCTGCCCAGCATTATCTGCAGCATCTGGTGATGAAGGTTCTTGAATTGCGAGAGCCGAAGCTCACTTTTCCTGAACCTGCAGAGGGAGAAGCCGAGCCTGACGCTGCCGTTGAAGAAGAAGCTGAAAACGTTCCGGAAATTTCTCGCCGAGCGTTTCACGACGAAAATAATCAAAGCTATGCTGCTGTGCAAACTGCAGCGAAGGAGCAGGATCCGAATTTCGAGCGCGATAGCGGTTTCGTGATACTCCATTCACTGTGTGCTGAACATCCGAATGCAGCTGGTGGGAAAAAAGGCGTCGAAGAGTTTTTTCGCATGACTCAAACAAGGCAGGAGGATTTTCTTACCGCGCAGCGCCGGGTGTGTTATGCCACGAACTACCAGCAGCTTTCGATGTTGCTGGAGACCGGGAAGAAGGAGTTCGCGAAGAAAATCAAACGGCGGTTCACGATCATTGATCAGAGGGATTTTCTTGATCATGTTGTAGCAGGATTGCGGCCGGGAGCACGAAAAGAAGCAGTGAGCAATCTATTTGAAGGTGCTTACAATATTTTTTGTTCTTTTAGACTTGGAAAATTATTTACTCTTATTTGTTTTACATACATGCACTAACCATTAAATCAATACGCTTTCGAATCCTTGTTCTTTTGATTCAATTCCTATTCGATTTTGTTTAAAGCAAAGGAAATAAGTATAAATATATATTGTAATTTTTAGTTTTAATTTTTTCTCTTCATTTTCACATCAACTCCAAGCGCCAAACATACAAATAGGCTACTGGTCGGAGGAAGGCATTTTATACGACGATATCTGTCGATACGTGGCAGAAATTTACGCCGGGATTGGTGTGCCAGCTCTAACGCGTTGGGGAACAGTGGGGACTGCAGCGTCGGAATCTGTGCCGGCTTTTATCTGCGGCTTGCTTCACATCGTCGGGTGGCACGTTGGCAAGAACTTGTTTATGCGGAAGAAGCACATCGATCCGCGCGTAGGATGGGTCAGCTGGATCCTCAACGTCATCCTGCAGCCATCGGACCGGCTGACGCACTCCTACCAACGCGACGACACGCTGCTTCGGCGGCGTGCTTTGAAAAAAGTGCGGGCAGAGGTTCTTGCGTCTTTCAATACGCTCTGCGGCCATTTCCGGGGAGTAACGCGCGTTTTTAACACGATCATCATTCTGGAACAAGGCGAGCAGCACAAAATTGGAAGGGATGAGGAAAAGTCGCATTTTGTTGCAGCCCTGTGGGCAGTGCTAGTCTATGCAGCGGCCATGGAATTGCGACTACGGATTCCAGATGCGCAAGATGACTTCTTCGCGGAGTTTGAGGAGAAAATCAGAAGCGTTGGGGCGAGAGAAACTCTCAGGTGGGTGCAGAGCGAATTCGTGGGGAAGCCTGCACCAGTTTCCAGTGGTAAGATGAATATTAGTGGACTAGCAACCATTCATCGACTACTCCGGAGAAGAAAACTGCTCGCGCAACTTCGTATCCTTCGAAAATTATCGAATATGAGGAGGCAGACCCACAAAACGACAAAAAGAGTAGAGAGTCGTCACGCGATAGCGCAGCGATGCGGGCGTCGCATGGGTCTGGAGAGGATTGCCGCTAGGACGAACCTGTCCGTCATTTCGGGAGCTTATCGCAGATGCTCGGTTCTTCGTCGGAAGTGGCTGCGCGCTAGGCGGATCGCGAGTCAAGTGGATAAAACGAAACAGCGAAACTACCGGATCTGCGACGCTATGCGGAACGATAAGAAGACCATGGTCGGTGGCGCTGGAAGTTTATCTCATCGAGAAAGGCAGAAGTACGAGCGATACGCGGCAGTTTTGACTCGTGAAAGATCTGAAGCTGATAAGGCGAAGCAAGAAGCAGCGCAGGCGACGCTGGATGATGAGGGTGAAGACGCGCCTTTTGCTGAATTAGAGGAGTCAAATAGAAAACGCGACTTCTACGAAGCTGTGAAGGAGCGGGTTATGCAGCAGTACTGCAGGCCGCAAGAATATCATAAAGCGGGGCGTACGCTGGCGAACGAGTTAGTCGATAAGACGTACTTGCCCGTGCGGCAACGATGTGAGGAACTTGGGACGGAGGGCAGTCAATTTCCCATGTACGCTCCGCCACCGATTCCGTCTTCTCGAGCAGAAATCGCTATCAAGAAGTTTGTCGAGGAGCGGAGTGCGCTTCTGAAGCAAGTGGAGCAGGAGCAAGAAGAGAGAGACGCATTTGAGGAGGAGAATGCTGACGCAAAGGACAAGGAGGAAGAAGCCAAAAACAAGAAGGCCGAAAAAGAGCAAAAGCAGAAAAGTTCATCTTCATCTTCAACAACAAAGACGAGGGACAAGTCAGAGGGCAAAACTACAAAAGACCAACCGAAAGCTGCACAAATTTTAGAAGAAATGGATAAGAAACTAGCTAGGAAAAAAAAAGCTGCTCGAATGGTGCTTGTAGTAGAACTAAAGAAGAAAGGCTCGGACTCTTACGACTTTTTCGTGTTGCCTTTCCTCTTAGCAAAAGTCGGAATGCCGATGTTTAGCGGATTCAAATTGGATGAGCAGAAAAGGCTGAACTTCCGAAAGCTAGAGGAAGCGAGCTTTGTGAGTCCTTGCAGCGACGTCGGGCCGATCGAACAGTTGTACGATTTGGATGCGGATCATCGTTTTCATTTTGCGAGCGTCAGCGTGGATCACCCGATGGAGCATCTAAAATTTGCTCTCGATCATCAGTGGGTGAATTCCGGAGCAGCAGCAGTCAGTGGCAACTCCGGTGGCGGCAACTCTTCCGTCGCGCGACGACCAGCAGGGTACGGAGGCGCACAGGAGCGCGAAGTCGATGAGGCTGACGGAAATGAAGAAGTTGCTGTGAAAAAGTATCAGATATGGATAAACACCGGCGCTCGACCTGACGTCAACATCGCTGACATACAGGCTCAGCCAGCGCGCGCACAGCAGCCGCCGGAAGCCGCTGCCGCAGCCGGAAACACTTCGTCTTCATCATCTTCTGCTAACGTAACAACAACAAACGCCTCATCCGCAGCCAATGCAAGTAGTCGGCCGGAGATGACGGTAGACGAGCGGACGCAAGCAAGAAACGCAGTTGCGCGTCACGGTTTGGCAGAGTTTAGGACGCGGAGATCTGGTCTATTTCGAATGCCACGAATGGATCACGATCGTTACGTGACGAGGCTTAACACATCTTCGCATCTTGCCGATACATTCTTCGCAATACTGGAGCAGGATAAAGGACTGGAGATACTAGAAACGGGGAAGCAGGCCGGGATGAAGCAGAAAGCAGTCAAGCAGTGTGGGCTTGCGCCAGCGAGTGCGCTGCTGTCTGCCTGGATGCATCGAACGGTGTTTGTCGTGAAATACTTCACAAAGACCGAACAAGTCTTCTCGAGTGCTGAAAAGCAGAAAATTCATTCGATCTTCCGTGCTTGGATGGGTGATACGGTAACGGTAGCGGAGCGCTTTATCAATCAAAAGAGTACCAGAAACATACGTGGCCAAAAGACCGGACTTACTCAGACGGAGTTCAAGCAGTGCACTACGCTAAACGAAGCTGCGATATCTCATCTAAAGCGTTCAGTATTGACGCTTGAAGAAGCTCCTGCTGCTAAGCAGGAAGTCTTAGCGGGAATGGGTGAAGATGGAACAGATAGCGAAGGGGAAGCAGAAGACTTGGATCATCTCGATCACCTTCAAGAAGAGCCAGACCTGCAAGTCTTCGAAGAGATTTCTGAGAACCAGTTGGGTCGTGATAATGGAGTAGGCTTACTCGCGGAAGACGACGATATGGATCTCATGTGTGATTTTGATCCTGCCGTAGAAGAACGTATCCAGCAAGGGATTCGAAACCGGGCGGCTTTCCCTAACATTCCAGATTCCGGACAGACGTCTTCGCAGTTTCAAGAAGTACAAGATGACCTTGGCGAGATATTTCTCGTCCCGAGAAATGTCAATAATCGTGATAAGAAGACTACGTCTACTTCGGCGGGTTCTAAATGCACACAGACCGGACCTGCCCCAGCGGTTTCTTCGTCTTCGCAGAGGAATGGCGGAAGCGCAGATCTTGGTAGAGATCGAAAAGCCACACAATCTGCATCAGCTGGAGTTCCTGCTGCCGCTACTAGTAGTTCCGCTTCAGGCACGACAGACGGACAGTCGACTACACGAGCAGGAAAGGAGACGAAGCCAAAAGGGAAGGAGAAAAAGAAGAAAGTCACCTTTGAGGACCAAGAGGACGACTTGCTCGCGGACTAACAGATTGCCTGTAGCAGGAATTGCGAACGCAGAGGCCGAAGCGGCAGCAAATTCAGAGATAAGTGAAGTTCTCATCAAGTTTTAGACTTTCTTTATGAATTCCTGACTACTCATCATCTCGAACCGAAAACGAGGCCTATGCGAGCACCTTCATAGCACTAGTATCTTTCCTTTCTGATTAGCAGAACACGCCCATTTTGGCACTTTCCAGATTTTGGGTCGAAAAGTTGAGTTTTATGCTCCCTTATATTTTTTCAATATTTTTTCACAGTGGATTTCCTTACTCTCGAGCAAGTGCTGTGGATTTGAGTGAAAAAATATGGTGTCTAGAATTGAAAAAATAATGGAAAATTTTGAAAAAATAATTGTCCTCGTGTAGTCCTGATTCGCTAAGATAGAAAACGAATGTGCCCGGCAGCGCATTCGCAAGGGCCCTTTTCGTGACCCAAATAGTGACCATTTCTAGTCGAGGAAGGTGCCATCTAGTTGTTGACCATCACAAAAGCAGGACGTCGTGTACTCCTATTTAGGTGAAAAATGACGCTTATTTTGACGACTAATTTGCATGCCTAAATCTCATCACCTTATGCTAGAAGTTGAATAGTTGAAACAGATTTGAATGAAAGAGACATGATAAAAGTGACTTTTCTCCAAGTTTATGACCTCTATACTGCACTGGTATCAGACAAATTTAAGGCATTTCCGAAGCTACAAAACAGCAGTGCATTAGCCTGGACTGACATCAGAACTGTCTCTGAAAATGAGACCATCTTTCTTATTCTTGACTTCAGGAGAGTCTTTCAGGATTTCCGGGAGTGGCGCATCGTCTGTTTGTCCTTGTAGACCGTGTTGTTCTGGACAGCGATGATCAGCGAAGATGTGGCTCCCTATCTTCCTCGGTATTCAGCGCGAAACGTCGCTCAAGCGATCTTGTTCGTGTAGAGGTGGCACAGGGTTCAGGTGGTCCTAAGAGATCAGAGTATAGTAAGTTGTGAGGTAACAGCGATCAAGTACGTTCAGCACGTGTCTGATCAGTTTTTTTCTCCTGTTTTTCCTCTACTAGGACGACACGATCAAGGCAGCATGACGATGTAATGCGTCCCCTGCGATAGTGATCATTGTGTCTGAGTTTTTTGCCAATAGTTTTTCTTCAGAGGTAACGGTATTTGTCGGGCAGTAAGTAAGGATCTGTTTTGTCTAAAAGATGAGATCTGCAGGTCTACTCTGTTCGGTCTGGATCTCGGTGCTAGGGTCGGGTGAAGTCGGTGATCTGTGGTTTTTTTCGATCGAGTACACAATATTTACTCACTAGGAAAGACTCTGCCTATGCCTCGACTTGTCATCTGTCACGGTGTTGCTTTACCTACACATACATCGATGTGAATAGATTAGCCACTACCGTGTTGTGGGACTAGCGTTTTGATTCGTGAGCTTGAAACCATTTTCGCTTTCACGAAAACTCATTCGATTTTATGCTTTCCCAATACGCATCATTTCCCAAAAATCTACCTCCTTCAGGATTAACCAAAGAGACACAATCGAGTCTCTTGGTTCTGTGTAAGTAAGAGGGTTTACGTTTAGTGCCCTCTGTTCACTTTCAAAAGTCGATCGCTTTTTTTCATTTACGTTTCAGTTCATTGGAAGTTAGTTTTACACAACCACAACTATCAAGATGTCCGACAGTGAGGGCGGGATGGATGGACCAAACCCCAAGGTTCGTCGAGTGGAGAATTTTGACGAGTACGCCAAGAAGGTCTTGAAAGACAGCTCCTTGAGTAAGGCGGCTCTCAGTAACGACCTGATTCGGGAGTTTATTAACGATAAACGACTGGCCAACGAAGACGCCAAGGAAGCAGCTCATGCCCTAAAAGCATCAGAAATTGATTACGATCAGTTCATCGTGGACCCGGAGGGCAAGAACTCGATCGAGGCACGTGTTCAGACGCGCAAGCAGATCGACGTCATTCTCAACTTGTTGATCACCGAGGCGCCCCTGAGTTCGAATGCATACGCCAGCTGCTTGCATTATACTCTTTCTATGAGTTCTATATGTATAGAGAGTCTATCTGTGAGTATGTAGAACTGGTTTGATCGTACCGAGTGAAGCTATGTCCATTCCGATTGATCACGAATCTTTTGACACAGAGTCTGTCTTTGCTGTTGGTATTGATTGAACTTGCTTCATGAGTAAGTAGTTTACTTCTTTTTTCACGATTGATTCAACTTGTATTATCTGTTACTTTTTTCCTGCAGTGTTTCCTTTTATAACGTATTCGAGCAGCAGTCTCTTCATGAATGTAGAAAAGATGCATAGGCTCACCCACGTCAGTCAACTTCATTCTACATATGATATTAGACTGTACATCTTTAAATTTTCGAGGATTCTGAAGATCTCACTTTCATAATTTACCACTCCCTTCAGCAAACACGTCAAGAAGATCATCGACCCGTGCGTTACCCATGGTCTACCAGAGCAGACGAAGCGAGGCATCGCGATCTTCAAGAACTTGCACGAACTTCATCGGACCACGATGGACCTTGGTGGTTACACGGCTGACAAGGAGGCGCACGAGCCTGCGATGTTGGGTTGGACCATCGCGGCCATTTTGCCGAAGTTCAAAGGCTTCAAAAGCATCGAAGACGCCCAAACCTGGTACTGTTAGTTTCTTAGTGAAAGACTAGACTTGTTCGGTACTTCTGTAAAACTTTTCCATTCACATCCCTCGCAGAAACAGAGACGCACACTCGTCATCAGTATGGTACTGTTATGATTAACTGTTCATCACATCTCCCTGCTCTTGTCACCAACGTTCTTTCTAAATTTATACCAGGTTAACCTCGAACAAGCGCATGCTCAAGCACTTGGAGTTCAGTTCCGGTGAGAAATTGTTGGACTTCTTGTTGCGCAAGATGCAGGAGCACAAGGAAAACCCGACTGAGAAGCTGCAGGCGTTGCGCAAGGCGATTGATGTGATCTCCGAGGAGAAGAAAGATCTGCTGCGGGCCTTGCTGCCAGGTGCTCACATTTTTATCTTCGGTTCACGAAACTACTTGAAAGAACTATGTTGTTTTAACCTAGTATGTGCTGTGACTTTGTGTTCTTTACCTGGTGTACTAGTACTACGTCCATGGAAGAATCATACGACTTTCGGACTTTACCTTACGCAAAACAGTAGACTTCATTCGAAGACGTTCGTTATTCACTCGGTTAACAGTCATCAACGATTAAAACATTGTCTCACTTATGCAAACGCTCATCTTCTACAGCTTTCGGCTACCTCGAGACGGAGGCGGAGACGGCTAATCTGGGGAAGTACTGCCAGGCGGCCTGTGAGCGTTATCTTGCCGAACGTTTCCTCACGAAGACTGGCAGCTTCTTCCTGGAGGCCTGGGACGAGAATGCGCTGGACCTACTCCATGACGCTGCGGACGAACTTCAGCAGAAGATGATCAAAAAGGACAAACAGAAGTACATCCAGACGTTCTTGGACGAACAGTACCCACATCATACCGAGGAGCTGGAGCCTCAGACGCTGGCTGGACTAAATCGAGCTGATTCGAAACAGTCAGCTCCGGACAACAAGAAGACCAACGCACCGGCTGAGAAGAAGACGCCAGTCTTTACTCCAGGAGCTCCAGGCAACACGGAAAACAGGAAGGATCAGTACAACAAGATTGACGCCATGTCCGCCCGAAGCTTCAACATTGACGCTGGAAAAAGCCCTTGGAGAGCCAAGATCTTCAACCTGGTTGAGTCTTCTTGTAAGAAGAAGGACGACACGACTGCGGAGGCCCAGACAGCTGCACCCAGCACATCAGGACCCAGCACAGCGGCCAGTGGCTCTGTCGCGGATGAAGAACAGGAGGTTGAATACAAGACCGTGACTCTGGCGAACGGCATGGAGATCACCTCGAAGGTCAGTCCTAAACCGGACCGTTCGCAGAAGGTGAAGAAGGCTCATCGCCGTTTGCTTGCTGCTTCGTCACTCGAATTGCAAGACTCGATGTCGAAGATTCGCGAGATGGCCGACGAAATGGATCAACAACAAGGTCGTGACCAAGATTTTGAGATGCAGATCCGTGGCAAGGATGACGAAATCAACTCGAACAACATCACCACGGACTCGGACGAAGAAGCTTCTCAATCTGAGAAGTTTGATGGAATTGACGTGGACCTGGTGCACTTGTTGCTGTTCCCGATTTTGAAGCGCGGCATGGCCGTCTACGACTACGTACTATTACTTTATTTGTTAACTTTAATTACTTTCTGCACAGTTCACGATACACTTTTAGACTTAGAATCTCCGTTGAGTCTATCAGGAAAAACTGAAAAACTTCTTGTTCACTAAATTTTAGTGTCTGAATTATTTGCTGGTCTACTCTTCGGAAATCTATGTCTCTATCCTTTCTTCCTCGAGGGACTGTCATTTTATATTTTTGTCCCATCACTCTCAGTTCGCAACCAACGGCATGGCGAAGGTCGGATTTGCTATCGTTGATGACGTTCAGATCCACGAAGACATTGAAGCTCTTGGCACCAACCTCGAGGACATGATGACCAAACTGCCGTCGTGGAAGATGCCGAACTCCGTGTACTTGTTTCCTTCGGCGGATGTTGTTCGTGGCGCGCTGAACGTGATTCTCCTTCGATTTCAGCACACGATCTCCATGAGCCACACGCTGGATTCCACGTTCAAGGACTTGGTTCGTCAACAGCTGAAGTTCGAGCCGGTGGAGCTGATCGATACGTTGGCCACCTACATGAAGGAGACCTTGGACATGGAGCTGAACATCGCCGCAGAAGATGACGCTTCTTTCGCTTCGGTGGAGGATTTGTGCAAGGGTGACTTCCTGTCCTACTTGTTGTTCGTGTCGAAGATCAATCTCGACGAGCTGGATGCCTACAAGCCGAAGAAGCTGGCGAACCAGAAAAACCAACAACGTGGCAAGAAAGCAAGTCAGAAGGATCCGGAAGTCGATGGCGCGACTCTTCGGCTGCGCATGTTTCAACAAGTTTGCGGTGCGATTCGCCACTGCGTCCTCGGTTTGCGCAACGCCGGCGATCGCTCCTACAGGAGCTACACACTTCCGGCCGAGGTCCGCAAGTGTCAGGAGGCTTTGTTGAAGGCGGTCTCCGAGGAGTGGATCACGGACTCTCAACGCCAAGACTTAAAGTCGATGCGTGTGGCTTTTGTACTAACTTATAATTTTAAATTTATTACACTATCTTGCACACATATTGAATTCATTCCCGTACTTGTCTGTGCGCCGTGTCTATTGTGTTTGAAAGATCTTTCTTGCATTGCAATTCTATACATATTTCTTTCCATCTTTCTTCCGAGTACAGTACTCATATTGATTTACTCAGTGCTTCTTCTACTTGTCTATCAAATTTCAATTTGAATCCTCCAAATATTTTTTCAGGGCAGTTTTTGCGACAGTCTGTTTCTGTACTTGGTGCGGCAGGGCGACTTCGTGCGTTGGTGCAACAAGATGCGCAGTAAGGCCCCATCTGTTGCGGAATGGAACAAGAAGGCCATGGAGGTGGAAAAGCGTGGCCCCTTTCAAGCGGTGTACCTGCTGGCCAACCACCGTTTCCAAGAGGTGGGAACTTATGCCGCTGTCAGGAGGTTCAATGCGGATGAAGCTGGTAACAAGTCGAAGAAGGGAAGAGTGAAGGAAACGCTTTCGCTCAATGACTACTAAACTAAAGGGTGGGGAGCATAGAAGTCATATCTTGCACTAGATTCACATGATGTAAGTAAACCAGGTTCAATCGAATGAAGGAAATGATCAAAACGAGGACAGGATATACTTAGACGGAATCTATTGCACTGAACACCTTCTATTCTACAATAAAGAACTTTCATCATTTGAAGATGATAGACGGAGTCTACTTGTACTTTCGCATATGCGCAGCTACCTCAGAGATGACTCAGATATGATTATACCACTTGAAAAACTAGAAGATACTTTACTGAACTCGGCTACAGGTTGCACATGTGTAGCACTTTCAGTCCTAGTCTTTCGCTAAGATTGGCGTCGCCGTCTTTCGACAGACAAGGCAGAATACATGTATCGAAGCACGGCACCGCAACAAGAAAGAAGAGTTGTCCCATCATGTACAGTAGTTTTCGAACATGTGACCCTTAGACGTGAAGGATTTGAAGGACGTGGTAGAGTAAGCATCTTCTTTATCGTGTCCAATACGCAGCAGAACTAGTCGCCCAATGAGATCAAGCGTCTGAATCTTATTTGTTCTCGTGATGGGGCACGTCGCCGCATCGTATTCGAGACGACATAACGAACTTAATGATCGAGGGCGTTTCTCATTACTTTCTTCCATTGAGAATTGAAGTAGGTGAAAGAAAGCTCCGACCTCTAATACAAAAACTACATACTAGGAATGAATATATATCGTTGATAGAATTATAAAAGTTGAGTTGTACATCCTCCGATCTTTCTTTTCACGTCCGAGTTCATATGGTATTGCGGGGTCTCACGATCCCCGTCGGTGCCTGAGCGCTGTTATCCTGGGTCTTCCGACGAGGATAGCACGGACGTCGATTGCTTGTGCCATTAGCTGAGCCAGTGAATAATAACACGTTATAAAGAAGTACATAGTCGTATCTTCCAAATCCACAACTTCTTTCTCCTACTACAAGAGCAGGCCAAACAATAACTGTGTGAGATTCTACGAATTGCAACGACTACCGTAATCACCAATGCGACATTGATTCTTTGACGGGATTCAATCGACCTAGATACTCGATTATCTGACACCTCAACAACTACGATAGATGATAATTATAGAAGGACGTCAAACTCTTCACAGACAAAACCATTGATGGCCGACGAGGCGAAGTAGAAGCTCAGCAGTTTGAGATGAAGGTTAGGGAAACGACGCACGAAGTCAGATTGCATTAGATTACCACATAATCGGAAAGGGAATTCGGAAGCAGTACACTTATCATATAAGACATTGGGGATAGTATTCCAGGGCGGAGGTATCGTTACTAGTACCATGAGTTTTTTCTTGATGTACACATCTTCTGCAGCCGTTTGTAACCATTCAGTTGTTTGAAGTGTGTCACCAGGTTGATTCACAGGCTGCAGTCTCTATCTTACATCAAGTATTATGGTATGATGATTTACAATCCGATCCGGCTGAACGTTAAGTATGTCGTTATACATATACTGCCTGGCAAACTACCAAAAACATCGTTGATCATTTTATTTCTATATGAATCAGACGAGTTAGGAAGTATTTCCGCGACTATGCTACTTGTGAGAAGAAGACAAGCTTCAGAGATGATCTTTGGTTTTCTCCACCGAATCAAAAGCCAAGACGGTACTTCAATCACGAACTAGAAGCTGTTTACTCCGAACTATATCCACATGCTTAGGATGACGTCTCATGGAATGGAGATCAGCGAGCATCTCCATGCAAGTAAAGACTGACGCTGTAGCGAGATAAGCACTTACTACTTGAAGGGGGCAAGCAGTGCACTCAAACGCTGTACGACTCAGGCGTACTGAGTGGAAGCAGTATGTACACGTGAGAATCGCGACACGAGCAGGCTTGAAAGAAGCTTCAGACTCAAAGCATGAGAAATGAAAGAAGATTGGATTGTGAGAAAGCAGCTGTTTCTGTTTCACAAAATGCAGCAGTCGATATCTGTATCGTAATTTCGCTCTGGGGCGTGCAGTCCAATAGACAAGTAAGCAGCAGTGTGATGACTTTCGTGTTCATCCTCGTGAAGCACATGACAAACAAGTCTGAGCGCAAGAAAATGAGATAAGAGCCTACTTCTGTGGTACGAGTCGGATCGATCGAGGAAGCAAAAAGAATAGCAACTTCAGGGCAATCAATCTTGATATTGTGAATGATGAGGATCGTGAGATAGGAGGGAGCGTTGATCTGTGGCTCGTGCTCGAATCAGATTTCTACTTTCTTCAGTGCAATAAAGATAAGTAGCTGTGTGTAGCGCATTATCATTCAAAAACTGAGCCAAATTCTTTCTGACCTCATTGATCCCGATCGTTTTCTTACCCCTAACCTATAATCGTCGAGTTCTCGCCTAAGTCTCATCATCGTGCTACTTCCTTGTTCATGCTCAATGATTTTGACGGTGCTTGGTAGATCATTGCATTCTTCGTTTCTTCAACGATCTTTCTTTGTGTTGTACGACCAGGAACATTTTGGATGATTCCTTTTCATTTTTGATATCAACTATAACTGTGTAGTATTTCTTCGGCCCTCAGTGAGTATATGAGTTAAGAAATGGAGTAAGGAAAAGCAAGATCATCTCTTCAAGAACATGGGCACTGAGATCAGCCGGCTTTCTTTCTTGGGTCTTTCTCATTCATTGCGATCTCACGGTATGATTTGCAAAGGGAAAAGCACCTTGTCGAAAACCTTGCACATCAGACCGTAAACGCATCTTGCAGCGCGACGCGGCTCTTCGAAGTAACCGATCTTCGCGACACCGGGTCGACAATAAGCCACGGACTCTTCTCAGAGTTCAGTGGTTCGTTAAGGTTCTCATCTTTTGTTACTCTCGGCACAAACCTAAAATACTCACGTTATAAACTATAGCCTTTCGCTACGGAGTCACATTTTTATACCAGTACTTTTAACTAAGATGATCACTCACATGGAAATACTATGCTACCACACTCTTTTTCACGACATTCTGAAGCCCATGTTTACTATTGAGTTGCCATATCTCCAATCCGTTAGTAAACGCCTAATATACAGGATAGTCTCGTCAGCCATCCTTGTAGGTTTCATCAACTTTTCACTTCTAACAAATGCGGTTTCGAAGAGGTGGGGAACGTTGTGGAAGGCCGGAGATTCTCTCTTAAGTCTCTCTTCATTTCATTGTAAACTAAGCAAGGCCTTTCTGTTTGTGTTTCTCTGTGTCTCTCTCTCTCGGGAAACATGTGTACGGCGTTGCATTTTTCTTCTGTTAATATCTCCATACTCTTGTCTACATTTTCCGAAATTCTCTGGCCTCTAACAATTCCAAGTCCGATAGCCGTCTCTTCTCACGCGACGAAAGTTAAGGCTTTTTTCATCGTGATTCACACGTCTTTCATCAATCGCAACGAGCTCGATGCTTCTTTTTTTTGTGTTATCTCTTTTCTGTACAGTAAAGCTCACTCCTTCTATCTTCTCTTCAAAACGTTTTTTACATGTCACACAAAAAGACCGAGTGACCTTGCCTTGCGAACACATGAAGCCTAATTTAGTAGTAAGATCTTATCGCATTCGTTTTCACTTCTTCATCTACTTAGCAGTATTTTACTTTCGTTTCAAATTATCAATTACGAAAGTGAATTGCTTCAAACAACAACTTCTAGGGAAAGCTGTAACCACTGGCACAGCGTATTCCCAAGCAGATTCGCGAAAAGACTTGGTGTTCTACTCGCGCGAGCAACTTTTTGCTCGAGCATAGACCACTAGACGATCGGAGTCCAGACAATGCATCTAGAGCACATCGCACACAAAACGAATGCTCAAAAACGAAAAAGCTACACCTTAAACTTCATGAGCCGCTGCAAGCCTCGTCTACCGATGTCCCCCCGCCCCCCTCGCGCTTTATCTTTTCACTTCCCTCTCGGCATTAGTTTTCTCATAGTAATTTTGGATGCGCTGACTTACAAAATTTTACCCATTTGGACACGCTGTCATCTGTGTCGCCCATGTTTTTCTCCCCCCCTTCTTTGCCTATGCTTCCTTTCTTGTTTATTTGCTTGCAATGTGTTCCAAATGACCACGTCGCGCATTTTTTCGAGGTTTGATCTTGTTCTAAAGGACTTGAAAATCGTCACCCCAAGGGGGTCACACGATTTGCAATCCCGGAAAATATGGGCCAGGTTTCAACCCCCAGCAGGTTGCCAACATTAGCACTGGATCCCCAGTTGAAGCAAGTCAGCGAACATTTTGGAATGCACAAACACGGAGCAGATTTAGCTGGAGGAGAAGGCAAAGCTGTAGAAGAAAAATCGAAACCAGATGAACCAGCGAGGGAAAGCGGAGTTGAAGACGAAGCCAAGTCGCAGGGGCAGACTGGCGTGACGACCACACCAACGAACTAGAAAATATCCACGAAATGCGCGACCAGATCCAGGACTCCTAAAATCTCAAGGGTCAAGTCCACCTCGGTAGATGGAGAAAATCGAGCTGATATTGCTGCCGGAAATCCAGAATCAAGCACTCACGCGAACGGTCCATATGGTGTCGTCTCTTCCGCTGGCTCACAAGCCAATGTCCCATCTGGAGGCAGTAAAGCGCAGTGCGCGAACAAACAGCCACGAGTCGATAATACTGCTGGAACGGCGAGGAGAAATGGCGATGATTCGAAACAACCGCTCCAAACAAGCCGAGAGGATGAAATGCAACAAAGCGTCATCGATCAGAATATGCTGGACTGGATTAGTGAGCAAGTACAGACCGCTATTACATCGGAAGCGCCTCCGATGTCAGCCGATGCAGCTGCATTTGCGCCACATTCCCACACAAGCACACCCAACCAAATTGCCCCTGGCGATCACCTGCATTCGGCCTTTCCACCACAGTCCTGTTTTGGGGCGGCACCAAGCACGCAAGCCCGGCATGAACAGCCTCCACATCAGAAGATGCAGCAACAATTCCAGCAGTCACGCATAATGGCCGTTCATAACATTAGCCAGCAGCATCAGCAAGCGCATAGCACAATTCCGACTAGTGCTCCAGTCCTGCCGAATCCATTCTCGCACCAGATGCCGACGCCACCGCCAAGGGGAATAGCGCCAGCCCAACAACTCACTAACTTGCCAAATCAGATGCGATCTATGCAGCCAGTCAGCGGGAAAGGATACGCGGCTCACAATGTTGAAAGTGTCAGAGGCGACTGGAGCTGGGACCAACATCACCAACATTACCAGCAAGATGAGGACAATTGGAGTGGATCGTGGGACAATTCGTGGAACTATAGTAGCAGCAACAGCGGTACCTTTTCCACATACTTCAAAGCAATTAACTACTCCTCTAATTTTAAATCGAATATACCGCAGCGGACTGGTCATATGAGAGGAGAAAGGCGCTTATCCACAACGAGAGACATATCGCTTATTCTCGGAGATAGCCAACGCAAGATCAAGTGGTACGAATTAAATGAAGCTGGTGTCCTGATCCCTTGGAAACAACACATCATAACGGCATCTAGTAGCAAAAGCAGGCTAGAACTGGAAAGGAAAGCAGTCCGCCCCTTGAACCCAGAAACAAGTCGAGACTCCTTCAATTCAGCTCACGCCGAGCAAGATGGATCAACCGCCCACAACGAGTCCACGAAGCATAATCATCAATCCCTTACCCGCCCTCAGATCAATGCTGTGGAAAGAGGTCTGCAAGTAATGCCGGACAAATACGAAGCAGGCAGTTGGTTAGTTCAGTGGCAAACGCCTAAATCTAAAAAAGTGCTTCGGTCTATATGTGCCCAGCAAACGCCTCACACACGCCCTCCCATCAAGACCGCATCCGAGTCGAAATCTTCCACGCTCGCGCATGCTCCCACTTCCCAAAAGAAAAGAAACAGTTCAACAGCTACACTTCGCAATCGATACGCCGCACTAGCTTGTGATGATTATGATCAGCAGGATAATGATAAGCTTACACTTCCCGAATTTAAAAACAGGCTGGTGGTAGCAATGGAGAGGACGAGAAATAAAAGGAGAAGGAGGACATTGGAACGCGCAACCAGCACGATTATTCGACTGGGGCGAGATTACATTAAAAAACGAAGAAGGGATAGCAGAGACGACGGCAAAGGGGACATCAAAGTTTCCGAACCCATTCATCACACGAGTTACAATCTAGATGAACATGCACGAAAAGAAAGGAAAAAGCTCAACATTAAAAATCACAACAAGGAAGTAGAAGCTCGAGTACTTGCGAAAAATAATAATAAGCATCATCTCCCACTCAACAAGGGAATAAAAGCCAGACAGCAAATAAAAATCAAGGAAAATACTAGACATGGGAACAAGAATAAAGGACCAAGATTAAAGCACCACCTTGCATACAACAAGAAGAAGAAGAAGATCACAGTTCACAACAAGAAGAAGCTAAATCTGGAAATCAAACATCTGCATCATTAACATCCTTTTTCTCGAGTAAGAGCATCACCAGCTAAAACAACAAAATGGCCTAGTCTGAGAATGTCAACAACTTCCATGCTCCATCAAAATATGAAAAGCTCGCCATTTACAGTTACTTTGGTGACCGCCTCCCCGTCACCAAGTTGCTCCGCAAGATCGTCGCTCTCGTCAAGCTTCAAGGCAAGAAATCAAGATCAAGATCAAAGCTCTAATTTAAGGATGCCGGGGAGCTTTCGAAGAACGATTCGACAACGCAGTGCTCAGCTGAAGTCGAATCAAGTTGGCTATCGAGCGGTTAAGCACAAGTGGAAAAAACGAAGTCAACACTACGAAAAGACTCATATCCGCAAAAAAGGTGGCAAGTCTTTAACGAGTAAAGAAAGGGCGCTCGCGACGATCTCGCAATCGATTAAAGACAGCAGCCACATCGAGCAAGGAAATGATGAGGAATCCTATACAAAAAGTTCAAATCCTGACAACAGACAAGCAAACAAGAACATCCTGCATCTCAATCACGTGTCTTCTACAAAAATCAACCACCATTATCATAAGAACATAGCCCGGGTATCGTTGGCCAATGTAATCCGAAGCAAGACCATGCTCGCAGCCAGCTCCGGACGGTCGCATCAAATGGAGGCATCCCAGTCGAGTCCTGACATCGGTAACGAAACACTTCCCAAGAATGACAGTCACTATTTCAATGGTGAGCTGAGGAAGTGCAAAGCTGAAGGATCTGCCACGGCCTATCGCCAAAAATCACAATCAAAATTGTATGATGCCTCCATCTCTAACATTAGCAGAACGATCCCAGCGAAGCCGTTTTGTGATTCGTCCCCTCATACCAAGCATCGAGCACGATCTCCAGTCTTGGAAACAGTCTTGGAAGGAGCGACAAAGACTTACACTATGCATACCTCGCCCACGCTGCAACACTCGTCCGACTTAAATCTTCCAGGGCGAGACGAATGCCGCGGAGGTCAACCCAGGGAAGCACACACTGGAAGCCAATCCGCAGGACAAGCCCCAGTAGTGGATCAAGGAGCATGCAGCTTTCAGCCAAATGATGCCACAGGATGCACAAGCACAACTGGACGCCACTCCGCCTCAAGACCCACATCTTCGACGACTCGTGGACTGTTACCTCAAGAGCAATCAACCGAAGCACAAGTCGGAATCGATATCGGTGAAGCTGAAGGTCTCAAACTGGTAACGGTAAACATGGGCGGCTCATTTCTCGGAACGGAGAAGATTGCTTCAGTCATGAAAATCGCCATGGAAAAAGAGTGGGATGTGGTAGCACTAACCGAGTTTGAATATCACTCGGACGCGGCGATCATATCTGGAAGGGCACACGATGCGTATGATGTCCGCCCCGCATTGCTCCAAAACGTAGTTACAAATGGAGAGCATGAAGCTGAGCCTTCTCCTGCAACCATAAAGCATCAAGTGGCACATCTCGACGGAGCCATCTTGTTGGTAACGAGCGGAGTTTCAATACTCCTAATAGGTGCTGATGTAGTCAGGCAGTACTTAGCTGCTATCAAGAGAAGAGAAGATCAACAAGACGGCAGCCCGGTGGTAATAGCTCGACGAAGAATATTGACGCTTTATCTTTCAGAAATAGTGGCGCACGCACTTTACGGACCTTCGGGCTCATCCAAAGTCAAAAGGCTAGCCTTCCTAAAGGATCTCGAGAGCTCTGTAAGGGAATCAAAACGAAGGAGAAAAGACCGATGGAAGACTATGGTGGCCTTAGGAGATTTCAACGTCCAAGTTGCGCTCAAACATTCCCGCGAGGCAGAAACAAATGTTGGCGAGCACGTCCCGCCCTCCACCAAAGCCCAGGACGCAGAAGCAGATGGTCTGGTATCGCTAGCCAGAAGCCTTAACTTAGTTCACGCTGCTTCACAATTCCCGACAGTTGACGAAGACGGAAAAAATTCCAAAACGGGCAGAGCCACATTTTCAAGAGGTGACCAGCGCACCGAGATAGATCGCCTTTGGATATCTGGAGCAGATCGCCACCGGCTGAAATATGCCAGCAGAGTTGATATGAGGAAGTTAGTCAAGCTAGGAGATAAGGAGACGAAGTTTGACCACAAGGCCCTGGCGATTGCGACATCGATCAGAACAAGACGAGATCTACACTTAGATGGTGCAACAAAGAGAAGAGCGGCAATGGTGTTCAACCTCAGTCCTAGCGATGAAGAACTAGAAGCGTTCAGCGCTGATCCGAAACAATTAGCATTGGACGCAGGGGAAAGAATGGACTTAGATCTTCTTCGCAGATATCTGGCTGCCAATGCAGATCGATTCTTGGTTAAGAGGGCCGCGCCTCCGCTATCCGCCACTGATCTGGAATACGATACAGGCAAGAAGTCCTTGAGCAGAGTATGGGACTACCTAAGGGAGGCAGGTGCAGCGACAAGGCATAACCCCGCTGGAATCACCCCAGCGCAGGCAAAGGAAAAGTGCGACGAAGTAGGCCGCTCTCCTTTAACTGCAGGCGAATGGCTCCCGATCCACAACGAACTAGCCCAGCTGGTAGAACAGGCAAAAAAGGAAGAAAAGGAAGAACTCTCGAAGCCGATAACAGTGGAAGAAATAAGACAAAACCTAAGAACAATGAAGCTGGCGGGTGCAAAGGATTTAGACGGGCTCTGCATGAGGATAATCGACTACTTGGGCGATGAAAGTATGCAAATACTAGCCGGGCTGCTGAATATGGCCGTCAGCAGAGAAGGCGCAATTGAGGAATTAGGAGAGCCCTTCAACACGTGCAAGGACGTTCCCCTATTCAAGGGGCGCGGCTCTGAGTCGGATCCTGATAGCTACCGCTTTCTCGTAATCTCGCCTGTCCTGATCAAGTTACTGTCCCGGATTTTCGGTTCCCGCCTCCTGCGATTTGCTGAGTCTTCCTTCCTGCTCCCAAATGAGCAATACGGCTTTAGGAGGCAGAGAGGAACACTAGGAGCGCTCACCTTGTTTTCACGCCAAAAGGAGGACATGCAGCATGCCAGAGCGCAGGGGACAAAAAGTTTGATCATGTCGATGATCGACTTAAGGAAGGCATTCTCATCGCTGGACTGGCGCCTCGTCACAGGAATTTTCACAAGGTTAGGACTCATTAACGAACCAATTTGGAGACTACTAACAGCCACGCACCGACTCGCCCGGCACACATTTGGAGAAGGCACATTCAGCCTCTCCCATGGGTGCGAAGAGAGCTGTCCGACGAGCCCGACACTTTTTGTATTGTGTTACGCGGTTGTCATCCGGTATTTCAGACTACTCATCCGACGGGCTGGGCTAGAGAATGGAGCAGCACTTCTCTCGAGGGAGGGCGCCTGGGGAGCAAGCAGAAGCTCTAAGGTGAAAGTGGCGCTTTTCGCGGATGAGGAAGGAGAAGACATCTTCAAAACGGTCACTGATGGGGTCAACATGATACTGTTTGCAGACGACACGACCCTGCTCGAGCAGATGACAGCACAGCAAGCGGCTGACCTTGAAGAGAGCAAGCGCAAAGCGCTTGAGAAGAAAGAACCACCGCCGCACACACCCATGACAAGGCTACTAGCCCGGGCTTTAGATGACTCTGGAATGCGTGAGAATGAAACAAAAAGAGCGGTAGCAAATATCTTAGACATCAACGAGAAAAGTCTAGGCATGCAGACCCGAACCGAAGACGACGCCGAGGTAAAGATATCGAAGGCTTGGAAAGCGATGTATGGCCTGTGATCCAGATTAGCTGGCCTTGGTGGTATCGATAGATCAAGGAGAGGCTTGCTGGTTTTGGCGGTCGCTAGGAGCATACTCTCTTACGGACTACAGGCGCGGCATGTCTCCAGTGGAGAGCTCACCAGGCTAGCTGAGGCTGAATATGAAATGATAGCAGTAATTCTAGGAGTACCCTTGTGGAGAGTATGGAAACGAGAAGTCTCCAGGTCGTCGCTGTTGACATGGGCTGAACTTCCGCCACTCGGAGCACATCTAGAATTCATGAGATCGAGACACATAGGGCACGTACTAAGGCAGAAGGAGAACACACTTGACCGGAAGGCACTCAACGGAGTATTTCTCACGGATCGAGCTGACGACACCGAAGGAAGGCAGACATTCTTAAGGTCAGCGGTATCCGACAGGTCCCTTGACACTGACGATAAACGGACTGGCTCTCTGATGGAAGATTATAAAGCGCATGCTGCAGACTGCACTGATGGACGCATAGGCTACATTGAGGGCCTACTTAAGCCACTGCAGGAATCCAGAGCAGAAGAATATGCGACGAGGAAGGCCGCATGCCATGCGATATGCAGGCGAAGCCTTATTAACAAAACAGTAGAGAAATGGCAGAAGGGCGGAAGGACTGACATAGCAACAGCTTACGGCCGGCTTGAAAGCAAGCACTTTGGCACCAACCACGCCAGGATGGATCAAAGGAAGCTGGGCACATCAGCAAAAAATAACAAAGCAGAGGCCTGTCGATACTTCTACACGTTCGACGAAGGTAGAATACCTATTAAAGTGGAAACTCCAGAGGAAGAAGAAGGTCATGAAACAGCAGTGCAACCGAGTCACCACTTCTCAATCACATCTGACGGAAGCCTGGATATAGATGTCCTTTGCAAGCGAGGAGGAGTCGAACTGCTGCCAATAAACGGAGGAGTGGAGATTGATTCTCTCACGTTCCCAGATGGCAAGTACAGCTTAGTACAACTTGCAGGGAACGCCAAGGCTTTCAATAAAAGCCTATTGATCAAGGTCAACGTCCCCACAAAGGTCTATCTGGTTGAGACTCCTGGTAGCGTGTCAAACTCGGACCGAAAAGCCTCCCAGCTATCCAGCTGGTTCGGTGAGCATTCAATTGAAGCGCGGCAGCCTGCCACTGGTGATCCACTGAAGATTCCATCCAAGCTGCTACTCCCAGGCGGAGTGATCAATTCCGTGCCTTGGCCTGGTAGTGAGGCTCTTTTGATACTAGCACTGCACAGCCAAGTATCCCTACAGGAGATTTCACAAGAACGATCTCACTTTGCACAAGGCCAATGCGCAGTCTGTGGATGGTGCCCGCAAGTCTCCTGTCCCTGGCAGCAGCTCCCCGTAGCAGAGGCCCTGGCCACGCTCCGAGCGCACATCGATACGAAACATCCACAGCAGCAGTTTCTTGTTACACCATTAGCGGACAGGATGGAAACGTTGGCAAGGGAGGAGCAGTCAAAGGAATATGCCATACTCAAACAGGATGCGAAAAAAGGCAAACTGGGGCCATTCCGGAGGTTGGCCTCAGTAGGACCGAAAAGAAAAGGATGGAGCCGTTATGCAGAGAGGTACAGCTGTAATGTCTGCGGTCTCTCGTTCCAGACATCCGTAGGGGCCATGAAGAAGCACACGAAGGCCCACAAAAGAGGAGAGCTGATGAAGATCGGCAAAGTTAGAGTGATGCGAAATGGAAAAGCTGCCACCCCTGGACTTGGCAGTGTCCGGAACCTATGGCGACCTGAGGGCCATTTGCTGTCTACAAGTGCAGGTGCTTCATCCTTTGGCCCAGACGCAAGATTAGCGAAGATATTGATACCCAAGACGGCCTGGAAAGACCTCAACGTGAAGAATGAGATAGTATGCCGCAAATGCACTACTTGGGAACTAGAACTCGATCCAGCAGTGATGTCGCTTCGAATGCTGTCCAAGAGAATAGACATGATGCGAAGCCACGAGAAAAAACGCAAAGGTGCAAACAAAAGAAGCAAGTGCATTCAAAAAAGGAGTGGAACAACAGATGCAAAATGAAGAAAAGAAAGTGGAAATTGAACATGGAAGATAATTTGTCGCACGCGACATAAAAAACTGCACCACCTCGCGCTAGGCACATTCATTCATTCATTCAGAGTTAGAGCGACGTCCTGATGGATCGAGAAGTGCGTAGTCCTGGAATTTCTTATGGTGCTGGGTGCTGTGGAGGGATCAGAGCTTCCTCGGTGTACTCGTATTGATAGGATCCACCCTATGTCGGTTCGAAGGTCAAGCCAATGGAATGCCTTCTAATAGGATGCCTTTGAGTGTTGATGAAGTGGGAGCATAAACTAATATAATGGAGGAGTTGAGCACCAGGAGGACCACGATTCTTGTACTGCATAACCGTCAAAATCTACTCTCCAGGCGATCATTCTGGTTTCTGTCACAGTCTCTGTCTTGTAAAGATTGCCTGTGGTCATTTCTTCGCTACTATCCCATCATCCTATTGAGATCGGATTCGGTCTACAACAACAAGACGGAGACTTATTTGTCGTCGATAGGGCGCGTGTTCATCGGTACAAAGGATGAAACAATCGATAATATGGCTTACACATTCCTTCGTGCACCAAATTAACAAACAGCGTATGTCTAGCTCCTGCTACTTTGCTGAGTAATAATTTCCTTGCCCTAGCATATGAAGTATTTTTAACAAGCACTCTCATCCCCGTGATCTTGAATTACTTCATTCAAGGAACCCAACTGCTTCCCCACCTTTATCGAAATATTTTCCGTGTCTTTCGATCGTTTGATTTATCGTAGTAGTAATTTTCGGTCCGGGAAGTAGCTGCACTCATATCCTTTCACGGTCTTGCCAGGATATGTGAGAAGCTAATGGGCCAACTCTGTGAAGATCAGCCTTCCTCTCGTTGTTCGTAAAGACAGAGTAGCCTGAGGACGTGAAATAGGGTCGGTCCTCGTGGATTTTGGCGATCTTATCCCTCCCACCCAATGAGTCTTGGGTTCCAGGTCCAGCAGTAGACAGCGCTTTTAAAAAGAAATGCTTCATATTGATTTCGACCTTCAGACAACCACTCAACACAACTCCTGTAAGTACAGAATGAAGAAAGAAGGCTAGCTGTATGCTGGTAACTTCTTATTCGGATTTTGTTGGCTCCAAACAACTAGACTACTGTGATGAGTGTGCCTCTGCCTTCCATGTGTCATCATAAATTTTTCATCGTTGTACTGGGTGGCGCAGTTCGCGAACTACAAATTTAGCTTTAGGCGAAGAATAAGCCCTGAAACAGCGAGGACTTCCGTGACCACAGGTAGTATCCCATTCGCTGCACGAATTGACTGTGAAGAACCAGAGTACACGGAGGGCTGCATCAAGTAGGGACAAGAAGCCCTTCATTTGGAGTGAGAAGAAAGGGTAATGGAGAGCTAATAAATTGCATCATCCGAAAACCAGGTCGGAGGAGACTACAGAGCGACCAGTTGATGCACTGTGGTCGTGCTTAGTTCTATGGCTGATACAGAGCGACCAGTTGATGCACTGTGGTCGTGCTTAGTTCTATGGCGTGAAAATCAGGCAATATTTCCTTCTTCAAATTACAGTAGGCCATCACGACGCAGATAGACAAATACAAGAACCGTCATAAAGCCCACGCGCCACTAGTAATGCAACTACATCTTCAACCACGACACATAGGTAGAAGAAGCAGTGGGCCATCTTTTCCTTGACGCGACTACATCAACTACAGTGATCGAAGAAGCCGAGGTCAGTCGCTACTAGTAGTAATAGCAGAAGTAGATGGACTGCGGACACCTCCATTCCAGTATTTAGAGAAAGTAGAAAATAACAAACATGCCAGTTTGGAACACGGATCCGCTGATGCGAACAGATGGCTTTCGCAGGGCACGATCAGCACCCACTTCCAGCACAGCACTCGTCCAGAAGTTCAGCAAAACTTACTCAGATAGGTACGTGCTGAACAACATATTATAGGCACATGATGATAATGGATATGATGAACTTGATGATGTAGAAGGAGAGTGAGAACATGAGTTGATGCATCAAGCCTACTCAAGGTGTTTCTAAATGTAACTCTTCTCGTCCTCCCGATGATTTCCTAGGTTTCGACCAGTAACGTATGCCCCACCGACGTACTCATTGCGAAAACGAGTAGTGTTTGGGTCTATGCCAGCTCTCTCGGATGGAGACAAATACGAAATTCGAAGGAAAATTATGGCAGAGTTCATACAACTAGTTAGTACATCTTCTACAACATCATACCTCCCTAGCCCCATTCTCGATTCTAAGAAACAGAGCGCTGCAGACCGAACTTTTAGGAAGCACGTGAGGAATTGGACCGTCAGGGAGACGGTAATGTGGATGCGAGATGCCCTGGAGAGGAGAGGACGGGCAGACTTAATATTAGGACCCATTTTCTTTCATAATACGACTAGTCTTTGTCATCTTTGTCTTTGTGCTACGTAGTTAGTACTTATACTTAAGAGAGTATCAAGAACGTGGCTAAGTATCAACATCAATTGTTCTTTTTAGGGTCAGCCTGCCCAGTATGCAACTACTACTTGATTCGGATTTTCCTCAATACAAAAAGTATCTAGTAAATACGCAAACGATACGATTCTCTGACGACGTCTCCTCTATCTAACCAGCGACGAAGTGGACGGTAAGGAAGTCGAAGGCAAAGAAATATTAGGGTGGAGCAGGTAATTACTCTAGATAATTATGAATTAAGCATTTTCGAACTTTCATCAACTTGATTTAATATGGTTGTGCTTTGAAGTTTTACGTCGATGTTGTAGACTTTTTCTTGATGCGGTCGTCTACTGGTAGGCTGTGGTCAAAGAAACTGTTGAAAGTTTCTGGGAACCTTTAGGTTAATGACAAGTAAAAGACCATAAGCTGCACAAGCACAAGCTACAACAACCTCACTGAAAATGAAAATGATTATGTCACCATACTTGTTTAGGGAAAAATTTCGGGACGATATTTGCAAGGGCGATGCGGATCTCGGGTGCTCACTGTGGGATGAGTTGCGATGTCTAATCGAAGAGTATCTCGCGACATCGGCTTATAACGATCTATCCCATGCAGTGAACTTCACAAAGTCCTATAATTTTTTTCCTAGTGAGTTGGGTTTTGGGTCAATGCCTCATACTGCTACAGCATACAAAACCTAGACGACAATAATGATCATAGGCTGCCATAGTTAGGTCATTTAATAATTCCCATCGTTTCCTCCTAATGCGAGGGCCTTTCAACCGTTTGTTTATCTAATTCCATGATATTAAGAACATGTTGATCAGATACACTGCCCCAGTGTGGTCGTGCAGAAAAGCGTTGAAGACTCTAGCGAGCAAGACACAGCCACCAGGCCCAGGCCAGTACAAACAGCCGACTACGATAGGAATGTCAACGAGCGGACGTGGGCATCCGACAATAAAGCAGGAGGCTAGATTCGTACTTTTGGTTGATCTTAATTCCGATCCAACGAAATAGAATCTTCACGTTTGCAGTTCTGTTGAAGGTTTTGGCATGTTCGTAGTGTTGAGCATTTTTCTGATGCTACAACAATCACACTGACTTCTATAGATATATACTTTGCTGGCGTTAATTATACCTCGACCACACATTACTAGGCTATGCCACAAGGGGAACGTGGTTTCAAGCCCCTGAAGACTCCAGGGCCTGGCGCATACTTCACCCCTGTCGAAAAAGATCACAGACTAGTTTGGGGAGCAAGATGGAGCTTCCCTGGAAGGGGAGATCGTAATTGCTACTACTTTTTGTTACTACTCTACAGAAGCAGGAGGAACTACGTCATCTTGATCATGCTAGATGATGAAGTTGAACAAGTACAAGTTGAAGTGAACATCAACAAGAATTTTGACTTATCCAAATCTTCACCTACAAAAAAACGACAGCTGGCCTAGTAAAGGAAGGCGGACCACTCGGTGCCTACGACGTGGACAAACTAGCACGCACAGGGCCATTGACTGCGCCTTCGTGGACCGTGAAGAGTCGAATACCAGTCAAAGAAGGATTTCAATTATGGCCTCTAGTCCATGTAGTGATCTACTGTGGAAGTAACAGAGAACCAAATAGAACAGCTTATGCCATTTGATTTCGTCGCAATCGTTACCAGATTCATCTTCTGATCGAGAAGCATTTTCATGTTGCTCCTCACATTGTCATTGATGATGAAGATGCCTCTAGCTATTTGTATTTCTCCTTCTAGTTGTTCTAAACCCCTCTCCTGGGCCTGCGGCTTACGATCAAAGCGGGCATAAGAAAAAGCAGCTAGGCGAGTATGTCTATTGGCCGACGCAGGGAGAGGAGTCCAGCCGCAATATCACACGTAAGCCAGCCTGGAGCTTCAGAACAGCATGGAGGGCACAATAAGTGGAAACAAGCACGATCATGGACTACATGAATAAGGTCTACGTCTAGTAATCAAGAATAAGCGGTTGTAAGTAGTTGTATTAAAGAGCAGTAAAAAAAAACACAGGATCACAACTATTATGTTTATTTCGTCTATCTTGGCAGGAGAAGTAGTTTATCAGTCTTCACTATTATACCTATCATTGAAGGTTCATCTTCTTTAGCAAAGCATTGGCAACTCGTTCTTCCTAACATGAACATGGATCTCTTATTTGGCTTACTACTGTATTTGACGCATCTTCCTGTATTTGTAGGTCTACAACACCATAAGATGCTAAAATCACTTCAACATATGCTGCATCAAAATACAAAAAGACGAATCTCACACATAATATAATGCCAGTATCACTACATCACAGGAACTCTTCAGATATATTCAGCCTACTACAGATGAAAACATTGCTACAAACCTGCCCAAGAACAAAAGTCAACATATTCGCGATTATGTATGATTAGGACTAGGAAACGCTCTTTCAAGAACTTCTACGCAACTACTTGCATAGAAATTTTTACTTCAACAGGACTTACGATACACATACATCAATATCTTCAAGGACTGCATAGAGATCCACACTGCCTGGTAGTTCACATTGGAAGATACCAGCACCCGTGTCCTCGACAAAGAGTAACGTTCTCTATTCTCGTGCACTAAGCCTCTTTGAGGAAGAAAATGCGTGGTTCTTCTGAAGGTTTCTCAACATGATTCGGCGCAGAATTCCACGAGTCGGTCTCTCACGATGCGCAGCTGATTGAGTGAAGGGATGAGCGTTTAGGTTTTTGTACTCAGTAGGTGCTTGTTAGACAAGGCCATGCAGATGCACAGAGACAGACTCTGCGAATCCGTCGAGGGAAGCAAGAGATTGAGAGACTGGAAATCTTTGAGTAGGAGTGGACTGCCTACTAGCTTACATTTAGCATGTGTCCACTATCTGAGGCTGCATCAAAGCGATTTCCCAGCCTACGCTTGTTTCGAAAGTGGAAAAGTCACGAAGATACTCATAGTTGATACTACGACTACACGTGGAAGCTGTTACGCTTGAAAATGATGTGATGATCCGGCATTGGTGGCGTTTGCTCTGCCACCGTCCGTCCGTGGACGAGGCGAGACTTCAGACAGGACAATCATGAGGACGTGAGGTGCCCCGACATCCTCGAAAGAACATGTTGATGCTGATGAAAAGGCGCCACCACCTGCATCTACCTATTCTTGCTGGGGTTATCTTCTTCATTGCTTGATGTGCATGTGGTTAAGGGGCGACCAACATGGGTAACACAGCGATCAGCCCATTTCGAGGCGCAGCTGCGAGTTCCGTTGTGCCTCAGTCGCGCTCGAAGTTGGAGTTACAACAAGGACAGCTCCATGGTCGAGAGCAGCCACCAGATCTGGTCGCGCCCTCGCTGGCACATCTGCGACACATCGTCGATAGCGCTGGCCCTAAAATCTCACTGCAGACCTTTGAGGTGAAGTTATGTCTACTGCACTTAAAAAAATTTTTCAGGACGAGGTGGTCGTAGTTGGTCCTCAAGTAAGTCTTCAATGATAGATTGTCTTCAAGAACGCCACTCCATGAAAAATGGAGTGGGTACTACCTAATAATTAAGGTGCAAAAAGCGCAAAAAAAGCGCTTTTTTGTGCATCATTCGTCTCAGAGTGAAAGTTTTCTATTTTGAGACGAATATTGCCCAAGTGATCCCTGGGCTTTAAATGTCCGCTTTTTGGCTAAAAAGCAACTTTTCTATGTTCGCTTTTGGCATACTGTTATTCCATAAACAACGGAAACCAAGAACACTATTAACCTCCATCCATGATCGATGGGCAGTGAACTTGAAGAACATCACGCTGACAAGAAGGCTGTTTTTCCGCCTTGGCCTCCTCTTGTCTCACTCTAACCTTCGCAACCATCGGAAAGGGAAACTTCGGACGTGTCCGCATGGTCCGATTCAAGAACTCACAGGATGCGACACCATTTGCATTGAAAATTCTTTTAACTATGAGACAAGAAGACCTCGCTGTTGAATAGAAGAGAGACTAACTTTAGTTTTTTTTGAATACCTGAATTAGCATGGCAAATCATACTTGCAAGTTCAGGCTTACCCGTTATTACGACTCCACTTGTAGGCTTATACTAACTGTAACTTTGCCCATCTCTTAATACCCTCCGTTGCAGGTCCTCTGTTCGTGTAAATTCTAAAGACAAAATGAAGATCGCAAACGAATGGGGTGGCAGTATATCTCACGCTGCGCGAGCGGTTCTTCGAGAAACCAGCATCCTTCAAGCTGTCGAGAATCCCTTCGTCGTCAATGTGTTGAAGGTACTAGTACAACGACTGCTCGTCTCGCATGTCCAGTTGTTTGCTGATGATGATGATTTGATGGTAGTGATGATGTTGTTGCTTGATTATAGCAACGTGATACTGCATCACCACGAAGAAGTAAGTAGATGCTTATTTTCTTGATCGGATCAAGCTTGTAGTTGATGCTTATATTTTTCTTAAGCTCTCCTCTTATTTTTACAGCGAGTACAGCCTAACCTACGACCTGCACTTTCTCTTCCACACCGAAGATCAGGGACTACGACTGGACAACTCTCTCTCCTCTTACTTTTTCTAGAACACAACCTCCACTTATTCAAGTGCTTTGTCTCAGTGTTTCGTTACCATGATAGTACTCCACAAAAACTCTTCCCCACTTCAGATATTCCATACTGACAAAAAAGTTTTCATTCTAATGGAGTTCGTGAACGGAGGCGAGATGCTTCGACTCATACACAAGAGTAATGGGCTGAATTTGGAGCTGATAAAATTCTTTGCTATGGCGGCCTCTACATCGTTAGACAAAGACGCAACATGAGGCATCATGACATGGCGGAGTATTCTAGCTACGCCTCTCTGATAGTGGAACAGCATTGAGTAAGTAGAAGTGGCGCGAGAGCAAGAACATCTAGAAAAAGCTGATTTTCCCTACTAGAAAATGCTTATTTTCACCACTTGTTTTTCTAGAACCAGAACTAGTTGTAAGCCTCCTCCGATCAAGAAGTAAAGTAGATAGGACAGTTATTTCAGCAAACCCTGTAAGTTCTACGCCTGCTTCTAACTTGCGTGCGGAGATCGTGATTACGATGCGGCATCTGCATGACCGGAACGTGTGCTATCGAGATTTGAAGCCTGAAAACGTTTTGTTGGACTGCAGCGGCCACATCAAGTTGATCGATTTCGGTCTAGCAAAGGTCCTCGACAAAGCTGCTGACTTTATGGAAGGAATATACCTCAGGAGCTGGCGTCATCTCGTAGTGCATCATGATTTATTGGTGGTCAGATGGTGAACTGCAGCATTTCCACTTTCCTTCTTCATGAAAGAGTGACGTACCCATTTCTTGCTTCCACCCCTCTACCGCCAAGTAACAGCCTTCCTCTCGCACCCACTAGCACAGCTTTCATAGCTCACAAAACTCGAACGTGTTGTGGGACTCTTTGCTATCAAGCTCCGGAGGTGATATTGAACAAAGAGTATAGCTTACCAGTGGATTGGTGGGGTGTTGGTGCGTTTATTTTCGAGATGCTCTCGGGAAAGCCACCCTTTGGAAACGACACTACGTTTAACATCCAGCAGCGTACTTTTCTACCTGCTACACTGATGAAATATTATGACTCTGTTCGTGATCATGGTGCTGAATTCTGGTTTTAATCTATCTCGTCTCGGCACTATTTTTGATTTCTATCGAAGATCAACACTCAGCTGACACCCAATGCATGCCTCCTACAAACCGACCAACTTATTTTTTGAAGACGAGACAGCTCAGATGTCTCACTAATCGTCCTTATCTTATCAATATCGCGCCAGGTATACTGAGCACATCAATAATGTGGCCAAAGTGCAAGGAGTGTCCACTGGCAAGGAGCAAGCAATTGATAAGTCTCATTTCCCAGTTTTTGACGCAGAAATCGGACAAAAGGCTAGGATGCGACCGGACACGTATTACGTTTACTCTATAGTGTTTGCTTGTACCTGTTCGAGGCTCTATTCTTTTTTTCGAGATTCTTGCTGTTGAAATCATTGATAAAGTCGAAAATAAGAGCTACGACCGTTAGAGCACGAGCAAACCACGTGATCAAGTAGAATTTTGATCTCCCTTCTTCTAGTATCATCCACAATTCAAATCAGCCGCTGGCGCGTTGAAAATCGAGAAGCATCCGTTTTTTCAGACGGTGCATTTCGAGTCGATACGAAAGCGGGCAGTAAAGCCCCCCTACATTAAGGCTCATCTCCAAACTCTGTTGTCTGTTGAGTAGAGCAAGAATTCCTTCCATCTTCATCTTCCACGATTCATAATGCTATAATGACACTCTGCTTGTCACCACAGTGGTGCTATGACATTCAGTTCTTGGCAACCTGAAGAAGTACGTCTTCTAACCCTCGGCCCCAACTCTCAAGCGCCGAGGATATTTGCATGTTCCCGAAGTATGCGGAAAGCGTGGAAGACAATCATCCGGACTTGAGTCGTAAAGACAAGCAGGCGTGGATACACGAGCTGAGTATGCCTATCTCCGCTCCTTAGGAGCTGTGCATCGTTGACATCCAGTAGAATACGAATAACGAATTGTTGTGGCTCACGTTGTGTTTGATGTTGTCCCGTGTGGTTTACTGACCGTTGCGTTTCAGTTTGTAGTTGCATTTTTTTGACAAGGTTGCATTTGAATAGTAAGAAGTACAGTTGTGCGATATTTTTAGAGTCAGTGAGTATGCAGTGCAGTCAGGGAACAAATCTGAGGCACGTTGCCCAGTAGATTCGAACCATCATGGAAGTGAGTACGCAGGGGGTGAAGTCGTTTTACCAAAAGTTTGACAGTCCACTTTTACCAAGTTTGATAGCCTTATTAATGCTGCGCTGCCTTGTGGGAGTAATATTACCAAACAGTGTGAACTGACGTGATTTCGTACCTTTTTCGTGTTTTTTTGAAACGTTAGTCGTGGGGGCATAAAAGTTGGGTTCTCCACTGCTCACGTTCCTGCCTCGAAGAGGCCCTTAGATTTAGGAGATCAAAGTGAAGTTCGATTTGATGAATCTGACAAGATGTCGCTGCTTTCGTAGCGATTTATAGTAGGGAATCATCGAGCATAAGCATGAGTACGGTCTTTTATGAGGAGTCATTAGCTACGTACTAGTGGCTTACTCGCTGATGTGGCCGCTTCTTCGAGAACATGACCGATGGTGGTGCGGCAGATCTGAAGTGTCATTTACTACGCTAAGGGCCATCCTCATCGGGCAAAGGAAACAGATTTCAACCTTGTAATCTAGAGTGAACCTGACGAGTATTGATTTCCCTCGATTGATCCTACCCCTGATAATATATATTTAAGCATTAGTACCGACACCGAGTCCGAGTTGTGCAAGAAACTGCATTTCCCCTACCCCGTTGTACAAAAGAATCCAAGGACTTTCGTAACCTGCGCCTTTACTTCACCATCTTCGCCATCCTGGTAGAAAAGCCGGCCACTTCTATGCTTCAACACTCATCAACTATCTCAACACGAAAATACTAAAGCCTTGTTAAGACTTCGAGCACTAGTTGTCTTCGCTACTTCTTGTGGCTCCGTCTTCTATCTGTACTTCACATCGGTTCCACCTCCCCGTTTCCGTCCCCTCTGTCCCCACATCCAAGCTGATAGGTTATGGTTTTAATTTGTTGTTTACGTTGACGACATCCTTTGTACTTTTGTGGCCCTACTCTATCTCTTTTAAATGTTAACCTCCACATAATTCTGACAAAATGGATCCTTGCGGCTGGCGGCAGCGACAGTGGATCAGTAGAGTAGTCAATCTCAATCCTCACATTTAGAAAGTAGTAGATCAACGTGAGAAAAGAGGACAAAGATGGCCGTTGAATTCGACGACGATGACGAGGACGTGCCACAACAGGCACCCGCAGGGAATAAGAAAGACCCGACACAGGCAATAAAAGGTATCATTTGATGTGGTTGGCAGATGAAGTGAATAGAAAAACTCGAAATCGAGTATAATCTTCAAATCCATCATGTAGTCGCGCTGTTTTCTCAGAACAAAGTAGCTGCAAGGTGATGAAGGTAATGTGAATCATGCTAGAGCACGAAAAAGATTGATGCTGTGGCTTCGATTGTCATCGCCTGCCTTATCGCGCTCAACATCATTCAAACCCATCATCATGATGAGACTCCACCTCCACCAGCCTTGATCGGCACTGCTCGTACCAAGCTCGACGCGACACGAGCCCAGCTGGACGCCAACAGCGAAAAAGTGCAACTCCTGAAGAGCGAATTCAAAACTCTGAAGAGACAAAGCGCTCATTTGACCAAGCAGCAGCAGGGGAGTCTACAGGAGTTGGAGAGTGGACTTGGAAAATGATGACTCATTCTCTATCTCTTGACCCATTCTCTACCCCTTGACCCATTCTCTACCTGTTCGTCTTTTTGTTTCTGATTCTGTACTACGACTACCCGCTGATGGATAGTCAGAGCCCTAATGGAGATAGGCATCAGCGTAAACAGCTGGGATTGCTTGGTCGGTTCAACAGGTGAGACAGGTTGTCCACCCCGCTCCCGATGAGGCGGTCAAGAGGGTCGAATGCGTCATGCTCTGACACAGTAGACCAGTTCCTCGACTGACGCAACAAGAGCGAGTAGAACAAATCAAAAGCCGACTTGTTGAGTTACACGGCACTAAGGGAGTATAAGCACCCTGAAAGCAAATAAAAATGGCAAAACAAGGCAGTAGAGCTTGCTCTTGCCAAGCAGACAAAAGATTTCTGACTGACATATCACAGCATATCCAATCGTGCATTAAGAATTTTCGGAAAACAACATGTTGCGGCGAAAAATGTTAGAGTTCTTCGCTCTCTTGTCTCGTGAAGACGAGGAGCACAAGAATGGGCAACGAGTTCTCTTCCTCGTCTGTGGTCGATGCGGTACTGCAGTTCAATGACATCCGGTCTGCGGGCTACGGCCCGCAACAGCCCACGACCTCGTTCATCTCTGTCGACAATAGTCCTGAAACGGTTGTCTTCTATGCGGTCACGTAAAAAGAGCTACAGCAGCATCAATCTTCCAACATTCAAACTCAAAAAATTGAAGTTCACCTTGAGAAGCTGCTCATGATGTGTGTCAAAACAAATAAGTGAAACAGTGACCACGGTTTCGAATGAGTACGCCTCTGGGCCTCAACCATGCGATAAGAAGGATCATCAAAGTAGCACTCCAAAGACAGACGCGATTTTCTTGTCCTTATTTTGATATTTAAACCTATTCAGGATTAGATAGAAATTTAAGAGTAAAGCTCAAGTTCAACAAGAAATTATAGAGGGCAGCGGTCGTGGTTTTTCCATTTCAGATAGATCATGACTGCTTGAAGATATAAACTAACTATAGATACGTAGTGCTGTCAATTTATTATATATAGTTTCCAATTGCTTCATCCAATGAATCACCCAATCAAGAAGATGAAGCTGTTCTCGTTGGTTTGGTTCTTTTCGGTCGGCTACGGCGGGATGGGCTACGTGAAAGCCGTTCCTCTGTTGGCCGAAGTAGATGAGTTGCAATACCGCCTGAAAGCCTTGGGTTTTCGGAGCAAAAACAAGCCGTTTGTGAAACGTCCCAACATCGATGTCCTGGAAGTCAAAAACTTGGAGAGTTTTGAAATCCTCAAACATGCAGAAGGAGGTGGTGAAGATGATTATGCCAATGCGATTAATCGAGATGGTGCCAACAAGATTTTGTTGGAAATCAATCGGCGTAACGCGAAAAACCATCAGCTCTATTGGGGTGATGCGTACCGGGGAGGTTCAGGAAACACCTTCTCGGGGTTCCCTCCCGAATGGTCCTCGTATCAGGGTTCCTGGGGAATTTCTTATAATGGTTCCCCGGAAAATTTGGACTACACGGTTTCGTTAGAGGCTCTGAAGGAGGAGATATTGAAAAACACAGGTACTACTCCGTGTGCGCAGATACATAGAAGCATTTGATTTTATTCAAAATAGAAGGACGCATGCAGTTTTTGCACTGGACACACGCACAATCAGAAAAAAAATTTGCAGGTAAAGACTACGACCTCTACCACATCACCACCGCGCGCATGGGTGTCTACAAAGCAGAGGTTGTTAATACGGACGAGGTGCTGAAGAACATTGCCGAGCTGAACGACGAAGAGGACGATGAGAGTAATAAGTGAAGGTGGCAAGAAATATGCTCACTGAGTTTTCTGTTGTGGCTTTCTAACATTTTCAATATAAGTAAGCTTTAGGCTACTCTGGGCACCTGAAAATGGATGATCTCAAAAGTAGAATCAAGCCGTTTATGATTATGATTATGTGAAATTTTTGGAAGTATGTGTCATGATTATATCTTCGTTTATAACGTAACAAAATAGATATAAAATAAGTTAAACTGATGTAATAAAGTGGCATGCCAAACCGTAACAAAATTTAATATATGATAATAGTCTATAAATATAACAATACACAGCTAAAGTCGAAGCGGATGAGAAGTATTTGCGAGGTCAGATAGAGGAGCTCGGCCGCGGGGAGCCGCAATACGTGGTTCAGGAACTTGAGGACCTTCGCCAGCGAGTCTTGACAGAGAGAAATGTTGTAGATCCGATGGACCCCAACAAAGAAAAACTGCTAAGACGCGAGGTGGGCTGTGATCGTTACAGATACAGGAAGGTACGCAATATCCTCCCGGACGAGCTAGAGATGATGGCGCGGCTACCGAGGGTAAAAACCTTGAAGCTGGTCGCTGTTCTATCGGAGAAGGATACGAAATTTGCCGTCGACAATGACCAGGCAAAAGCCCACTCTCTCGCTAAGGAGATGACTTTATCGGAGCATGGAGGTGCCGTGATCAAGGAGTTTATTATGAACAAACTGCAAACTACCCAACCCCAAAGTCCACTAATGTATGATCTAGTCAGAAATTCGGAACAAACTCAGAAATTTCCAGTCAGAAACTATCTAGGTGAAGAGGTCTCGTGAACGGGAGCTCCAATCTATCTGCTCGGGTAGAATAAGCAGCACAAAGGAGAGGACTGGTTCTCCAATGGCAATGAATCTAGTCGCTTCTGACTGACCAACTTCCGGATCGAAGATGTAGAATTAATATTAAATATTGCTTGTTTAGTGCAGAGGGAAAATATAGTAAATAAGTAGTACTAGTAGTATAAAAATGTAGTCGTTCTTTGTCGTGCTCGTGTCTAAGTTGGATAAGTACGTGCAGCTGAATGAACGTGGGAGGTTCAGTGCTTACGCTTCTTGGGATTCGACGCTGAAGGAGGAGTGCAGACAGTTCCAAAAAGACCTGTACTACATTCTCTACTACGTGATTCTAGAAAAAGGACAGAAGTGGGGGATTTTCGCGGATGATGAAGAAATGGAGGGCGGCGGAGAACAGTCAGCAGCTGCGAATGATGCTAGTACTTCTTCTGCTTCTGGTACAGCAAGAGCTTCTACAAGTGAAGCTGTTACTGGTGAGACAGTAGATGCCGGTGCAGAACGAGAACATGAAAACACTTCTAACAATAACAGTGGCCGCACTACTAGTGCTTCTGTTAACAATAAAATGCAATTAGAAATCGTAAAGACTGTCAAGCCTCGGGAGGAGCTGCACTCCACGCATCGCTTATTGGCCGACGTGTACCAAACTTTAGTTCAGTATGACTTAAAGAAAATGTATGACATCCGCTATGATACGGCGGCACACGACTCACTCTTTGCAAACGTCTTGAGTATCGAGTTCCCCGCTTCTCGCATGGGTGTCGAAGGCTACAAATTCACCTTGCTGGGACATGGAAAGCTCGATTTGCGATTTTACTCCGAAACCGGCGTCTTGCGAGGCTACAAGGACGGGTCCCGATTTTTGTTAGCGGAAACCGACCGAAGGGGTTACCCTAAGTACGACATTAACGAAAGAGACATGGAAAAGGCCGAGGAGGTAGTGGACAGAAAGAGAAAGAAGGTTCAAGAAGTTGCCGCTCCTGATAGCGCAGGGGCCGAAGATGACTCAGAGACCACAAAGAAGCGCCGCTTTCTTGGTCAGTAGTGTTATATTATTATTTCTAACTACAGGGTCAGTAGTCTCCTTCCCTTCCAATTCTATACTCATTCCTAGACTCATACTCTTTCCTAGTCCTAGACCTAACATTCCGCCAAAGATGAACGCCAACACTTGTTCCATTTTTCTACCACTGTGCTGTCGTGTCGATTGGTCTAGGTACTAGTTTTTCTGTAATTTTCCATATCGACGGAATAGGAACAGCTAGTCTCTATATGATACTAAAGAATGGCCAAAATTGATCGGCGTAAGAGACGCGTCCTATTGCAGAAAAAGATAATGTTCTGCTCGGGATGGGTATCTATGTATTATAGTTTTATTCGTTTTCTTTCTTCTCTCTTTCATTTAAATACTTAGTATTCTACATAGATAAACATCTGAAATTTTCATTTTGTGGATCCATAAGTCTGTTTTTCTCAATTGGTGATGTGTTGACGTTCCTGGATACGGAATTAAGTACTATTATTAGTTTCGTTTTATATTTATGAGGAGAGTGATGGCGATCCGTTGGGGAAAAGAAAAGGGCTTCATCACGTTAGGCATTTTTTAGGTATCTATTCTATTACATGTGCCCGCATATAGTGATCATATGACGTTATCAGATAAAAACTTTGAAGTTTTAGCCGTTGGCCCGCAGGACGAGGATTGGCGAAGATTTTCTTGAAATCTTCGTGGCAGTCGGCCTCTCATCAATATACTACGACACATGATTAAAAAACGAACTCTACTACTAGTATTAGTTGTCTTCAGCAAAGAAGTTTATACAACGAACAGCCATCATAATGCACTTGGCCATTGTTATTCTTGTCCCACTCGTATCACAGAGATAGCCGGAGCCGGAGCGATTTCATTTTTGAACTTCGTGGAAAATTTGCTTTCTTTCAACTGAGTCTAAATGATATATTGCATTTCCTGTCCGACATGTTGTGTTCATCAGGAACCGCGGCGAACAATCTTTTATCGACGTCTGATTTGATCACACCTTCACTCTTGAAGATCTGACTGCCGGAGCAATGAACTACAAACGCGCCACCGTGGGAAAGTGTATAATTGACTCATTGATAGAGGAGCGACGGGGACAAGAGGAATTCAATTGAGAAAATTGAGAGACGACTCCTCCGATTTCAACAACTCCCATTTGCACCTCCCCATTCGGGCGCTTTTATGATTAAGGGTTAACGAATTGCATTCTTCACTACCATTCCTCACTTTTTTACGAAATCTCTCCTTACGACTTTCTTGTGCGTTATTTTTGTGTGGTCTCTGACTTTATTTTTTTCTGACTCGTATACTCTGGTACTTTTCGCACTGATTTTTGCTTTACTCCAGAAGATTGAGCATTCATGAACAACGTGCGTGAATCAGTGGACTTTGCTCTCATCTTTGCGAAATCGGGCGTGGAGACGCGGCTCTGGGAAACCAGACATGGGCACGCACTTTGCGGCAGTATTTCTCGATACGGGGAAAGTGCTACTTCTTTGCGCATCTTCTTGCGTTGATGCATGTAGATGGACAACTCGGTAGCGCACTTCCCAAAAGGCAGCTGGTGCAGAGAGCTTGAGGCGTTTGTGGCGGACGCTGCAGCAATCATGGCAGAAGCGGCGCTACATGATACTTGGCCTGTCTCCGCGTGTAATAGAATTGCAGGCATTTTCCAGATGTGTGCAATTCCTCGATGCCTTTACTTATTACGTAGAAAGTAGCATGATTAAAGTGGTAGCTCCTATATAATTTAGTGCTCCGCTGGTGCTTCTGTGCTTGTGCTCGTGGCGGAGTGTTTCTGGTGGGGTCGACGGCGTGGCAATTTTGGCGGAAGTGTCAGATGCTAGGAGGTAGGGACAGGTGGGCTCTGTGCCTTGATCGAGGAGAGGAGTCGCTTGGCGGATTATTTACAGACTTGATGATCACCAGGCAAGCAATGGACTGGGTGGAGCTACTAGGGCGACTAATTGTGGAAGAGTTGTAGCTGCTCAGGGCTTGCGAGAAAAAGGGCAGGGAACTAGCCGGTTTGAGGTAGTGGGAGCGCGTTCTCCATAGATCTCTGACGTGCAGACGCTGCGTGAATTTCTGAGCAGCCAGGAGGAAAGTCTAGCTTTGTCAGTCAGGGCCTTGTGGGCAGGAGGCCGAAAGGCAAGAGGCTGTCGTCTCAAGAGAGACCCAGCAAAGAGCAGGAAAGGCCGGCGAAGTATCAGGAGTGCCCGCTGTTCGGAATGCGCGAGCAAGTGCGCGTAGCTGCTGGTTGGCTGCATACGGGCGATAGGCTCGAAGGGCGCGGCTGTCGGGGATGCAGAAGTCTGGTGGCTCGGCGGAGGAAATTCGCGGCGCCGTGGCTCGGTGGTATTCAAGAGAAAGGCCTTCGGAAAGGATTCAAAGTCCAGGCGCCACGGGAGGGCATTTCTCTGAGAGGAGGTTGCTCTGGTGAATCGATTAGATAGCAAGGTAGCCGCGGACGCAGAGTCCACAAGGCGCAAGGCTGAGGCAGATGGGCGACGTTGGCCCTTCGCAGTCAATGAAGGGCTTACAGGGGGTGAGCCCCATGAGAGTTCTGCTGCAGCAGCGGGGGGCAGGTGAGACTGCAGGGGGGGCATGTGACGACTTCGGTGCTGCAGATACTATCGGGGCAAAGACAGAAAGGTGGGCGTGGGGCTCAAGTGTACGCCGAATGAGGAAAAGCCTGGCGTTTATGTTCGCACGCGTTGTTCTTCACAAGAACTCTGCTTCTAATCTCTTATCCTAAAACTGAAACTTCTAGAAGAAGTTTTTTTGGAACGGAAAACAAAGCAGGAGGACGCGCTTTATTTTCATACCCAGCACAGGTGGAGCTACAGACGCAGGTGGTGGAGGTGTCTTCGAAACGAAGTACGATGGTTGCTTTATTAAGGTGATCAATAGGAAGATGCAGCAATGTGAACATGAAGGATCCTGGAGTGATTTACTGGTGTCTACCAACAACACCATCGACGCACGCCGAGCACCGGTCCTCGTTGATGGGAATAAGTTTGACACGACCTCCATGAATAACAACATGATGAATAACAACGTGAATAACAATATGATGAATAACAACATGATGAATAACAACATGAATAACAACGTGATGAATAACGCCACGAGTGACACCATAAAGAACGCCTCGAATAACACCATCTCGCAGTTCGATCTCTTGCGGGAAGTGTTTGAAGAGTACGTGATCAAGTACTACAACTATCAGTCTTCTGCAATAACTTCTTCTGTTTGTGGTCGCTCCCCCTCTGCTATTACGAATCACTTTAATCCGTCTCACATGTATAATCGAATAGAAAGCTTGATATGGGGAAGATACAGGCAAGACCAAGAGACGAATTGAATGGATGGCTAATGTTAGTGTTGCTGGAGGTGGAGCCGGGAAGACGGAGTTGGAAGTTGCTAGTTTCTTCCCTCCGGGATTCACATTCCTGTTCGAGCTACGCCATCCATTGTTGCCGAGCATCATTCCTTCTAGTAGGAGAAGTAGTTCTGGTAATGCATTAAAATCTTTTGATGGAACAAAAGACGGGGGAGGAGGTCTCACCTTTCTCGGAGCACGCAGGAACGAAGCGCCCTACGAGTTTCTGCCGGCTTCCCTCTCGACGGCATCAATTTTGACTTCAGGAGGCTCCACCTCGTCGTTTTCAGCAGGAGCAGCAGCAGCAGCAGCAGCAGATACTCTTTCGAAAATCTGCACGCTATTCCCAACAGCGCTCCACTCCGCGCTCCTCAGACGAGAGTCTCAGCTCAGAGAGTCTGAGCTCATAGGGTCTCAGCTCAGAGAGTCTCACCAGTCATGACATCATGATGTTCCATTGTCAACACCTGAATTGGAGGAGGGGGACCGCCGTCCCGAGGTTTATCGACAGATTACATTTTTGCGAACAGCTTACGAAGCAGTGACTCGGCTTTCCTGGCGGCACGAGGGATTCGTGTACCGAGCGGGGGGGGGGTTACGCTGTAAAATCCGCAACCCGAAGTTTGTGTGCTTTTATGACTTTAATTTATTGATGTCTACGTGCATATCTGTAGTGTTTTCATTGGAGATATGCGACGCAGATATGAACCAACTAAAGCGCTAATGCTTGCGGGAGAAGAATTTCGGGTGCCTGAAGAGCGCGCTGTGGATCTACTCGGATCCGGATTGGGTGGCCATATTACACCGCTTTCCAGACTTTACACCAGAAGTGCAAGAGCTGCGCCAAAAACCGCGCTTTCTGCAGAAAGGAAACGTCTTCAAGGGGGCAGAGGGGGGGTTGAGGGTTCTTCTAGAGGACTCGGGCGGTCGAATTCGGTCTGGAGACGCAGCATTTGAAGATATTGTTACTGGAGGGATGAAAAACAAAAACAAAACCAAAAGCAAAAATCATAATAATCAAGATATATAATCATGATAATCATCAAGATAAAAATCATATCAACACGGTAAAAATAAGAATTTTCTGTTATGAATCAACATGGTAAACCCTAAACCCTGGGTTAGGGTTTAGGTCTCTCGAAACTCATCTTCACGCACATATTGTTTTCGAGTCTTCCCTACATCCATCGCTCTTAGCAATCACGCGCACACACATTGATACTACGAGTCGAGCAAGTATGTCATGATAATTCACTGAAACTTTCAACAGCACACCAAAGCTGTATTCGAGAAACGTTTGTCATAGAATTAAAACTAGAAATTTAACTCTAACTCGAAATTAGCAGTAGTTGAATTTGCATAAGCGTGTCGCCCTTTGCATACCTGCTAAGTCCAATCCCGTCGCACTTTATGGTAACAAAAAGCAGTGAAATCATTCCACTACTACTTGGAACATATTTTATTTTTTCGCGCGGTAGTATTGCATTGGTATTATCTACACCCATAAGATATTAGCAAATCGGCCTCGCCGCGGCACGATATTATAAATATGTGTTCAAGTTGAAGAGATTCGATGAACGTGAGAAGCAACTAGGACTCTATCGGTGGTCCGAGGAAAAAGTTGACTTTTGATGAGAGAAAGTTCGGTTGGAGAAGGAAATGAACGAAACAAAGCATCGGGAACGCGAGAGACACGACTGAGGGAGGTAACGAGTGAATCGTAAAACCGGTCTAAGTATTTCCTTGTATTTTGTGTTTCAGGGCTTCCTCGTGTAACAATTGGGTTCTATTCGGGGATTCAGTTTGGTATGAGAGAATCCGCGGTATTTAGTTCCACATAGCCCCCTGCCCCCTAGAGTCGAAATGAAAAGTTGTGAAGACAAGGCATTTTTAGCGTGAGACCATAGTATGCCTCGGATTAAGCGCCTGAGAGCTCGAACAAAGATACTTATATTAATTGGATAATTTCCTTCAATAGCTATAGCACCCCTTCTTCTGTCGAGTGTCTTTCTCGTTGTCTTCCGGTTGTTGCTTGAAAATTGAATCGAAGACTTTCGACCAAGTTGTCGCTTCGTCACCTCAAAACAGTGCTGGTGGTATTCGATACATCATCGTGTATTTTTACGCGGCGTATTGATTGATTATGTTTATATTGAGTTGAGTACCCACATTCTGTTTATGATTATGACTGCTGCCGAGTATGACAAGAAAAAAGAAATTGAATTCGTCTGCATGTGTGTCAGCAATAGACCAAAATTATAGGACGATAAGAAATTCGGGTGGGTTGTTCGTGCACGCTCATAACTGATTTGGAACTTGCATCCATCCGAGATTTATTGACACATTACAACCAGTCTCCTTCTTTGATCGAAGAAGAAAAAAGTGCACTACAGAATTGAGAAAGAAACATGGACCACGCGAAGTCTAGCAACTCGGGTCTGCCCGAAGTTAGACGTTCTGGCAAACCGTCGACGGGCATTTCGCCAGAGTTTTCGACACTAAATCCAATTCTCGTTGACGCGCGCAGCCCCAGCGATGCCCTGGCTGCTCCCCAGAAACCGGAGGGGCCGGCGGGATCCCGAGGGAGATCTCGGGAGAACTATGATAAAATAATGCGGACTGCGGGGGGCAAAATCCGGCTGGCGTCTCTTAATGAGCGAGCACATTCGTCGGGCCTGGAAATTAAAGGATATTCCAAAATTATGTGCACAGTCCGAGAATACACCTCTTTCGTGTAGTTTCGACTTATTTCAGGGAGCAGAAGCGTTTTGATTGAAATTAAAAGCAAGAGCATCATAAATTATATATTCACGCTCTTCATGAGTATAATATGTATGAAAATGTTATAAAAAGTATAGCGATTCTTGATTGTTAAAGATATATTGTTTCAATATTTATTCTAACGACATTGGCGGCTCCGAGACGAATTACGCAAACGATGGTCATGCGAATAGTATGTTCATGGTGTTTGGTTTGATGACCTCTTGGGGAAACGCATTCGGGTTCGTGGTTTTGACTATCTTCGTCTCCGTCGTGTTGTATTTTGCAGTCAAGAGATTTCTCTCCCGCAATCGTGGACACCAAGACTGGCCCGGCATGGATCAAAAGTATTTATAATTGTTACATACAACTCTAATATATAAACTCAATGGAGAATCATCAATGAAGATGTCTACGAAAATTAGTAAATCATTCAACAACTTGCTATTGCTTCAGGGAAAGCATCATTAAGATGGCCTCAACATGACTCTCGAAGACCTGCTTTTTATCTTCAATATATTGAAGTTGTATCAGAATCTGCTTGAAAAACTACTGAAGTCTCAATACGTGATGCAATGTACCATGCAGATTGCAAAGTAGCAGCGAGCAGTACGAGTCTGAATTCTGAATATAAATGTTGTTCTTGATCTCAATCTCTAATATTGTATTATCAGATCCATCGGAAAAGGCGACGCGCTGACGAACAAAACGGGACACTTCGGATACTATGATGAGGATATGAGCAACAACAAGAAAAACGCTGATTGGGCCTCAGTTGCGAAAGGTCTCGAGTCGGAAAATAGCGAGGATTTGTCGGTCGCCACCACGTGTGCCTCCGAGCATGGCAACTTGGTGGGGCGGGAGGAGGTCGTGTAGGTAGTTACATACAAGTCTGATTCTATGAAAGTCTGACTACAAATACATTGAATCAATTTATTTTTCTCTTGTTGCTCGTGATGAGACGTCGCAACTTCTACAACGCGACGAGATGAGATTTCGCTTCATATGTACAAATGAGATTCTCACTTTTTGTTTTTAATTCAATGTACAAATAAAAATTGAATAATGGATTCCGTTTCTCTGCGTTTCCAAGTTTTATCCGAGGACTTGGGTTTATGGCTCTTAACCACATTGATTCGATCAGGTTTTTTGTACAACAGTAAAACACTACTGGCTGCACTAGAGAAAAGCGACCTAGTGTAGTTGTGCCCTAGAAGTAACGTTTTTCCATTTCTCATGATCTTCGTTGAAAATGATGGCTACAAAGCTCAGCAAAATGGCAGGAGATTTATTCCGCCATGAAGTTTGCAAGAAATTCAAATTGCGTCAATGATGTAATATATCAAAAAAAACCTAACCAGGTAAAACCCGATACGCCTTGGAAGAGGTTTATTCAATCTCCATCGGAGAAAAGAAATCTGAATGTTCGGGAGGAACAAACTGAGGAGGAGTTAAGTAGTGTTTCTTAGGAGTAGTGTGAAGAGTAGAAACTTATGATATACAACAGGAGATGAAAGTAGGATTAGCAGTTCTAGCAGTACTATTACTTAGTTTTCGGCTGTAATGTACAACTACCAGATCATGACGTGCAAGACACACAGGAGAAGTGACCCAAATGTTATAACTACAGGAGTTTAATAGAATTGCGTCTAGTCGTGAATGTCTGCCATTGCACGACGCAATCATGTTTATGGCTATGGAATACTATTGCAACATTGATATAGAAGTAATGCTCTCATTGCGATGCGTCGCTCGTAGATCTCAATCTTTTTCAAACTAACCACATGAATGCATCTATCATAACTACAACAATCTTGGGTTTTTATATCAACATATCCACAACGCGAATACACTGATAGGACGATCAAATAGGTTCAGCATAATATTGGTACTCGAAAAAAGTATGTTATACATAATCACAATGACAAGGGATGCGCGCTAGGAAAGAACGAAAGGAGGAAGCCACTTCGAAGAAAAGAGCGCCACCCCCGTCGCTACACAAAATGTCTGACGACTAGTACGCGATCCATATTTATTGCATATAATACATATTTATAGTTGTACAACAAGTATAATTTCACCGAATGTAGTATCCATGGTAGACGATATTCATTGATGGACCACTTCGTATCATGCTACTCGAAAATAAGCAATCAAAAAGAATACCACGCAAGCTATTCGTACCACAACGAGTCAATCACGGCATAGTCAGCGGCAACGATGAAGCATTGCCTTGGTGTTACACTAGCAAGAACGCGCACGAGAAGAAGTGAGGCTTTCGGCTATATTCTACCAGTGAGGCGTTTGTAGGTCGCCGCTAGGACTCACTATCTACTACCTAGAAGCAGTTTTTTGCAGCTTGCCAAGTAATGTTTGAAATCAGCACCCATCGTATGCCCTTTACCTTTAGAAAATTGCTGGGCTAAGGACTGCATTATAGTTGGATGACTCTCTGAGAGGAAAGCTATCACTTGGATAGAGTGAAGTGACTGATGACGAATAGCAACAGTGGGCCTGTAACTTTGTTTATATTGATACATGATCTACTAGGTTCCCACGATGATATAATCGCTCCTTATTATTTGTTAATATTATTCGAATGGTGTGTGCATACTGACATAGTTAAAAGTTCTGCATAGTTGGAAATTCTGAAAGAATATGCAGAAGAGAGTAAGAAGTCTGACCTGCACTTCCGATGTGCTCATCGATGTGCCCATGTTGATAGGTAAGAGGTGGCTGGTGGTGGTGAGATTTATCTTAACCAAAGCTAGCAACGCTCAGTCAGCGCCCGAGTTACTGCGCGTTTGAGCTCTATTTTCTATTTATAATGCATGCATTATTCGACTTGGTGGTGATAATGATGACAGATGTCCCAGCATAGTAGATACGCCATTGACAGAGAGGGCGCATGAACACTGCTGAGAAAAGAAGGAGAACAATATAAAAGCATCAACAATTTCAAACATTTCTGAAATAGTGGACATAGATGCAAGGCGGAAAACAATTGAAGTCAACCATAACACACTTGTGGAATTGCGATCAAAGATTCCGGCCCCGACGACATCAGTCCTGTTCATTAAAAGCGCCCCTGCGGGCAAGAGGGTCTTTCTATCATCCTCATCATTCTCTGACGTGAAGCGATTTCATTTGGTTTGTGACTCAGAAATAAAAAGGTACGCAGATACGATAAAGCTGATTTAGGAGAAGCACTATAATAGTTTCTGTCGAAAAGTACCCACATACATTGACAATACTGTTGCGGCAACATCTTTTTGTCTGCTTCGTCTTTACCAAATGCTCGCCCTACTCAATGTTTATTGATTGATTGATTGATTGATTGATTGATTGACTGACTGATTGAGTGATTGGCTGATTGGCTGATTGATTGACTGACTCTCATGGTCTGTTTTGTCTATACTAAAAAAAAATTTCCATGGAATGTAATTCAGTTGTTTCGGGCACACACTCCTCAATGGGAGTGGTGTGCCAACAAGTAAATGCATGGTGCTTCGGGAAATTGTTGGGCCTCTTGTGCAACGGGCATCGACCTCGTTTCTCCGCTCTGTCCAGGCGGTTAGGGTGGCAGCTTCTTCTCCTTTATGACGAATTGGTTGTAAGTACTCTCTGTCTCTCTATGATGTTATTACTCGTTTTTCCCTTTAGCTGTTGTTGGCTGAGGTTTATGGTCCAGTATCGAGGCATGGGCATGATATTTTGTAGTTTTACGATTTCCAAAGGCAAAATTTAACACACTCTATGTCGCTTAAGCCATAGTATTAATAGGATGCAAACATAGTGAAATCTATCGAGACATAGAGATAGCCCATACTACTTACGATAGGAAAGACGCAATGATTGAATTTCGTGAATACAAAACACCCCGAGGTCAACTATTGACCGGGAGCGACTTCTTAATTCCAGCCTGAAAGGTGTCGCTAGTGTATGGATATCTCCATAAGTTTCCCTGTCGACCTTGCCGCGCGATAGCCGCCTTTTTGCCCCTTTGCTCAACGCCTGGGCCACGACTGCTGCGAGGGTGTACCAGATTCCCGCGGCGAAATCGGGCACAAAACTCAACGAGACTCTTCATCAAGCACACCAGTCCGAAGAACTACCACAATCACCTCAAGCAAGTAAGGAGCGGAGGGTTGCGCTTCTGGTGGACGGCGATCAAGCATCGCCCGCGCATTTGGAAAACACAATACAGCACTTCGAGCAGCAGCTGAAGGCGACTGTGTTATGAGTTGCATGAGAACGCAATCTCTCTGCGCGCCACCTCCGGGCTTACTTCTACTAAGTATGTGTGAGGAATGGGAATTAATTGTCGGGGGCAATATATGTACTGAGAGGATTTGAGTGATATAGTAGAAATGGTAAGAAGGCACAGGGCCTCTTTTTGTAGCAGTCCGCTCTAAGTTGGCCAATGCGGAGGGCGTACTTTTGCCGACAGGACATAGCCGAAGGACCGAAAAACTACCACAATCACCTCAAGCAAGTATGGAGCGGAGGGCTGCCTTCAGCTGCTGCTCGAAGTGCTGTATTGTGTTTTCCAAACGCACCCGTATAGGGGGCCAGTGCATTTCTACTATATCACTCAAATCCTCTCAGGACTTCTTGCCGCGCGATAGCCGCTTTTTTGCCCCTTTGCTCAACGCCTGGGCCACGATAACACAGTCGCCTTCAGCTGCTGCTCGAAGTGCTGTATTGTGTTTTCCAAATGCGCGGGCGATGCTCTAAGTTGGCCGATGCGACCGAAGCTCCACTCTTATTTTTTTTTTTGCCCTCCACATCACGCGGGCCTGGAGAATGAACTCAATGTATGGATATCTCCATACGGTGGGACCATTGGAAAAACAGAGGGGGTCCGCGTGATGCGGTGGGACTGGAGATATTTTTGCTTATTCAGGTCCGCGTACCCCCCCCTCATCTAGCGACACCTTTCAGGCTGGAATTAAGAAGGACCTGGAGAATCTCCATAAGTTTCCCTCCTCATAAGTGGGGGTCCCGGGATTCCCATCCAGAGCCATGGAATTATCCGCGGATTCTCCATTGAGTTCATTCTCCAGGTCCTTCGGCCGAATGATTGTCTGAGTTCATTCTCCAGGTCCGCGTGATGCGGAGGGCGTACTTTCACGGCGCACCCGGTTCAATCTGTGTTTTTTTTTTCGGTCCTTCGGCTATGTCCGAGAAGTCTCGAGCGTTGAAAGCGAGGCATCCCTAGTGGCGGTGGCGCATTTGGAAAACACAATGGCTCTGGAGATATCGCCCGCGCATTTGTGGCGCGTTATACTAGGAACTGCATCCACTTATGGAGATTCTCCGTTTTCCAGGGGGGGGTCCGCGGGGAACTCTCTCTCTCGCTCTCTCTCTCGACAGGGAAACTTATGGAGATATCCAGACATTGAGTTCATTCTCCAGGTCCGCGTGATGCGGAGGGCGTAACACGCGGAGCCACTTATGGCTCCCTAATAAGGGGAGCCAGTGTTTTTTTTTTTTGAGGGGGGGGTCTGCTCCTTCAAGACTGAAATGCAGGGGGGGGGGTCCGCGGGGAACTCTCTCTCTCGCAGAACGGGGGGGGATTACACGCACCGCGTCGGTGCGTGTAATCCCATGGAACATTTTCAAACTGCGTCGACTAGTCTCGAGAAGGAGACGATATCTCCATAAGTCGGCCGGGACCCCCCCCTCACTGGGAATTTTGGCCCAGTCTGGAATTAAGAAGTTTTCCATTCCTTACTGGCGGAGGGGCTACCCCTCAATGGAGCTGTTTCCCCCCCTTTCTCTAACGCAGTCGTCGGCCGACCATTGATACTTATGGCTCTGCCAGGCCATATAACTTGCCCATGGAATTATCCGCGCCGGCTCGCAAATGGCTCTGCTGGGGGACTTCTCCCCCCAGCAGCTGGACCGATATTTTTGCTTATTCAGGTCCGCGGACCCCCCCCTCAAAAATGCTATTCGGTCGCCCGCGGATGGTTTAGGGGATCTTATTCAATTTTAGGGGATCTTATTCAATTTTAGGG